CACCATTCGATTCTGTATTAAACAGAGAATTTTTCAACATTTTAAGTTTACGAAAATAGTTTTTCGAGGCTAAGTGCATTACTAGGACTAAAATCTGCCAGTAAAAGAATGTGTCATTGACGCTCTGACGGCTCACCAAAACAGTGAATCGAAAATATACATACACACAGACAAACAGAAATCTGAGCCGTGCCATATATTAAGTATAGGAGTAGAAGCAGAAGTTCTACGTTTTGTGACGTTTTCTTGCACGTATTGATGATGAATCAATCAATGGTCGTTTACTACTATCGATTTTCAGTGAAACCACTGACGGTTTCGGTGTTTTCATATTTTCAACATCATCCAGTGAGAACGGATCTGGACGTGCTCGAATTGATGGCAGTTTAGGCAGAGATTGTTTTCGGGATGAATCCGATGATTGATGATTTTCGTCACTGTCAGCCATTGATGAGAGAGAACTGAGTGATGATGATGTACTTGAACGACGACTAGAATGAATTGTTGGACGCCAGCTTTTGAAATTCGGATTAGTTGAAAGAGGCGTTGTTGATAAGGATGTCGAGGATGATGAGTTTTGTGATAATGTTCGTGCACGATTTCTTGCATAGTTTGGTGGCGATGATGATGAGGCGGACGAAAGTGATATGCTAGACACTGTTGAAGAACTACGATGTGATGGTCGAGCCGTAGAAGTGGATAACTAAAATACGAGTCATGGAGAGTAGTTGTTGATAGTTTTGTTCATCTTACTCCTCCGGTCGATACTGTTCTGTTGGTCACTGTTATTGAAAGAGAATTTGAACTGTTCCCGTCTGAGCCAAACGCAGAGTCTGTTGTCATCGGTTGGTTTTGAGCAGCAGTCACCGGTGATGTTGACGAAGAGGAATATGAACTACTTGGCCGTCGACGCTTTAATGTGGACATTTTCTTACTTTCGACATTTTTCTTACGAGATGACGTCTAACAGATTCGAATATATGATTAGACAAAATATTCCCTGTCTGTTCCTGTCTACCTTTGTCGAATTAGACCTGTCGGGTGGTGATGCAAATTGTCCGTTCTTATTTCGATAGAGCACTTGTGGTCGTTTTGTCACAGTTTCAGATGATTCGTCAGTTGATTTTTCTAAAATCAATCCAAGAGCTAAACTGTTTTACTCGGCGATTGTGAAACGCGTACTCTTTTCACGATTTCGGATGGTATTATTCATGGGGCAAATTTTACGTAAAAGACGTTTGTCAGTTTGCCGCAAACGGGTAGAAATAATGGCATTATCATCTTTGGATACTGTTGGTACTTGTTCATCGTGAGTAAACGGAGAAATCGTTTCAAACGACGTTAGATCTGGATTGGAACATGATTTTGACATAGAAGAATCTGCTTTCACAAATGCTCCTTTACACAACCTTCAATGGAAAAACTTTCTAAATCGCGAATTGTGATCGAAATTCTACTTACATTTCGCAGCTTCGACATTCACAATGCGAGTTATCATCACCGAAGAAATCCGATCCGTAGCAGCAAGTTATTTCATCGCCAATCTCAATCGGACGAAGAACATGAATATATGCTGAACTCATACCAGTAGCCACAAACTAAACATAATTTGCATTCTTATCAGATACTCATTCGTTTTGCATCGTTTACTTTGCAATTAGCACGGCAATCATGATTAATATATGCTTAAACAAAAAGAAACGAACGTCTTATATAAGAAAAAAATTAAGAAAAGATTCATCATACCAGCAGGCCCAAGCCATAGTTGTGAGCACTTCTTTCGACAAGAATACATTACTGAAAAGTCATTCATACCTGGTTTGAGAAGCGCTTGTTCATCGTCAGGACTTAGTTCGGCAATGCAACCAATTAGCATTTCAATTTTATCATTGATCGACCTGAAAGACTCGTGAATGGACACTTTTTACATATAAAATGCATCTTACCACTCTTTAGTCGCCACGACTTTTCCTCCGCCTCGTTCAGTTGAATATCGATAACATGGCTTAAGTGTAACACCGGAGCTTTTATTGAATAAATGAAGAAATCGAAACATCTAAACGAGATTCATTTCAGCTGATCATCCCACAGAAGCTCTTTTCATGTCCTACATGTTCTTTGAATATCATTAATTGCGCTGGACTTTTTCGTGCTGATAAATTATTATACCAAGCACCAATTGAAGTCAGCTCCGTGAAACATCGTTCATAATCTAAGTATTGCTGAAATTTCTCCACTGCTGACTTCCACTGTGGTGACAAACGACGATTGGGTCGGAAACGAACGTTCATCTTATGCGTGGTAAAACCGAACATACTATCAACGATGATCATTGTGGCGAGATCATCGTTTTCACTAGGAAGTTATATGAAAGTTTTTACAGTGTGAAACGATCGTATGTCAATTCATACCAAAGATCGGCAACAGCTCGAGGTATTCCACCATACATGACAGTTCTCGTTTTTACAAATTCATTATAACACTAAAATTGATCTCTGGAAGATAAGTATTCGAAAGAACAATTTAGAATATCTGTGAAAAAAAATTTGTAAATAAAGTTTTTTCTTTCAATAACGCCGCTGAAAGAAATACTCGGTTTTTGTCAACTAGGTATAAATATAGTTGTAACCAATACCAGTTTGCACTAGACAAGAAACAAAGTTATATGTGACAAGCGCTGACATCTACAGTCTTTTGTCTCGCATTAGAATTTCTTATTTTCAAGAACAAAATCAACAAACGCGAATTATAAAAGCGATCACATGTGCCTAAAAAAACAAAGCTAGACATGACTAGCCACTTTGATTTCCTCGAAAGTTCTCTCATTGCTTCTGATCACCAATTCTTAAGATTTGCATGCCATATCCTTCGAAGAGTATAAAATGCATCAGATATATGTCTATGTCATTGCGAAACTAACTGTACTCAGCCGTGAATGAAGACAGCGAGCATACCAGAATCTACGACATATAAACAGTAGTGTCAAACTTCAAAGTTGAATTTAACTATTCACTCTTCGCGACACGCTTGACAAACAACTAAACATCAATTTCGATCGTCGTTCGCAAGAACATCTTGAACCTCTGGTGGTGGAATTTGTAATTCCAATGGAAACGATGTTGATGATATTGATTTAGCAAGCAATGAATTTAAATAGAAGATAATCCATAGACAAACAATCAGAATCTTCGACATCGAACAAAAACAATAAATGCTAGTGCGCGAAATTTGAAGACATGGTTTTTGTTTTTTTGGTGATGTTTATTTCTTCATATTCTTATTTTGCCTTTTTCTCTTACAAGCACATAATAAATGATGTAAAGTAGAACAAAAAAAATCAAAACGATTTAATTGATGATGGAACCTTGAATTGTTCGATTAATTTCGTTCAGTATCATCTTTGCGTGCTAATGGTGTGTCACGTTTCTTACGGAATGAACAACCTTCTGTAAGACGTGCTTTGCCACCTGATGGTGAACAGAGAACATAGTTGCAACCGACGCACAAGACGACTGTTTGTGCATGGCTGAAAACTAAAAAAAAAGAATCGATCGTTTATATGTAAGTTGTGTTCATATAGAAGAGAATTTTCTTACCTGTTGTAATCTTGTAACAACCTGGGCATTTAACGTCCATGAAGTATGAATTTGGACTTTGCACAAGTCGTTTCTTTTTGTGTTTGCGACGTTCTTCTTCGATGGATGGATGAAGGAGATCTTTAGCTAAAGGCATTTTGTTGTAAAATTTGTTTTTTTTAAATCTGAAAAATACATAAAGTTAAGTGACTATTTAATTGATATATGTATATGTACAACTATTGCATGAACAATATTTGTTCGTTGTTCATTGTAAAATGTTGCGAGTTCGTATGTATAAAGAAAAAGTATCTGATCAAAGACAAGAAAAAAGTTGAAGGGGAGAAGAAAACAAAAAGAAAAGATCATATATCATTGCTAATTATGAATCTGGAAGAGCACTAACAAGCAAACGAGAAAGAAAATGAAGATATTGCAGAACAAACCGGTTAAATAGGGAAAGAAAGAGTTCATTCCAATCTTGATCGATTATTTAAAATATTTCGCAGCACTAACTAAGATTAGTTTTTCTACAAATAATTCCGAATCTAGGATTGCTATATGAGCAGCACGGCCAATGAAATTGTTAGTACTTGATGGAATATTATGAAAGGCATTATACCGTACAAATGTTATTGATGGATTGCGAAGAATTGGATCAAGTAGATTACTTATCATTTCAACATAAACTGAACCTAAAATTACGACATGAGCCGTTCTGTTTTTCTTGGAAAAAGAAGAAACCAACCGTAAACTGTATCTTTTAGAGCAGCTTTGCAGATTTCGATTCGTGCCGAATGAAATGGGACATAACGATCTTGTGGTGATGCAATTAATAAAATATTCTTAAAATATTCTAAACCTAAAACGAATTTCAACAAAGAACAGATCATCTTCTTTCGTTCACTCGAAATTTACTTACAAGGTTTTTTACTAAGTTTATACAAATAAGTTTGTTTAGGATCGACATGGTCTTTGAATGACATTTGCGATAAACTACATGATTTCTTCCATTTTTGCATTAACCACATACCTAAAAATGAAGAGATGCTTTTTTTCCTAAAATTTTTATTTCAATTCAACAAACCCATATTCACCAAACCACTTGAATTGAACAATGTTCCTAAATGTGGACCAGATAATGAGAGATACGTATACAGCAGCGTGCGATATCGTTCAAATCGTGAATGACTGACTGTTGCGCGCACAACGAGATTTCCTAATGAATGTCCAACAAAACTAATCCGCTGTGGTTTTAACCCGTAACGTTCAATGTGTCCATCGATTTCGTCAATAAGTTGTTTCACCATGATGTCAATATCGTCGAACGTCGAGGAGTGATTCGCAGACGACATGAGGAAGTCCAATCGACATGCAGGTAAGCATAGTTCTAGATATGTTTTAACTAATCGCAAATCGCCTGAATTTCCATCGAGACCATGAACACAAACAATTAAATGGATACCATTCGAGTCAAATGGAACTGTTTCCTGATAAAAGTATGGAATAGTCGATGCTAAAGTTGAAAAGTCGGAGTAAAACATGAGATTCGTTGAGAATTTAGCTGAAATCGTTTGTTTCAACTTTTCTTTGTAGACAACATATTCCATGGTTTGATTGTTAACTAGCGAATTGCTTTGTATACGATCGTTTTCTTCCATTTTCGATGATTGGTCGTGATCATCGGCGGACGATGGCGAGTGTTGACCGTTGGTTTTTTCCATTAGGTTGAGCGCATTTTCATCATCAGTTAAACCATTCAAAAGTAATGGATCAACATCATTTGTCGAAATCGTATGTCGTCGATGGTAATCAGCAGTTGCTGTTTGTTCTAGCTGTAATGTTAGATTGAGAACTGAATCGAGAGAATAATTGGCTGGTCCGTTGGTTGACGATGGATCATTCAGTTTTGTTGTGAAATATTTTGGTTGGGCGTTGAGATTCTTTTTGTTCGGATTAGTGGAAGTCGAGTGAGAACGTAACGGTGTTGTGGCAGCTGTTCTTCGATCCATCGTACTGGCTTTACCCCGAAACGAAGCTTGTAGAACTTTCGATTTCATGCTTGAATCACCGAAAGTCGATGCTGCTACAGCCTTTTCGGGATCATCGGTAAGAAAGACTTCATCTGTTTTATTATCAGGTGTTGTACATAGAAATTGAGGGATGATCGGCGAATCAAGTTGAGCTGCTAGTGCACTATCAGTACGTTGAAATGAAACTTCAGGTAACGAATATCGACTTGGCTGTTTTTGTAAACGTGAAGCATTTGTTATGTCCGAATCAGATTGATAAGGAAATAGGATAGACGATGAAGTGGAGTTGCTTTCGACGTTGGTAGTTGTCGTTTGTGTTGTCGTGGTTGAGGAAGATAACGTTGGAGTACTGTCTTGGTCAACTTTCCGAAATGATGTTAATTGAATCGATGGGTCACTTGAAAATGCAACGATAGGGTTGACAGTAATCGGTGTTTGAGTACGAAATGAAAGGAGATTTTTTCCAGATTGACGAACTTTCGGCGTGCAGATCGACGCAGTTTCAGTCGAGGAAGCTTTCGATGATTGTTGTTGTTGTCGTTTAACTGACTTTAACGGCGGTGTTGCCGGCGGTTTGGAAAGTGAACTTAATACTGTTTCATCCATACTTCCGCTCAAGCAAAGGCCAAATGTTGGATGAAATTTACCTGAACAAAAGTATACACTCATCAGCAAATCACGGAACATCTTAGATAATCTTCAGATGTTGTCGAATTCACAAAAACAATACACAACATTACTCACACGGAAAGCTTCTCACGAAAACATCACTATCGACATTTTTTTGGTTGCAATAATCATGCAAGTCCTGTCGGTCAGTTCTAGGGCAAGATTAGATACCTTTGAAGAGATTCTTACTAAAATTCTGAACAGCTTGCACAAGTGGATTGTCATTTATTCCACTACTGGATTTGTTCTTGACACTTGCTGGAAATGCTGACATAGGTTTTTGTTCGATTGCTGAATATACTTCTTCGATGAGAATGGGTAACGTATCTGGAACGCCATCAAGCTCAACGCACTCAATGGTCAAAACGGGTAAGCGTGAATAGTACTGTGAGTTTCGAACGAGATCGTGTAAATCATTATATGATTCTCCTTCACTTGTAAGCAAATGAGATCGCGGAATTTCTCGATGAAAAAAACCTTCGGAAAGACGTTTAACCTGTAAACAACAAAAAAACGCCAATAAGAGATACAATGAAGAAATCAGAAGAACATTTCTTACGCGTTTGAAATGATATTCTTTTCCGAGAACAATCGCTGTTGATTCGTGCAAACCAAACGTTTGAATGAACTGACACCAAAGCATAATGTTCTCTGCCGAACATTGGGCGATGTGCGCATGAGCGAGATTGTCAATCGTATGAATATCGTCAATGTTCTGGAAAGAAATCAATCAGGATTTTCGAAGTTTTTGGTAAGAACAAAATTACCTTCAATTTATCACAAAGACTTCGTAGTTTTTGTTGACATTTTTGGTGAACTAAAAGCGAACATATGACGGTCGATGAAGAAACAAAAGGAAAACTTACCATGTAAAGGTTTATCTGCATTCGATGGAAGATGTTCAAGCATATTTTCATAGAAGTCTTGTAGAGATTCATAAGATGAAAGAAGAATTTCGCAAATACTATTGTGAAGATTATATGCTCGTTGTAGTAGAGAAGGATTGATTTGATCGGTGGTAATCTGATAAACACAAGTGTAGAACGACAAGCAAAAAATTTAGTTTTGTAAGTTACTTGCGAAAGATCTTGACCGAACAGAAAACTGAATAACGACGTTCGACGAACATTTGGTCTAAAAACTCGCATAAGTTTTCACATTAAACTACAAACTATGAATACCGATCGAAAACATAGGGCGGAATGAGGCAAAGTAGAGACCCATGCACGGTCGTTGTCAATGCGGAAAGATGGAAATAATCGAAAAGTATGGGAACATGAGTATGAATGCCAATTCGAGGATCGAAATGCAATTTGTACGATCGACTGCAAAGTTGTTGCATTGTTGGCATTTTTTCCGGCCTAAAACGAAAATTGGATAGTTGATATCAAACAATCACGAGAGTTCGGTTTCTATAAACTTCGTATTCGATTACAAAAATAAACACTGTCCTAGAGAATGTCAAGGCAAGGTTGTCTGTCAGGCTTTTCTTTCGTCTATAAACATTCATCTATTTATTTGATTTCGTGGAATGATGGCGCTAGATGTATCCCGTGGGGATTTACACAAATCAGAATAAATTAGACTTACGAGTAGTCTCTTTCCAAAAAGTATAGCTCCAGCAACAGTTGCATGTCCAATCGATTGAAACATTCGGCAATCTAAAAGTATCGACATGGATATGTTTGAAAGTCTGTTTTTCTTTACGTTTTGCGCATCGACAATGACTGAAAGTTTAAAATTAAATTGATCATCCAATGGTACTTCCTCATTTTTGAATATGATCAAAAATGTTTTGCTCACACCCCAATCATTGAATACACACGCTGGATAAATGGAATCGTTTGAATCATCTACAAAAAGAGATTAAAAGAAAGCCTCTTCGAAGATTTTCGGTTTTCTTTTCCCATACCGATCACAGGAGAAAGTTCGGACTTGATTTCAATTTTCGTTGCTGATTGTGTTCGTGTCCCAAACTTGACCCCAGTGCGAATTTGATAATATCTAAACCAATGAAAAGCAAACTTACGAAATTACATTGCAACTTGACCTACCCTTGCACAAATAAATCGATATTTATAAACTTTCTCAACTCTACCGTTAATTCGATCTCGGCCTGTAGATCGGCCATGCCTAAGAACATTCGCAATAGAAAACGGAAGTTTCCCGAAAAGAATTTTTACCTCTTTTTTTAATAAAAAAAAGATTGAAATATTAACTTCTATTCATTTCATAATTTGTTTCTTGAAACTGCGTCTATTAAACGACGCGTTCGAATAATAAATAAACGCCTAAATAATATACAAGCCATGTTGTGTATTTTCTCATGTTGTGTCTCTCTTTTCTAACAACTTGCCGAATTGATTGGCAAAATCTTTTTTTTTGTTAAATTAGAATTTTTATCATAAGAAAACGTCGGAATTTTTCAAAGCGACATTCGATTTCTTTTTCCGCTCATTGGTGTTACTAATGACGAACGGGTAAAACGTGGATGCCGATAATATTGTTGGAGAAAACAACAGTAAAGAAAGCGCGGACATACAATAGAGAGAGAGAGAACAAAACAAAAAGCAAAGATCGATGATTTGTTGTTTTTTCAGATTGATAAGAGAAGGAAAAAAACACATATTGACGAGAAGAAGTTAAACGTCTATCCTGTCCTCTTCTTCCCCATCCGTTCGAATTCAATTTCATTGTCCATTCAACACTTCATCATGGTAACTGTGATAGCATCCAAAGAAGAACTACCAACACCTGTGAATAACGGTGTCAATCCGACCAACGTTAGTGATAACGAACGAGCATCACAATCCATTAAAGATTATCAAGAAGTAAGTCGAGAAAAGATTTGAAGAAGTATTCGAACAAAGACATTTTTCTCATTCAAGGTGGATTTTCATCGAACAGCATCGTGTAAGCCTTTACCGGAGGATCTATTTGGAACAGTCAATGGTCAAATAACGAAATCTTCGGTAAGAGGACATTGCACTCCGACTAAAAATATCTTGGAAAATCATTGACGATTGCAAACACGACTCATCTATGACAGATATAGAAAATAACGTGTCCCTTTTACCTTTGCGATTATGATGCACCTGAATGTGTGTACAATGATTGCTTTTTTTCTCTACGTTAAATATAGATCAAGGGAACATTCTTTGTGCAAATCGATGCAATTGAGCCGTATACTCAGATAAACACTGATCAAAACGAACAGACAAATCAATATGATCGTTTACTTTTAACACTCACCGATGGTCACCAGATCGTCAAGGCAGTGACCAATGATTACATACCTAATCTAAGGTAAGTCAGATCGAGATAAAGAAAGATCATGTTACCGTTGTCACTCTTTTAGTTTTAATATGAAATCCGGTAGTAAACTATTATTAACTGATACGATACTTATTCAAAATGGTGTACTTCAATTAACGCATGACAATACCCGTTTTCACTATGGTTCAAACCGATATCAACGTCCACGAGCCACCGTTCGAGTCTGTGTTCTCTTTCGATTCAGGAAGGCAACCGCATGTTACTCTGTATTTCTTTCAGGGTCGTGGAAATGGTTCTTATCGAACACCTTACGAAGGACGACGTGAGTTCGCTCGACTGTTTTTTTTTTGAAAAAGCTTATTTCTTTGCTTAATCATCGATAGGTAACTCAAGATATGATAACGATGATGGTGATACAAATTTTCATAAGCGTCCACCACCAAAAAATACCTTGATGGATTTCATGTCCACATTGAAAATAGCTGATAGTAATAATGAAAATGAAAAAAGCAAGGAACGTTTTGATAAACGTCGGTATAACAATGAACCGAATACAACGAATCATTCGAACTATCAACCTCATTATCCAATCAACAATACTCATAGTTCGAATGATCAAGTATCCTTTCAACAAGATGGAATCGATGAGCAGGGTGACTTCGACGATGATCCAACGCATGCCAATCATCGTGAACGACGAAATCCTTTACCGCCAAGGTACGTGATTCTTTACCGACCGATATATTCTCATTGCTACGTTGAAAACTATGTTAAATATGTCGACAAAAATCTTCTCGATGTGAAACTATGCTTTGAGAGTCATGTTTCTTTGTATTCTAGACTTCAACGTGCACAAGAAGAACGATCTCGTCGAGGCACGAATCGATTGTATGACGAAGCAATATATGGAAATGATATAAATAGTATTTATCGTAATGATGCAACAAGTAATCATTCACTGTCTTCCTTACCATATGGAAATGAAACATCGTACCCACATAATAACATACCAACTGGTCATCAACACAATTCCTACGCGCAAGTTGCTAATGGTACAATACCAACACATTTAACATACTATCAAGCAAATCCAGTAGGACGACGTCGTTTGACGATGCAAAAATTCTATTATGTGACTTGATCTTTCTAGGGTTCTTTGCCATATAATTTAGCTGCTATTCATAATTCAACATTTACCAATCAGCCACCATTTCTTGGACCTTCATATTCCAGTGACCATATAACATTTTGTTATGGACCACACTATGCAACGCCGACGTATCTTCCGAACTTAAACGGTGATTTGAAAACTGATGGTAATAGCAATCCTGATAATGAAAATCTTGGGAATACAGGATCACTAAATGATGAGAATAACGATAGTGGAATTAAATCTGAATCTTCCGCAACCGAACAAAAACAAACACCACCGTTGGTCAACGAGAACGAGACAAATCCGTCCGATGAAAAACGTCGAGATTCCAATTCGGTAAGATATCTGTATCTACAGAGAAGAAAGAAATTTCATTTCTATTCGATATTTCCAGCAGAATCAACGAATTCGATGGAAAGTAGGCGACATGTGTCTAGCCCGATGGATTGAAGATGGAGAAGTATGTTTAAAGTTAATGTAAATGAAAACAAAAATGCATGAACATTTTTTCTAGTTTTATCCGGCAAATATTTGTGAAATTCATCCTCCTCACTGCACCATTCTATTTCGTGGCTATAACAATTACGATCAAGTTCATTTCAGTGATTTAAAACCGATCCCACGTGATCAACAATTCGTAAGTTGAACGACTTTTTCCAGATCGTAAATAGATCTCTATCTTGTTTCTTATCTCTAGTATCCATTTGTTGCTCCGCTAACTGATCTAAGTGTTTTTGCTGCTAATCCATACTACGCACCACGCGCAGGTTATTATCCATCAACTATGGACGGCTGTATTTTAATGCCTGAAGCTCCGCCATTCCCATTCAATCCTGATGGTAGTTTATGTATGTATCCATCAGCACAATCTTCGTCGATGCAATCCAATACACGGTCAACTCGGCATAATACAAATGGCTTACCACCGCAGGACACCCGACGAAATGAAAATGGTGATTTGACATTGAATTCGACGTCTTCGCCGAGCAAAGATTCCAATGATACAAGTGTAATTAATTCAACTACAGCATCATCAAATGATGAAAACCAACAACAGGATTTATCTTTACCGCGGCCGTGTTCGATCGCTGATGCACCATTAACTCTAGTCACATCAGACGATTTACGTGAACGCAGTCCGAGTACAGAGAGTTTACCTAGCAGCAAATGTGATGATCAACAATCGACAAAAGATGACGAAGAAGAACCAACAAGAGAATAATTCATCCATCAATATGAACATCTAAAGTTTACAGTGAGGATCTGTTATGTTATAAGTTCTTCTTCTATCTTTTATTTTATGATTTCCTTCGATATATAAACAAACATACAAAAAAAAACCTTAAACATTTTTCTTCTTCTCTGTTGATACTTTGTTGTTCTTTTGCTTCAATGTGTTTATCGTGCTCTGTGGTGGTTTTTCTTCTTCTTCTTCTTCTTCTCTCTTTCTCTTTTGTTCTCATAGTATTCATATTTGTTATCCGTTTTTCTCTCTCTCTCTTTTTCTTTCGTTTTTCTCCTCTAGCGCATTCGCATGTTTGTGCTTATTTATTTTACTCTTTGTACATGCTACCCTTCCATTTGATTTTCATTTACTAGAGAAAGGGAGCTTCAAATCTATCCACTTAGCTTGTGAACAAAACAGAAACCAGTCTATGTGTCCTCGTGAATCCTATTTTCCTTGTTTCATTCGCTGATGTCCATGCATATATTACATAATGCTTTTTTCATTTGTGATGTGCGAGCGATTCTTGTTTCTGGTGACGATACCATGATGCTCTCTCTCTCTTTTTCTTCTTTTTCTTTTCGTGTGTGAGTTTTTTTTTCTTCTCTAACCATCTATGTGTGGTCACGTTATTATTTCTCCTGCTATTCTATTATTCCTTGCGTGTTTGCACGCTCTCTCTCTTTTTTTCTTGTTTTTTTTTATGATTATCATCACAAACAGAAGAAAAAAGGCGAAGTAAAATCCATTTTTAAATAAGAAAAAACCATGTTCAACGAGATGAACAAATCTCCTCACATATCTATTCTCTTTTATATATCTCTCTTTCTTTGTTTTACAATTATTTTATAGACAATGACGACAACAACAACAACAACAGATCTAGGATATCATTTCTCGTCACGTATAACTGACGAGACTAATAATTCATTTATGTTGAATCAAAGTCTTGACCGAATGGACGTTGATGATCATACTCAGGATTTAATCACAGCAAGTTCAACAACCGTCAATGAAAATGGTGCTAGTTATTACATAACTAAAAGAGATGTTTTTCATCAAGGGTAGAGACAAAAGTTCCAGGGAGCGAGAGAGAGAGGAGATGATCGTTTATTGAATTTCATTTAGAAATCCAGTTTTGAATAAATCATTCGATGTTTTGCCACAAGTGAAAGACGAGAAAACGTCCGCGGACGAACAAGTAAGCGATATGTACTGGTTTGGACACGCAAGAAAAGAACCTTTTGTAGACGAAAAGTAATAACATGCTTGACACAACGGTGGAATTACCAAACAACACGGAGGTTTTAGATGAAAAACCAACTCGTAACACACTCTTCATTGAAAATGTCCTTTTTCTCAGCAATGTTTCTGTTCAGATGATTTGAATATTCTCAAACCTGTGAATAACATCGAAGCATCATCGAACATTCCAGCACTTCTGCCCAATCAATTCTCTCGTAGGTTAACAATTCTTACCATGACTGTGTAGTAAATCTTCACTTCTTCAGTTGAATACCCTTACGAAATATCACCACGTACGGAAAATATTCAACCATCTTCGCCCGGCTCCGCGGATACACTTGCGAGCTTGGCTAAGAATATGAAATTAAATGGTGCTTCAGATTCGTTAACACCGACATTAGCCAACGACAAAGCTTTTGACACGAATACATTCGTTCTGAAGAAGAAAGGACAAAAAATGACAACACCAACGAATGAAAACAGTTTCACTTCCGTAAGTTTCCATTGCACGCTTAACAATATAACCAATTAAAATCATTTAGACTACGGAACATTCACCAATTGATCTTATCAACAAACAATCACCATCGTTTACCACACCATCGACATCAATCGATGCGTCTCGATCTACACCAGCACCATCCATCACCCAACAATCTCCTCCCATTGATCCAACGCGAATCATGTAAGAATGGTTTCTTGAAATACGTCGCTCAACGAGAAAGATTTCTTAGTGAATGCGTTGAACAATATTATCGAATCCTTCATCGTGTTTGTGAATGTACAGAAGAGTTAAAACAAGAATTGCGACATGTGAAAAGCGAACGTGATCAAATGAGTGAAGATCTTATCAATGCTGAGAATGCGTTCAACGATGTGAAGAAACGAAATGAAAAGCTGAAAATGATTGTTAACGAGCACAAGACAGTGTGTGGAATTGGATTACTAAAGACTCCCATAGTGATCTTTTGCTTTTAGAATACGGAAACATTGAAACGTTTTTCGGAAGAGTCAGTACGATACACCGAAGAGCAAAAGCAAAAGTATGCCGTACTTAAACAACATGCACAAGAGAAACTGAATGAGTGAGAAGCGATTTCGCTCAGTGGTATTGTCTTGCAAATCGTCTGTTGTTTTTTACAGAGCCAATAGCGAAATTGAACGTTTACGACGTTTGCAAAGTTCAGAAATGGAAGGCGTTCAAGCACAGCTACGCTACGCACAATTACGTGTACAATCACTTGAACAAGAACTCAAGTCTGCCAAACAGGAATTAGAACAAAAAGTAGAATTCCATGCGATTTTATCTCAAACGAAAAAAAAAACCCAACTTTTTCGTTTAGAAAAAAGAAAACATCGAATTGACCAATATCTGTGATGAATTGTTGACGACCAGCAAACGCTAAACACGGTTTTTCTTGTATATACATATGATCTATAGAGAATATAATTCCACTTTGACATGTAATTATCGTTATCTTTCCTTTCTCTGTCTTCCTCACCAATTGTACTAGTCTATTTTCTTATACACAAAATTGTGCTTCTTATTTTGTCATGATGTGATCAAAATATGTTAGATAAATATCAATGAAATGAATTCGATTTCTAGATCACAGATGCATTCGTTTCTTAGTCGAGCAAATACTCTATTTGCTTTTACAATCACTGTGCTTGCAGTGTTGACAACAGGAGTGTTTGTGTCGACGTTTTTTGAGGAATACCGTGGCACAGTTTCAATTGGAGCAGTCAGACCAATCGTGTAAGTATTATGGTCAGACTATTTACCAGACAAATGAGCATTTTTTCTCTTTCAAGAAAACATATGACAGACTTTTCTGCCAATCGAAAGAAGAATGATTTAGGTGTATTACAATTAACTCTTGATATGGGTATATTCGACAATTGCTGACGAACGAAGCTTTATGTTTGCGTTTAGATCTAAATCCATTATTTGATTGGAATGTCAAACAATTGTTCTTATATTTAGTCGCTGAATATGTTACACCAGCCAATGTGAGCAAATCAATTGATTGACGAACTGAGAAATAAGATTCTGTTCTAGACTCTGAATCAAGTTGTTCTATGGGACAAAATTGTTCGACGTGGTGAAGAAGCTCGTCTGAGTTTCCATGAAATTGCTACAAAATATTACTTCTGGGATGATGGAGAACACTTACGGTTCGTTAACTTCAAACCTTTCGATTCGATCATATTTCCAAATTTAGATCGAATAATGTAACGTTATCATTGAACTGGAATATCATCTCGAATGCTGGTCGGCTAATGCACGTTCGGGCAAACGGCAGTACATCTTTTGTCTTTCCGGATCAGTATATAACTAGTCGAACAGCTAGTCCGAAACCATCTGGTCAACAATGAAATCAAAATTAGTTCCTATTTTTCTTTTATCGTCTTGTTTTTTTTTCTTCATCTCGTGATTTTAATTGTTATACGACGAGATTTCTGCTACATTATTCTCTGATTATTGATAAATAGATGATAAGAAGAACCACCGATTTCCATCGAATCAAGCTCAGTGACGTTGAACCTTGATATTTTTATGGTTTCTTCGAATGACAGATTATGCTCGGGGTAAAAGATTGTCGAACAAGACAAACAAACTTCAATGTACTTGAACTTCTTTCTCTTCTCGTCAGGCATATTTGTAAACTAAATCTTACTCTAATTATCATCAGAATACATGAAAGAAGAATGTGTTAGTAAATCAACATGACGTGTCAAATGAGTACAACCTTATCATTGATAGTCACACTTTATATTCATAATTAACTAAAAATAAAACAAATTACTTTGTATGATTCAGTTTGTGAATACTCGATTTCGTATGTCTTACGTACATTTTCATTTTTGTTCTCTAGTGATGTTATCGAATGCATGAGTGAGCACACCAATTCAATATATCATTTTGTTTCTTTTTCAATCGAATGACACATGTGCGAGGTATAAGAATAAAACGATATTACTCATATTGCTTCACCTATCTTCTCATCGGATCTGCTTTCTATCTTATTATATTTCTTGCCAGAAATTTTCAATCGTGGACATGTTCGATAACAGCCTATGACAACCAGACAATTGATTATTATGATGAATGGCAATATAGGAGTAGCCTTACTGGAAAATGGTACCAATGGCACGTAAGTTCAAATAGTGAACAGAATGATGTTGCATGGCAGGCGAAATGGTTCAATGGAGAACCAGATTCCTATCTGGGACTTATTGTGTATTTAACGAGACATGGAGAAATCGATTCACTTCGAACATCTCTCACTCAATTAGCAAAGTTATTAGTAGATCATCCTCGACCTGTCGCTATCTTCCACGAAGGTGATTTCAATGATAATGCTACCCAACATTCTCTAGCACAAATACTTGCTCCACATATGCCGTTGTGCTTCGAGAACATTCATTTCGCGAACAGTTCAAAACGGCCTCGGTCAGTTCATCGGACAATTCACGCGGCCTACTATCACATGTGTCGATTTTTTTCATCGATGATTCTGTATCATCCGCTTGTAAAACAATTTCAATACTATTGGCGACTCGATGCACACTCGTTCATATTTGCGCCAACACCAATCAAAGATCCCTTCGAAATTATGCAAAACCAGCGTATCCAATATGCGTTTATTATGGCTAACGAAGATGCCGAACGTTATACTACTAAACTATGGTCAGTCTTTCAACAATTTCTTCGTCAACGTTGCCTCCGATCATCACCAGCTGTCTACAAAACTCAAGTGGGATGGTTTAGTGATTACTCGTTGGCCATGATCTTTACAAATTTTGCCATAGCTAATGTTTCTATTTTCCGCGACCATCAATTGATACGTGCTTGGTTACAAACGGTTGATAATCATGGCGGAATCTATCGTTATCGATGGGGCGATGCGCCTATTCACACTTTAGCATTGACACAATTTCTTCCGCGACAAGACATAGTTCGATTGCGATATTTTGGATATATGCATCAACGTGAATATGTTTGTGCTTACGGAACTCACGGTGAAGCATGTCGAAAACAAGTCGAATCGTTTATCAAAGATCAAACAGTGAAATATCTCGAGTATGATGACGGATGTTTTCCTTCACCGTTTTGGAATCCTCTCTGTCGTTATTATCGTGATATACGCCTGTAAAATCTGTGTATACGTATGATTTTTCGTTGTGTTAATAAAAACCGAAAACGTTGAATGCACATGATGTAATATTCGTCGATCAAATATCAGCATGTAGTATTCAACTATCATTTGATTGCGAAATAGATCAAAAACGAAAGATTGTTTGTCCTTGTTTCTAACCTAGTGCACATCTTTCAAGGCTAGATCATCGATGTCATACATAATTTAAGTAAGAACAGAGTAGTGATGAAACAAAGACGAGAGGAGAGAAAAAGGCGGGTCTCTTGATTGATCCTTTGCGTTCTCGTGAAAGTAAACGTGCGAATACGTCACAATCATATACAAACTATTTTTTTAAACAGCTAAACACACAATGTTGAAGGCAAAGAGGAGAAAAAAAAAGGAGGAGAAGAACACAGAAGGAAGAAGAGAAAAAATCGTGATAAAATTTTCAGATAGGAACGTGCGATCGTATACATCTGTCCTTTTCTAGCGACTGACAGTGATACAGGTTCTGAATCCTAGAACAGATTTTTCTTTCCTGCGACGAATTTTTTATTGATCATTATCCAGGTAAACATGTTATTTATTCTTCGTCCTCCCATAAATCAGAAAGGCATAGAAGGTACAGATGACAGAATCTCAATCGAGTGTTACCTCCTAATGGTTTGTAAGCAGTTTGTCAATAATAATTCAGATGTAAGAGCGATAATGTTGCTTTTTTTGTTTTGCTTGTCCTGCTTTTTTTCATTTTTTTTGCTCGCCCTTTTTTTCCTCTTTTGATCAAGACGGCAAATAATCCGATTACACTGCTCATACTATGTGCAATGCTCGGCCTTTTTTTTTCGTTTACAACAGAGCTCGATTGACTCGAAAAATTGAATCAACTTTTTCAAGTAGTAAAAGTTAAGAGTCTTATATATAAGTATATAACGTCAAATTTGTCTCTCTATGATTTAGATGTCATGACTGTATTTCATTTCATCAATCATCCTTATCATTAGTTTCTGATATACAACAGAACGGCGGTGCTTGAAATACTTCTAATATGACATCGAATAAAGTTCCTGTTTATCGACATGGAAGAAAATTTTATGTGTCCGTGGAGGAATACGCACGTATGCGTGCTGAAGAACAGCGACAGCGGCGAAGTGCTGCACAAAAATCCCAACATTTACCTGTGCCGAAATCACAGCAAACATCGATAAGAACATCCTCAGCTTCGCTATACAATCCTGTCCAACGTAGTCATTCGAATCCATACGAACAGATGTATGGCATACTGAAAACACCGCGTGTACCGGCTAGTTCATTAGTTAATGCCGTCAACCGATATGAACCGAATCGATTATCACGTTCGACATTAAGACGTGCTGATAATCCAAATACGCTTCCGACAAAGCATACACTCGCCGTGAGTGCTCGCTCAAATTCATCCGATAAAGCATTGGATCTGCGAAAAACGGGATTAACAGTATTCGATCCAGATGATGAATTTAAACCCACATATGCTAATGAAGTTCCTAAATCAACAACAGTATCTCCTCGACAATCACGTCGACCGATGACGACGTTAACATCCGACTATGGGATCTCTCCGACAACAACAATATCCATGACACCAACAGATCAAACGCATACTCAGACAACTTCATCGAAACTTACCAGTTATTTAACGCGAACAAGACAATCTAGTTTAAATCCATCGTTATCTAATGCTCCAACAACTGGCCCATTTCTTGAAACAGGTATTCAAGGTTCAACACAGACCTACGCTGTTCTTGGCTCAACTAGCCAACGGCCTAGTTCTGGTCATATTTCATTAGTAAATCGATCTGCTTCGGAAAGTAGTAAAAATCGCCACCCGCAACGAATTGTTTTAAATGATTCCTTTTCCAATGAAAACTCAAATGCATTATCACAGTTAAGTCTTGGACAAAGGAGCGAAATCAATTCCCATCGGCCATCAGAATGCATAGGCGAAACAGAAATCGATTGTGGTCAACAACGCGAACTGTGCACACGTTCCACTCATCGTAGTCAATCAACTGATGGTCTAACGGAAAAAAAGCGCGTGCGTTTCGCCGATATGGAAGGTCTAACATTAGAATCGAAATCTAGCCACAACAGTCTTTCGACACCAACGAAAAGTACATTCCTATCACGACGACAATATATCAAACTTCCGAGTGAAATACGCGGACGACCTCGACCTTTTTATAATACATTATATCAAGCAACGAGTGAACTCGATGAAAGCACACTTGCCACTGATGTCTAGTTTTTTTTGTACCGTTTCCTTATATATATGTGTATGCAGATATTTTTTGATAATTAGAATGAAAGAAAGTCTATTATTGAAAAGAAAAAAACTATATAAATCCATTTGACTATAATACATTTTTTGTGCTAGTTAGAATTTTAACGGTGTGCTGGATCTCTGCGTATCGGAAGCGAGATGGATTGATAGTTCATCAAAGTTCGATGATGTTTGTGATTGTCGTCCAGTGGGTAAGTCAGGTAGAGGAAGTAGATTGTTGGAACGTCTGACTACCGGTGCGTAGTCTTCAGGAATAATAAAATTATGATTGTCATACGTTTGACTGGAATCATATCGAGAAACATCATCAACAACTATAGAGAATGTGAAGAAGATTAATGTGATTCAATAGATTATTTACCAGTTCTGAGAACATTTGATATCTTCTTCGTTTTTGTCGTTTTAGGAAGAAGTAGTTTAGTATCGTCGTCGTCGTCGTCGTCGTCATCACTTTCATCTGTCAAACTGGATTGGTCGTCTTGAAAAGAGTTAGAATTCAATATTGTCGCACGTCGAATATAGATAAATAACGATAAAGCCTAAGGATGAATAGAAATCAGAATGAGATTCTGCTGCAATGATGTTTTGATTTCGAGTCTTTACAATCAATAGAAGAAAGGTAATGCCAGCTAAGATAATCGTTGTTAAGAATAGAATAGTGTACATCAAGGGAGATATGCACGATCTGTTGTCAAATAAAGGGATATCATCTAGATCTGTAGATATATATTTTGATAGATGTTGGAAGTGAATAGAGTTTTTACTTTGACAAATATGACCAGCAACAGTTGCCATTGTGAATGAAGGTTGAACATAAAGAAAAATGTGATAATTTCAATTGAGTCTTTCTTGCTAGAACGAAGTACAACGTGATCTTTCGAAAGCTTCTTTTTTTTCCTTTTATCTATGGCGAACAGAACGGCATCTATCACAGAAGCGTACGTCAAATAGAAAGAGTCCGTTTTGTAGGTAAAACGACAGTCGGACTTGTATATGCGCATCCTTTCTTTTCATAGACATCATTTTCGTTGACAGAACACCGTATCTTGAAAAAGAACCGTGATATTCTTTTATCTATTTATGAATACTATAGAGCGATAGAAGGGTAAGATAACTGTATTGTCTTTAAGTCCAAGAGAAATATCCAGTTACTTCATTCTCTTATAAGGAAAAAAGTGTGATAATTGACAAATCTGTATACAACGAAGGTTACTTTTACAAAGGTAAATGAATTTAAAAATGATCAGTTTGGACATCAGGAGGACCCGTCTTTCCGCGGTTCTTGTCCGGTTTCGGTCCGGGTCGATGATGCTGTTTAACGTTTGCCATTTTCATGCTCGGTTGTCTGTCTAGTACATTGGCATGTACTCGATTAGAATCACCGTGTGTCGTTGTCGTTGCTATAGTTCTCAGCGGAATCGCTTCATGAACAGGCGCTTTCGACATGTGAGGGCGTGGAGGTCGTTCACTCGAATATGTTGATGAACGTTCAGTGTCTGAAATAGAATTATTAAGCAATCAAAAATATACACTTGAGTCATACCTGTCTGAGTAGACTTTCTCTGAAAAAAAAAGGCTCGATGAGTATAATGATAAACGAAACGGCATCCTATCATACCCGTGCTGCTCTGTCAGAAATATTGATACTTGCGATGACATGCCGTTTTCTATCCTGTGAATCCTTTCGACAACATAGCAAACACGACCCAACTATCTATTTCATAGGAATAAGTTTCAATTTTGAGCTAATCCCTTTGAAAAATATTGTATATTTACAATTATACCAATAAACGATAGTGCGCTCAATGCTAACGCAGCAATCAAAACAGAACCATTAACAAGTGGACTGATACAAATGCTAGTAAACGGATATTCGCCAGGAGCACAACGAGGTTTGGCATCTGCCGCTGTCGTAGTGGTATTATTATCATTGTTCATAGTTGTATCTGCTGGTATGATCGACGCAGTGATTGTAGATAATCCTGCCGTTGTGTCTGCTGGTATGATCGAAGCAGTGATTGTAGTTGATTCTCTCGTTGAATCGCTAACTACTGAAGTAAGATCAGTAGCGATTTCTTTTACTGAGCTTGTCGGATCAGCTGAAGTCTGAGATGATAATGACGCTGTACTTTGTGCAAAAACATTTTCATATGTAAGACACAAGAAGATAATGTAATAGGTTATAGGAACAGATGTCTTGTAGGTTCGTCTCTTAATCGATCAATTATAGAAAAGAAAGTGTAAAAAATATCACATTGATTTATTTGTGGGACACCAGCCGAACTTACCATTTTCTTTTTCTCTGTTAAAATAAAGAGATTTGAAGTATATTACCTATGATTTATATTCTCAATTCTAAACGAGAGCAACAGACAGAACATGTTGAAAAACTACAACAAAGAACGTCTACAATAACGATAGATAACATCAAAAGTGACAGCAATGAAATATTGTATGTTTGCACACATACATACACGAATAGAAAAAGAAGGCAAATATACGAGCAAATAAAAGAAAGAAAGATTATAGTGGAAGTGTCTTTTCTTTCTCAAAAAACTTGTCATAATATAAATCAGTTTTTCGCACTTGAAATCAGTTCATATAGCCAACTAATCTAAGAATTATTTCATTATGATTACCCATTCGATGTCAATCAATTGTCAATGTAACTACAAAGAAAAATACTTTTTTTTCCTACTTCACTTTCACCGTCCTGTATTCCCGACATTCTTTTTCTGTTGTGCTTCACTGCACACGTGCATCATTTAGCTACATACGACCGTGCACATGCATGTAGGATCTATACAGACGACTGCTAACTCAAGGTAATGCATCAACGTCGCAGTCAAAGTGATACAAAATCAACTGGAAGCATTAGCAGTTCACTGTCATCAATGCCGACGACCAGCAATCCTTCCTCAAAAACCAATACCGGTCGCGTCAGCATCTACACGATGCGTGAACGAGTCATTCAGAACAAAATGACTAGAATGATTGGCAAATTAGCACCGAATACGGAAACCGAAGTCACTAGTCGATTACATCAAGAAGTTCCTGCTATTCGCTTGGATGGTCATTTAACGTATTGTGTATATATAACCGCACAAAATCTTGTTCATTTAACTACGATGTACATTCTTTTATATCATGCAGTGTTTTGGCTAGATTCGAATGTGACTGGTCGACAAAAAACGATTAGCTCTCGATTAATTGATCAAACCAAATTCGAACAAACACATGTTATCATAACGGCGAATTATTTCCATCTACATACTGGATTGTCAATCAACATTGATCTTATTGATACATATGTTTATATTAGTTTGATTAGTGTCAGTTTAGTTGAATTGATCAGCACGTTTTTGTGGACAGTTAGAAAAAAACTGCCGTGTTTAATAGTACGACATACAAAATTGAGACACCGTGTCAGTCGAATTCTAGTTGGAATGATTAGTCTTCCTTACATTTCGTTTATTTATTGGCTTGGATATCATACATTTGTTACTCGTTATCTGAAAACATCATTTTCTTCACTCATCTTAGCACATTTCATTCTTTTGACACTTTTCGATAAGCCAAATCTATTTCGAAAGCGACCTGACAATCCTCCTGACCAATCAACTCTAAATCGTAAACATCATCGCAATTCCACATCGTCGTCGTCCACATCATCAGCTCCTACACCGGCCTTAGGTCGACCATCGTTTCGGTCGTCAACATCGACACAACCACGAAGAATAGCACCTGTCATCAACACATTGCCATCCGTAGTCCATCAATGGTCTCGTTGGTCGTCAGTCACCGAAATAAAACTCGAAATCCACGAATGTTCAACATTCTACGCTCAAGCTCGTCAAGAAGCCGATGATCTCTGGCCACTGGTTCGACGACGAATAATTCTCAATTTCTATCGAACAGTAGCATCATTCATCCTATTCGATTGCATTCCTATTCGAACACTGAGTAAGCAGGCATATCTGTAGAAAATCTCCAAAGATTTTCATTCTCGTTTAGATCCGCACGTTCGTTCGATTGAAACTCAACCGTTGAAGTTTGTCATTTTCATTCTTACCCTGAGCACATTCATTTCTCACAGTGCCTTTTTGTTTCCCGTAAAACTTCAAACAACCCTTCAACGTATCGCAACGCACCTTGGCCAATGGCGCGTACAAGCTAATGTTCGCGCTGAAACGATCAATGAATGGTCATCCGAATGCAATTCATACACTCGTGGAATTGTAGTGAAGTTATCATCGACAAATCAACATTTCATTGCCAGTCAGCATCTCAGCAATGCAGCTCATCCGCAATCGAATGCTCATGCTATGCTCTACAGACTCTTTAGTGATCCTACACACTTCCTAACGACTCAACTGGTTCTCTGTATTGTTCTTTCGATTTTTCAACTCGTTTGGCTCTTTCTCGGCAAGTCATGGGAACAGATTATAATCAGTTGGTTTATTATCTTATGTAGTTCATATCCAATATTTAAAATAACACGCGACAGGTTTATAATGGATTATGTTGAAGAACACGAATATGTTCAAACAACATCAACAACAACATCGAGGCAGAAAAAATCCAGTTGAGAAAAAAAAATAAACAAAATCTGACAGTGAAAACGTATTTGTTAGGTATATCACACATTCATTCCATCTTGACATGAATACAGTGGAGATCGACCTAGAATCAAGAAAATCATTTTCATTCCATTAGTTTTTCCTTTTTACCGAAGTATGTAAATTCTGTTGTTCCAGTTAGTCTTGGACTGTATTCGTGATTGGATATAGTTGTTGTTGATTTTGAATGAAAACTTGAACTATTTGTCGATGATTCACTCGATAAGGTATCCAAGAATTGTTGCGTATTTTTATTAAACAGTTTCGTTAATAAATGATCTAAATACAAGAAGTTGTAATTTACCGAACGAAGAGCGACATTTTCAGTGTTGTTTATCCTCTGAACTAACCTGCCGATTCCATTTTCAGTGATAACTGATCGGTATTGTTCAGCGATGTATTACAAGTTTTCAGAGAACCGACTTCTTTCAACAATTCGTTGATTGAATAATGCTCATCGAAGACAAGTGGTAATTTTTTCGCTTTGGCATTTTTCTGTCGTCGTCGGACGAGACGCGCTCGACAACAACAATAGATTGCAATCAATGAGAAAATAATGATTAAAAGAAAAGTACTCAATAGAATCGACACTAAAATCATCGAAGGATCTAGAACACATCACGGGGAAATCAACGGCTTCTTATGTGGATTTTCATTTACCATTAGATGTGTTTAATTGGTAGAGGCGGCTCTGTTCAATACCGAATTCATTTTCTCCTATACATGATAAATGACTGAGAGTTTGAGATGATGGTACTAATTTTCGGTAATCATAAAGTAATTTCGACGTGCAAACATTTTCTTCGCAGGTAGTCGATGTAGACAATTGATCATTAGATTGAATCGGTCGATCGTTCAATTTCCAAGTTATGCTCTAATTTGATAAGATGAAAAAAAAATCAGTTTTGTCATTGAGCAATGTTCGTTCGTATCTTACAAGTATCGGACTTGATGAGTAGACTTGACATTCAAATAGATGACTAAATTGTCGAGATTCGTGAATATAGACTAATGGTTTGCCTGGAATGAAAAGAGAATAACAGTCGAAAATCGACGCGAATCAACCATTGCGAATACCTTTGATGTAAAGGACAAAATCATGTTTAATTGTATCATAACCATCGGTTTCGATGCGATACGAATAGACTCCTTGTTGCTCACGTTTAGTGATATTTTCAAGGTTGAACGTAGATCCTTCACCAACCATTTCTCCATAACGAGACCAGATGATTTTTGCACGTGGATACGAGTCAACTATGCAACGAAGTATAGTCGGATTTAAGGATGATTTACTATGTAAATCTAGGACGACAACTTTGGGTGGTCGGACAACTAATATGGGAGGATCTGTCGATAGACAAAATAAAGGAAAATATCAATAAAGGGAAAATGAATGTATGATTTGTTTACATCGAACTAATAACCGAATACTTGTGTTTGTGGTTCCAACGGAATTGATTGCTGTGCAACCGATTGAATGATTGTGTACATGCTTTGATAGAGGAATATTTATCGTTGGACTTGTCAGAGAAGTTAAGTCCATAGAGTTCGCGAACCATCTAGGAAAAAATTGTCGTAAGAAAGCGATTTGGAAGGATTATTTTCTGTACCTTAGTTTCGGTTCGGGATTACCGTGGATGACGCAACGAAAAGTTGCGGTTGAATTGATGGTTAATGGATAACGGTTCTGGGATTCGATACGAGCTTTCGGTTTATCTAACGGAATTGCCTCGTATAAAGAAAATGACGCGAACAAAGTGACTTACAGTGAACTTGGATCTTTGCTGTGACATCAAACTTTGAAGTTTTCTTGTCAATTGTATACATCTGTCGACATTTGAGCAGCACATTATTCCACTCACTATCTGGATTATTAATTATATAAGTTAACTTCGTAATATTTCGATTGGTGGTTGCATCCAATTCATATGAAATAATCGATGACGTTGCTAAATCATCAATCAATTCATCGTTCCTATACAAGCTTAACGTCGCTGCGGGCTTTGACGGAGCCGACGAACAGGTAATGTTCGCTGGCTGTCCTTGTCTTAATGGCATATTTGGCAGTATCAATGTTGGCTCATCTGTTGGTGGAACTAATAACACAATGAATGAAATCAGTCAAGCTCTGTCGGCTGAAGTATGATTTGTAAATTACCAATAAGGGTCAAATGTACACGTTCTGAACGTGCTTCATTTGCATTCATTGTCCTCTGTACTTGACATTGGAATATTCCTTCATCTTTATTTGATACATGAATAATCGAGAGATTATAATGATCTAAACAATGACGATAGAAACATCTCCCTTCCTTTGCACAAATCGATCCATGTACATGACGTAATGAGAAGAAAAAAAAACAGATATTTCCTGAAATACATACTTAGACGTTCATTGATAGACAATCGAAATCTCGGATATGCCATGTATTGATAAACATTAACAACATCGTTTTGTACAGTTTCCCGATGAAGAAATTGTGTCTTCCCCAGGGTACAAAAGTCATTCCAACACCAAGTGACAACTGCATTGGATTGTTTCGAAACAATGCAGGGAAATTGTACTGTTTCACCTGGATAAGTATTGATATGTTTTGGTCCAATCAGAATCTTTTGATCGACTCTTCGATTATCTATCCACACAACGAGAACCATCTTGAAATGTCAATGTAACAATTATATTTACTTTGTTCCAACGTATAAACCAGTGTCGTTGTCAATGAGACGAATAAAGACAATAACAACGGGAAGGGATAACTACTAGTCATATTTCATATACTGAAATTAAAATCAAAACGGTGCCTTTCGATCAATATCAATATACATAAATGAATCTTTATGTTCGTTTTCATACAATCACATTCATAATGCAGATTTATGCGTATATACATATACATATATATTTCTATCTTCAACTATATGTCCTTCTAAACTATACAAGCAGATCGGAAGAAGAAGAAGAAGAAAAAAAAAGACAAGACAACAACCTTGTTGAGTTGCGATTGATTTAATCAAATTCCTTGATTGATTAACTATCAGGGTAAGTGAAAGAGAGAGAGAAAAACGATGAAAATGATTTTTTATTGATATGACGACTCATATTCTGTCGGAGGACAATCAGAAATTATATGAAATATGACTAGGACGACAAACGACATAGTGTGAATTGGCCTTGATTTGCGTTCATTCAATATGATGATAAAAGAAGTAGGAAATAATAAGATACATGACGTTTATTACCGTTGATGAGCGAGAAAACGACTTAAATTTCGGTAAGAATGAAATGACTGATCAACTTCGTCGAATGGAGTATAGTCGAAGCAATTGAGATGCAAATTGGCAAGTTAATCTTAACGGCGCACTGAGTCAATGATTACCTCAGTAAGTGTTAGTCGCCATCGACAACATCGGAGGAGATCAACTCACTCGTTTGTTTACATGAAGCTAAATTTACTTGTCATTGCTATAAACATATACAAAGATAATGTCAGATGAACATAGATAACATTGAATGGAGAATGAATGAAACGTCCATATAATCATGTCATTTGTTCGATGATGGTGATGGAAGCGAGAAATACAAAGAGAAAAAAAAAAGGAACTAGCGATTGGATGAGTGCAATCATATCAATTCTGAAAGTCATGCATCGTACCTTTTTTCTCACACGCTGAGCAGATGTGCTAAACGAAAAATCAAAGACGTCTCTTTTGTTGATATTCTCAAAGCAATTTCCAATAGGCAACGCTGATCATATGCACCTTTCTCCTTGCATGTGTAGTATATATATATATACCATCTGGTACAATTCTCCTTTTGAATATGAATAGAAGAAAAAGACGTTCATCAAACTAAATCAACTTTTTATCTTTGATCTATGTTTAAACAGAACGATGATAAGATCATCACTTCTCAACTCAATTACATGATAATGATCTACAAGGAGTGCAACGACAAAATAAGGTATAATTTCAAGTGATGGCGAAAAAAAAAGAAGTCATCCTCTTCTCCTCTTTGTTTGAATTACGAAGGAAGTTCATTTAACTTCAATGCGTTGACTTCTGGTGCCAGGTCGATTAATCTTTTTGTTTATGCTCGATCGCACACATTCACTCGACGAATATGATGAATGAAACTCTTGAGAATTTGTTTCTATAATGATGCAACCTACTTTTCTTTCTAACCTTGCCGAAGATTTTTTATTCCATTAGAAAAGAAATAGACAAAAATTATCATATGTCGACGTACTTTGTCAACTGAGTCATTACAATAGCAGACATCGATTGAAATGACTGTTCGTCTGCTGATTCTTCGTCTTTTGTTTAACATAGTATCGAGTTGTACGCACAGTAATGATATCAGTTCGCATCTGCTCTTGCTTTCTATCCAATGAAAACTTTCCAATGAGAGCAAAGTAATTTCATCATCCGTTGCACCCTTATGAAACATAATGCAAACGTATGTTTTTGTTGTGTTAAAAATTGTTAATGACATCATGGCCGACTCTAGTTGTTTGTCTGCATTAGATATTGATGAACTGATTCACCGTTTTGATCAGTCCGATGTTGTTCAAGCACTGATACTAATGGGTAGTTATGCACGAAATGAAGCAGGTCCATGCAGTGATATTGATTTAGTACGTTTTGTTGTCAAGGGAGCAAAGCTTTCGAATGATGGGACACATCTATTTCAAAATCGGACGTTGATTACACTTTGCACAGTTGACGAGAATGATTATGAACAATGGTTTACCGATCCCTATGAAGCGACCAAGTGGATTGCTGGCTTACGGATAGCTCGTGCGCTTGTAAACCGTAATGGTTTCTTCACTAATGGTTTACAAACACGTGCTCATGATTTTGTCTGGAGTGACGAAATGCAATCTCGAGCAAATGTTGAAGCTAGCCGTCGAATGGTGGGCTGGTGTGAAGAAGCTAACAAAGGTTTGGAAGGTCTCCGTCGTTCAAATGATAACGGTCGTTTACTCAACGCTTGCCATGGATTATCGTGGGGTTTATCAGAAGTTATTCAAATTCACCGTGGGATCTTAGTATCGAGTGATAATAACGCTTTTAATGAAATAGAATTGGCGTTAGGTGATAATGAACGCATGATCGACCTTCGTCGAGTGACATTTGGGATTACAGGTATAAAAACGTTACGTCAACGTGTCCTAGCTGGCTTACAATTCTTTGTTTTACTCGCTGAACAGATGTTTGATGTTTGGCAAGGAACTGATCGTGAAATAATTCAACATACTGTTGAGAAAATACATCATTATCACCTGAACACATCTGTTTGACTGAATAAATTGAGAAAGTCATGATTTTTCAAAGCAAAAATGCATAATAAAAATCCATTGTTTCAATTAATAAAAAATAATAAGTAAATACGGAAGATCCGAAGAGTACATTGTGCTCGGCATATGCTAGCACAGTACACGGTTGTAAAGCAGGCAATACTGAAGTAAAACAAATACGATTCATTATTAACTCTTAGACAGGTTTCAGCCAAACAAGTATTCCTCTCATCGTTGAATGATCGCAGTTTGTTGCTCACAAGTTCTATATACTTAAAAATTAGTTAAAGATGTTATTTCATCTTGCTTATTAATCGTCGATGGAAGAAATCATTAATATGAAATGTATATTTGCCGACTTAATTGACGAACGTGTCATTTGGGATTTGCTTCTTTTTTTCTTTGATGTTTTTCTCAATTGAATATTTGCCAGAGAAACTTCTAATACGAAACATTGTTCCAAACAGAAAGAAAATGCTTCGTTGCATTTTTCACATCGGCATACTTGTGAAAACTTTCTCTTCGGCAATGACCGTTCGATATAATCAAGCTACGAAGACTTGGGTATCATGACATAGGTGATGCCTTTCTTTCCGTTCTCATTTCTTCACAAGCATCCGACAGATCGAATAACGTTCTTTTCTTGATCAAATTTTTTGTTCTTTTTCTTCTATTTATCATTTAACGTTCATAACTGAATTTTGTTCACCAGTTTTTCTCTCTCTCCTCTCGTTTTTTTTTGCTTTTCACGGAAATGTAAATGAACAAACACGATGGTTTTTACATGTCGGATTCAAATCAATCAATTATTTGTGTTGATGACATGCCAACTAAACTTAATATTCACGGCAACTTTCTTCTTTTTTTTTCTTCTTTCTTTACTTGGTTTGCGAGCATAAAATGATATAGGAATGTTTTATCAATCAGTCACCTCATACAAAAACTCTACAGATGCGTTAATAACATCAATAGAATAGAAAGGAAAAAAGAAGAAGCAAAGCGAGTGTCTGCACAAAAATGAGATCAAGATCATCATACGGCACGACGCTCAGTGCACACGAAGTATCTATACATATATTCAATCCGAAGGATGAATGTCAAAGAAAGTATCTTGAAAGCAGAAATATCCTCTTCGCATTCGTCCGTGAACGTTCTACAAAGGCGCATGTTTCCATATTTTATCTTCTAAAGTGAGTTGACTCCTTCTTCTGCGCTCTTCCATGTCGCTCGCCTTGCGCCGGCACTATCGTCGTCATCCTTTGCGCTCGGTTTTTCTCCTACAAGGATACTAAATCTTGATTGCAAGAAGTAAAATAAAAATAAGATGTTGCAGAAGAAACAGAAAGAAGCAAAAGATTAGCTTGTTTGTTCGGCGCTGAGGTCTGTTTGTAATAAATTTAATTGCATTGCAACAATTTTGACGTTGTTCCGCACATCAACAGCAGTAAAAGACGAGAAACCTTTGCCATTTCAAAGAGAAAGTATGCTTATCAACATTAATCGCATTTTCTTCAAGCAGGTAAAGTTGTCATCTTGAAGGAGGTTCATATCTCCGTAGCTGAAAGCGAAAAAGGAACTCCTGCATACATTTCATTTCTTGCCGGCGAGAATGAATGTTTGATTGTGAAGGGATCTGATGTCATTTGGTTGATTGAAACGAAATCAAAGTGTGACATATTTTGCAACATACAGCGAGATTAAACCGGAAGTAGAAAAAGAAAGGTTTCCAACGTGAGCTAAATATAGTTCACGTTTTTTTTTTGTATAATTGAGATTGAAGAACTGAAGGAAAAGTCGCGTTTGAGATATTTACTGCTAGAATAACATCTAATTGTTTCGTCTTCAAATTTCTCATCGGAATGTTACATATCGATCGTTGTAGAACAATGTTTGTTCGAATGGAGATCAGTGCTGAACTACAGTGGAAATTCGCTCAAACAACTTCTAGATGCATTTATTACCATTACAAAATCAAGTAAGTGAAATCCGACTGGAAATGTATTTTGGTGGTATAAAAATAACAAAAAATTTTCTGAGTAAAATAATCTTTGCTTTAAGTTTTTTTTTCACTTTTTTTACTTCTACTACCGCTACTGTTTCTTTTTCCTCTTCGTCTTCGTCTTTCATCAGCATCTCCTTCTTCTTCTTCTTCTTCTTCTTCTTCTTCTCTTTCCGTCTACGATTTGGTTGCTTAGCCGGTCTCGGGTTTTTCTTGTTGCTATACCTTTTCCTTCTTTCTTCTGACTTCGGAGAGAAAAATAAGAGAGCAAGAGACAGCGAAACGGAGAGAAAAGGAGGCGCTTTTTGTTCAACCTCGTGTTAACGTTCCAGTCTTGATCTGTTGAAGAATTTGATCTTCGAAAAGTCAACTAGATGACAAGAAGTCATGTCTTGATCGGATCATGACCACGAATGACAAAACGCTATTGATCAAAACGTTAAACAAATCCTATTTACAATTCTTTGTATATATTAGTCAAACGCTCGACCATTAATGCCCGGATCTCGACGTGGTCTGGTTGCACCACAAAATACTTTTCTCGAATCCATCATCCGCAAATGTAGCGGTGCCCGTAAGTATTAATTGTTTTCATTTGCGTGTTTTCTACGTACAAAGTTCAGTTAACAGCTCAGACGCAGAGCTATGAATGAAACGTATCCTGGTGGAATAGTTTTTGTTTGCAACTGCATGAGAAGGTTTTTTTCTTACACATGATCTACCTTTAAAATTCTAGAGTGTGTATTGAAACGGAACATTTTGATTAGAAGCCTTTTTCCTACTTTATTAAAAAATATATTTATATGCCTGTCGACATTTTGAAAAAGAGTGGCGAGTGCAAGAGTTCAATTATATATTTTCCTCTTGCTCTTGTATATTAATCATTTCCCAGTGCACACAAATAGAAAGTATGAGGTAGGCAGACATCGAATCGGCCAGAAATATTCTTTTCGTGGAGTTAAATGAGTGATCCGTGGGGAAATACGAAGAACAGGCTTATACTATCATTCATTTGTTGTAAGCAATCGTATTTTGAAAATATTTATATGTAACCCGTTAATAAGTTCAACACTATAGTGAATGAAAATCTCCGTAACACCTGTTGAAAATCAAAGAGAAAGAAATCAATTTAAAAAAATGAAAATAAGTAGAGTTTCATTAGCGCCCGTTTACCTTGGATTTCCGGTCGAGTGAACAAGACTCTCATTATCAGTTGGAGAATGCGAGTATAAGATACGAGGGAGATCGCGTGCGCAACGTGACACATCAGTGCTCATCGAACAAGTCAGCAGGAAACAGGATGTCATTTAGTTTTCAAATGGCTTTGACACGTACAGCGAGAAGATTACCACGGGAGAAGAAGGTTCTTGGCTAGTATGAGTTTGCTTTTTTCACATTGAATTCTTTAGACACTGCATTCATACTGTCAAATGCCCAAATAGTCGATTATCCGATTGTTTATTCCAACGATGGCTTTACCAAACTATCGGGTTGTCTAAGGACTGAATTGATGAACAAAAGTTCGACGTGCAACTTCATGTATGGCGAATTGACAAGTACGGAAACACAAACGAAAATTCGCGATGCACTGGAAAATTGTCACATCGAACAAGTCGAAGTACTTCTGTATAAAAAGAACAGTATGTCAAGTGACTTCTTCTCGTTCAACGCTCATGTTTTTCTTTCACTTCTAGAAACACCAATATGGGTATTTATGCAAATAGCTCCAATTACAAATGAACGTGATACGGTTGTACTTTATCTGTGTACATTCACAGATATTACTGCACTTAAACAACCCATTGAAACTGAAGATTCTAAAACTGGCTTGAGTAAATTCGCTCGAATTGCCAAATCTGTGACACGGAATCGTTCGATTCTGCTGAACTTTGCTGCTACGAACACGAAATCAATCGTCATAGATCCAACAAAACCATCACAATTTCCGAATGTATGTCAACAGAAAACGAGTTTTGCATCACTGCATTTTTCTAGGAAGATCATTCGAGTACTAGAGAAGTATCCAGATTGATTGAACGAAAGTGTCATATACGGAACTCTTCATCAGGCAATTGAAGATGACTAATTTCCTTTGTTTCATACACAGCGCTTAATTAGTTGCCTTTCTATACACACATCAGCAGAAAACACAATGAAATTGTTTTCTCTTTCTAGTTACTTAATCTCAGCGCTGAAGTTCTACCGGTGAGTACTCGATCGTTATGTAATTGTTTTCTTCTTATGAATTCTCTCGTTTTCAAGAGTTACCGACAAGAGGCACCAAGTACTCCTCCTCATATTATTCTTCATTATTGTACATTCAAAACGGTTTGGGATTGGGTGATACTTTTATTGACGTTCTACACATCATTATTAGTACCCTACCATGCAGCATTTAAAAGTAAATCATTGGACGATGTGCCTTTACTTGTTATCGATAGTATTGTTGATGTTATTTTCTTTATTGATATTATATTAAATTTTCACACGACATATGTTCATACGAGTAATGTATTTGTTGTTCACACGGGAGTTTTTCATCCAGTTTTGATTTTCTTTTTTCCAAGAATCTGGAGAAGTTATATCCGATCCGAAGCGTATACGAAAAACTTATTTGAAAAGTTGGTTCGTTATTGATCTTTTAGCTTGTTTGCCTTATGACGTGTTTAATGCCTTTCAAGAAGCTGAAGAAGTAAATAAAACATCTGAAATTTGTTTTCTTGTTCGCTTGTCTTTGTTTGCGTTTTTCTGATTGATATATTTCAGCGATATGGAAGTATTTTCTCGGCATTGAAAGTCCTACGTTTACTACGTCTCGGCCGTGTTTTTCGAAAGCTAGATAATTATTTGGAGTACGGCGCAGCTGTTCTTCTATTACTTATATGTGTTTTTGTTCTGGTTGCCCATTGGTAAATAGTGCAGATAGGCCAATGAAATTTTCTCATTATCCATTGTGTAGGTTTGCTTGTGTCTGGTACACCATCGGATTTCAAGAGGGCCGTGGCGGACCTGGAAAACGAGTATGTAGATAATAATAACTAATCATTGATCGATGTCGAGTAGATGGAAGCGTTACATTATTGTTCATTTTATATTAAATGTGTCAACAGGAAATGTCGACAAGATCGAGAACAGTTGTTTACTTCGATACGAGAATTTTCTAAGATTTCCCTTGATGAACGTATAATTGAAAACTCCTCTTGTACCTAATATTAACAAAAGATTACGCCTATCCGACGTTCAGTTAGACAACGAATAAATTCATTGATTTTAACTAGATGGAATACAGCTGGTTGGTTAAAATGGACCGAGAATTGCATTATGCCTGCATCGATTCGTATGGAAACCTAACTGCTTATGAATCCAATGGTACCTGTCGGAAAGCGGCATATGTGACTGCACTTTATTATACGATGAGTTCATTGACAAGTATCGGTTTTGGTAATGTTGCAGCAAACAGTGATAACGAGAAGATTTTCACATGTGTTATGATGCTGATCGGTTCACTTCTGTATGCAACTATTTTTGGTAATGTGACAACAATATTTACTCAAATGTATTCGGCTACGGCAAGATATCACGATATGCTCAGTAGGTATGTAATCGGACGTTTCGATAATTATGGTCTCGAGTTTTCTTTGATGAATAATTGCATGTTTTCTAATTAAGTATTCGGGAATTTATGCGTTTGCATGGAATGCCTAATCAATTGAATGAACGAATTATGGATTATGTCGTGTCCACATGGGCAATGACGAAAGGAATCGATGCAACAAAAGTCTTAAACTATTGTCCAAAAGATATGCGTGCTGATATATGTGTTCACATGAATCGAAGTGTTTTTAATGAACATCCGGCGTTTCGCTTAGCTAGTGATGGCTGTTTACGTGCATTGGCTGTGCATTTTCATATTAATCATTCCGCACCCGGCGATATGTTGTATCATTGTGGTGAGAGTTTAGATATGCTGTGTTTTATTGTATCAGGCTCGTTGGAAGTCATACAAGATGACGAAGTTTTAGCAATACTTAGTAAGATTTGCTAATATCAATCTTTCACCATGAAATTACTTTTATCTAGGCATGAACGATGTGTTTGGAGATGATTTTTGGAGTAAAAATCGTGATAGTATTGGCCAATCGGCAGCGAATGTTCGTGCACTAACGTACTGCAATATTCATCAGATTCGGCGGGAGCGTTTATTGGAAGTCTTAGACTTTTATCATCCATTTAGTATTTCATTTGCTCGGAATATGGTGCTTACATACAATCTTAGGCATCGAGTATGTTATAACGATGAACTGCACTTGAAAACGATGCGTTTGCTTTCAGGTGATCTATCGTAAGATTGCTGATCTTAAACGTGAACGTGAGCTAGCTGAAATTCGCAAAAATGAGGGATTGGACCAATTGGGTTCTGATCATCCCGTGCGTAAATTGTTTTCGAAATTTCGTAAAATATCTCAAGAAAATCGTACGGGCGCACAAGTGAATCCAAGTTCACAAACACCGCCGACAACATCGGCCAACTCACCACCACAACACACCAAACCGACATCAATAACAACAATTGCTATTCCACCAGTAGCACAACCACCACCTAGTATCGACTCGAATGACTTGTCACCAGAAAAAAATCCAATGTTTTCATTGGCGCAGCATCTACAACTGCCTCCTCCATCGACAGTGAAACCTCGTGATAAACTCGAAACAATATCCGAACGTATCGAAACTCAAGAGTCACAAATCTCTCAAATTACATCTGTCCATCAAAGTCCGCCATTGCAACGAGCACCGAAGTCGAGTAAATGGAAGTGGTTGAAGACAGGATCAACGGGACCGGAAACTGATTCGCCACCAAAAACCGTTGGATCAGCGATGAAACCACTCGTACCACCGAGTATAGTACAGCCATCAACAAATCCGTTCGATTCAAATTTAACAGACGATGATCTGCACGATCAAGCATCCAACGGAAACGATCGGCGACCATCGATTCCGCTCAGTCTATTTATACCGAGAGCAGCACAACGTCATGGTGATGCTCAAGGAACAACAGATGGAACGTCCGACGAAAGCGTAAGGCATTTTGTTGATTGAGAAATCACTTGCTATGTATGTTGTATATAGAAACACTTGGACGAATCTCATTCGGATATCAATGCAGCTTTCGGACCTCGTCGAAGTATTTCATCACCGTACAGCGATCATCATTTACTTTCATCATTAATTGAAATCAAAAATGATCTAAGTGCTGAAGTACGAGCGTTAACAAGACGTATGGTACACATTGACGAACAAATTAGTCAGATTCATAATATTCTTTCACCATTTTACCCATCGACCAATGCTATACTGCCAGAAGAAGAACGACCACCGCCACTGTTGTCATCGCCGCGACCATCACTAGCATCGCACACAAATCAACCGTCGCCTAACTCGCCAGTTCGACCCAAAGATTTACATTTGAGTCCAAAAACATCAGTAGATGCAAAGTCTATCGCTGATGTCAAGGCCTCACCGTTATTCGAAACATCTTCGTTCTATACAGATGTAAACACTCGAACACAATATTTTGATGCAAACCAATCATCATCTACGATCAGTGATGTGCACGAAGGATCAATTCCATCAAAAACAAATGATCGATCAATGACACCACCGTCTTCGCGTCAAATAAGTGATACCGATTCAGTTGTGTTATCCATTCCACCGCCTCCCTCTGTTTACAATCGTTCCGCTGCATCGTCACTAGCTAGTTTAGGTATATCGTCAACACCTCGTGGTTCCGCTTCGAACAAGGTAGCACCGGCAAGCTTCCGACCACTGTCAAATACTCGGTATAATCCTGGACGTTCTCCTAAAATGAAAACTCGTTCACAGCACAATCGAACACATATGAAACGTCAACAACTCGCTGAACAGTCAACGATTATTGAACTCGAATCACCTTTACCAAAAGATACAACGAATAAAAATGTACCGCTTCTTCCAACACCGTCAACAACAGGAACAAAATCGAGTACGAATGTGTTTCGCCGTTTTATGATAGGTAGTAATAATAATGCAGACAAATCAACGATGTCTTCATCCACTCTTCTCTATCCGCCTACCAGCGACGATGATCATCCGGCTAGTCCGGTCAGTTCAGGCAATGATGATGATGATTATCGACCATTAACATCGTCATCGAATCGACATCATCATCATACACCGCTATGATTATCGTCAATGATTCTCCTTGTGTTTTCTGCTCATCATTTCATCTCAGATAGGTGAATCGATGTCTTATCTTTGTAGTATTGTGATACAGAATATTCTCTCTCGAATTGTTTTTCTTGTTTTCTTTTCTACCTCGATTTTGTACACGTTTACCGGTGCAGATTTTTCTTTTTCTGTTTGTCTACATATGTATTTCGCACTAGCTAAAATGATCTGTTCGGACAAAGTTGTCTTCTAGTCACACATGTCTCAGATTTTTGCTAAAATAATTGATGCTTGTTTCAATGAAATTGTATTTTTGAATAAAAACTTTAGCGAAATGCGTTTTTGGTGGAATTCAATGTAGGCTTAGATTAGCATCTTTCGATCGTATTTATTTGAATAAAATATAGAAGTTAATATATATATATGCATACATAGAATATTAGATTGAACATGGCAATTAACCAGACAAGAGGACAGGTACATAAGCAGAAAAATACTTTATTTTTTTGTTCATATGAACTGTTCAGTATAGATATACATGTTTTGATGTAAGTCATTGTTTCTAAGAAAGGAAAGGATGTGAGCAACTAAATTTTGACGGACGATGAGATCTTACATGATGCGTAGCCGAACTTTGAGGTTTCTCGCATGCGTCAAGTTTCGAAACGACAGTATCGATCTAAATCAATCACAAAATAACAAATACTTTGTCTTGGCTTTGATTACCTTGGATAGAAGAAGGGTAACAGATGATTCCATTGAATCAACTCGTCGATCCAAATCATAATACTCATCCATAGTCACGTTTTGTGCTTTTGAATTTTGTGAAGACGATGTACTACTCTTTCGTACACTGTTGTCATCACGTATCACTGCCACTCTACCACTGAAAGATCAACTGATCCGTACGAATCTATTCTTTGTCAACACTTGTACTTACTTAACAGCTGTCATGTTCAATTGATTCATTTCCCGAACAATAGCTTCATTTTGTCTGGCTAAATCCTGTTTCAACATGCGCTGTTCTTCTTCGTCTAAGACTCGATCGCCGTTTGTGTCGTAGCGCGCAAACATTTGTTCAATTTCTTCTTCTGCATAGCCGCGTGATTTCATTTCAGTACGCCATTCTTCAAAATCCAAGACTTTATCACAATTCACATCAGCAATGGATAAAACTTTGCGAATATCAGCGAGACGATTGTGTCTAGCTGCCAGACGATCGCGCATTTTCGCATAACCTTGTTTAACAAAATCGGTTAATGCAAAACGACTCTGCTTCTTCTGCAGTTCAGCTTTGACTTCCATGTACGTATCATTGATGATAGCCAAGAACATGTTCATTAAGACGAAGAAGACGAAAAAGACATATGCCAAAAAGAAGATCGGTCCTATGCGATACATGTTGATCGAAATATGTGCAAGAAAGAACCTTTCGAAAGTCTCCGCTTACCGAGAACACGATGTGCTTGTTGCAATGCTGGAAAATCAAAACTTCCCAAGATAACCAAGAATAATGTATAACTGAAACGATTAGAATACGATGAGAACGAAGAGAGAGAGAGAGAGAGAGAGAGAGAGAAAAATCTTGTTGATTTACGTACACAGAGTATTGAAATGAACGAAAACCTTCAATTTGAATGCCAAACGTTAGATAACCCAATTGTGCGAATGCGAAGAAGATGATGAAAAACATCAATGCAAAACCTGATATATCTCTGGCACATTTGGTCAATGTTTGACTTAATTGTGTCATTGTTTTATTAAAACTGACGTATTTGAAGATCTAAATGACGACTTCGTTATTGAGCTGCAAGTCGCATATCAATCGACATACTTTAATCCATGCAAGAAAGATTGTTGCACTGATGATATTATTGAATTGATATTGCCAGTAGCAAAGAAATGTGAAGTCACTGAATTGTCCATTTTGTGTCTGTAATAATTCATCGAGTAAATTATTAACTTGAACTTGACGATAGATATTGAATGCCATGCAAACATACGATAAAATGATGACGATTAAATCCAAACAATTCATTACGGATCCAAAATATTGCGATTTCATGGTTTTGATCTACATAAAAAAAGATGATACACGTTGTATTCACTGTCATAGTCACTGTAATACACTTACTTCGAGCATTTCTTCGATTGTGTAGTAGACGACGAAGAGTGCCAGAAGAATTTCACAACTGAGAACAAAATAATCGAAGATATTGACATAACGAAGTAGTTTAACTGCGCGAAATTTATATGAAGTAACAACACCACCAACAGCTGGAAATTCAAACAATAATCTACATAGATGATACGATATACGGCATATGTTTCACTGGAAATCCAAATCACTCACTGCACTTGACAGAATAGATTAAGATTGGCATTGTAAACTGTGAAGTCAAGGATAATTGCTCGAGTACCAAGTGTGATCCAAAGACTATGACAATCCACAACGATCGAACTAGTGTTTTTCTTTTACTCGTCTTACTTTTCCTTCAATTCAGCGATTTGACTTTTGAATTCTTCTTGAGATGAAGCAAATGTATGAATATAACCACCCTGATCGTATTCACCCACTTTTCCTGTTGTACGAAATCCGAACAATGAAGTTGATGGAGAATATTTAAACCTAAAGAGTTTCAAAAGCATGAAATCGATAGCTTAGAACGCTTCGGAAACACATACGCTTCAACAGTGCAATTATCTGCATCAAGATTTTCACACGGACCAAATGAATTCTTTTCTTCAAATGCCGGTGCGTATGAATTCATGCAGAATTTGATTTCATGCTTAAAATCATTCGCCACAATGCAAGAATTATTACGCACTTTCTTCTGCCGCATTTGAATCGCTCCTAACAGTCGATTCTCATACAGAATATAACCATAGTCACTAACATTATCATCATTGTACCATGTCTCGGTGAAAAAACCAGGGGCAGCAATATCATTCATATACTAAATGCTAATAGTTGTCACACAGTGTTGTCTGAAGGGGAATATCTTACCTGCCAGAATTCATCAATATGAGCGAGTTGGGTAAACGATGGACCTGTTTTATTGTTCGATTCGTCAGTCATATGAGCATCGACAAAAACACCTTTTAAGCCTTGCGTTAATGTGTACATATTTGGATTGACCATACCGAAGACCACTGAAAAATTCTACGTTAGGAGATAGTCATTGGATCAATTTTTTTCCTTACCAATCGATAGAATCGAAACAAAAATCAGATAAATAGCCAATTCTCGAATGGTTGTCTTAGCATACGCACTCAAATCTTCTTCACAATTGATATTTTCCGTTTGTTGCGTTGCCCAAAGTTCTTGAACAAACGCACAAATCTTTTTTCACTCGGCAAACACGAGAAATCTTACTTCGAATGCATCGAAAGAGATATCTACACGGATTACTTCCATTTTCATATCGTCTAACATTGTAATGTCCTTGATTTTTCGAATTCGCAAATGCTCCACTAACATAAGAGTCATTTTCCGAACTGTTCGATGCTGCATCGAGATAATTCAATGGTGGTGGCGAACGAATATGTTGTTGTTCAACAAACATTCTGAACTAGTATGAACTCTCTCTGTTACTTACTTAGATGGTGAAAGAATGCGAATGTTTTTGCGCAGAATATGAGAAAAACTTCATTTGCCATCGACGTCATCTTATTAGTTTTTTTTTCTCTAGTTCCAAGTCTCCCAAAAGAATAGTGAATGAAACATACCCGATTGACGACATAAGGTAAGAATGTCGATAGGACAATACCTACGGGAGAAGAATATCGATGAAATAAGCAGGTAAATATCATTTTTAATACTAAAAAACTTCGAGTATAGATGGAAAAATACTAATCAAACTCTTCTGTTTCTGAAACAAAGTAACGCTATTAATTATCAGAGGAATTGCGTTTTGATCAAAAATGTTGATGATAAATGAAAGTACGGTTTTGTACTGGTAGAAAAAAAAAGCCAAACTGTAGACTAATGTACTTACTAACAAAATCCAAGAGGACATTTACTTCCGGTGATATGACATGGGCGATTAAATATCTTGAAAAAAAAAAGAATAACGAAAATTTAATCCGATAATGGAAGATTATTGAGACAAGCGTATGCCATCTACTGCCATCTATTGCATTGAAATTGCAATGGTTAAATTATTTCGCATGATGCGATGATTCAGATGGTGAGATAGTCCAAATCTGGCCAATGAAAATTTCAATAAACGACGCGTCACATCGAAGCGTTTGTGTATGTATACACAAATGAAGTAAAAGTATTTGTAAGAAAAAAAAAGGCGAAGAGAAAAATTCTAGTAAATACTCAAATATGTTGTCTTCTTGTGATTTGTTTTATTGCAGATAAAAGCGACAGAAACAAAAGCAATCGAATGGCACGCGAAGACGAATACGACTATCTATTTAAAGGTATGACATCTCCTAACATAAAGCACACGTCTGATGATCTATTTTTGAATACTAGTGGTGCTCATTGGCGATTCAGGTGTCGGAAAGAGTAATTTACTCTCGCGGTTCACCCGAAATGAATTCAATTTAGAAAGTAAAAGTACTATTGGTGTAGAGTTCGCAACACGGTAAAATGAAATAATGTCATCATTTTTCATATTACATTCGATGATCTTTTTTTTTTGGTTTATTAGAAGCATTCAAGTTGACAAGAAGACGATCAAAGCCCAAATTTGGGATACAGCTGGACAAGAACGTTACCGGGCAATAACTAGTGCGTAAGTAGCATTCATTCTCGAGATGATTTTATCTTGTCAAATGCACTGCATGTAGGTATTACCGAGGTGCAGTCGGCGCTCTACTCGTTTACGATATAAGCAAACACGGTACGTATGAGAATGTTGAACGATGGCTGAAAGAATTACGTGACCATGCCGATACAAACATTATCATTTCACTTGTCGGTAACAAATCTGATTTACGGCATTTACGTTCGGTACCTAGCGAAGAAGCGAAAGCATTTGCTGGTAAGGAATAATCGCAAAGCAGAAAGTTGATAATCATTTCATTTGTCACATTAGAAAAAAACGGCATTTCATTTATCGAAACATCAGCATTAGATTCAACGAATGTTGAACAAGCATTTCACACCATTCTTACTGGTAAATATCACTGATTGATATCTATTTGTAGAAAATATCTTTTTCTAGAAATTTATCATATTGTCTCTCAACGTCAAATCCCAGATCCAAATGGATCTCAGGGTAATAGTGGATCGCATTCAGCACCTGTTCCACTTCGTCTTCCTCCAAGTGATACAGACTTTAAGTCAAAACAGAATGGCTCATGTTGTTCTTAGATATAACATTTCGTTTTTTCTTTCTCTTCTTTCAGCTTATTAATCAATCGTTGAAAACTTTATTATTTCTTTTCTTTATCACATGTAATTGGAGTCGTGTTTCTTTTCTTTTTTTTTTCTCTCTCTTCTTTGTCGCTCAGCTTTGATTGTCACACCAAACTTTTTCATTAAAAGAAACTGGTTCACTTTTTCTGACGAGAGAAAAATAACAATTCTTCACGTCAATGTGTCCAACGGAATACTTAGCATAGACGTGAACTTGTTTGTTTTATTTTTCGTTTCTATCTGACTGTGAAATGCGTTCGACGTGACTGATTTTTATTTCCCTATTTCACATTTTCTTTTTTGCGCAGAGTATGTCATACATTCTTCTTTCTTTCTTCCCCTTTCTCTTCTATTTCTTGCGTATAAAACAAAGCATTGAAAGTAAAACGAGCCTATACATATGAAACAACGTTCGCACAACCAAATCAAACAGTTCAGTGCTTCCAAACTAAAGATACGTCTGGCATGGCAGTGATGATTTAAACAAATTCGACTGATGACAACGGAAAAGAGGAGAAAAATCCATTTCTTTATTATCTGAAGAAATGTCGACATTATTCTGTTAGGAACATTCGTGCGTTTTTTTTTACATAAAGAAAAATATTCTACATAGAATCAAGATGAGTAAGCCAGTCCTTACATTTGTCTTGATATGTATTCATTGATAATCGGGGTGGATTATCAACAATGAAAAGTGGCTTGCCATCGATCGTCAGCAATTTATTGTCTGTTTTCATTAACGATGGATGATAGCCACTTTCTGAAAGATCAAAAAAACTTCCGTACAACGAGTAACGTGATGAAGAACCACCGGGAGATTGAGTGCCATTATATGGATCAAGTAATCCCATACCACAGTTGATAACAGAAGTCGAAGATTGTAAGCCGAGAGATTTCTCATGTAAGAGATAATTGTTCGGATAGGAATGTGATCGTGTGATGGAACTTTTGTATGAATTTGATGACGAATAATGAATAGTACCACAAAGATCTTTGTAAGCTTGCCCGTGATTAGGTAAACTTAGTGAGCGTGTCAACACGCTCGCTGTGGGAGGGTTTTTTATTAGCTCATCAGAGGTACTGTAATCTTCTGACGAACATATATTGATCACAAACATCGGCATATGATCTGCCGCACGTATTGTAGTTGCCATGATCTATGCAATAAAGAGAGCGAAGTATGAGAAAATCAATTCAATGTGCTCAATTATTATTTGTTGGAGATTTTCCAATACATATCGACTTTGGAGAAAGACATGCTTCCTTTCTAATGTGAATATGTCATTGAGTATAGAATTCTTTTCTAACTTTCGAAATAATTAAGTTAGACAACGTTTCTTACAGCATCACGTTTTTCTTTCTCTCATTTTCAAAATATTCTTCTATTGTGTGGAACGGGGAATTCTACTTACTTCAGTAGATTTCGCTGATAAGTTTTCTCTGCATAGTTTGATCGTTTAAAGTCAATTACAGTGACATATCCCAGAAGGAAGATGCTCGACTTCTCCTTCGAAGATCTGATCGTTGATTCTAAACGAAAGAGAGTGAGAGTGGGAAGCAGAAATGATAAAATCTTCTTTTCAATATATTCACTGACACTCAGAGATCTACTAATATATGGAATATATAAATAGACATAGAAAAGAGAGAGAGAGAGAGAGAGAGAGAGAAAAAGGGAGGAAGGGAGAAACTTGAGTAGTCTCGAATTACTAGAAGAGAAACGGATTGACGATTCTCAGTAATTTTCATCCGGATTTAAAGTGTTCATATCAAATGATATACTTCAGATGTTACATATCAAAACGATGTTCATAGATCTTCTAAAATCATTAACCGGATGTATGTAGAGAACTTATATTATTTTTTCGAGTCTAATTGTCTTCCTTTCAATTAAGAGTTTCATCTAACCAGCTTCTTTTTAAGCATCCAACTCAAATTATAAGTTAGTCAAGATTTTTTTTTCTCGTTCGCAGGAAAAGATTAAAGAGGAGATGTGGTATACCTCGTATTGGTTAGAAACAACATGGAAATCGAGTTAAGGTTAAGTCCTATTATGATTCGATCGAACAGATAGTATGTTGTGCATAAAAATGAATGTCTATTAAATCCTGATGGAAGTTACGCGTAGTTTTTTCTCGATCGTGACATACTAGATTTCCTTTCATGACCTGCGGAATGAAAGTGCATGATAGATATTAATTGATAGTGATATTAAAATAAATATTTTTTGTTTTTCGTGAACTTTATTAAAGTATATGTTAGATTGATCACATACATTATCAGTATGTTCGTTTTTCTCTTGATCTTATGATAATCACCTAGAAATCTCCAGGGAATTTTGTAGATTTCATCAGTCCGGATGAGCATTCTGTTCGTGATATTTAAACAGGCCTTTTTGTCCTGAAAAAACAAGTTCGAAGAGTTGTCTATCATGCAATGTGGAAATACCGTGTGGATCGTCATTGACATTTAGTTGTTCTCCTCTTTCTGCTAGTTCATCAGCGATGAAATGTGTTTCATATTGGAAGACGAAAAACGTGAAGCAATGTTTTATTTCATATGCAAGAAAACAACAAAAACACATATTCATTCTATAGCTAATTAAACTCGAGTATGTCCATTACCCATAACTAATACTTGTTGTTGTTGTTGTTGTTGCTGCTGCTGCTGCTGTTGTTGATTCAAGTCTACATTGTTGTCACTAGCAACAATTCGAACACCATGCTGCGGTTGGCCTTGGTATGGATAGGACATTGATTGTGGATAATAAGCGGGCATTTGAGCTTGCGGTGATGAAGCAGCAGATCTCGATAATTGTGGAACTTGTTGTTGTTGTTGTTGTTGTTTCGAGATGTCTTGTTGGCTTGGAAGAAATTGAGCAGAGCTTTGAAAGGCTCCGTTTTGATGTTTTTGGGTAATATATTGTCGAACAAGTTGAGGATCGATTTGACCGTGTGGGTCTTGTTGTTGCAGCGCACTCCAATCAATAATCGGTTCGGCAAATACAGGTGCAAAGGATTGTTGATAGGACGGTTGATGAAGTGCACCATAAGATTGTGAACGTGTTAATTCAGGCTGTGGAGGATGTAATTGATGAAAAGCAGTACTATAATTAGCTCGTGGTGGTTGACTATCGGAACCGATACGTTGTCGACCAGATGCTTCACGATGTGTCAAATCAACGGCTGGATGCCATTGTTTCGGAAGAGTGAATTGTTGTTGTTGTTGCTGCTGTTGTTGAGGATTGTTCACGGCCGAAGGTGTTGGTATTAGACGTGAATTGATAGCACTGGCTACTTCACGTACTTCTGAATCATTAACTTGTTGATTTTCAGCTCCTAAGCTTGTGATAAAAAATTCGATACGCTTGCCAGTTGTTGTGACGTACTCATAACGACGTTGCGGCTCGATGGTGCGGACATGTTGAATATTAATTGGTGATTTTTGTTCGTTAGTCGATGGGCCTTGACGGTATAGTGGCGGCTGTTTCAATGGCACGCGCGGTGGTGGCGCAGGTATGTTATCGTGTTCATGGCGATGTTGAGAATTGGTCGGTGATTGTTGTTGCGAACGAAATTTCGATAAAATTTCTGGATCATCGATAACATACTCTCGAAGAATGGTACCGTTAGGTTGCTTGATTTCTCGAGCTGTCACACCTGACATCTTGATTAAATCATGTATGTCCTCGATAGCCATCGGATTCCCATCTTCATCAACCACTTCATATTGAACATTGGGTGGTGCTTTCGGTTGGTTAACTGGTGGAGTAATCGGAGGTAAGGGATCATGTCGATAGCGGTTGTCTTCACTTTCCCGATGAATCCGATGCACTTCTTCATCAGCTTCATCAGCTGAATTCAAGCGTCGCATATTGTTCTGCGATAGTGCTTGAGAATGAATACTAGTCATATGACTTAAATTCGAAGTTGAGAGCGCAGAATATGGAGAAGGCATTTCCAGATTAGGTCGATGAATAGACGACGAATCACTTGGCAGACGCATATTTCTTCCGTGTGATTCGTCGGTTTGCCTTGTTGAAGGTCGACGTGATGTTGGTGCTGTATTGTTACTGGACGGTGACGACGATGCTGGTGATGCCATAACACTTGTAAAAGTTTTCTGTTCAAATTTGGCTTTGATTTGGGCAAATTTATTCTTCGATGATTGTTGATCATCATCTGAACCTGTAGTTGACGACGTGGAATCTAATGCCGGCTTGATCTCTTTCAATAACGTTGGATCTTCGATGATATATTCTAAATGATCACAGATGAATTTATAGAAGAAGAAGAGAAAAACGAATCTTTCACTCCATTACCTCGCACAATTGTTCCGTCTGCTTGTTTTATTTCACGTATATTTGACGCATAGTTTCTCCAGTTATCACCATAACGATGTTTTATGGTATCGGCATCATAACGGGCAATTTGATCATCGGAAAACAATTGATCGTCATTGCTATGCATTGATGAGTATGAGATCTGAGGATTAGGTCTTGATGTCATTTTGTTGCTATGTTGCTCTATGTGAATTCAGCTCGTTACTTCGATGAACAGGAGGAGACGAGACACGAAAAAAAAAGATATTGCTGTGCATTAGTGCGTGACGAATCACCTGTATGGTTGAATGTGAGACATTAATGAAGAAAAAAACATATAGACTGAATTTCTTCATTGCATTGCAATTTCGATCAATATTCTCCCATTGTGTTCAACGAAACACGACAAAACATTCTCTGAGTTTATGAGCATCTATTATACCGTGTTCTTTCTAATCTTTTAATCAATTTTCTCATACAAAACAGAGAAGAGAAAAAAAAACGAGTAACGACCAACAGCAAAAAATCTATAACAAAATACAAAAACAAGTCATTCTATTCAATTTTCAGTCGGTTGATATCATCACGGATTTGCTCATATATCGGCGACACATGATAACCGTAGAACTTCGCTTTCTCCAGCTCACGTTTGACATAATGTTCAGCATTGAACTGATCCGCTTTGCCGAGAATAATTGCGTTTTCCATTTCGAACAATTTCCCACGACGTTTGATCTTTTCGCGAAGTTTTTTCAAAAGATCGTATTTGAATTTTTTCAACCATTTCTTGCGATGATGTAAACGCATTCGACGTGCACGATATCGAACTGTATTCGACAAACGACTGGGATGATTACGTACACGTCGTTGACGCTTATAACGATAGTTTGTCGATGTCCAAGCACATTGAACTTTGTCGATTCTTGTCGACGGACAATCATAGTAAAGTAAATCATCGTACAACGAACATTTATCGACGATTGACACTGTATTTGATGAAATAATCGAAGAAGGAAGTCTTGCTGGCATCGGTGTAGTTTGAGACGACGGCAATTGACGAGGTAATGGTATCCGAATATTAGCAGGTGTATATCCAATCGGTGGAGAGATGCTCGCTAAAGCAGAAAGAACAATCTCATCAGATTTCTTATTCAATATGCCTGTTCATACTTGATAATGGTGTCATGCTCAGTCGTCGGTAGAAACACGCCCCGAACTGTTTTCCTCCCGTTGACAAATTCAAACATTTTCGTAAAAATAAAGCCATCTAAAGAACGAAAAACCAAATGATGATTATTCCACAAGCATAAGTATAATTTCAAGTCATTTTAGTTGTTCGCCTGAATGTTCAAGTTTACTCATAATTTTTTGTTTCCTTGGCGTTCGTATACCAACGAGATCGAAATAACGCGCACATAATGTAGAAGAGAAGAAAAAAAAAAGGAAAAACAATGTAGATATCGATTTTTAAAACAAAAAAAAACAAAAGATAGACATAGCCTAATAAGAAGAGTAAGAAAGAAAAATATGAACCTATATGTATAATATGCATCGCGTCCACTTAGATAATGGCTATGACAATTGGCATACACACGCACGAAAACAAGGAAATTCACATCGAAAAAGAAATGACAAGAGATGACGAAGTTGCGAGACCAGTTGTCATCATCATGTTTTGTTCTCTTCATCTATACATATATAAATATATATACAATTTGTAAAGAGAAAGAGACATATATATATATACGAAATTGAATAACAATCCAAAGAGCGGGAGAGAGAGAGAGCGAGAGAGAAAAACAAACGAAAATTATGTGACTTTGTTTTGATAGATGAACAGTAAAGAAACGAAGAAGAAGAAGAAGAGCAAATTGATAGTAGAGACAAAAGACTTTCGAAATGATATTAGTAATGTTTATACACAGTCCGAGATGTCGAAAACGCAAAATCAAACCAAAGGCAATGATTATCTCGAGAAGCAAAACCAGGCGGATCAAGAAGACTTAATAATGTTATTCATTTTTAAGACTCGGTCTTCGACATTCGAATAATTGAGGATAGAATTCATTTATTGCTGTATTGATACGTTCGACGGACGGTGCTAAACAACACGAAGATAAAACTAGGGTTATGGATATTTTCTAATGTATTCTTACCTGTCAATGTTACACTACCAGTAGTGAAAACTTTAAGAACTGCTTTATCGTTCAATCTGACTGTAGCACCCGGATGAATTTCGGGTTCATAACTGAAATTTTTCGAAAGAAACCAACTGATTGCCGTTCGATGTGCATTATTTTCATTTACCTGACACATTCGGGGTACATTTGACTCAATTTAACAATATCAATCTGCCATGGCATCGAACATGTTGCGAGACAATTAACAATTCGATAATTTCGAAATTTTGTCTTGAATCCAAGCCGTTGTAGACATCGAGCAACCCGTCGGGCGGCACGTTGAGCATCATCCTCACTAAATTAACGTACAGACTCTCTTAGCAGTACGCACTATGATATGCTCAGCATACCTCGTTGTTCCTGTTACTGTCACTTTGCCTGATGACCAGACGTTAGCTGAACAATATGGTTTGCGGATTTTCATCAAAACCATCTACAACAGAAAAGGAACAAAATATTTTTTTTTTCGTAAGTCGTGAAAATGAACGTACAGCATGGCCACGGTTATAGATAACATTTGCAGCTTCCATAGCTATCTTTCGGAGATTTAACTTACAACCAAGTGCAAATGTACAAACGATATTATTTACAAATAATTCTATTTCTGGATCTTGAGAATTATTCGGCGCATCAACATCAGTAATTGCCGAAGATGTCTAAAAAAAAGAATTCGTTTTTTTTTGTTATTTCGAAACAATCTCTGTATGTCTTTCTCTGTTCACCTTTTCTTCTACTGGTTCAGATATAGCTGGCGTCGCTAGTCGTCCGAGACTAGACGTATCAATACAAACACTTGATTGCAAATTTGAAATATTCACGGATGATGATGATGAGATCGACGGAACTTGACCAGTTATTGTCGTATTACTATTATTGATTAATATACATGCTGGAGATACCTGACGTACTGTGTGTAAAGATTGACGAATAAGAGTTGTCGTTGTTGTTGCTGTTGTTGTTGATGATGATGGTTGAGATGCCATGTAAATTGTCGGTGAATATTCATTTATAAGCGAAACAACCGTCGGTGTAGGAGTTGTTAGACGCCAGGAAGGATTTGTCGGAGAAGATGAAACAAGTGTATGATGATTATTTGGTGTGTTCATGATTTGAAAGCTAGGACGAACGACACTAGTAGACGATACTACTGACGAATTCACATTAGTTGTTGTAAACATAATGGTACGAAGTGTTTATCTGACAAAAATCTTTCTTTAATTTTAAATTATATTGACAGTACATATGTTGTTCTTTTTTTTTTTGATTTCACTGTCTCCTATCTCGCAGCTGATGATTTCGATCGTTCTTATATAGTTGGTGGCTACCATGCGACATAGTCATGTGCCTCTCTACAAATCAAATTTTTTCTCGGAGGAGAATGGAAAAAAATGCGAAGAAAAAATGTCGTCGAAATCATTTTTTCATGAAGAAAATTCCGCTTTTGAAAGTTTTTTTTTTTTCATCGATGCCTTTTATTGCGAAGAGAAATAATAAGGAAGTCATTTCGTTGGACGAAATGTTTCATTTTGAAGGACTTACTGGTCGAATATGTCATGAAAAAGTGAATTGATCACTACCAATGCAGCGTTTCGTCGGAGATCATTCACGCAATCATTATTTCGTGCTGATTTCCATGCAAAGAAAAGTTAATTACTAATTCATTCGAAAATATTCGAGATAGAATTTTGCGTTTTCTCATACATATCAATTATTCTTGACTCCTACTCATTTCTTCTATTTTTCATCGAACTGATGACACATGGATAGTAGAGCAGAAGTGACAGAGTGCAGTCAATAACAACACCCTTCTTTTAAAACCTAACTGTAAAACAATACTGGCAGATCGCACAGTCACACTGATCTTCTTCGATTTGTTCGTATTTGTAACATTGCATTTTCCAGCATTTAATATTGATCATCCATCACCGAAAAGTAACGAATTGCATCAAACGTGCACAGATAAATTTCATTTCAAACTGAGTTAAATCTTGCCGCAAGGTTATTCCTATGTTCAGGATCGTTTAAATATCGTAGAGGACAAAATTCGTTCTAATGTACAGAACAAAATCATAACGAAATCGCTCTTTCTCAACTGAGCAACGGTGCCAGGTAGCCGATCATCTGCTGTCAATGTTCGTAGAGTATCTAAAATCGGTCCGAGTAATCGTAATAGTTCTTGAAGAACACAATCTAAACAAACCAATGTGTCTAGTTGTTGACCATCGTAGTCAGCAAGTTCAGCTTTGATTTTCTTCTATATATCTGGATTTTTACTCATAAAGGTGATAAATCACGAAAGTGTTATTAATGTTGTTCCATATCCAACAACGAAGAATGCTAACATTTCACTCATGGCTTCAATGTGGGATAAACCTACATATTTAGTTGCTGATCAATCAAATAGTTTTCAAATGAATCTACTTTTTTCTTCTTCTTCGGGTTTTGCTTGCTTCGAGTTTCTCATCACTTTGTAACGAATGTCGTTCGCTTTCGCTCTGCTTGTATTTCTTCAGATGTATTCAATTGATTTTAATGTTTATCAATAATAATTCGCACGCATTGGACTTTGAAATTCAGAAATCAGAATACATGAGCTAAAGTCGTTGGCAATTGAAAAAAAGTATTTACACCGTATTCAACAGATCCTAAAATGTTCGGATCAGTTCATTTCATATCGAAACTACATTATCATCTAATGTGTGTCGATCATACTCAAATGCACAAGAACTTTCGTTCGACGAAATAACGAAGTGGTAAAGGCAGTGTATCGCTTGATTTCTGCGCCTGCAATAAAACAAGTACAAAGCAAATCGATAGAATAAAACGTAAGTTACCTTGCAAGCAAATGATTCCATGCGGATTAATAATCCTGAATTTTCCAGTGAAAAGGTCACCCTGATCGTATATATGCCAATGTAAAAATATATGTTGTGCATCTTCTAAACAGCTAATCATAACCGGCCGCATCACATCTACTCACACCTGGCAAATATCGCCAAAGTGCTCTTTTAAATATCCAGTATGGAACCAGTTTTTCGTGAAATCCATGCCAAATGTAGTATATTTCCGAGCAGAAAATGAGACGGCATACTCAGTATGATACCACGCCGTGTAAAATAAGTCGATTTCAGATAATAATAAAGTAACGATGGAAAGACTACGATGATAACAAGTGTTATAGACACCCATGTTTTTGTCAAGAACGAAAAAATGTTTATGTTGACATTATATGAAAAACAAGAAGTATCATTCTCTTTCTTCTCTGTACAGATAGTTAGTATGTCAATCGAGGAATAAGTGAATATTTTTATCAGCACTTCGGCACGTTGGATAAGATGACAGATACTATGTATGATTTACATAGAAAACAAGAGACGCTCGAGGAAGAAATGCTAATTGTAAACGTCAATCAAAATGTAAATTAGTATTGACCGTCAGCAAAAGGTTATTTTCTTTTACACGACTTTTTATTTCATTTATCGATTAGCATTTTCAGCAGACGGATTTTTTTCTTCCTCTTGAAGAATTCTCATGTTATGTTACTATCTTTCTTCCGCTATCAGTCTTCATATACCGATAAACAATCTTGATGACCATGTAGAATCTTACCCACCATCAATACACATCGAACAAGTAAACAAATCCTATTCTCATTGACTTCTTATACAATCATACTTTCTTTGTATTGCCGGCAAGGCCGTTGTCGAAACAGACGTGTCCCTCTTCGACCGTTATTAATTATGCGAACGGGTCCATACTTTCTTAGAAAAACAGTAATGGAATCTGACCAGCGTGAAATGATGTTTGACAAACATCTCATCAACCGGGAACAGATTAGACAAAAAAAAAACGAAGATCCGTAAATTTAAGAGATTAAGACATTTGCTGATACTAATTGATAAAATATCGCATAATTATAATCTCTATTTATCCGCTAGAATGCTTAGTGATAGCCATTTATTTCGAATTAGAGCTTGTGGAAGTTAATCGGGCACATAGAAAAGCAATCGCTGATAAAGAAAGTTTGCCTTTGATATTAACGGAAAGAAAAATGTTTTCATTCGATGAACGGATATTAACTCAACAGCTTCGTTAATCTGCAGTTTAACTGAAACCTCATGTGTTGACATTGCAATAATATAGTTTATTTAGGAAATAACAGGATTGATTTGTGTTCGCAGTCAGATTCCGGTTAATTGATGCATTAGCAGCTTCCCATCGTGTACGAATGTCAAAATATCGACAGAAGATGCTTGTTTTCATCTTTAACAGATCATTACCGAAAGTCACAATTCTTCGATGAAATACGTAGAAATTCGATCTTCGAGCTAAAATTATTGATACGAGTATAAAGGCCAAAAGGCTATTTTCTTACTCAAAGTCAATGTTAAAATAACAATTCAGTTGTATTGAGATGTGTCCGAAAGGCAATATTTATTTTCCTTTAATGACAATTTTTACTGAAATATCTACATTACTATAAACAAAAAACTGACACATGTCAGTTGTTGCAAAGCGCGTCAATTAGGAGCATTTAAACCCTGAAAGGACATTTCGGCACGAATTGTTCATTCGTCTGCAATGTCATTTGGAAGAGCGTCGTTTTTCAGGTTTCTTTTGTTCTTTTCTATTTGATTATGTATGTGTTTTTTTCCGATGGATGATTTTGTTTGTATTAGTTCTGGAGCAACCGGATATTTTTCTCAGAATATGTAACTACACCTAAAAGGTCGCCTGAGAAAAAACGAATAGAGGAACGAAGGAGAGACTGAGAGAGAGAGAAAACATCAAAGGATCTACTAAGCGGGATGTCTCTACGTTATTTTTCTTTTTTTCTTTTCTTACTGCTTCTATTGTCGATCTACCATAGACAAATTCCCATCAAGTGAGAAGATAAATTACACTCTTCTATGGCCGATCAATAACATTCATTATGTTGTTTTTCATCCAACTGATCATATTTTCATGTTTATTTATTAAATCAATTTCATGTGATTATATCTTTTGTACATCGTCATGTCCTCAAATTACCGTTCCGTTCTATGAACCAACTCGACTACCGAGACGATGTGGTGACCAGAAGAATACTTATCACTTAGCACTTAATTGTATAATTGATTATCGTATTGACTACGACGCTCAAAACGTCTATATAAATTTCAAAGCCACGAACGATACGTTGAACTTTCGTGATTACAATCAATCCGAATTTCTTACTCAATCTATTTGGTTAGGTTTCAATAAAGAATCCGATCAGCCGAACATTACCAACCGACAATATGGCTGTAATACAAGAAACGACTGCGCACGTTCCTATTATTTGGAGACGATTCAGCGTTTAATTGTCGGTGGTAAACAACTGATCGACCAAATCCACGAGAAATTATATCGAACACGTCCGTTTTCAAGTAAAGATGCTTCCCAATTTTGTAGAGATAACACGCAAAAGAGTAATTTAACGTGGACTCGATGTGAACGTGGTCTCTGCTATGCGCAAAATATTAATCGAAAGCAGTTCTGTGCGAAAGACAATGCACCTACATTATTCAGTGATATGATTTATTATTTCCCGAGAGCGCCGACTGAAGAACGCGAATATATCGAGTATAAATGTAACAAATATCTGTGCAATCGAAATAGCACGATGAGCCTCATTATGAAATATCTTCGCAATTATACGGACTGGTATAACTTGACAAGCACCGAAACTTTTCGTATCGGAATGAGATCCTCATCGGATCAGCGAACTGTGTCTTACTGTTTCCTAGTCTTACTTATGTTTAGTGTTAGAATAATCTTTTCAAAGTAAACTCTCTATTTTCGATTAGCAAATCCTAATAGAACAAATTTGTTTTTATATTTTCAACCGCTGACTTACAAATGTCACTATTTATGCAATTAAACTGCCAAGAGAAGGAAAGTTTGTCGCTCCAACTATATGATCAGTCAATTATTGTAACATATGCAAGCAGCTGTTTTCGATCATTGTTGTCAGAACGAGTATTCTTTAGTTACATCTAAAATTGTTAGATCGATCAGTACAACGAAGAAAAGAGAGAATTCGTAATCGATATTCAAGATGATTTGGCAAATTACGTTGACGACAGTCGAAAATATATTGCCTTTCTTATCAGATCGTAAGTGGCTGGATGTTATGGATGATTAATAGACTATAATGGATAGAATAAACGGTTTTACATTATCTCGTAAACAATGTCTTCCTCAGATCGATAAGATCTGATGTATTTTGATTGATTTTACATAATAGAGAAGTCTCTGTGTAGTTCTTTTGATAAATAAGTCCTCGGTTGACCTGGAGCACGAAAAAGGCTATGTGTCGAATGATGGATTTCTGAATATATCATCACATTTATTAATATCTGACATTATCTATTTGAATAAGACAAAGATAGGCGATTGGTTCCAATTGATTACATAGGAAAAACAGCTGGCTTGAGACACGCTGATCGAAAATAATGACTACCCGACGTACGACGCGTAGTGGTCTCGTTCTTCTTCGTCGATTTTTGAGCAAAATAACTGAAGAGTGTTTTGGTTGTCGCCGTTGTTGTAGTGTTTTCGACAACTTCTGATTTGCGTTTTTTTGCTGTGCTTGTATTGACATTTTCGTCTTCGTCATCGTCCCTGAAAATAAATTGATTCGATAGCAAGTTGAAACGTGAGGTGCATGGACTTTACCAAGTCACTTTAACACATCTGTTTTCGATGATAGTCGATGCAGTTGACCAACTGAAACGAACGAATTTAGGAAAACCGAAGATTTCATCGAGAGCTTCGGTTAAAAACCGTTTCGTTTGAGGATCTAAGCGTTAAGAAGAAAAAAAAAAACAAGCAAATTTTTGACGAACAGTTAGTCTTACCACCAGGATAACCCGATCCAAATTGCATTGCTTGTTTTTCTTCATCGAATTCCTTAATCTTCCATGTTTGAACGATTTGATCGCGAACTACTTTAGCACAGATACTCGACGCTGAAACGACTGGATATAGCGAATCAGCCTTTTTGGAAACAGTCACTTTCAGTTTTGGAAAACGAGCACGAATTTTATTTGCGTATTTATCCGGATCGCCGACCGTGTCAACAAAGACCTATTAAACACAAGCATTCTCTCCGCGCAATAAATCATCATTCCTTGCATACTTGTTTCACATTGATACTTTGATCGAGAACTAATTGGATGAGTTCCATAGCTGCATCTGTAGGAGTAACATGTTTCTTCCTGAGAAAAAAACGAACACATAAATCGTTCACTTACCATGTGACATATCGTTTAAATTATATTTTTCTCTTCAACAAACAAGCATAGTAGGATAATGAGAAGCTAAATTGTCAAAATTTACCTTCGTAACATGCAAGTGGAAATCATATGTGGTGAGAGTACTTTGAGTATAAAACCAAGATACGTTTTATGGTTATCATACTCGGCAAAGATTGCTGAACGGCGTTCTTCGGTTAATTGTTTTGAATCTAAATGATTAAAAGTGCATTTTTGAATGATGATTCCATTAGTTTATTACCTGCACAGCCGAGATCATTAAGAACAGATAAATGGTCTTCATCACAGAAGAATGCCGAGTAAACCATTGGACCTAGAATCGAATTTCGCAGTCGATCGAATGAATGGAATTTATACTGAACGAACCAAGAACAGGACCGCGACCAGCTTCATCGATTCCAAGAACGAATGATCGGTTCGAGTTTTTCTTCTCATCATCCGCGACGTACGACGAACGAAAGATAATATTTGCCAAGGAATTTTTTTCGAATTCCGAAATGTCCATTATCTAGAACACGTTCTTTTCTTCAGAGAATTTGTTCGATTAACAGCGCATTGACTAACTGTTTATAAGCGAATAATAGATTTAGTCAATAAACAAGATTACAGTAATGAAATCATATTGCCTTTTCTTCATCATCCGTCCATACTTCAACTCAAGGAGAATTTCAATTATGATAAGAAGCTTTCTTTCGCAATACGGGTAGGACTTTAATGTGTCACATTAATTGAAATAGTGCTCTAAGAAAGAAAAAGAAAAGACTTGTTTTTTTTCTTTTGCTTCTCAATCGAATTACAGGAACTCAATTGTTTTGCTCGTATAATCAACCAGATTGTGCAACGGTTCGCTGCATCGGCTAGAAAAAATCGAAGAGAAAACAAATTGTGTTGGTGTGTTTTTATGTTTTTTTTTAAATGTATGTATGAATGCTTTTTTTAGACGTTGGTTAGAACATTAAATAAAAAACAATAGGATAAGAGTCAAACGCATAGATCAAATAAATGATAAACCACTTTTCATCTGACACGAATGAGAAAGTGATCCATCGGAAATACTGCACAGAGAAGAAATACGATTGACATAAAGAATCAATCCGCGAAGAGAAACGAACGAAAGGTGGTGTAGTGGTCACATGACAAAAAATAAAAGACTAAAAAATACACGAATACAAGAGAAAAGAAAAACAAGGAAAAGTATGCGGGCACATCACATATATATATATACATAGAATAAACTTGAATCGGAATGGTATCTATTGAAGAAACGAGTACGGTTTGTTTTATTTCTAGTATGTATGTATGTATATGTGTGACTTTCTTACAAGACAAACAACGACAAATAAATAGAAAGGAAAACATTGACTGGAATAAGACAATTGCGATCATCTAGATTTTTTTTAAAGGCAGATTTATTGTTTATATTTCTAACATTGACACTGATTGCCTTTCGATTGTTGATCGTTAACGGTAAGTCGAGCCGTTCCTTTGTTATAGGCACCTGCTTGGCTACTGTAAGCGGCATTTCCTTGGCCGCTATTGCCACTCGGATCTTCCGGTGCGTCGGACATTTTTTCTAAGATAATATCAACCAATCTAGAACGAAGTGACACGTACGAGAAAAACGTGTGATTAATGAGTCGTGGTGGTTTACCTTTCGAAAACAGCTTTAACATTGATATTTTCTTTTGCTGAGGTTTCAAAAAATTCCAAACCTGAAAAACAAAAACGAATGTAAATCGTCGAATATCACCAGCGAATTCGTCGATATTCAAGCGAAATGTCATTGGCAAGAAAAAAAAACCTTACCGAGATCATCGGCAAGTTTTTTTCCTTCTATAGTCATAACGACTTTCTCATTTGCCATATCACATTTATTTCCAACCAATATAACCGGGGTTTTTTCCCATGAATGTGTCTTTATCTGTAGAACCCTTGAAAAATACAACACATACAACACAACATATAGATAGATATCAAGCGGGAAAGAGTAGACCCGAAAGAAGTGAAACACATATCGAAAGCGTACATTCAATAGACAACATCTTATGCAATTACCCAGTTGATCAGCAAGACGTTTGCCTCGTTCTTGTGTTACAGCTCTATCCTGTTCTAAATCGCATTTATTGCCAACAAGAACAACTTGTGCATTATCCCAAGAATACATTTTTATTTGTGTACACCTGAAAAGAACATCCACGCATGTTGTTCTCTTTTCGTTCAAGTATGAATGTACGCAAAAGAATTTGTTTCGGATTTATGCTCTACAAACGACGACAGTTCATCGTACGAGGGAAACTTACCAATCCTGTACAGCATTAAAAGATTCTTCGTTAGTGATATCGTACATTAAAATGAAACCCATTGCTCCACGATAATAAGCAGCTGAAAATAACTTTCGATGGATATATTCATTTTTCAAACGAAAAGATTTACTTGTTATGGTGCGATAACGTTCTTGACCAGCTGTATCCCATATTTGTAGCTTAACGCGTTTATCATGTCGAAATACTGTCTTAACCTTAAAGTCAATTCCAACTGTGCTCACAAATGCTGATGTGAACGAATCATCTGCATATCGAAAAAGCTGAAGAAGAGACGAAAATGTACGATTTTCATGGAGAAAACAAATAAATAAACAACATACGAATGATGTTTTTCCTACAGATGAATTGCCAATAATAAGTAATTTAAACATGTAATCGAAGTTTTGATCGGCTGCATCTTTAGCTGATCCACCAGCATTTGCTTGCGTCATCTGAAATAAATCGCTCGAAACCTTAGTGATGTTTTTTTTTCAAGGCCAATCGATATAATAGCTTAGTAAAATGATGATTGTAAACGACGACGACGTCGCTACTTATGTAGCGAGTGTTTTCCTTTCGGCTTTTTTTTCTTCTCCCAATATTTGATTGGATGCGGTTTTGATTTGACGATTTTTAAGATACTAATGCATTTTCTCTCTGCTAACTTCGCGAAGAAAAGCTTGAACTAATAGAGGATCGGAAATCGGCTCTAATAAAAATCAAAGAACAAAATCATCATGGCGATATGCATACAGGAAACATAAATATATACCTAATTAAATATTTGCCATTAAATGAACGCGACTATTATCTGTGAGGAAAAAGAAAAAAAAAAAGCAAATTCGAGACGAGAAAATGTCTATTTATTCTTGCGCATGATGGAGAAGAAGCTATCATCGTAGGCGATGGAGGAGGAGGTCATTTATTGAGCTGAGAGAACAGCTGGTGTCAAGAAATGTTTGTACCCTTGTTGTTGATGATGATGATGATGATGATGTTATTGACTTCTATTCATGCACAAAAAAAAACACATTGTATTTTTACTGATTGCCAAAGAATAGCGCAGCGCATTTCTTAGTCGACAAGCAAGTTGGTCATTAAAAGTGACAAGATAATTAGAAGCACCTTGCCTAAAAAGAGCCAAATGTCACATATGTTTAAAGTATCACCTCTTAATGGAAACAGCAATGATATGTGACGAGAATGTAAAAGGAACGTGTTGTGTTGCGATTTTTTTTCTTTTATTTCTCGTCAAACAAAAACACAAGCAATGTATATGTATTGATTAAAAACACAGCACCACAGAGTTTTATATACAAAAAAAAAAGAGAGCGATTCTTAAAAAAGTGCGACCTCACAGAGGTAAACACAATCAGAGTTCGGTCGTTAATGGATGATAAAATTGAGAATGATGCGAGAGCAGTGGACTACGTGAAGGTATTTGAATTGGATTTGTTGCTTGCACTAATGTCGATGACGCGTGGCGAACATTCGATTGACTTAATGTTCGAGTTACTATGACTGGCGTTGTAGATGTTGGGATTTCTAAAGACATAACCATCGTAGAGATTTGTATTTACCTTAAGATTACTCTTCTTTACTTACGTTGATTATTTGTCATTGTTTCGCTGTAAAACAAAGTCTCCTAAACGAAAGAATACAATTCGAATGAAATCTGATATGAAAAACTTCTGAATCGTGCATCGAACGAACTTCACTACATGCTCAAACTATACTCACGTTGTCCATTCTCATTAAAGATAAAACCAGTAGTAGCAGCAAAATAATCTTTACAGGATGAGATCTTTCCTATTCCTCGATGCAGAAACTTTTTCGATGTAATTCCATCGATGACAAGGTAGGAGAGATTATCATAATTAGCACAACGTTGTTCGAACTGTTTCTCATCCGTTTTTGGTTTCGAATCCCGTTGTTGAAAGGAAAACTTCGCGTAGATAGAATTCGATTCATTAGCGGGATTGAGACAGTAGTTCAAGATATTGTCGTAGGACGCACGAGATGAATTAGCGGAGGATAGTTCCGAAGAAGGAGAAACAAAGAGCGGAAATTTGTAATTATTTTGTTTGCTACTACTCGTTTGATTCGTATTGAAATCATCAGAAGATATTTGCTGTTCGAAAGAGAGAAATTGAGATCCGATCAATCATAATGAATTATTTACTTTAACAACGTATGGCATCGGTTGACTATTTGCTAGTGTATATCGGTTGGGTAAACTGTTCATTTTCGAAGTACGAGAAGGATTTATTTGATGTTGTCTAAAGAAAAATTTGATTAGATATTTCTCGAGAGAAAAAAAACACGCATTTGTATACCCATTTGTATGAGATGTTGATGGGTTTTGCGAAGAAAGTTGAATTAATAATTCATCTTCATTATTATTTGTAGACAAGATTTCATGCGATGATTCTATACGACATCGAGGTCTCTATGACAGATCTATGTTTGGAAACACGCTCATACAAACCTTTTGGTGTATTGACATGATTATTAGTGATGACGGAAGAAGTCGTTTGTTTGACCGGAAGTTTCGGGGATGGTATTTTGTCTTCCGATTTCGTTTGTCGAGGTGGGACTGGTGGAGGATGAGCAGAAAGAGTTGTTGCCGAGTTGCTTGTTGTTTCAGTTTCTACAATTAAGATTCAAGAGAGAAATATGAGATATTAACTCTAATCAGCGTAACCTATGGTTAAATTCTCTTGACATGTTGATAGAGTAGACTAAACTATCTGACAAGAGTTTTTACTCAAGCCATGATTACATCGTGTAAACGTATGGAAAAAGAAATTTCCGCCATGAAACACTGATCTAACATTCCGAGTTCAGTTTACATGACCGTGAAACGAAACCTGTCCATGATATTATGTTCTATTTGATCACAAGTGTTTCAAATCAATGCCATTCGGTTACGTATACAAATCTAGCTTATATTCATTCTTTCGACATTTAATGCACAAATATGTGATGAATTATTCAATCAACTTGACTAATATGATTATTACCTTCGATAAATAATTCATTCGGAGTACCCAGAATAAGGTTATCCAATCGTTGTGCTGCTGTTAGGTTAAGATTTTTTTGTGATGATGAAATAGATGATGAACGTTTCGACACAGATGTCAAATCATGATTCGATACATTCAGTTGTGTTTTCGATCTAGATTGAAAATAATTTCCGCATGATACCATCGAATCCTGATGGAAACTTACTCGGAAAGTTTCGCTTCTTGTTCAGATTTTAATCTTTTCAAACGTTCATCTTCCTGTTCGCGTAGGATCTCTTGTTCTTGGATTTTCTTACGTATTGCGTAGGACGCACGGCGTGAAAAACGATGCGAAGCTTTTCGTTCGAAATTTGTACCAGAATTGGCTAAATTGCCCAGCGCTGTTGTTTGACACTCCGTTCGACCGCTATTCCAAAATGTTTTCATTTTCTATTAAGCATTGCCGTCAAAATCTTACCTGAATCGAAATCGTGAACCCATTCGTGTAAAATTCGACTTCGCTCCTTGTTTCAATTTGTTTGCGGACGTTGTTCGAAAGAAAATATGGTACTCCAAAGCGCATTTCCAGAAAAGTTTACATTGCTTTTCATCATGACAACGAAACAGAAAGACGAAATCACGCTGTAGGCGAGGATCATTGTCATCATCTTCGACAACAACGATAGTCAATTTATTTCGATTGAAATCTATTCGAGTAACTTTCGACCTAGGTAAAAAGAAAACTTCTGAAGTAAATATCTTTCGAAAACAAAGGCGAGAAACTGACCAAACGAAGAGACCAATTTTAATCTTGTTTTCGAAGACAAGTATACCAGTTGGAGTTAGGCCAAGTTTATATTCCAAATTATCCTTTCCCATCACGGTATGAAGATCAACGCCATACATTTCCAGCCAACGAGCTTTGTTCAGATACTGAATTTCACAGTCCGCAGGTGTCAAACCTCTACACCAACCACACGAAGATATCAATCCAAACACAATAGGTATTAAAATTTACTTGTAGGTCATCCATTTTTGTAAAACTTGTTCTTCAAACTCTGCTGTTTGTATATTATCAGGTAGAAAGTGAAATTCAGACACATTGGTAATTGAATGTTCCGCAGTTATATAATCGCCTAATTCAGCTGAAAATGAAAATCGAATGAACATGTTATTATCATGTGTTTCATTAATTGAAGATGTTTCACCCGAGGAGAAAACATCTGTGTTGAATAAAAATGATTTTGTATCATTGCTATTTACCTTGCATTGTCAATGCTGCTAGTTCAACGTCTGTTCCAAGTGGACATTCTAATCTTCCTGTTCGAATGTCATCTTTGAGTTGAAGTACAAATAAGTACCTTTTTTTAGGAAGACAAACAAAAGAATACATGTTTGTTTCGCTTTTTTATTTTACCTTGTCAATTCATCGCGAAGATTTTGCGGATCGGAGGTATAAAATTTCACACGAAAGCGAAATGTATATGGTGGACCAACTACAAATCAGAACAATGAACTTGTTGTCATCCCATTCGAAAATGTACTCGTACCTTTACATTGTTTTTTTATCGATTTGGTCGGATCAAGCCATTGCTAGGTTACACACAAGGTTAACATATAAGCATACCGATCCTAATGGCACTTACTTTGACATTATGTGTGTCAATGAACTGAAGTCCAAAATAATCAGGTTCAACAAGTTTTCGATGAGCGATGATTTTCTCGTAGAGATTTTTACCGAGAGCTTTTCGCTAAAAAATCACGTCATTTCAGTTTGCATGGTTTCATATGAAACTGTCTGTCAATTCATCTCATTCTATCCACGCCTTCGCGGCTATTGTCACGAAATCAATTCATTTTTATGTATGTAGAAGAATTGATTTGATCATATGAGACAAAAGAACATGTCAGATTAGTCAGCATACTGCCATGAATATAAGAGTATATGCTTAGACTGAATAAATAAGGTCAGATCAATAGTTGATAAAATCTAACAGCTGACACATGCCTAGGCATGTTTATAACAATATGTCTATTCAGGTCAACGTTATTAGTTGAGTTCAATATTTATCGATGAAATCATCGATTTTCGTCTATGAATATGCTTAACTTACATCTACTTCAAAATTCACTTCTTCACCATCGAGAAATATGATTGTACAAACGAGACCGTGCTTAATAGGCGCGGTCACTTGAGATTTATCAGTTGAATGAATTTTTCCATTGGAGAGAATTTTTCCATTGGAATGAGGATGGATTCGATCATCAGTTAATGTAAGATTCGGTGTTTTGGGTTGACGACGACTGAAAAAACGAATAAACCGAGACGCCGCCATAAACAATCGGCCATGTACAAGCACGCTCAATATGTATATGTATAATAATAGTAATAATAATAACAATCTAAAGGGAGAGACGAAACAATGACGCGATCATTGAGTCTAGTAATGCGGAGTTCAACATGCTGTTCATCGGTCAATCATAGACGATAAAGAGAACTGAGCAGAGAGGAGAAAAAGAAATGAGATGATGGTAGTATAGTTAAGAGAAAGAAAGAAAAAGGTGAAGAGACAGATGCCAAGTTAACGATCTCGAATATATCTATTTTATCTCAATACAAAAGAGCTTATTGATGATGGGGTATCTGAAATTGGTGACTGTTTACTTCTATGTCCCCTTTTTTTGCTCCTATAGGTCAACTCGTATTCTTTTTATGTTCTGACTTTGTTGTCGAAGATCGGATACTAAAGGATTATATCATACAAACATTCATACACATACTCATTAGCTCCTCATGTCTGTATTTTATCAAAGAAGATGAAAATATCTTAGTTTTCCGTTGCGTACATACTGAGCACGCAGAGAGTAACAGCTGTCGTTAATACAAACATATGAATGAGTTACCGATCTATCTATTTACCAAAGGAAGACGAATAGATGAGGATTTCTGGTTCGAATTTTGTTGAATTTGATAAAAAAAAAAAAGAAAAGAAAACTCAATGTGCAACGGTAGTCAATGAAATGAACTAATCAGTAAATATCTATCGTATTATTATGATTAATTCAAAGGTTAGGATGATACAATGTTGTTCTTTTCTTCGATGAACAGTGATAACGAAGAACAGATCTGTATGATCATTTGATCAATATCGAAGAGAACAAATAAATAGATAGATGTCGAAGAAACAAAGAGAGAAAGAGAACGAACGAACGAACATACTCTACCTCTCTTTATCAATGGTCATTCGAATGGTCAAATGAATCATTCAAATGGACAATTAGTCATCTAGCGACATCCAGGTTTGAAAGACAAATGGTTCATAAGCTGTCACATATGTCTGAGAAAGAAGTTTAGCAAATAGGATCAATACTTTTCCATTGATAGATTTACACTGTTGTGATTGCAACACTTGTTTTCTGTTGTTAATAACGTCGTGTTTATTTCACACATGAATAACTGAAATTTATTATCGGATGATGGAGTCCAAGGCGCCTATAACAGTTATTTTAAGATATAGAACAAACAATTTCATGGTTGTTGTTAAATGATTCATTTGCATTTCTGTCTCTACTACTCGTTGCCCTTTGTTTTGCACTTGAAATTTAGAAACATCACAAGATATTTATTTGAAATACATTCTATAAACAACGACGAGAACGAGCTTTGTAGCCAACGTCGAGTAAACAACAAATTCAAATAAAAAAAGCACTACTAAACGATAAGGAAAAGGTTGTGTCAACGACGAGTATGAGCTGCTTGTTTAGTATGGCACTTTAGAGAACAGCACGATCGATGTGATTCTTGTAATCATCGGAAGTGGTGACATATTCGACGAATTTTTCTTGTGGAACACTAGAAAGAAAGATTTCGATAAATAGAAGAAGCATGTAGGTTATAACAAACCGGCCAGTGCCATCATCGAGTTTCGTCCAATGTTGTTCCCAAGTTGTTGTCACTGGTTTAGTTCCGTCAGCTGGTGTTGTTGTTGTTGTTGAAGTCGTTTTTGCTGTGTCTTGCAAACTTGAAAAAGGAATGACGTTCGTGTTGAGTAAACAATTAATCAGAAGAAAAGATTTTCTTACGTGTAATAACGATTCAAATGATTGAGTACATCTTCACCCTGTTCACGAGTAATGTAACCTAGAAGAATAAAAAGAAAGTTTTGTGAGTATGATTTAGTTGTCAAATGCTATTCGTTTTTACCTGGTGTTGGATTATTATGATCTAAAATGTAACTAAATCGATCACGAGTTGTTACAGCGTTGTTTGATTCATTTCGGCTGAGTAATAAATATGCATTTACAAATTCTAGAAGATTAAAAATGAAAAATTTCTTCAAAAGAAGAAGCACACTACCTTCGAATGTCAATTTGCCTGTTCCATCAGCATCGAATGCTTTGAAAACTCGATCGGAAATTTTGTCTAAATCATGATCGGTGATGACTGCTGGCACGCTTGGACCGGTTTTCGCATTGATGTATAATTCTTTATACAAACGACGGAATTCCTTCTTGTCCATGCGATTATCTTTTCCAGTTGTAGCAACGAATTCTTGGTAGAGTCGTTCAACAGTTGCACGTGGAATACCTAAACATCTTTCCGTACAAACTAAATCATCGCGTAAGTCTTATTTACCAGTAACATTGCTGAATCGATCTAAATCCCATTGATTAAATGTAGTTTTCGAATGACTTTTACCCATTTTGATATGAAGAGTTTCGAATGAATGAGAATGTAAGAATAATGAGACTTTGATGCGCACGTCGTGTATATAAATATGGAAAGGTTGATCGGTTGACTCTCTTTTCTCTTCTAGTTTCTTCCAGAACAAAGTTTATTAAGAAAAAAAGGTGTAGAAAGAATAAAGTACACCCGTTGACAGAACTGACGGTTTTTACTCGATGGTTTCTTTTTTTTTACTTCTTTGATAACAAGATAGAGATAAAATGGAAACGATACTCGTTCTTTTCAACCTTGTAGACACGCGCACGTTGTCAGCCATGAGACATTCTTAGTGAAAGTTCACAAATGAACACACAGTGCGCGTCAGATTTATGTAATCGAAATGAAGACTGGTTACGAAATAGAAACGTTATCAACTGTTCATTTTATTTCATTCGCTTCCTAAATAAAATGAAGAAGAACGAACTGGTTATAGCTAAACGTGACTTCGGTATAGGACAAAGGAATAGTGCAAAATGGGTCCATTGTTTTGAATCACGTTCAAAATAGATACATGTATTTACGTCATCGAACTACATAATCTTTTCTTCATCTTCTCTGTACTGATTCATTATGTGAACATTTATTCGAACATGTGGCTTGTTTTATTATTATTAATCAATTCTCTTCTAGCGAAAGCATTTCCTTACACATGTCGAACGAATGTCGATTGTATGAATATTCTCATGAATTCCCTATGCCACAATTCGAAGTGTGTATGTCGGAAGGGATACAAGTGGGATGAACTATTCGAGTGTACGATTGAAAAACGTTATCGTCGACAAATTGATTTTGGTAAATTGAGAAAGACGATGATTTTTGTTGTTGTGTTGTAGGTAGATTTTCATAAGTTTAGGAATTCGAATGTTAGGAGAAGAATGCGAATCGAATGATGAATGTCGTCGAACGCCTGTTGATGGTGCTAAAATTTGTTTACTAAGTCAATGTCAATGTTCACCTGGACATGTACCGATCGATGCGTATCGCTGTATTCGAGATTTCGGTGAGTAGACAGTGTCGGTAGAACTTTTCTTTGAAAGATGATCTTTTTTTGTATTTTAGAACAATTATCATCAAATACACGAAGAGTGAAGTCATATGATCGAGAAGAACCTCCTGGCTACGGTTCGATATGTGTCACAAACAAAGATTGTCAACATTCAACGGTTCAACTGGAATGTCTTCGTGGTTCTTGTGTATGTTTGGAAGGGTATGTTCCTTTAGGAAAATATTTATGCTACAATATTCGTGGAGGAGGTAAGTGAACTTTTCGTGAGCTTTCTTCTTAATTGTTAACATTTTGTATGAAAGGTGCGCCGATCATCGAAAGTACAACCATCGATTCGTTATTGACAACAACCATACCTATCATTGATTCATCAGCAGATGAAATCGTTCGATCACTAGGTAAATTAGGCACAACATGTACAAATGATTATTATTGTCGACAATCAGTTACTCATTCACATTGTTACAATGGACAATGTTCATGTATTGAAGGTTACATATCGTTCGATCTTTACACGTGCAGTCAAGGTATACGAAGTAACATGGTTTCGCAGGAGATCTCATTCTGATCTATTGCTAGATACGAACCAAGAACGAACGGTGAGTTCGACAAGTTATAAAAGTTTACTGGGTGGAGCATGTCATACGAATCGAAATTGTCAAACTGCAGAAGCTATCTGTTTGAATAATATTTGCACTTGTCCGAATAATTATTTTCCTATCGATGATTGGAATTGTTTAAGCGATTCAGGTATGAATGAAACACGATGATGTCAATCTACTTCGATCTCGTCTTAGATACTCCCAATGGCAAAGTAACCGAGTCGAAGAGTAAAACATCGTCAACGACAACTACAACAGTGGCAACTACGACTACAACCGTATTTCTTTGGTGGCCATGGTCACCACCCTCGACCACTCGTGAATCTATCATTGATTCTAAGGATACATTTCCTTTTCGTTGTATTCTACATCGACAATGTATTAGCATGGACGCCAATTCTCATTGTACATCATTTGGCAAATGTGTATGCAACCTGGGTTATGGATTAGAAACGAAAGATAACGAACAAAAATGCGTTCGGAAACTACTTGAAATCGATGAGTGTGACTGAATGACATTCCATAAGAATTCTAGCTTTTTCGTTTTCTCTCCTTTGCCGGTACATTTATATATTTCTTGACTTTAGAACGCACTAGATACAAAATACTCTGGTTTATGCTTATTTCAGTTATAATTGTCTCTTAGATTGATGCTCTTCGAGTTCTTTTCATGAAAGAAGAGCAATAATCAGCTGATTTAGGCATTTTCGTCGCTATGTTCTTGCCAATTAATATAATCTTTAACAACTTGTGACATTGACATTTGAAGTGTAGCACGAAATGTCCGCTTATCAAAGACGTCATCGCGTTTCTATTGGTTGTCATCTAACTAAGATAATAATGTATTTATCTCCATGATCGATTGTTCGTCTTAATAAGAGATAAGTAAATTCATTTCTGGATTAGATCCATTTCAACATTTCTTTCATGCAGACCTCATAGTACCCGTGAAATAAATGAACTTTTCTCTTTATATCACTTCAATAGATCAGAATAATTCTAATAGTTAATTGCATACTTTTCATTCATGATTTCGAAAATCCATCAAAGTAATCGACGAGAATCTATAGAATGTCTGAGTTGTTCGAATTTCAATGTCCTAAAAGAACAAAACAGTCAATTGGGTTATTGATGCGTTCTTCACCTCGATTGATATTCTCTTTCAACCAAACATCAGCATATTTGTTATAAAATGTTATGGATTGTGCTATGTAGGAAATGACATAACCTTTTCATCAACTTCTACTTGTCTCAACTCGAGCGACAGTATTGTTGACAGTTTTTCTTGAAGGAAATAAAAGTCAACGCGAATTATTCTCATTCAACTTGTAGACTAATCGATACTAGATTGAATTTTTGCTTCGACACTCGACAGACCTTTCGGTGTTGACAACTATCAATGTTTATTTCATAAACTTCATGGAAATATTGACTAGACAACGTCTGCTGAAACTTGATTATCTTTTTCGAAATGGATAAGATCAAAAGCCAGATGTTATTTATGCTACTCGCCATGATGAATGCTTCAGGCTGACGAGATCAATTGAACATAAAATGTTATCAATCAAAACTGGTCGACTATTATCACAAAAACAATAACAATAATAATGTCTACAGTGTATCATAAATATACGAGATAATTGATGGCATGTACTTATTGCCGTTTAATATAAACGGAACTTATCAATATCCGACGGGCGAAAGTCGACTAGGTATATTGAGGAAAAACAAACAAACAAACATGGATTTGAAATCTAGTCTAATTGAGTATTGACGAGAGAGATGCAGTGATGTTTTTACCAGTAAACTGCTACGAATGTTAATCATATGAAACATGTTGTTATCATTATGTAAACGAGATTAACACCTTGAATTTGTCATATAAAACTGGCAAACGTTTATAGGAATCACATGGCTTCCGAGTATGTCTTTCTTTTTCTCGTTTCTGGTCTTGTTTTTCATAAGCTTTCTACATTCCTCTTTCTTCGAACTTAATAATACTACTATCACAGAACATACAGTGCCGTTTTTGCATTTCATCCGCCGAAAAGAGGTAATCAGCCGATGTATATATATATATATATATCGGTAAAGAGAAAAGGCAGCTACGATGTATTCTGCGAGATGTTTCTCGTCGACGAACAGACAATAGATTTGCAGACATTGCTAGTTGAAGAAAGAAGATAGCCAAGTAAATATCTGCATGAAATAATAAATATTTGTATTTCCAATTCTTTTCTTCTTCTCTTCTCTCCACCTCCCTTTCTTCTGTTTTCCACTGAAGCAAATGATAACAAGGTTTTTCTTTCTTTTCTAGGTCGCATGGCATTTTGATTCTTCGTATTTTGGGTTTTGCCTTTCCATTACCTTCGAATATCTTTTGTTTGTGATAAAATGAAAACGATTAGTCTTCCACGATCTTCCCGGTAGGTACAGATTTTGTCTACTCGGCATCCGCATTTTCGCCTCAAACCGACACTTTGTTTGTACAGGTGATTTCGGATCCTAGCTATGCGATATAGCAATCGTGTATAAATGATCTGAGAATGAATTTATTGGATAAATTGAAAAGAACAATATACAAATTTGCTCGAAGCAAGACTGATATGGAATGCCAATCTAATTACTGAAGGGTGAACAGATAAACAGAGAGAGATAACTTGATAGATGAGATCTTTACAGGCGACTAGTAAGGCAAGAGGAAAACTTCGAAATTATCATCGATGTTTATTTTTGGATAATAACTAATAAATCGAGATAATTTGATGCTTTCTCGTTTCATATGTCGAATGAAAAAACGATGAGAGGAAGAAGCTTTTTCTAATGCTTTGTAAGTTTATATTTAATTAGTTCGGCGCATTTGCTCGGATTGAAACATGCAAGAACGGTATTAGCCGATTTTTTGCACGAAACATCTTACCAACTCTTATGTGCGAGTTGTCTTCTTAGTTTGTTCAGTGAAATTGAGCTTTGCGTGCTTTGATTGTTATCACGCTATTACTCAGTCTCGTTAGCAAGGTGTGTTCTTCTATTGGAGATGTCTGTTTCATAGTTCTTATTAGTACAGTTAAGTTCTAATGTCTGCCTTCGCGAAAATCTTCTTCGTAAACGTTAAGATTAAGTCGAAATCCTTGTAATAAATGCACGAGCAATCATTGGAAAGCAAAGCTTATATCATGAAAGAGAACTCGATGCGCTTGAGCAAATGTATTATACTGAATTAATGAAAGAAAAACATTGTCGTGTTAATAATGAAAAAATTTTTCTACGAACGAATCAAAGAGAATTGTCTCATCTCTTGTGTTTTTACTCGTAGTTAATTGTCGAGAAAAGTATCTCTGATGATCAGTGCAATGGATACGAATAGAATCGGCAACGGTGGAATCTACAAGCCAACAATTTTAACCGATGCTGTGCCATCGTCTTCGTCAACAATCGGACATTTTATAAATTGTTCTCTTGACGATTATCAACCTTCCTCAGCTCGTGACAGTGGCTGTTATTCATCAGCAGCCGATGAATTGCATTCAATGCAGCCGCATTTATCAAGTCCGAATACGCACACTAAACATCACCATCACCATCAAGCGAAATACAAGAAAACAGTGCAACAGCTCGACGACAAAACTGAACAAGGAAAATCATCGAAGAATGAACCGTTTGATAAAGTTATTATTAACGTCAGCGGATTACGTTTCGAAACACGAGCATCTACGTTGCAACGGTATCCACATACATTACTTGGTGACAAACAACGTCGTGGACATTTTTTCGACTATATGAATAATGAATATTTTTTCGAACGACATCGTTCATCATTCGAAGCTGTTCTGTATTTCTATCAAAGTCATGGACGTTTAACTCGACCCGAGAATATTCCTGCGGAAATCTTCCTAGAAGAAATCAAGTTTTTCGATCTTGGTAACGTTCATTAAAAAGATAATGACATACTCATGCTCATCTCTTCTTTCTTTTTAGGCGAAGAAGTACTCAAGCGTTATCGGAAACAGGAAGGTTATGTAGAAGAAATACCTGTTCAACGACCTGTTAACGAACTCCAACGTAAAATTTGGGAAATCTTCGAATGTCCGGAATCATCGAACATAGCTCGTGTAGTGGCTATTATTTCGATCATTATGATTATTATATCAATTGCATCGTTCATTATCGAAACTCTCCCGTTCATACGTAATGAACCCCCATTATCGTTTGAATCAAATGTAAACGGTACTGAACGATATAATTCTTTGTCAGTGCATAGTGAAACACGATTTTCTTGGATATTTTTTGTACTTGAAACCATCTGTGTCACCTGGTTCTTGTTCGAACTTTTAAGTCGATTCTTCGTTGCACCGTCCAAATTTAACTTTATTAAAAATGGTCCCAATATCATCGATGTCGTCTCAATTATCCCGTATTTTATACAACTAATCGGCAACATTTATCAGAAAAAAGATAGCAATGTATCGGGATTTTCCTCGACATTGACTGTTCTTCGAATAGTTCGACTTGTGCGTGTCTTCCGAATATTTAAACTATCAAGACACTTTAAGGTATGCCTGATTATCACGAAACTATTTTCATAGGAGCGTACGGGTGATTTGACACACGCAGATTCGATTTATCTTATCAAGAAAAGAACAACAAAAGAGTTAATTAATAACGCAGTTGCTATTTTGCATTGATATTAGCTGATGAATACATTGTCTTTTCTGTAGGGTCTACAAGTTCTTGCCTTGACATTTGTGGCGTCATGGAAAGAATTGTTGCTATTAATGTTCTTTCTTTTCATCATTGTTATCGTCTTCTCATCGTTTATGTATTTTGTCGAAGCGGATTATTCAAATATATCTCCAGCGAAACCGACCACTCATCCATCTTCGACTTCATTTTCGTGTCCTCCACTTGCGAATTGTCTTTCAACATTAGAACAAAATCATGCGACGACACAAACCAACAATCAATTTGCATCCATTCCTGATTCATTCTGGTTTTCAATCATAACAATGACAACTGTAGGCTATGGAGATTATGTACCACGTACGACACTAGGCAAAGTTATCGGTGCTGCTTGTGCTATAACAGGTGTATTGACGATTGCTTTGCCCGTGCCAATCATAGTATCGAATTTTACGTATTTTTATCAACGACAAATGGAAGATAATGAACGACAGTATCAAGCGAGACAGAAAGCACAAGCAGCAAACCAATTAACATCAGACAAACGTCAGCTCTATTTGCTGAATGAAAAAGATCGAGGACCTGAATGTAATGAATGGGAAACGTCATTAAATGAACCGGATTATTCCGATTATCGTGAAATAACACATGCTGTCACGAAGAAATTGGTACATAATGCCTATTTCAAAGCGTTTCGAGGTTCAAAGAAAATCTCTCCGACAATGCGAAATCAAAAACTACCAACAACAAATGCGCCGTATCAAATGAATCATCGAATTTATCAAATAGCTGACGATAAGCATGAAACTGATACTCTCTGTTGAATCTGTATATTTTCTGTGGCAAACTACGCAAATGATTCGTCGTTGTTCGATTGTCCATATATGTACACATGAATCAAACACAAACGACGACGACGACGGTATCTGACTGTGTAACGTTTTCCGTTCGTGATTCTTGTTTCTATAAAACAATGTGAGCTTTCTTTCTCTCTTCTTAACGAACTATCCCGATGATTGAATGAACACATATTTATGTAGGATGTAATTTATTGGTAATAAAAACTGATCTCTGTGTACGGTTTTCTAATTACATCATATATGATTTTTTCATGCTTAGGTCACCATGATAAATATACTGGTTCATACCCAATACATTGGATCCATTCAATCGTGAACAAATTTCGAACAGCTGTAATGTGTACAATAATTGTTTTTGCTGCATGACATTCTGCGATGTGGACGGATAGATGTCACTCGAGTCATGAAACTATGTAGAACATTTTTACCCTCATCACTTGGTAACGCTCCCTTTTTGCGCATCGTTGATGGTAACACACGTATTCAATAGGTAGAATAATTTGGTTTGCAAGACTTATAATACAATTGCTTTATTTACTCGTTTCTCGTTTTGTCACATTCCTTGATGAACTAGCGAATCTCTTCGCATTCGGTTTTGTTTTTCTTAAACAGATTTTATTTTTTTCTAATTCGATCAATTCTACATCTATTCAAGTGGATAGTTTTTATTTCATATCTTAACATGACAAAATGTCTTTTCAAGGCTTTAAAAGCCGTTGGCCTTGACAAACATGTGGAATTATTTCGTTCCCTTGGATATGAATCGGCAGGTGCATTAGCACATTTTCGTACTGAGCATTTCGAAAGATTAAATCTAACTGAACAAGAATTGCTGCATCTCATTTCTCTACTTGACGTTCTCAAAGAAGCCACACGTGATGGGAAGATCTGTCCGCATTACTTCTCTTCGAATAAACAGCAAACAAATATCAAATCAGCCAGTTCCGTACGAGCCAGTTGGTGTGAGGAAACAAGTACGAAAATTTCGTCGAAACGAGCGAAAAGTTCTACTGATCCATTGAGACGTTCAACAATTCCTCGTGAACAAGTTCTTCTAGAAAAAACATCGACAATTCTTAGTCGAGAGCAGATTTTCATTCCATGGAAGACTACCACTCAAAAACTCACAGGAGCAAGATCATTTCTCAATCGACCTGCAGTTGAACATGTCAAAGTAAGAACTAAGAATTGAATTCCATCCACGACTAACTGCTCATCTAGGTCAAATCGTACAATTATGGTGTGCCAACAAATAAACGCTCACGCCCCAATACTCATCGACATTATCCGACCGAAACGAATTCATATGGAAAACCAGCCGAGATCTATGTTTACGCTCGTAAACGTCCACTCCTACCAAGTGAAACCAATTTTGAAGATATCATTGCCGTACCGGATGACAAACGTATCATTATTGCAGAGAATAAAGCTAATCTGGATTGTACACCTCTACTCAAAAAGGTACTGGAAAAGAAAAACATGTAATCCTTCTCATCTGTTGTGTGTGTGTGTTTTTTTTCAGACTGAATTTCAATATGACCATGTATTTGGATCTGAAGTTTCAAATAAACAAGTATTTGAATCGACTGTCTTACCGTTTATATCGGCGAATCATCGACATAATTTAACCTATATTTGCTTTGGACAAACAGGATCTGGTTTGTTGATTCTTGTTAATAGATCAAATATTGTTTTTGTTTCTCTGTCATTCATAGGTAAAAGTCATACGATATTTGGTAGTAAGAATACCGATGGTTTATTGATTTATTGTACTCAGTTACTTTTACAAGAAGTGAATGTTGATAATAGACTTATTTGTTCATTTTATGAAATCTACAATAACCAAGTTTACGATTTAGTGAACGTTGGGAAAAGGTTTGTTTTTGTTTCCTATGAGTTGAAGCGTTGTGACAGCGGAATTCTCGATTTAGATTATTTGTACGTGAAGATGGTGAACATCATGTGAATATTATTGGCATCACGGAATTCTTATTGAAAAGTTTAGATAATCTACGTTGTGTTATCGATGAAGGTCTTTCAAGACGACACCATGGAAAAAGTGCATTTAATTCCAATTCCTCGCGATCACATGCAGTTTTTCAAATAACTCTGCAGCATAATTACGATGCATCGGAAGATTTCAGGTACGATACATTAGTGTACAAAAAGAAGAGGACTTTTCCCTTTTTTTTCTTTCAGACTTATCTTTATTGATCTTGCTGGCAGTGAACGTGCAACGGATGCTCAAAATAACCTTCGACAAACTCGTCGTGAAGGTGCACAGATCAATTGTTCACTATTAGCGTTGAAAGAATGTATTCGCTCTATGGATATGACACACTCGCATGCACCATTTCGGCAAAGCAAACTAACTCACATATTACGCGATTCTCTTGTCGGTTCAAAAACACGTACCTGTCTGATGGCAAACGTTTCGCCGCCGAATGACTGTTGTCAGTGTTCATTAAATACTCTTCAATATGCATCACGAATTCGAAATATTAGTATTCGTCATCGACATCGTACAGTGACTATGGAAAGTGTACAAACATCTTCGGCCGACGAAACAAGCAAGGAACAGGACATTGTTCCTGAGAAACCACAACGAATCTCCAGTTCAGCAACGACATCAACACCAGTTCATCGACTCATCTCATCCGTTGACTCACATAATTATCTTCCTAGAAATCCAACAGGTTCGATTGTTTTCATCTGATAACTTCCGTTTTAATGTTCTGTCTCTTGAACGAATAGATATTGATACTCGCAAAACCAAGCCATTTAATATCGATTGGCAAATGGCCGATGACGATCTTCCGATTACAGGTGGAGGTGACAATCGTGTGATTAAATCTCTAATCGCCCCGAAACGTGAATTGAAAACAACGACTCGTCAATCAAATCGCTTGTACGAAAAGAAAACCAAAGCAAATGATCATTGTCCATCGAGTTACTTTCCCATGCCACAATCTGACATTAAGAAACCATCATCGAGTAAAATAACACGAGTCTATGATAGTTCTCGTCTTATGTACGATGATGGAAATGACCGCAACTGGAAAGCCATCTCTACTTCACGAACTCACCGTTTTTCAAATGCTTCCATCGAACAACAATCGACTTCCGATCAAAATATCCCAACTGTACCTATGCAAACATTCAGCAATCACTTATATAGTAATTCAACAGCTAAAGAAAGTCTTGGAGCGAAATCAGCCAAAGTCTCCACACATGATCATCGATACCGAAAATCGAGTGCTACAAATGCATTGATCGACGATTTAAATTTGAATAAATATCATGATCCCAACGATGACGAATCATTAATCTATTCCGATCGGCAGTCAACTTACCGAGATCAAACAGCATTCTTCACCAAGCGCGATGAATTATTGTCGATCATTTCGAATCGATTATCATCTGCTAATCAACGTTCGTCATCGCTCGGTACTCCACGAAAGACGAAACCCACTTCTCAAAAGACAGCTTCTAATGTGTCACATCCAACTAAGTCGAAAAATTTATTTGTATCGTCATCCAGCAAAACATATCAAGCATCTCGTCCAACTAAAACAGCAAACAATGGCAGTTCACGAACAACTAATCATTTAAAGAAGTCTTCTTTGGACAATAAAAAACCAAAAGCTATCTCATCATTTGACTCGACACTTCGTTATTCATCGAATCAACAGCAACGGACATTACCATTTCGTGTTCACTATAGTTCCGATTCGGACGATAACGAGGATAAACCACATGTCGGTAGTGACTATCGAAAATCGTATCCATTGAAAACATCATCTTATTCAACACATAGTGAGGGTTACCAAATCTTTGATGATTGCTATCCAGTAAAGAATGAACAAGAACCTCACAGTCAACAAATGCATATACCAGCAACATCTTCAACAACTTTACAACCATCACTATCTTCACCAGCATTAGCTTCGAGCATACCAGTTCGATCTTCATTTGAACAATTATTGGCAAAACCAATATCACCCGTGCCATCAACAACTCTGAGTGAAAAACCATGGACATTATCAACATCACTTAGTAAGAATAACTATACATGAGATACAGATCGTACGACCACAAATGTGTCTGATATTTTCTAGATTCTCCATCTAAAGATTTCGCTCTTCGAGTATCTGATCAATTGAATGTTTTACGTAGTTTGCTTGAAACTCATCTAATTGAACCAGTACAACCACCAAAAGACTCAGCAGATCGTCCAGCATCTCCGGGTACATTCGCGCGAGATTTCTTGAAATCGTGTCGTCAATCAACATTCAAAACAAGTTCATCGGACTTTCTCAGTGGTGACGATGATGATCGAGAAGTGGCGAGTAATTTCGATACGAGATTATCTCCACCGCCCATTTCTCCTTCCACTCAATATGGTTATTTATTAAAACATGATTATGAACAAATTATTCAGCCAACTTTATCTTCTTTCTCGGCAAAACTCAACCAAGTCAAAGAGCATTCCACTGAAAATATGTCATCACCCAAAGCAACAAAACACGAAACACGTGAGTTTTTCTTCCATGGCATCTTATCTTCGCAATCCTTCCTTTCCTTTTCTTTCTAGAAGAACCGCAAAATCAAGACAACCGCATTCCGTCTACCCAATTCGCTAACGAAAATCAAGTGATTCCTATTGAAATTACCAGTAATCCACCAAATAATAATGATCATACATCTCAAATCGATTCCGCACATTCAAATCCTCCGATCGTTCGCACTTCATTAAATGACTTCGATTCTAATCATTCATCCTTTCTTGTTCTACCCCCGTTTAACACACTTCATAAAACAGATAGAACACACTCTGATCAGGAACAACTACTAGATAATGACAAAAGTACTCCGTTTCTTACCACTTCTCCATTCAACACGATATTGAGCAGTTTAAAAAGTATGCACGAAAAAGATCTGAACTTTGGTGTTCATACCGGCGATGACAAACTCATTCCTGTTACCGATTAGCTCTTTTAGTTTCTCATATACAAATCTGTGTGTGTGTATTACTTAACAGCCAAAACAGTGTTTTGAATAAACTTGTAGAAATGTAGTTTGCTATTCTTTTTTTCTTCTTCTAGGGAATTCTTTTTTCTGCTTTATTTATTCCAAAAACTCTTTTAGTATCTGGAACTCTAGCTCGCATTTTTCTGTATAAATATGCATTCTTTTTTTTGCTGTGCGTGTGTTTTTATCAAACAGTAGATTATTAAAAAAGAAAATAAACAATAAGTTTTCAATTCACTTCGCATTACACCAACGTATCTAAATAAAAAGGTGATAGTTGTCTAGTAATTCGAGACCGATTCTTCTTATCATCTCGTAATATATGTGTTCCAATTGTTTTGTACTCGATCAAGACATTCGTTTCCTATGCTTGCCAATTCACCTCCGCATGTTGATGTTATTTCAACACCAACAACTGATTTCCGCTACAAAGCGATTGTCTACGTTCTCATCGCACTTTTTGGCTTGGGCACATGGACAAATCTAGCAGGCGTTTGGATTGAACTTCCCATTATCGTACCTGTCTTACCAGAATCATGGCAATTACCCGCAAAGTTGGCCTTATTAATAAATTCAGCAAGTCTTTTTCCAATTATAATTGTGTTTGCATCGTTAATCTTCAAATTGAATACTGCTTCATTTGAAGTGTCCGTGAATTTTGTACTTTTAAGTACAAGTATAGTGTTAGCTATTGCATTTGCCTATCTATGGGACAAGACGGCGTTGCTATTCGGTAGAGAACAAAGTGTTTATTTGATGTTCCTATGTTTTATTACCGCGATTGCGGATTGTATGTCATCAACGACATTTATTCCATTTTTACATCGATATGAGCCGATTTATTTGAATGCATATTTCACAGGTGAGGCGTTCACAGCTCTCCTCCCAGCGATGTTCGGTGTTGGACAAGGAATTGGTAAATCCGATTGCCAGTTAATTGCTAATAGTACCTTTGTTGAAATTCAGCATGCACCGCGGTTTTCAGTTCGAACGTATTTTCTTCTCTTAAGCTCCTTGCCATTGTCAGCTCTATTAGCATTTTCAATTCTTCGTCTGATGAAAACAGGTCGTTCAAAAGTAAAACCTCCCGAACCCAAATCAAAACCGCGAGTGTTCATTCTCTTGGATAACATTAACCACGTTGGCTTAATTGAGCAAACAATGGACACGATTAATTCCATTGAAATGAAATTAAAACGCGGAAGAGCACAATCGAATTGTTTGAAAACATTCATTCTTTCAGAATTAGGTATTTATTTATTTATACTCTTTCAAGCAAGCGCTATCCTCTACGGAATCTGTCCTGGCTTAACTACTTTTTCATTGAACGCATACAGTGCAACGACCTTTCATTATACAATTATCATCAGTATGGAAACTAAATGAAAACGAAGCTTCTTCGTCGTCTACTTTTCTTTTCTCCAGGTCAATTTGCGTATCCAATCATTGCCTTACTTGCAACTTCAACACCAGAACTACCATCGAAGATAATCTATTCAATTTATATTGCCACTCTTGTACTTTTTGCGTATATTCTCGTAACCGTAGGTGGTAACAGAATGAATCTCGAAACAGTAATGTACCTTTTTTTCAGGCGAAAATGTCACCATGTCCTCCGCTAGTTAATCAAACCATTGGTCATGTCATTATCGTAAGTATAATCATCACGTGATTAGCGATAAACGTCCTTTTTCTTGTAAATTATTTCAGTTTTCTGTTTGGATCTCAATTCATTTGACTGGCTCGTATATACGGATATCGATGGGTAATTATTTTCGTCGAAACCTTGGCCATCGCGGTCTAGTGTGGTTTGGCGTCAGTACTCAATCAGGCTCATTGGTTGGTGCAATCATAAATTTCTTCTTAACGAACACGTTTCAGCTATTTCAAGAACGAAATACTTGTGAACAAACACTACGATGTGTTTAGAAGAGTAAAGCGACGTGAAACTTTTTATCATCTTCACCATGTTAACACATTCCTTTATGAGAATAAAACACCTGGCGTACTCGTACTTTCTCGTCTTTATTGTCATATCAGAACAGGCAAAGGTTTTTTTCTCGTTTAATATTGTTCGGCTCCATGTGCGTGCCTTTTTTTACAGTTATTTTGCGTTTTCTTTCGCATTAAACAACTGAGGAAAAAGGTTCCTTATTTTAACAACTGACATTTTTTCTCCGATAAAGTCTGTTTGTTTGTATCGTCGTTGTTCACAGTTCAATTTTGTCGTGTGTCAGCAATTTTAAATTACGAGAAGCATAAAATGGGCAATCAAACAAGTTCTGGCGAGATTTTAATGGATGAAACCAAAGATTTACTTATGCTAAGGACTGGTAAAGTGCTATTTCTTTATTACTCACGAAGAATGTCATTACATCTTGTCTAGGAATGTCAAAATATGATTTAGAATTATGGTACAAAGCAATATTTGTAAGTTATGATATATGTGAAATAGTAGAAACATTGCGACGTTGTTTCTCTTTCTCTCTCTCTCCCAATAGGACCGTTCAACGAAAGGCAAATTATCTAAACAGCAAATGATTTCGATTTATAAAGATATGAGTGACCTTGATTCGCAGCGTATTAGTGAAGTCGTCGACTCGTTAGCAAAAGTGTTCGATGAAGATGAAAGCGGAACTGTTGGTAAGGACGTGCGTGCTTTTTTTCCTTCTTCATTCCATACAACGAGTGTTGTAGATATCAATGAGTTTATGCGAGGCTTTATTTTAACAACTAAAGGTGATTTACAATCGAAGATTGAGTATACATTTCGCATCTACGATCAAAACAACGACAATCAAATATCCGGTGAGGAGATAAAACAAATGGCGAATGTAATATACTGATTCGATCTGAAAGACAGTGGAAATCTATAGGATTGTCTTGTTTCTTGTATTTAGTCAGTTACGCGAATGCTGGGTGGTGATGAAACCGGTCCTGATCAAGCATGCATTGCAATCATACAACAATTCTTGAAACAATTTACCGGACAAGGAAACGGTGTTATTTACAAACATGACTTCATTCGAACTGTCATGCAAAATCGCGAACTTTTAGCAATACTTTCACCATTTTATGGTATAAATTTTTTAAATAACAAAAGGAGATCAAATATTTAAAGGTTTTCTTCTAGTTTCTAGTAATCATCGTATGTAGTGATCGAAAAGCAAAGTCAATAACGAACTACTCTCACGTCAGATGAACAATTTAGCTTCTTTTGTTTTGCTCGTGTTGTGTACATTTCTGATTAAAACTATTTGCTTTTCTCAATCTCGTCTTTGTGTATTTTGAGATCAATTAGATCAAAAAGAGAACATGTGTTGTTGTTTTGTTCATCCTTTTCTCTCTTCTACTCAATTAAACAAATGAATTCATGACGAAATTCGTGTTCAATCCATTGTCATGCAAAAGCGATCGACATTACTGTAGGTTTCTCTTAATAATATCATTAGTCCGTTGTCAGATGCACGTCTTGATCAAGCATTAGGCAAAGATGACAAAACGTAACAAGACCGGATGTTTTCTGACATAATTCAATCGCTGATGGGGAGAGTACTCTAATCCCGTCAGAATACGCATGTGTTTGTTGAACGGAGAGAAACGAAGCTAATAGTTTATCTTCTTCTTCTTTTTCGATACCAACTGCTCGATGATAAAAGAGACCTATATACTTGTCCGTACATTCATTAATAACAAATGTTTCACTGTCAACTTCAACGATCTTTTCATTGAACAAAAGACGATGATAGAACAAGGATGTGTGGGCGCAGAATTGATTGCGTCATTATTTAGCGAATTGTTCTCACATGTGTATCATTTTCTCGTTTCTTATGTTCATGTCAACATCACGCATATCACTATCCTATTACTGTTTGCATCCATGTGTGCAAATGTTCTTCGGTCCTTGAAAAGGTGCGATAGATACAAACAACAAGAATAATAATAGTTATCTCTCATTTTTCATTCTGCCATCTTCACATCTTTCGCGTGAACAACTGATGATAATGATCAGTTCCGTCTGCTAGGTTTTCTGCTTGTTTTTTGGTTATCTGAAAGTGAACGTGCGTGTAACTGCATTAGATACATCTACTTTTTCTTTTCTTCTCTTCGCTTATTAACTTATCGAACGGAAGAAGAAACAATCTCTCGTGAATTGTTTTCTAAGTAGAAGAAATTGCATCAATGTCAAATCGTCTTTCAGCTTGTGCGTGCATTCGTTGAGTTCATCGATCTTCTGACGAGCCGCGTCTTGACAGTCAATGTGCTAATCGTTGATCTTGAAAAACGTTATTAGTCAGGAAAAGTATGAAACAAATGTTGATTTGTTGTATCTTCCTGATTAGATCAGTTCACGGAGAAAAGCATCGATGTCTAGTTGCGACAAAGAAGGTTAACTGAACACTTCAACATGAGCCTAATTGCCTATTCTTATTCATTATCCCCTACAAAACATTCTTGACAAGTAGCTGCGAGTTTTTTTTATTTGATTTCTCCCCATGTAATACAAGATATTTATAGATATTGTTAAACACTGATAATATGCACGTTTATATCCTGTTTTATCTGCTTCCGACTCTATTCGCTTATGATTGTGATGAAATATGCAATGTAACGTTTAGTATTAGGGAAAATACATTACATAATGAATTACGATGGAATTTAACAGCATTGTTGACGAATCGAACGGTGTTATTCAAATATTTTCAGTTTTCCTTGTCGAATCCATCGAAATATTTTCAAATCAACTCGCCGATATTACAATATCGTCTAAAAGAACTCGATCGAGAAGAAATTTGCGAAAATTTCCATTCCAACGACGAATGTTCATTGCAATTACAAATCTTCACCCAAACTTCATTTATAATCATTTTCAAATTGATTATCTTAGATGAAAACGATTGGAAACCATTCTTTCCTCAAGATTATGTTCCATTGACAATTCGAGAAAATCTTCCATTGAACTATCGAGTACAATTACCGATTGCTTACGATTATGATTCGATCGAATACAATATCGATCATTATGAATTCATCAAAACCATCGACGAAGTCGAAAGAATATTTCAATTAGAACAAACACCGGACGAACTTCGATTAAAACTTATTCGGACGTTAGATTGTGAAACAACGAACAATTATCAGTTATACATCATTGCCATCGATAAGGGTGGTTACAGATCGAATATCTTGTAAGTAAAGATTCCTGTTCATGACGCACTTCCGTTGTTAACCTAAGGGGCTAGTAAATTTATGCACCTGTTTTATTCCTTAGACACGTTAATGTCACCGTTGGCGATTTTAATGAATATCAGCCGAGATTTACTCAACGCCTTTATCATACCAGTATATCGGAAAACTTTTCAAGTATAAACTCTTCACCGATCCTGCAAGTAACGGCCATTGATGACGATTGCTATGACCGAGTTATTCTCTATACAATTCTGAATACTGATCTTCCTAATGAAATGTTTCCATTCAATATTGACAATCATACTGGTTCGATTCGAGTTCGATATGCACTTGACTATGAAAACATTTCTACATATCGCTTTCGTGTGAAAGCATCGAATCTCGATGGAGTCACTTCGAGTATTGTACCAATCATCATCGATATATCAGATGTGAATGATAATCGACCAATGATACAGATGAATATTTTGAATGAATATAAACGCGAAGAGAACGAGGAGAATTTGATTATCAATCTCAACGAGAGTATTCGGTTAGGACAAGTTATTGGAAATATTTTACTACGTGATCTCGATTCTGCAATGATTAATTATCGATTGTCATTGAAAATCGTCTCTTGTCTACCGTTATCAATGGCCTGTCCGATTGAATTAGACTCGGGGATGGAAAATCATACCTGGAGTTCAACAACCTATCTAATAAAAACAACGAGACAACTGAACAGAGAACACGGAGATAAAGAATTTGTCATCGTTCTTGAAGCCAGTAAGTTTAGAAAAGAATTTAAACGAAATTCACATTCGTATATCATAGGAGACTATGGTGAACCATCGTTAAGTAGTCAACGACGTTTAATTATTCATGTCAATGATGAGAATGATTGTGCACCAAAGTTTTCTCATTTGAATTATCAATTTCAATTGTCGAATGCTTCATTACTTGGTTCTCTCATCGGACAAGTCCGCGCACATGATGATGATCACTTGCCCGACCACCGCCGTGTTCATTATAAACTATTTGAATACAATCATCAGAACATCGTTCGGATCGACCCGACCAACGGAAGTCTTTTTCTAGTGAGAAGACCGACAACTACGACAAAATTCAATCTGACTGTTTTCGCCATCGATCAATCGAACCATTCATTATTTGATCAAGCAAATGTCGAAATTCTATTCCATGATGAACTGAATTGTTCAGTTATGTTTACTCAAGCAGTTTTTGTGTTTAATACAACAGAACATCAAAGAATACCATACCAACTTGGTAACATTTGTCAGGAAGTTTTCGTTTTTCATGTTCTTTTGCATTTAAAGGTCAAATTCATGTCAATGACTGTGGTTCGACATCGTACTCTGTAGCTGAACACAATTCTTCGTCGATATTTCCATTCATTGTCGATGCTCATTCAGGTGTTATAAAAGTCATTCGCGAATTAGATCGAGAAACACAATCTTTCTACAAATTTCCGATCAAAATATCAAATTCAACAACTCAAACCGAAATTCACGTCAACATTCTCGATCGTAACGATCACTATCCAATATTTGATGATTCCTTCGAACAATACATCTACGTATCAACAAATCAATATTATCATCAGAACAATCAAATATTTATCACACATATCCATGCAACAGATCTCGATGACGATGTCAATGGTCTTGTCAATTATTATTTTACCAATAAAGATCATTATAATTATTTTCATATCTATTACAACGGATCTGTTATATTGTACAATTTGCATAATCTTCGTTTACCGATTCGTTTGGAGATTTACGCGCGTGATCATGGTTATCCTAAAGCATTGGAATCGAAAGAAACGCTTGTTGTCTATGTATGTGATATCTTCGCGCAGAATGAATGTCCTTCGAATAAATTGCGACGAAATTTCTATGTCGGATCAATTATCATAATGATCATTGTAGTTTTATTTCTGTTGACTATTATTATGTGTATTATTTGGAATTTATTCATTAAAGATTATTGCAAAAAGAAGGAAGATAAGAAATCGTACAATTGTCAAATGGAAGCAAGAAAAAATTTAAGTATGAAGATCATCTTCTATTGACTTGTTCATTGATTTGATTTTTGGGGTATTTTTTAGTTGTTTCAGATAGTCTCTATGATGAATCTCAATCGATCTATGGAAATCATTATTCAAAGTGTGCTGCTGTGTAACTTTTTGGTTTAGATTTTGACAACCGGTGATGTCGCATCTCATACATATAAGGAGAAGGTTGATGGAATGGATTTAAACTTTATTCAGTGTATAGTTTTTTTAACAGTATATATATATATACGACGTGTGTGTATTTACCCTGATGTGTTCTAGTAGAGAAGATTCTGTTTCAAATAAATTCTACTAACATACAAAAGTTATAGTTAAGTTTAGTACTATTTTTAGGTAGATGACTAGTTGAAGCAGATGTCGTGATCAGCTAGGAGTCCAGTATTTACCGTTGATGTCATAACCATTTGGACTTCAGACGACTTATTTCTTAGAATTAGAAACATTCCAGGCACTCTCCTAATCATTGTTCATTGTTTTTCTTATTTAAATGGGGTTTTATTAAGAAATCGAATTGTATTCTAATCGACCTTTAGAAGAAAAATGATGTCATCTAGATTATTGTTCAATCTTGCAACGAATCATCGCTATCGATCATTTGGACTTTTGAAAAATGTTCAACTTGCATTCAAACGATCATCGGCTACAATACCAGCAGCACCTGTTCGTACACCATTGCGTAAATAATCTCATGTATTTTCATCGAACGTTGATATTTGTTCTTCTTTTACAGCACCACTATCCGCCGGTGCAAAACAACGTATAGGTCTATGGCTTGCTTGGACAGCAGGGATGACCGCAGGTGCTGTTGTTATTGGCGGTTTAACACGTTTGACTGAAAGTGGTTTATCAATGACAAATTGGCATTGGTTGAACGACATGAATCCACCGCGTACGACTGAAGCGTGGCAAGCAGAATTTGAACGTTACAAAAATTTTCCTGAATACGAACAAATGAATCGCGAGATGACATTAGATGAATTTAAAAAAATCTACTATATGGAATTCGCACATCGTATGTGGGGTCGTGCGACGGGATTAGTATTTGCATTTCCAGCATTGATGTTTTGGTATCGCGGCTTATTTGATAGAGCTATGAAAATTCGTGTTTGTGTCTTCGGTGGATTGATTGCAGTACAAGGTGCGCTCGGTTGGTATATGGTGAAATCGGGTTTACACAAAGAAACATTAATTGATGGACGTGCAAGTGTTTCACCGTATAGATTAGCTGCACATCTTGGTACAGCATTCGTTCTCTATTCAGGTCTACTATGGAATTCGTTTAAGTAAGATTTTCAATTCCATAATAAGACTCAACCTGATCTATGTTCATAGATATTTAACCAAGCCTGATGTTTACGCATCGACACGTGTTCCACGTGGGTGGGCAATGGCTGTTCACGGTTTATTAACATTAACATTGGTGACTGTTGTTGCTGGTGCATTTGTTGCTGGTTTAGATGCTGGTCTTGTGTATCCAACATTTCCTAAGATGGGCGATTATTGGATACCACCGGAATATTCTGAACTATCACCTTGGTACAGAAATCTCTTTGAAAATCCTGTTGCCGTTCAATTCAATCATCGTGTCCTTGGTCTAACAACCACCGCATCTGTTTTAGCTTTTTCATTAGCTTCACTTTCAGTCAAACTGGGTCGTCGTGCTGCAACAGCTCGAAATTTACTTGCAGCTATGGTAGTTTTACAAGCATCACTGGGCATTGGAACGCTTCTATATCACGTGCCAGTATCCATGGCAGCTGCACATCAAGCAGGTTCACTTGCTCTCCTCTCATTTGCACTGTGGTTAGCTTTCAATTTGAAACGTGTACCGAAAATTTAGTTGATAAAACTTTCGTATACATCTATGGAATATACTCTGCTTGTTCCTTTTCTAACAGGGAAACAAAAGGGTCACACATAAGCAGACAATATTTATTGAAATAAAAGACGAAACTCACACATAGATTATCACAAGTATTCGACCAATTGTTGAGAATTTGTTTATTTAAGATCAATAAAAAAATAGTCAGTTTGTTTAGTCATATACAGATGAAACACAAGCAAAACATTCTCAAGAGTAAATATGTTTGCAATGCATAAAAAAACCGTCCTACACTCATTTCTTTTTTCATCTTCACAGTGATCATCACATTACAAGGCAACATTATAATTCACTGTTTTCAAAGTATGGAAATCTATGGACTCTTTTTGTTTTTCTTTGTGTGTTTATGTAAAGCAAAGCTGAGTGAAGGAGAAAAAAGTGGTTTTGAAAAAAATAGAAAAGAGAGACAGGGAGGAGAAATGGAATTTGAAAGTAATATAAACTAATCTAAATATATATATTCAGTTCCGCATGGTCTAACAGTATATCTTCAGATGAAAGATCAATCGGTATAACCATAGGATGCATAGTAACGATGCCATGGTTCAGAACTCTACAAAGAATACATTTGTACTTTGAAGAAAACAGAAAATATCTCACTCACATAGTGATCGAGGTTGCGACGAAGAGTATGAATAACTTTACCACTAAGATCAGTAGCTGGTGAGTATCGATAACGGTAACGGAATGAATCACGGTGCAGTGTTGGACTCATTGCGGAACGCGATGGACTACGTGAATAAGTATCTAAAGGTAGAAAAAATATGTTTGAAGAGAGCTGTCTATGAATAAAGTCGATCACAAGTGCTAAGGATGGGGAGCTACAATAGGTATTTAAAGGTCATGTTACCCTGATGATAATGATTTGGGTCCTTTTTTCGAAAACAAGCGATAAGAATCCGATTCGGATTTGGAAAAGCAGGAACTTACCAACATCTTCGACGTAATCATCATAGTCATCGACACGATATCGACGGGGTGACGGTGAGCGACGTGATGGAGATGGAGAACGACGAGATGGCGATGGTGAGCGCGATCGTCCCCTCATCGAAGTGATACTTCGACCAAGAACAGGCGATAATGATTGAGAACGATTCAGCCCGCTTTCATACAATGACAATGACATTGACGTATCAGGTCGAGCAGCAGTATAATCATTAATAACTAAACTATCGGTGAGGACGGTATGGGAATCGGGTTTACGACCAATTAAATCATTCTTAACCTAATGAAAACATTTATAATAGTTTTGATCGAAACATATTCTTTTGAAACAAAAGAAACTTTCTTACATGACGAACAACAAAAGGTGGTCGACCTTTTGTTTTATCTTGAGGAACAATAGGGTTGATCTCGCGATGAACAGCTAATTCACGTAACTTCTCCTTCGTTTCGGGTAATCCATAATCATTCTTCACCGCCGATGATATTGTATGGGATGTAATCGAACGAGACATATTTGCCGAACTACAATACGATGGAAAAAAAGAACAAATCCTCTCTCTCTATATTTAAGTAAAACACATACTGATTCGAAAAGGAAGACGATGGTCGCAATGTTGGCGATTTTGCTCGTCTAATCTGTAGTACAACAAAGCAAAATATATTTTCCTTCGGGACGAACTTGCAAATCTTACGGTTTTGGTTTGTCGACGATATGTTGTTGATGGTAATGGCACACCAGTAACATCATCAACCGATGGACTAGTACTAAATTCAAAACTTGGTGAAATACCTGGAAATTCCACCGTACGATTAAGAAGCACATAACGGCGCAATCCAGTGTATTCAAGACGATCCCATGAGTACGGATAGAGAAAATCTTTAGCACTTGCTTCATAGCTAGCCAAAAGAATCGGCGTGGGAAAGTCCTTTTGAATCAGTTCGATTAGAACATGTTCACCTAGATTACTTCGGTTTCATCTCTTAGAATAATTCAAATCATCTTACGTTCTAATCGTTGAATAACATCGTCCGGTTCATAACAAAATTTAAAAACCTAATGAATAAAAGACAAACACATGTACAATTTTCTCTGATCGCTTTGTTTTTCCTATTCAATTTACTTTATCAAAATAGAGTTTTTGATCGATATGCATTGGCAAAAACGATGGCATTAACCGGCTTTGCTTATGCATACCCAATAGGCATATATTCACATAGATATCACCTTGCTTAATTAAACGAGTACCGGGCGCATCCACAGCATGAATATTGAATTCCACCGAATATCGATAATCTCTCGTTGGTGTTGCCATTTCACTTTTCTTTCGTGAAGGTGATTGAAAGAATGCAACAGACGACGAAAATAAATATAAGTGACTTGTAACCGCAAGGGATTCCAATACGCGCTGCCATTTTTCGATACGGTTTTGACTGTTGCGATGGCAGCCTTCTTTGTATCTTGCTTAGAAAATCATTCTGTGCTAAAATTCAAAATAGCCGATTGTTTTTCTTGATTATCTTCGATTGATTTCGATTGTAATTCAATCGTGCTATTAGCGACATCTAGACGTAATTAGAAAATATGCGTAATAATCATTAAAATATATTTAGGACGTAAGAGAATGATTTTCTTGATTGTTTGGAATATTTAACAAATTAATCGAAGACTTTCATAAGTATCCAATGGTGAAACGTTGTCATATTGAAAGAAAAAAAAATATTTCTCGTTCATTCGTTTACACCTTTGTTTACTTCTATGATCAGCCGTTAAAAGCCCCCATTGAGTTATATCTTCATGACTTTTTCAGATAGACTTGAATAAATAAAAGAATGACAGATGAGAAACAAGAGTCAGCCAAAGAAGTCGATGTGTGGATCGAGCAATTAAAAGAATGTAAACAACTACAAGAGAATCATGTGAAATTTCTTTGTGAACGAGCAAAAGATATCCTATCGAAAGAATCAAACGTACAAGAAGTTCATTGTCCAGTAACTGTGTGTGGTGATGTTCACGTAAGGAAAAAATATTGAAAACTCGATTCTATGTTTATTTTCTTGGATGTTTACCTTTAGGGCCAATTTCATGATTTAATGGAATTGTTCAAAATCGGAGGCAATGCACCCGATACAAACTATCTCTTCATGGGAGACTATGTCGATCGTGGGTACTATTCAGTCGAAACCGTTACATTATTGGTTGCACTCAAAGTTCGGTATAAAGATCGCATCACCATCCTTCGTGGTAATCATGAATCTCGACAGATCACTCAAGTCTACGGATTCTATGACGAATGCTTGAGAAAATATGGCAATGCCAATGTCTGGAAGTATTTTACCGATTTGTTTGACTATTTGCCGTTGACAGCAATAGTCGATAATCAAATCTTCTGTTTACATGGAGGACTTAGTCCATCGATCGACACGCTGGATCACATCCGAGCACTAGATCGAATTCAAGAAGTGCCACATGAAGGACCCATGTGCGATCTCTTATGGTAAATAAGAAATATTCTTTCAGCTTATGTCCCTGGTGAGGTTTGTTTTTAAACGTAAAAGTTTTGCACAATATTCGACTCTTTGACCTTGATCTAATGAAACGTGCCGTGTACCTAGTAGCTTAGTTTTTTTTTCTGTTCCCTATCCGATACGCATTTTACTGTGCAGTAAACTAATGTACCGATGCGGTTGACAGACGTTTGTCATAATGTTTTTGCGAAATGGCGTACTAATTTGTACTCGACTTCTCCCTTCCTAGACGTTAGTGTTATTGCAACATATACGCTGACACATCCACAGACTAATAGATATTTGTAACGAGATAAGTCCAAAGGTGTTATTATGGATGACTGAATGTGCTATGAATAGGAATACTCTCTGAAGAACCATCTGTGAGAATTGAATAAATTATAGTTTTACGCGACAAGAATGTTTTCGCAAGAGAAAAACAACTCGTGTCTATTTTAATATTCCATAGATAAGGACTCTCGAAGAACTCATTGTGGACATATAAGTTTCAAGGTTATTAGATCATCAAAAAATCGTTCAGTTTTTTTTTACGTCATATTTCACCTCGGGCCACATAGAACATTTTCCATTGCAATTTCAGGTCTGATCCCGATGATCGTGGTGGTTGGGGCATTTCACCACGTGGTGCCGGCTATACATTTGGTCAAGATATTTCCGAAACATTCAATCACACCAACGGCCTCCAATTAGTCTCTCGTGCCCATCAATTAGTTATGGAAGGTTTGACATATTTTGATTGTTCCACTTCCGATTCTCATGAGACGTTGTTTTACTAGGTTATAATTGGTGTCACGAAAAAAATGTTGTGACAATTTTTTCAGCACCTAACTATTGCTATCGCTGCGGTAACCAGGCAGCGATTATGGAGCTCGATGATTCATTAAAATATTCCTTTCTTCAATTTGATCCAGCACCACGACGCGGCGAACCGCATGTCACACGTAAAACGCCTGAGTATTTTCTCTAAAAACCATATCTTTGAGTATATAACGTATAGGAACAAATCGTTACTATTTCTAGCGTCTTAGACTTTTGTATACACGCCATGTTCTCTTTTCTTAGGTAAAATTTTCCTTCTGTCTCTGTCGATTTGTTCGGTTCAGAAATGCGCATTTCGAATGCTATTTATTCATTGTGAGATTCAATTTCTCTGTACGTGTGTATCTGTCTTTGTTATGATATTTTTGTTCTCTTTTCACTCTCTGTCGATGAAACAAAGATAAAACCAATGATGATCAATTTATTTTCCTCTGTCTAACTTACGTTCGTTACTATGCATAAGACCTGTCTTTTGAAATATGTGTGTAGTTTTACGGTTGTTAGTTGAATGACAGTTTCAGTGAATCGTTTCTTATTTTTTTCGTACATATCCATTGAAATAAACCTGGAAACTTCTTTTTCTTCTCGAGTTTTTTTTATACTTTTTGATCTTCCTTTTTCCTGTGTGTGAGAAAACAGTTCGCCTGAAGAAATAATCTTTCGTAGAAAACACTCCTGCCAGTAAGATTCCCGTGATATGGTTTCATTTTTCTTCCACACGATGAGTTTGAATCCGGCATGATAAAACTACGAGAGAAAAAATATTAATTGTAACATATCACGATCGTTCGCAAACGGAAGTGTTTCTGCAAAGAAGATCTTCTTTTTTTTTTCTTTCTTCCTTTTTTATCTGCTTTCAATAATGACCATCTTCTTGCATTGCCATTCTTCTTTTAGATTTCTTTTTCTTTTTTCTCATTCGTAAAATGTTCTTTTATTAAACAATCTAATCTATATTCCCAATGACTGTACAATCAAGAATCGGCGAAGATAATAAATCCGGACAATATTCATCTAAAGAACTTGATACCTGGATTGAACAATTGAAAGAATGTAAACCATTACAAGAAAATCATATTAAATACTTATGCGAACAAGCCAAAGATATCTTATCGAAGGAATCTAATGTACAAGAAGTCAAATGTCCGGTGACTGTTTGCGGCGATGTACATGTAAGTATATTTACTCTTAGAACTCGAAAAAAAGAAAAAGAAGAAGGTCGAGTGACCCTTTTGCTTTTGCATAGAATCTTACGTAAACATCCGGTGATTACATTTTCGTTGTGGAGAACCTACCATATATCAGTATTCATATTTTGAACATTTTCAGGGTCAATTTCATGATTTAATGGAACTGTTCAAGATCGGAGGCAATGCACCCGATACAAACTATCTCTTCATGGGAGACTATGTCGATCGTGGTTACCATTCGGTCGAAACCGTTACATTATTGGTTGCACTCAAAGTTCGGTATAAAGATCGCATCACCATCCTTCGTGGTAATCATGAATCTCGACAGATCACTCAAGTCTACGGATTCTATGACGAATGCTTGAGAAAATATGGCAATGCCAATGTCTGGAAGTATTTTACCGATTTGTTTGACTATTTGCCGTTGACAGCAATAGTCGATAATCAAATCTTCTGTTTACATGGAGGACTTAGTCCATCGATCGATACGCTGGATCACATCCGAGCACTAGATCGAATTCAAGAAGTGCCACATGAAGGACCCATGTGCGATCTCTTATGGTGAGTTGTTCGATGATGAAAGCAATGTGGAACTTTTTGAGAATATGATTAGGTCGGATCCCGATGATCGTGGTGGTTGGGGCATTTCACCACGTGGTGCCGGCTATACATTTGGTCAAGATATTTCCGAAACATTCAATCACACCAACGGCCTCCAATTAGTCTCTCGTGCCCATCAATTAGTTATGGAAGGTTTGACATAAGAATAGAAATTCCCTGTGTTCGTTCATATCATTAACTGTTCTTTCTTTTTCTTACATCTGCTTAGGATACAATTGGTCACATGACAAAAATGTTGTAACAATCTTTTCAGCACCCAACTACTGTTATCGTTGCGGTAACCAGGCAGCAATTATGGAGCTCGATGATTCATTAAAATATTCCTTTCTTCAATTCGATCCAGCTCCCCGCCGTGGCGAAATTCAAGTAACACGCAAAATACCTGACTACTTTTTATGATCGATATGAATAGGATTTGTTCTCTCTTATATATAGTACACGCGTGCTGATTAATAAATGAGTTTGTGCGAAAGAGAACCAGAGAGAGAGAGAGAGAGAGTGTGTGTGTGTGTGTGTGTGCGAGAGTGAGGGAGTGCAAAAAAAACACATTTATGTCATTGACACATTTCTTTATTATACATTAAAAAATCAACATAAATATTACTTCCTTGTCACCCTTCATTGTGTGCGTCTTGAATTATGTCTTATATGATTTATTTGTTGATTGGAATCATAAATACTGTTATCGAATGGTCGGTCACTATTGGTTACCAAGAGTGTGGCCGGTTTAGGGTTCGGTAAAGACATACGTTCTCGTTTGTGTCGATGTGTAGTGGAAAGAAGTTTGGACATTTCGGAAAGGAAAATTCGTTTGTTGGTCAACGGTGTGGATATTGATTTTGGTGGTTGAGTGTCAAGTAGAGATTGAGAACTTGCTCGACGTTGCTGACTTCTTTGCTTGTGAAATTCCCCAATCAGTGTCTGAGGATCAGCCGAGAGATCCTAAAACGACAAAGTAGATCACATGAAAAGAAAATCAACTGAACAATCATACCTGCAACGATGCAACCAAATGAAATCGATGTCGACTCTGGTAAGGTATACTCTTCTCTTGCTTTTCTGTCTCACTGAATTCGCCTGTCCATTTCCAGTATTGAAAAAACCCTGTCCAATCTCTTGAGGAGATCAACTGCATATCATGCTGAAAATTTTTGCGATAATTCGTTCGTGCTTGATCGATATACGTTTCTAACAACTGCTCATCCCATGTACCTGACAATTTACTGAGAATTTCATTTAGATTTGTCGCATATCGACATGGTGCATGACTTTCGAGGTTCCATTCGACAACGAGATTTTCTTCGGTTAGACCAACTAGCACATCGTGCGTATGTTGACGCACAAACTGGAAATGTTGACAGTGAAAATTGTGCGGGACAAAGCCACGAACTAGGCGAATACAATTGTTATTATCATTGTTTTGTAACGTTATTTGTTTAATCAATTGTCCGATATTTGCGGTTTGAGTGGAATGAAGGTAGATTTCCGGTTGATCAACTTGCTGTTCGGGCGATGTAGCAATGAGAGAATATCGACCGGGATGAGTCATTTGTAGAAACACACTGAAACCTTTTTCATCCAAACATTCTAAATAATCATTATTCATATTCTGATGAGCGTCAGCCGGACGATGAATACGTTGGCCATGGAAAAAAGCTCCTGGAGAGTATTTCTTCGTCAACCATGTAGACGCATTCGGTTCAAGGTAATAAGCATGGGTGCGATCGCGGGACATAAACACGGTCAAACATTTTCTTTGACTGGCAAACTCGATTAATTGTTGAAGATTGGAAAAGATTTTACTGCATCGCTGACCGTTAAGAATAAATTCAAATAGACCTACAAAAGTATATATAAATAATATATCTTAAATATCGATTCTTACCTTTATACAAATCAGTGGTCGCAAATGTACAATGACGCGGATAAATTTCGAATTGATTATCATGTTTTTCTGATGGTCTCAAAGGTGAAAGTAACATTTTAGTTGAAACCATACGATCAAAGAATAAGATCGATTGACTGGCATAATCTTCATTACCTGTCTCATCCGAATCATCCGTATTGCAAAACGATACCAGCAACGGGAGTTGATTGGACGTTCGCTTAAGGATGTGTTTTAACGAACTGTACGTCTCACTCCAAACACATTGAGATACGATTTGTTCACGAAGATTCATATTTCCTTGTTTACTATAACTTTTCAAGATACATCTGACGATTGTACATTAAGGGTGAAATATTATTCGTTTTACTCTACGCATGACTGACCAGATATGTATGATGCGTATGTCTTTTTCGTTGCCGATGTGAAGAAATAACAGAAGAACGAGAGAAAGATGAGGAAATAGTTATGATATAAAGAACAAGCTAGAAAATGTGAAAAGATATCGATATTTAGCGTCGAAGTACGTCTAAATCAAGCGGAAAAGGAGAAAAAAAACCGAGCCGATGTAAATAATTATACATTCACTCGTCGTTTTTTCGAAGTAAGTTTTAATTGATGTATTTATAAAAACGTGTAATGAAACTTGTTTTTTCATCGAAATATTAATTGAAAATGCCGTCAGATAGACGCGAGTACCTGATATTATTGCAACTAAATCATCATTATCTCAACGAATGGCTAGTTATCTACGTCATTATACCTCGCAACGATTAATTATTTCAAATAGCCTCATGATACAAATTTAGACTTCTTAATAAAGATAATAATAGCACCGTAACAGTAAATATCGATGGTACGATAAGACGAAAACAGATATAAAGAAGTTTGTGTTCGATAGAACGAGAAAACCTTGATGATCGTATCAATATTGAAAAATGAATTTTCTTCGTATGTGAAAAATGCGAAGGTGACAACAAAACGACTGATTGTATCTATGAGAAAAGTCCAAGCGACGCACATGACGTCAGCCAAGCATGAATATTTTGTCAATAAAGATAATAATCACATATTTTCTAAAAAGAATGTTTCTTCAATCATTCGCCCCGAGTTTGAGTTACGGAAGATTTGCTCAAACAAAAGTCACGCTTTCTATTTGTCGAAAGACATTTGCGTTCTTGCATATTTTTGTCAGTGACAACATTACACTAAACGAATCGATTATGAAGTCACATTAATCAAGCTGACATGTTGCTTTGTACTATCGATCCTGTTGTTGATAATCAATGGATATTTTCAACTTTCGTGTAATATCACGGAGTGCTTCGCTTTTTATATAAGTCGAAGTTTTAGCGTGTGAGTATTTATTCGTAAATGATCATTATCAAGACATGAAAATTTATGTATGCCTTGTGTTATTGAGGATCGTTCATCAGTTTGATGAGCAACTTGTAGGTTTTAAAGTACCATTGCACATACAAGCATATGCGTTTTGACTGCTACCAGTGCGTATGCATCGACCAGGTGAACAGTTCAATGGACAATCTTGAAGTAAAACGAATAATCGAATTCGTAACAAACAGTAATCGATATTATACCTGATGTTGAAGCTGTAATCGGTGTTTCACAGTTTTTGCCAGTAAATTTACTGTTTGATCCACAGTAGCAAAAATATGAATTGCCACTATTGAAACACGTACTATTATTTTCGCATGGCTTATTTGCACATGTGATCGAAGCTAGAAAAAAAAAACAGACGTTTATTTTTAAAGTAGAAAGTAGTAACGAAAAAAATATTCGTACAGCCGGGTTCAGTTACTGGTGCAGCTGTGGTCGTTTTCACTATGTCACATGTAGGGCCGCCATAAGGAGAAGGGCAAACACAAACGAAACTGGCACTTCCTTGTTTGTAGCATACACCACCGTTATTACAGGGATTTGTCGTACATGGGTTGACGCCTATATAGAAAAAGAAGTTCATGATAAAAAGAAAAACAGAAATAAACAATGATCTACCAGGTGTAGTAGCAACTGTTGTTGTTGCAACATTAGGACTGGAACATGTTGCACCCGTCCATTGTGGACTGCATAGACAAACGAAACTATTGCCTGTGTTAAAACATGAGCCTCCATTTGAACATGGTCTGTTCGCACAGTTACCAGGAACTGTTAAAACGGCACAAAATTTTGAATGAAATCAGCCTTTTATTACGATTTATCTCACTTAAAGTTACACCCGTTCCGTTTGTTGCGGTCGGTGGTAAAGACGTTGTTGTACTCGTGACCGTTGTGACCGGTCCTACGGTTCCAAGTGGTGTTTCACAGCGTACTCCTGTGTACGCTGATGAACAGTTACAATAGGGCATATTACCAACGGTAAAACAATTGCCATTGTTCTGACAAAATCCAGCAGGACATGCACCTGAAATACATATCAACAGGAGGGTTTTTACATGTATTTTCCATTCGCACAATCTGTTTACTATCGAGGTCAACATCGCAGAATTTGCCTGTCCATCGATTTTCGCAATTACACATGACCAAAGGTCCGTTTGGTCCAACAAGTTGGACACAAGTACCATGTCCTTTGCAAGTGTTTGCATCACATTGAGTTACAGCTAAACAAACGACAAACATACTTTCCTATCATCACATTCAATCATTCCATACTTTCTTGTTGATCACAGTTCACTCCAGTCCATCCTTGCGCACATTTACACATGTATCCCGCGCCATTAATTGTGCATGTAGCTCCATTTTTACAAACCACGCTTGGCATTGTTGCACAAGGATGCGTTGCTAGAAATAGAACAGTAATAAAAGTACTTTTCGTTGCGTCATTTGTGTACCTAGTATATTTGTTTCACATTGACTGCCAGTATATTCTGCTGGACATTTACATGCATACGTATTTGTACCTGTTTGTTCGCAAGTACCACCATTCTGACAGCCATTCGGGCATTCAGACGCTGAAAACGAATACAGTAAAGGAGTTTGCAACGAAGTGAAAACGAATAGATTACGTGTAGTAACAGCTGTATCACACCATTTGCCTGTAAAGCCAGCGCTGCATTCGCACTTGAAACAGTCTGAACTTGCCTTATCTTCCACACAACGCCCATTTTCACACTGAACAAAGTCACAGAAGGCAACTAAAAAAGAACAATTTGAATGAATTTAAAAAGTCAATCTAAAACAACTTGATACATACCGTCTGGATTTGCACAAGCATTCGGTTCAGCTTGTAGAAGCGAGCCGTACTTCGATGCGCTAATGTGTACTACTGTTAGTACAAGAACAATCCATTGAATAATCATCATTGTTTCACAAACGAGAAAGCTTGTAAATTGCAGAGCAACACAAAATTTGAATAGTTTGTAATGTTCGATTTTACATCAATTTATACGAATTTATTTATTAGCCTTGGATTACCTCAATGCCAAATAAACATCTGATATATGACTGTAGGATGGAGATTAAAAAAAACGAGAAAAAAAAATCAATCATGAAATTGATATAAATGTATTTTTCTTCTTGAGTCAAAAACGGAACAGAAAAAGTGATATCGAAGACGAGTATAGCTTCTATTCATGACATTGGAACTAATTTCTTCTTTTAAATTTTCAAATCTTCGTAAATCAGGTTCCGTTTTTCCTGTTCTCTTCCGATGATTGATGCATGTAGGTGGATAGTTAATTCTTTATTTGTCTTTTTGAAATCAGCTCTTCGCATTACTCATTATAAACAAGAAATATCGTTACTGTTATGTACGCATTTCTTGTTTGTTTTGTAATGGTGACATGACGATCTAATGTAACATCCCACAAACATCGACTAGCTACCAACACACCTTGACTTTTTCTTTGTCCGACAACGACGTGTACGACAATTTTGTAACGTGTGTATGACAATTGTTTGATATCATTCCGTATTCGTTCTGCTAGATTCGAAGAGAACTTTCTTGCACGATTGGCGTCGTAACGATAACTGAGCAGCGCTGTAGCAAGGGTCTCTGATGCTACACGACGTAATTGATCCATATCAACTTTATGATTCTGGTCAGGTTCCATTTGGTATGTACTTTCATATCGAATAGTTCGACGCTCGTAACCATTACGTGGGATGGAGCTTCGTGTTGATTGGCGACGCATCCGAGCGGCGAACATATTAGGATTAAAACCAGGAAAGATTGAGCTACGTCGTACAGATCCATATGCTTTGGAATGATGCTTTTCAGGTACTGGAATATCGATCGATGCTTCCCTTGAAACTGTGTTAACGTTTGCGTCACTCATGATTGAGGCAGCTGAGAAATGAAAGTTAGTGATTGCTCTGACTTGTTTTTAGCGTTTTAATAGGTTTGACTTGTGGCAAATACATTTTCTCTTAATGTGTTTCATTGTCTGTATGGTTTTTTTTGTCGTTTCCTGTCGATTCGATCGAGCGGCTAGCTGAAAGATAATACTTGGTTGAGAAAGAATTTATTCAGCTAGGAAGAAAAACAATCTGTTTAATGATAAACAGTCAAATTCGGAAAATGTGTTCGGAGAAACAGTATTGTGATACAATCGATGTCGATATTGCCCGTTAAATCAAGTACTGTTAGGTTACTCTAAATAAGAAGTGATAAAGGAGAAGAGATGTTGTATTTTAACAAGTTTACCATGGTTTTCTGTTCGAATAATCTTCGAATGCCGTTCGATGTCAATTTGTTTTTCGATAGATTTAATGACTTAGTTTGATTCAATGTTAACTTTTCTAGTTGGTGAACGATCTCGTCAGTAAGATGATTTTCTTTTTGAAAGAAAAATAGAAATTTATGCAATTGTCGCGTTGGTAATTACCTGATAGGTTGATCGAGTAGATGAACATAAAGTTCTCAAAGACTTTCAAGATATTTATCGTTTGATCGACTTTTAAACTTAAGCGTGCAAGTGACAGTTCGAATTTGTCGAAAAATTTCTTCAACACCAATCGAATATTCGAATACACAACTAAACTGTTATCTTGGCAAATTTGTTCGTATGTTAAAATTGGATTTTTTTCAATATAAACAGCTCTGATCTGCAAATCAATCTCAAATTTCCAAAACAAAACTAATGCATTTCAGCCCGACTTACATCAGGCTCATCGATGGGAATGGCCAATTGAATTGTATCACTGTCACACATACCTAATTCCCAATCTTGTTTGTCATATAGTATGACAAAGCAAGCATAGATGTTATAATTATCATACAAACGTTTCAAAACTTGATAGCGGAGATTAGTGATAGTTTCCGATGATGAACTAAAAGAAAGCAAATTTACGTAAACATGATTGGCTGTAATTTACTTCTTACATTGGTATTCGTAGTCTTTTCCCTTCCAATGTGGAATTACTCGTGTTAGCTACACAACGGATGATTCTTGTGTTTGAATCGTAGAGCACTGGTGGTGATAGAATAATTGGTGTGTGGATTGATGATGCAGTAGATGGACGTCGAGATCGAGTTGTGGATTTGGGTGTGATTAATTGTAGTGATGATATCGGTGGATCTCTTTGAAATGGCGTAACAAAGTCTAAATCATCGATATTAAGAATATCGATATCGTCGCATGAGGACAGATCGGTGTCGATGATTGAGCATCGTCGTTTGCGTGCAGGTGTATAAAACGGTGATTGAAACTGTTCGTGAATCGTTGAAAAATCGTCCTCATAATCCCGTTTTTCATGTTTAACAATCGAAGATTTGTTCTTTCTGTTATTCTGACGTAACTAGAAGATCCAATTTGCCGAGTGTCTTTTACATTACTAGTATAACAAACCCGTCGATTGGTCACCATATTTCCATCTGTTCGATTCGGTTTGTACGGGAGGTGTTCGTGAGCATCGTCGAAACTGAGCATTCGTTTATCATCGAAATCACTGCGAACAATCGGTTGAATGCAATAGTTTGGTTCATCTTCTAAACAAATTGATTTGTTATTATTTTATCTGTTCAGAACACTGATAAATATAACTAACGTTTAATCGCAATTAAGAGTAAATCTTTCAGACGATTGACCTTCCTCTGATCAGTTGACAACGTCGCTCGATCGCAATCCATCAAATAGTCAATAGCAGTGTAACCCTACAGAAATATTCACAATTAAAACAAATCTATGACAATCATGTTAAAAAGTCAAACATTGTTTGTCCGAAGATCGATCTTTGCGCCGTATGTTAATAAAACTTCAATCATATCTAACTGGCCTCTATAGCATGCGATAATCAAAGGAGTAATGCCGTTGTTCGTTCTTGCATTTATGTTTCCTTTTCGATCCAAGAGATATCGAACGATATTGATGCATTCAGACTCCATTGCATAATGTAAAGGTGTCTGACCTAGTCTATCCGGCAGATTGATTTCGTCCTATATATAATAACTATTATTATCAATCAAGTAGGTGAAAGGTCTCACTCCTTCAGCGATGAATTGCATTACAGTCTTCAAACCCGTTTTTTCCTTGCATGCTAGATGTAAACGTGTTTTCGAATGACAAATATTGTTCTAGAAAAAAATTCATTTGTGCTACTAATTCGATGAAAGTGTAAAATTGCATTCCTTTTCCACTTACTAGAGTCGTCATTCCCTCCTGCACTTGTTTATTATCGGACTGCATTAATTCGTTGACACAACGTTCAGAGCATCGGAGAATGTCATTGTAGTTTTCCTCAGTTATCGGTGGTTGGATATTTGCCATGAATGTTTCTAAATCTTCATCTAATCGTATATTTGAATCGCGTAATTTCATTGCCAAGACCAATGCAATTGCCATTCTCTATCGGAAATGATCAATGAATTCGACAAGCTAAAAGAAAGAAACGGACATTTTACAATTAAAGTTTGATTGTTTGTTGACCGAGCAACGATCAATGCACGTTGGAAAGTGTTTATTCGTATTTGAAGATCAAGTTTTAGACGGTATTGGCATTTGATGATCTCACATAATGAATAGCCTTGCTGAAAAACAGACATCGATACAAAAATTCGTTTTCCAAATGCCAATTCACATACTTCAATATCAGCATTGACATCTAAACCAATCCGACAACTCATTTCACGTCGAAAATAGTCAATACTCAACTGCCATTCTTTCAAATCTTGACAAATACTTCCCAATGATGAATAAATCGTCGCCATTTGTTCTTTATCCAAGTTCAACTCTTGAGCATGTTTCAACTAACATAAACATTTCACATTTTTCCCTTCAATCGTTTCTCAATCTGTTACTTGTCTCAGATAATAATGATTACTTCGTTCATTTCGACAAAGACTTGAAAATGTATCCGCACATCTTTCAGCGAGCAACATTTTCTTCTGGAGATCACTTTCTTTATCATATCGCTCTTCAAGACCAGTAAGAATTCGTTGAACTAATATATCCATAATAGAAATTTATCAATCCATACAAAACTACATCTCACCCACCATTCGCTAAATCCTGCATTGCTTTTTCTTTTATCGGATTATCGTTATTTTTATAATGATAGATTTTCAATAGATAAACTTTTGCATTTTCATAATCATCAAACGAAACAAGTGTCTAAAACAATCTGCTTCGTGCGATAGCATTCCCAACAGAAAAGCTTACTTGAGCAATGTCGTATAAACATGATAAATAATCATGCGCATTTTTCGTCAAACGTGAATAATGTATCGCTTGTTCCATTGTAGCGAGAATTTCTTTCTTATATTGCAAGTAATTCGGTACACTTAGGTAAAAGCATGATAGTGACGAATGTACACGTGCTAATTCTTGATGTAATTTATGTTTTCTACGAAAAATAAACTCTATTATGAAAATCTTCTTATTCGTCCGGTTTACTTTGCCAGTTCAACAGCTTTTTTTATATATTGACTGAATGATTTCAAACTTTCATCGTCCGTGTTATCACTGATGTATATCTCACAGAGAGCATTCGCTATGAACACAAGAAGTTATGAATTATTGAAAAGAAACCGGTTCTTATTCAAATACAAACCGATATTAATATAACTTCGGACGCGTCTCAGTGCCAAATCTTGTTGTTTGTCTTCGATAGATTTCATTTTGGTCAGACGCTTGTCTCTAATCTCATTCTCTAATTGCCAATCAAGTTGATCAATCACCGCTAAACTATTTTGTGCAGCTTCTAAACTTTGTTTATACAAACTTCGCGGCAGTTGATCATTTTCAGCATCGTAAAGAATATCATCTTGCAAATAGCTTAACCACAGCCAATACGTATTTGCTAAACTCGTATACGCTTGTTCAATACGTTCATTATTCCCATAGCTTTTCGCTAAGGACAAAAATTTCAACTGGTACTTTTCACTGGTACGGAAACTGTGCTTATGTAAATAACATTCACCGAGAAATCGATGGCAGTAGAGAATGTCATCGGATAGGTTCGCTAGTTCAGATTCGTGTAATTCGAGATTGAAATACACGATCGCTTTGTCGTAGTCACCTAGAACAAGTTGCTCTTCTCATCGTTCGGTTAGTTTAAACAATTACCGAGAGTTCGACAAGCTTCTGCGGCTTCATGATAGATATCGATTTTCTCCTTGGACTTCATTTCGACGTTCAATTGCCGAACTCGTTCTGCTTTTCGTAAGATTTCTACCGAATACAAATACAACTAGTCAACAGAAAGGTCAACCACGAAGAATACTTTGCAATTTCTTTTCATCCATCTGAAAATAGATAAGATATTCATAATTATTTTGTTTATATGTTTTGCTTTCGAAGAAAACACGCATAGGAATAACAACGAGATTTTAATTATGTCATAGCCTTCACTGGGTGTGACATGTAACGAGCATAAAAAAAATGACATGCATGATTTTGCGAATGGCATTGACTCGTAATGATGGTGATGAACCATCTACTGTAAATGACGAAAAACATGTCATTCAGAAGCAATTTTGTTTTTTCCCGGTTTTGTTATTTCGTGTGACACATGCAATTGGTTCCTTTCGTTCATGTAATAAACAAATCAACTAATACGATTCGTAGGTGGTGTCAGTTTCAAAGTGAAATCGAGTGATTCATTGAAAAGAACTTAAACGTTTCTTTTATTTGAAAAATAAATAAATAAATAAGTTAAAAATTTGTAAAAATAATAATAATAAGAAGAAGAATATACGAACAAGAATCAAAATCTGTCCTATTAACTATAAGAATGTTGAGATGAATACGAATCAAAATAGTTATTTGCAGCTCCGAAGCCACTCGAATTATCAGCATAACCGAAACTACCGAATGATGACTCAAGATCACCCGCAGAACCACTTGTGCGACCGAGTGTATTGTTCGTTGAGATAGAATCGTATGTACTTGAACCCATTCCGCCAGCATTGCTATTGACCATTTCAAATCCAACACCTCCTCCGATCGAATTACCTTCGCTTAGATCATTACCAATAGTGCTTACACCACCATCGCTTGTTTCACCGGTTTCGGCGGTAGTGGACTGTAAACTTGTTCGTACACTGATAGGCGGTGACTAATGAAGAAACGAATCATTCGTATCTCGTTTGGAAAAGCAAAGTCTCTTACAATATCTTCTATAACACCAGCTTGTCGAGCGTGTGAAACAAGCGTCTGAGCATCTTCCAGTTGTGCACCATAACGTGCGACGTATTCTTCTGGATTAGCAGGAGCTATGCCTAGATTTTGGAACCGACGAACGATTTGAGCTTTGGCCGGTTCATAACTACAGAGTAGACGAGCGTGGAATTTATGAAAGTTCGATTAACGAAAGCGATTTTTCTACATACTAAATAATGATATTACGTGGTTTGGGAATGACGGCAGGTGGAGCACGTTGAATAATTACACGACGTTTCTGTAATGTTCGATATGGTAACCAACGTTCGACGATGACATCACGTGGTTTTGGTGGAAGGGGTGGTAAACGTTCGATGATTACTGAGCGTGGTGGTACAGGTAATGGTGGGAGCATTTTAGTGATTACTAAACATAGCACATCACATCTTTTTTTCTTATACATCTGTGGGAGCTATCTTACTTTGTGGACCCATGGGTGGTAGTTTAGGTGGTGCTTCACGAATAATCAATGGTGGAAGAATAGGTGGTGGTGGTGGACGTTGCCCTAGACACAGGATTATCAGATGAGGAAATAGATTTGTCGTTATACGAAAGAGAGAAACTTACGGATGTAGAGTGGAGGAGGTGGTGGTGGCTGTGGTGCTCGAACTTCTTTGATTATAAGTGGCTACGAATAGACAGATCTGAGTGGATAACTTTAGTCACAGATCATACTTACACCTGGATTAGGTATAGGTGGTGCCTGTAAAAATTTGACAATAACCCGCTGGGTATATACTTGTGGAGCTCCTAATGCTGGTCGACGAACTAGATGTGGACTTGGATCTTGATAAAGACCTTGAGCGTCTGTTGGATAACTTGTTGATGTGGGTGGCAGTTTTTCTGCAGTGTTTCCACCATATTCACTGCTGTTATTGAATGAACCTCCAGAGAATCCTTGAGGTTCAACAGTGCTCGGCAATGCTGGTAGTTGAGATTCTCTTTTAGGAGCTGCTAAATTATTCTCATTAAGAAAGATTTCCGTGTGAATACCATTTAGAAATTGTTCCCGAGATCTATCACTGTCAAACGAGTCATTATTCGAATTATCCAATGCTGGTTCAACTGGACCAATATTTGAGTATGCATCGGCATTGATGGTGTTAGTAAACGGTATGTTGTTAGAACCATTGGAAAATAATGTACCATTAGAGAACACGTTGTCACTGCCACCACCATTGATGAACGATGATGAACTAGCATCGAAGTATCCATCGTTACTGCCACCATTTGTAAACGTTAAGCCATTGCTATTGCTGAAAAAACTATCGGAATTGCTGTTGTTGCGGAGAGCAACAGCACTAGTGGGACTGGAAGGTGTGGGAGCATTGCTATTGCTGAGAAATGTATCTGGATTGCCTGAAAAATGGAATGCTAGGGTATTGGAACCGTTGAGAAGTGATTCCGGATTGCCATTAAAATGAAATTGCAATGCATTGCTGCCATTTAGAAGTGTTCCCGTATTTCCATTGAAAGTAAATGTTGTTCCACTGTTTCCATTGACATAATCGTTTGGATTGTAACTATTCAGAAACATATCGCTTATTCCACTGAGTCCATAGTTTGACGATTGCATCCCGTCATATTTGGAATAATTATTCCCATTGGAGTTATTGAATGAAGAACCAGAGAAGCCTAAACCATAGATGTCTAGAAGAAAACCAAGCACGTCAATATAAAAAAACGAAAACTGTTCAATTCGAGCGCGTCTTACCTTCTCCGGATTTACTACGATACAATGATGATGATCGTTCATATGCCATACTTTCCTAGCTGAAGTTATGAAAGATCACTGTATGTATTACGTTTAATGAAATCAAATTTGTTTCGTTCCTTTTCGCAATATGTCTCACAAAACACTTCAATATATAAAAAGAAATGCGAGTTACATAATTCCGACGTTTTATATTCAATAGAGTAGAAGGCTGATAATGTCTGTCTCTCTGTCATATCTGATGTTTAGTCGGGTGTGTAATTTTCATTTCTTGCTCTTTTCCTCGAGTTAGATTTGATTGATATTTTAATTGATATCGATGGCAAAACAACAAAATGGTACTTGCGCACTACCGATTGATGTAACCAAGGGCATCTCTTGTTTCTTTCAGACAGAGAAGAAACAACGTTGCTATGCATCAATTGTTTTTCTCTCATTCGAACAAAAGACCATCAGAACTTCCTCCCCTTGAAATGAAGTTTTCTTGTCTGCAATGAAAACAAAAAACGTTCTTCAGTATTGTTCATGAACAACTATAGACATAACAAGAGCATTCATTGTCTACACATACGATCAAGTTCTTGTTTTTTGTTATTAGAAAATTTGATTCTCTAACGAAGGACGTGATGTAAATAAATACAGAATCTTTGCCATCTTCTTGTAGATATGGCACTCTCATGTTACGAAAAAAGGAAATCTTCATTTGATCAATCATATCTCTGACGATAAAATCTGTGTTTTTTTTCTCATTCATTAGATCTACAAGGCTTGAGAAGATCATATTTTTGATACTAGATGAAGGTTCTTTTCTGTTGCGTCTCATACAATGAATCCATGTTTTATTATTTTTTTCAACTTGAATCAATCGACACTCAAGTAAAATGAACTCGATGCATTTCCTCTAAATCAAACATAAGAAAGACATTAGTGAAAGGAATAACACTGAACAAGAGTATTTTCTCGTAAGCTCTGCATGACTGAATGCTCCCAAAATTTGTTTAAACTCTGATGTACACTTTTGACAGCAAACATGATTTATGTAAAGTGCACCAGTACTTAAATCATCCTTTGCCGGACATTGTTGAGATTCATGACATAGAACATCGTTCTCCCAATTGATACATTCCACTGGCGTACTTGGATCAGTATTGCTGGCTTTCAACGCATTTTGATCATTCCCGACACTACAATGTTTGCTTAAATCGAGTATGTCAGTCTCATACTCGATCTGTTCGAGTGATGGATCCAGCTGTTTCGTTGGTACGCATCGATCACGGTGGCAGATAGAATCGGCTCCACACACTGAAGCGGGTAACATCGGAGAATACGAAATCATATATCCTAGAAATTGTATTCGCGCGATTTTTATTCAAATATACAGCTAACAAATCAACCAACCTCCATTCGGTTGACCCGTAGAAGATCGAAGATATAAACATCGACTTGGAGACTCTGATGGTAGGAACGTTGCTGCTGAAACTTCTCCCAATGCATTCGGATTCGGTTCCATCATTTTTGCTTGTTGATTGTTACTCATTCTTGCTCCCGGCTTGGTTGCAAACTTGTTTTTCACTATTTGATAGCCAGAAGGTTGATTAAACAGACACTCGAATTCGCAAATATTGCTATTAATCATATCATTTTCGCATTTTGTCCAACGTGCTTGTTCAAACGAAGCTGTATGTGCTTTCGTCATTACAGACATGTAATAATTCGTACGACAAGGTGTATCAACCTGATGAGGAAGTCCCAGTTGATGACCGATTTCATGCGCAAGATAAAATGCAGCATTTTGATATGGAAGTAAATACATGATTTCTATTCAGATATTCTTGACGAAAGTTCGTCGAACAATATACATTGTACTCACTGAGTTGTGGATTACAAATTCCTTTGACCATCGCGTAGCCTTGAGCGCCAGTGGTACCCTCCCATGGTTGATACCAAAGTAATACAATTGAATCATATTTATCATAATCGGGCAAGTTTTGGCGAAGAATAGGTTCATATTCAGGCGGTTCTTGTCGTACAGCTTTCGCAATGTTTAAAAAAACAATATCCGAAATGACAACCTCTATCTGTATGTCAAGATTATTTTCTGATTGAAACACCTACAACAGATATATCTCTCCAGAACTTTCAATACCACCATTTACTATGTTTGTTGTGTCCACTATAACTTTGACATAATCTTCATATGCAATTTCCGAAAGTGGAGGAAAATAATTTTTATCAATGACAAATAACGTTTCCACGAAGGCATAATATCGATGGCTATGAACAAATGACAGACACAAAAGAACTAACTCGATTATCAACATAGGAACAAAGTAGAACAGTGTGAAATTTTATTAATAAACCAAAAGCGCATTAATCACATAGCAACAAAATCTTTCATTGAAAATGACCGTTGAGTTCCGCTAAGAGAAAATCGTCGTCTGACATTGGTGATGCTTCTTCGATCTTGAGCAGTTTGGGTTTACATGTTGGTTGTGTCGAGAGACTGGAACAAGGTGTAAATATAAAGATATTTAAAGAAAATTCGATGAGCTTACCTGAGTAATTCCTCTTCCACATTAGAAAAAAGAGAAATGTATACCTGAGATTGCTGTTTACATCGATCAAGTGCTTCGGTTTTTTGTTTGAGGATTAACTCCATGTATTGTTCTTTATGATGTTCGATCAGTTGAGTTAGGCCAAGTTGTTTGGATGAAGACATGTTCTATTCGATGATGATTCTCATATCCATCATGATTATATGTTAAATATAATCGCCACGACTTAACTTGATTACATCAATTAAGTATCGATGCTAATTGATGCGCATTAATCAATCGAGATATAGGGGCATGTCGTCCGCGTACAAATCGGTGCACCTTCGCTTTTTCTTGCTGCGTACGAGTACAAAGTCATAAATTTCTGTTAATGATTTCAACGAGTAATCAAAATAACAGAACGAAACATGTCCTTTTTCATCAAAAAATAAATAAAAAATAAAACTATCTGCTCTTTTATTATTGAATGTAATCACTTGTACGTCAAGTAGGTGATGAAATGTTTGAAATGGGAGAGTAGGTTGTGAATAGCAAAGTGCTCTCATTTCTCGTTCATCTCAAATGAAAAAAAAAATAGGTAAAATCTTTTAACGCCTTTTTCTTTCACACTCTTTCCATCAAAATAGAAAAACAGAAAAATATCGCGCACGGTTCACTGTCACATCATGTCGGATGAACCGGATACGTTAGTCAAACATGCACAATTCGAAAGACGTTCGTTTGCAAAGCGATCGATGCCAAATATTGCAATAGAAACTAATGTAGTTACTACTCATCATGTTACTAAACACGCAAGGTATTGTTTGGACTCGTTGATTTAACTTTCGTTATCGATATGATTGCCTTTCAGTGTATCACATTCTCTATGTCGTCGGCATTCAAAACATACAGGTAAACGATCTGTCGCGATGGGACATCATGCATTTCTGCCACCGGCCTGCTATCATTCATGGGAACCTGAATATAGTAAACTTTTTATTCGAGAGAAAACACAGAAAACTATGACAAAAGATTCGTATTGGTCACCGTTATCCGGTTTTGAACAAGCAAAAGAAAGTGTGATTGCAAACGAAGAACTATGTCCGGTATTGATACCATTCAATAGTGTTCATACTGAGAAACCAGTAATCCGCTACAAAGTAAAACCAATATGTAATACGCTTCATGTGTTTATGTGAATTCCTTTTAGTATGTATCTGTATTTTAGTACCAACTATCGTTCGGTATATGCGAGCGAACGATCTATTTCCATCTCAACGTTATAAACTGCCTGAACCAAAGAAACCGCCTGTACAAATACCACTCATTGAAGTTTCAAGAACGGATGGTGTTCTTTCAAGTTTAACTGTAAAAGATCGATTGCTAAATCGAGCTCGAATGTCAGAAGATCCGTCTGTGGTTATTCGACGACCGCCGAGAAGGTTAACTATTACTACTCTTTCTGCATTGACGGTTTTCACTTAGAATTTTATTGATATAATAAAATACTACAAATGGAAGTGTTTTTTTTTTTTCGAAAACTAAGCGTTCTTCGTATAAACAATTGCACCATGTTTTAAAACATGTCGAATTAGGTGAGTATGATCGCCGAACTGATAGATTATATGTTCCCATCTAGATAAAAAGAAGAAGGTATAGTTGAGAAAAACTTTATATAATGGACATCTCACGATGGGCATCGACAAATAATCAGATCGGCTTTCTTGCCAACTTCAATCGATCCGTATTTGTCTGATATACCCAATGCTGCAGCGCTGTTGATTGTCGCTGCTGCTAGTGCTTCTTCTAAACTCATGCGACATAAGACACAAGCTAAATTCATTGAAATTGACTGGAAAAGAAAGTAGAGCGAATCTCCATAAGCTTAGGCAAAGGAGAAACAAACCATTGCTGATGAAAAGGCGTTGGGGTTTGCATCTGTGCCCAGTGCAACGGGTACTCCAGCATCGATCATCCGTCGTACGGGCGGTAACTCAATCCGTAAGATGTAACCCGTATGCGGTAGAATGACAGCTACTGTTTTTGCTTCAGCCATTGCACGAATACCTTCGTCTGAGATACATTCCAGATGGCTAATCGCTCGTGCACCGATCTCCGCACCCATCTGCAAAACAAAGTCGATGGAATTTTAGAACACCGAACAGTATCACTCACTTCAGCAGAACCAGTATAGTTAAGTTCATCGCCATGGAAATTGATTGACAATCCGATTTCTTTTCCGGCTAGTAGTATCCGTCGACTTTGTTCAATATCATAAACGCCTGAAAGATACGCTCACCAGTATTCTCGACGAAACTCTCAGTTACCTTTTTCACAAAAAACATCGATATCATTAACATTCAGTTCTTTTTCATCCATTAGTTTTTTCAATGCTTTTGTTTGATTATTAACAATGTCGTCTGTCATCTCTTCCGCCGTTTTGTTTCTAGAATAGATGATTACACAACTAGACGTTATCTGCAGAAGTCAGTTTCCCTTACTTTGGAATCGCATGCGCTGCACAATAAGTGATTGAAATACCGATCGGTACATGTGAACGAGCTTGTTCGAGTAGTTTCAATAGACGTAACTCATCCGGCCACTCGAGCCCATAGCCTGTTTTACATTCGACATAAGTCGTTCCTATGCGAAATATTATGAACATCGAATATTTGAAGTCAATCGATCTTTACCAGCATGCAGCATGCGTTTCAAACGAGCAACTAAAGAGACTAGGAGATCTTTATCACTTGCTAGTCGAGTTTGTTCAACAGTAAAACCAATACCGCCGCCTTCACGCATAATTTCCATGTAAGTTGCACCTGCTAACTGATAATTTTCAAGAAAGAATTAAATAGATCGTTATATCAAGTTTTATAGCGTACTTTTTTAGCGTATTCGTGAACTCGATCACCTGCCCAGATTGGATGCGTATGTGCATCAATGAACCCTAAACAAATCGATTCTTCTTTCATTTTCTATTACCAAATAATATTTCATACCAGGTAATATGCAACAGCCAGTAGCATCGATCTTTTGATCAACTTCAACCCCTTCAAACTCTCGAGCGATATCATCATCAGTTCCAATTGCAACGATATCTTCACTACAAAGCAAAAAAATATATTCACAATTGCTCTGAAGAACTAGATGCATTTGTTTCTTAGTTAGTAGCAGAAATTGGTTAACCATTCACCTACTTCGCTCACTTTTCAATCAGTAAACTTAAACCAACTGCATCCGATTTAACAATACCAATGTCATGCATGTCCTTGCCACACAGCAACTTCTCATTTCTATTACGTGTGACAGTGACAATTTGCCGCGCACCATAAATCAATGTTCGTAAAGTCATCTAAAATATTTCATGCAAACGTTTAGCGCATTTATATACAAAAAGGCGGGTATGTACTGAGCGGACAAATACACATAAATACACACGTGGACTTTATTGACGACGATTAGCGAATAAGATACCTAAACAAGAGGATCATATTGAAAGCATTTGTTAAGTTATATTACTCATATTGTTGATGGCTACCTACATCTGTCGATAGAAGGTATCATTAATTCAAAACAGAGATAAATTTATTTTCAATAAAATAGAAATGCCTATGTATCTGAGTACATGGCTCTCCATTTCCTATCAACTAGTCAAGCTCTTTCTTCTACTATTGTTTATTGCTGGCAAATTTTGTCATATACAGTGCGTCTCCTCTCTCCAAACCAGCGTAATAATGGTTTGATGTGAGCTCAAAAACAGTAGCTCAAACTTGAATCGCCGTTGACACACCGAAATATTCCCCTCGTCTTCGTCGATATCATTATTATCCATTCTCAATAACCATTGGAGCTTTAATAGGAACTATTTATGCACTGCGTCAACTACGAAAACACGAAGACGATCTGCCTGAATATGTTGCTAATCCTGAATTATTCGAACGTGAAGCGATGAAGTCTCGTCTTTTACCACCACCAGTGACCAAACGTGTCACATTTGATGCTCCTCCGCGAATCAATTTTCCATTTAATTCGACGTTGTATCAATAAGTAACATGGTTTGTAAAACTTTCTTTGACAAGATCTATTACTCCAACCGGATCAGCAAACGAATCATCCCAGTTATGAGCAATGGCACAGAGCGATCGAAAGACTTCTTGAACAAAAATTTATGATCAAATTACAATAACTCAGCTTCTTCTCAACACATTTTTTTTCGATAATATAGTTAGATTGAAACCATTCAATATCAATGCTAAAATTCAGTTCTGCCACCGGTCGTAATGCTTTATTTCTCCTCATTATAAACTTCAATGTAGCTGTGTACTGGTCTGCTTCGCAAAAGCTCGCTAATCGACATGGCGACTTTAGATAGTCACTACAAAAATCAATGTTGATCTTTTTCGTTAGCATTCGTAATCACAGACATAGGAGTTAACCAATTACCAGAAGGATCAATACCCAGTGAGAAAGAAATATTCAAGAGCGATCGTTTTCATCGAAACATAACCAGCAAAATTCATGACTACTGTGTTTAAAAGTCATATGATTACAACATCCATTCGGCTCCATGTTTCCTTAGCATTTCGGGCAAGCGATCGTTTAAGTATCGTTGGAGAGTTGCTTACAAAACGAACAGCTGCTGTTATCAAACTTTTGACTAATTATGATTTACATATTACAACAAAGTTTTGCTTAAAGGTTGAAAGTGTAATTCGTGGTTTGAGAATGTATTATGTATTCATCTTTCCTATATCAAAGTATCTTCATCGTTTTCTAGCGTCATCTCTCAAAGGAACTTCTTTTTCAACTACTCCGTTGGTTGTCTGTTTTCTTATATGAAACCAAAGTTGAAACGTTAACATAGAAATTTAAATCAAATACTAAGCATAAAAGACGTCACTCGTCATTTTTGAGTCGAAATATTTTGTGTATCACTGGAAAAAGATAAACAAAATTGACTTTTGCACTAACGAAAATGCTCAAATATGCTATCAGTTCAACCACAGACACCGAGCAGGTTCATTTACATTTTTGTGGTTCGAAAAATTCCATGTATAATATAAGCCGTCATCCAACCAACACCTTGCGTCATCTGACATATCTTCGAAGAAAAGGAAAAAAACAAGCTAACGAATAAGATTCAGTTGTCTCCTCTTTATTTTTATTTTCTTTCTTTATTACTTTATAGTATATATTTTGTAACCTTCGTTTCTTTTTCAAACATATTTTCTACTTTCTCAGATACATTTTCCCAACATGTCGAAACAAGCGTTTGAAGATGCGAATGAAGCCTTTGTCGATGACAAATATGAACAAGCATACGAAGTACGTCATTGAAAATTTTGGCTTCCAATTCACCGTTCGCTTTCCGTTTCAGCTGTACACGAAAGCTTTCGAAAGTGATGAGAAGACCGACAATCAGTTTACGTCGAAAGTCCTAGCAGCACGTGCACAATGCGCGTTGAAATTAAGAAAATACGCTGGTAAGACAATGGCTGCTATTGTGAACCTTTTTTCATGGAACTTGTGTATTTCAACTAGATGCATTAAGTGACAGTAACAATGCAATTCAGTTAGACGAAACAAATGTGAAAGCATACCTTCGAAAAGGCACAGCGTTGTACAATCAGGATTCTAAGGATGAAGCATTGAAAGCATTTGCTCGTGGACTGGAAATCGATGGTATTGTTGAGAAAAATTTGTGTGAACTATCTCGAGAATTTACGATATTTTTAGCTACTAATGATCAACTGAAAACCTGGAAAGAAAAATGCGAGAAAGATCTCGAAGGTACGGGTAGTTGATGATAATTAAGAGTATGAACTCGATTTTCGTTTAGAGAAAAAATCAACAGCAACTGAAGAAAAAGACAAACCAGCAGCAGCAGCAGCGCCGATTCCACCAGCAAAGATCAAGTCGGTTTTTCACTCTGAATATTTGAATGTATTTTGCAACACATTGAGTTTTCTTTTTGTAGACATTCATTTTACCAATCAGATAGTACTGTAAACATACAAATACCGATAAAAGGTTTGAAGAAAGATCAAGTGCAAGTGCAAACAACAGATACCACTGTATGTTTCGATGAACAATTATAGAATTATGCATTATCGATTGTTCATTCTAGTTAAGTGTTAGTACAAAAGTTCCCGCGACTGGTAATGACTATTCTCTGGAAATAGATCTTGCATACCCTATTGATTCATCACGTACGAGTTTTAATGTCACTGGATCGAATGTAAGAGATGTTTGCAATTATCTTTGAATCTTCTGAGTAGGTCAATTCTAGATTGAAATCAAATTATTGAAAAAACAAGCTCTTCAATGGTCATCACTGGATGCTCAGTCATCTGCAAATAAAAATCAACCTCCAGGTAGGACATCGTTCGATCGAATAGTTCGATTTATTTGAATTTACTCGTTTTCAGTCCCGATGAGTGGAGTAGCAACGGTAAAAGCTCCAACTTACCCATCATCAAGTCAACGAGCTAAAGATTGGAACAAGGTCGAAGCAAGTATCAAACAAGATGAAAAAGATAACAAAGAAGATATGGGTGATGCTAATTCGTACGTGACATTTTATCTTGAGTCACTCGCGTTTGTAAATGCATAGTTTTTAGTATCTTTCAACAACTTTACCGAGACAGTGATGAGAATACACGTCGAGCAATGAATAAATCCATGGTAAACGTTTACTATTTGAATATACATTGAAAGAATGCTTTGTTGTTCTAGTATGAATCGGGTGGTACCTGTTTAAACATGAATTGGGAAGAAGTATCCAAGGGCAAAATCTCCTGTGAACCACCTGATGTAAGCTAAAATTAGATTGTCTTCCGATCGAAGTCTACTATATCGTTTGGGATGTTTAGGGAATGGAATGGAAAAAATATGATTCTTAAGAAGTAACATTCGTACGACAACAGAAAGAAATCAACATTCGAACATACTTAAAAATCTTCTGTTGTTCTCGTTATTCTGTGATATTCAAAGAAGCTTATTACTTTTATAAATATTTCAACATGTTACCAACGAGTTTTCGATCGCTATCAAGTTTCTTTTTTTATGAAAGCAAAGTATGTGAGATAATAAACTAGAACTGTCTTGTTAAAGATTTCGTTCGTTGGATGTTCTCCTGTTATGGAAGTAGTCGGAGTAGAATTCAGCAACGTTATGTCTGAAAGGTAAATCGAACAAAAAAGTTTGCCAGGGATGGGGATCGAACCCATGCTCACTATTGTGAATTGGATCTTAAGTCCAACGCCTTAACCACTCGGCCACCCTGGCACGAGTATCAATAATCCTGCTTAATTGGATTGTTCCTAATACGCCATAATGTTTCGAGATGCAACTTTCTAATTCTATGTTTCTTTTCTACGTAGTCGATGAAAAAAAAGAATAAAAAGTGGACGCATTATTCGTTATTGAGTTTTCTCTCGAATGGAGTCAAATTGTCGTTCCATGGCCATTTCATACCGAAACCTTTGACTGTAACAAAAGCCTAAAAACAATACAAACTAAGTGCATAAAAATGTTCAAGCCGGATCTTACCGCAGTGGGAGGAATAAGACCGAGTAATGTGCCATGTGGACATGGTTTTCCAGACAGATATTCTACAATTCTTCCTGTAAGGGGAAGCATATACATCGTTTGACATCCTTGTAACTCAGGATACACCTATAAAATCATATACACTCTTGGTAGCCACAGAAGAGGATGATAAACCTTTGATGTCACTGCTTTCATACGATCCTTGTGTAATGGATTGACATAGGCATCATATGCTACGTATGCCATGATACCAGTAAAAGCAAAGCTATCAATTCAAAGTGAATAACGGTTGAGATGCACGTTGCTTTGCAGAAAGACGATACCTACGCTACTATGTGGAATAGATAAGGGCCTGGAGTATGAACAATGGAAAGTTTGGTACCAGCCGGATATTTCAGTCGTGGTAATAAGAACTTATTCCAGATATCTATTGATAGATGATCCGCAACTGCAAGTGGTAGTGCAATCGTCACGATATGCGCAGTACGTGTTCCCCACCTAGACAAAAGGAGCACTATCAACGAGTGTGAACTATAAAAGACCATTATACCATTCGGTATTAACTTCTCGGCCGAGTAATCTATTCAGAAAACCGTAGTCCAACTTTTTATTTGGAAACAGAACATAGTTGGACAAATAATTCGCGGCTACAAACGTGCCGTAAGTTACGCCAATACGTTTGACGAATGACATTTGGTAAACTGGTGTGAAATGTTGTTCTAAATTTTAGGAAGCTATTTTTGTTACGAGTCGAAAAAATATCACACGAAAAAACAATACTTTATATGGCTGATAAGCAGCTCGATACAAAGAAACTGCATAGGAGAAAAACATGATCATTCACCTTTTCTCATACTCGGTAATGATTGTCGTTTGCTACATGCCGACCCTTTAAAATAGTCCTCATAGTACAAAATACGTGATATAGATACAACCGATGAATATATATTTGCTGTATTGATTCTACTGAACATGCACTGTCAATCAAAATGCCTGATGCTCGAAATTCCATTTGTTTTTCAATCAATCACATTTGCATGAACTGCTGACAGACAATATCATTTTTTTTCATTTGATAGACTAGAATGCTTTTCTTTCCATGCATTGCGCCATCTTGTACTTGCCAACATGACGAAACGAGAAAACTCCATGTCACTATTGAAAATTACAATTACACCTATGTGTAGATCGTATTAATAGATTCGAGACTGGATGAAAAATGTTTTTAAAGCCAGTCGCATTCTTTTGTGAGTAATCTCTCACCCTCAAAATAACGTCAACATTTATTCCCATTGGTTATTTCGTTATTAACTCTACAGGTGGTGCAATACGGGTGATTTTTTGTTTGTGTCGCGGTAGTAAGATAACTAAGCGTTATTAGATTTGGTAGAGTATGAAAACACACAATTTTAGAAGATCGAGATAAGCCAGTTATTTTTACGAACACGTGAGCGTTGTAGACAAGTTTTATCGTGTTTTTTTTACTGGAAAGGGAATATACAAAGGTTTCTTCGACATTCCATTTCGAAACTACAGTTAATTGTGTCGCCATTGTTCGAGTCAAATTCAAATGTGCGTTATAAGTTGCATACCTACGTTTAATTGATGTATCGAACAAGAACTAGTGTTACGCTTGAATTTATATACGTTTATGTTAGTTCATTCATCTAAAATGAACGATGAGAATTTGTACATATATCTCAGAGTGAAGGGTCAAGGAGAGCATATTGCAATAGTGCATCGGTCATGAACTGTCTGTAGATGAATTTGAGCGAACTGCATCATGCATTGGTTGTATAAAGTTTGCAAGAAAAAGAAAGTTTAGATGTTTTTCTTTCTTTTGCAGATTTTCATTATTGGGAATGGCTGAAGCTCTAGATGAAAGCAAGTCAAGTCCAATTGATCGTGACGAAGTCACACGTCCTTGTTTGTCAGTACAATTAGTATGTGAAAGATGTTCGTAGGTGAATGTAGATTAGTTTTGCAAATCTATTCTAGACACAGCATTTTCATAACGATAAAAGAGAAAATGCACATGTTGAAAAGTAAACTGGAACAACTTCTGCATGGTCTTCGCAACAAGTCTTTTTTTTTCAGAGATTTTATGGATGATGATTCTTCAACAAGCAATATTCCGTGCGAATTATGTTCTGCTCAGGTCAGCTTCTATGATTATGAAGCTCATTACGTAAATAGATCTCTTTCCTTTCGTGTTCAAAAGAGTATTCATGTTGTAGAGACAATGTCTGAAAGTTGAAAAGCAACGTATTGCAGATATCACTGGGTTCGAAGTTCAAATAGTGTGATAATCTGTAGACAATTCGTTTGTAGACATGCTGATGATGAACTACTTCCATGTGAATATTGTTCGCAACTATTCGGTATTCACAATCTATACTCTCATATGGTAAACATTCCTTTTCGAAGATTTGTCGATTTCTTAATAATATTTGTTACTTTAGGAACAATGTGCTAGAAGTCAGAGGCAGCATGCAACGACTACAACAACGTAATCGAGTTTACTTCGGAAAGTTTTTATATGACGAAACCAAAGTTTATCTTTAGAAATGCAGATCATGTTCTAATCCCATGCGAGTACTGCTCTGTGCCTGTCCACATCGAAGAGTGGACAAAACATACGGTAAGTAAACGGTAATAGTCTATAAAGATTGTTGATTGACTTTCATGTGTCTTTTTTTTGGTTAGAATGAATGTGCTGAAAATGAAAGACAACGAATAACAAAAGCAACGGAGTATGGAAATTATGTTTTCCAGAATAGAATCAATTATATTTAACATTTAGATTTACAAACGATGATTTAATTCCATGTGAATACTGTGATAAAATGTTTGCGGCAGTATATTTAGAAGAACATCAGGTTTGCTATTGCCATTTCCAGTTTCAATGCTTTTCCTATGTCGTTTTTACATAGACTGAATGCAGACGAGAACAGCTAACATCACCGGTATAGGAATGCGATCAGTTATTCGTTTTCTAGTCGTTTTCTGTTGTTCGTAAATAATAGGGCAACCATGGTGGCGAAGCATTTTACGGTGCTTACCCGTTTCCACACACATGGAACCGTTCTTCTCCCTATAACATCTCGCGTTATGATCTTGAACCGTCTTCGGATGAATATCAATACGTAGCTGAAAAATTCCGTAAATCATTACCGTCAAACGAAATTGTTGGAATCGAACGAATTCAGAATCGACGTATACGAAACGATTACATCGTAAAATCACGTAATTCACACTTCTTTAGGTTGGTTTAAGCAATACGATGCACATAAAGATGATTTTATCGAAAGATATGGTCAAAGCACAGAGCAATGGTTATTTCACGGTAAATAACTCTCTTTACTCTTCAAATTTTTCCATAATAAAATCCAATGTAGGATGTAAATCTGAATCTGTCGATGCTATCATCAATGACTGTTTCAACCGTAGTCATGCAGTTCGTTGTGGTAAGTTCATGTCGCGAAGAGTATATCATAATCTCACGGTCAATTTAGCTGCTGGCCAAGGAATTTATTTTGCAACGGATGCTGCTATAAGTTTCAGTTACACCCAACCTGATGCATCCAATATCAGACACATGTTTATGGGTAGGAGCTTCACAATGTTTTATCAAGACAATTAAAATGTTTGCTTTCAGCACGCGTGTTAATCGGTCAAACTGCGCAGGGAAATTCTTCAACTCGTGTCTGTCCAGCAGGTTATGATACCACAGGTGGTGGAACAGTCTTTGTAACTTATCACGATGCACAAGCATATGGCGAATATTTAATTTCGTTCAGATAAAGGAACAAGCTCATATAGACTATTTTCAATCGACAGGTGTCACTAGTTGACAAATCATTATATAATCAATTGTGAAGAAAATTGATCAGTTTTATATAGTTATATTCAAACTTTTTTTGCATGATACAATTTCAAAAATAAATTTTGTTTAAATGAAATTATTCGACTAATGAAAAAAAACATGAAAGACTATTAGTCATCGCGTAACATTTCTCTGTCAGTGTCAAGGTTTTTTTTCTTCTTTAGTTAACTGTCAATTCCGACAGGCCTATACTGTTTTTTAACTTGTATCCTCTCAACATGGTCTCTACGTATGGACAACGTCAACGCGTATGTATTCGAGTGAAATTTCTTCGCAAATCTCTACTTCGTTTGATCTTTAGGCTAAGTACCAGTTTCTCATGGGCATTAACGGCGTTTTGTTGGCCTTTGCGATTTTTATTATCGTGGCAATGTCGATCTACTGGGGCTTCTTCGAAGAGTGGACTATTTGGACAGATTACACAATGGCCTGGGTAGGATCATATGTTGTTAAATTTTCGATTTATTTTCGCTTGATTTAGGTCGAATTTAACTTTTTCATTTACTATTGGGATCGTCTGACAATTACCCGTGTCTATCTCTCACTGATCTATATCTATGGTTTTGTTCTACTTGCCAGTATAGTATTCAATGAAAGTCTTACCAATCAAACTATTTTTTCTCTCTTCGATTTAGTCATTGCATGTCAAATCCATGGTTATCGCCATCGGAATATATTCTTGATGGAATATACTCCATATGCATTGTTTGGTCTAGGTATAATTACCATTCTTGGTGGTTTGGCTTGGTTCGCCGTGACGATGATTAATATGAATGCTGGATTTTTAACAAAAGAAACGTTTCTACTTGAGAGGCTTCGTTTCAAAGGTAACGCTTTCAAAGAGTTGAAGTATCGTGAAGAATCATTTCATCTGGTCACTTCGGGTCGCGTACCACCACGAGTTTTTATCTTAACTGCTTTTGTCAATCAGTAAGGAACAATCATTTTCATCTATTCTTGTTATTCTTTTCATTTCTGTAAATATAGACGTCAACGAGATTTTCACTGTTGCGGTTGGAATTCGTACCTTGATTATGGTGCCTCGCACAAGACCGATCTACCTGATACGTGCTGTCATAAAGTATGTTAAACTGTTGTTTTGCTTTGATTCACATTTGAGTATGCTCATTTCCTAGTATAAAATCAACTATGGCTGCGGAAAGAATATGTTGATCAATCCCGATCCGAACATTGTCAACACTCGCGGCTGCGGTCCATTGATGAAATATTGGTATCGCCGTGGTTTCTGGGAGAATATTTTTATGAGCTTATTTGGTGTTGTCATGGGTGCTTACATGTTATTCGTATTCCAACGTAATCGGAGAGAATTTGTTCAACTACGCGATGAAGCTGACGATCGTAAACGTATCATACGTACACATTCCATGGGTTCTGTTCGTTCCACGACTAACAACAATAATTCCTCGAAATCGAACATGCCACGTTACCAATACACAAGCATGAAGAGTTCGCCAACGAATGGAACAACTGCTGAATACGATTCGGATAATAACAGTGGAAGTGTTCTCTATCAAGCCCGTCCAACGATCGATCAAAACGCTTAATACTCACACAAAATAACAGTGCTCCTTTTTTTATCTTTGTATATACATATAGTGTGTGATATATTAGAATATCTCGAAAAGATATTCGCTTGGAAAATCAGTAGAAACTAACTAGAACAGTGTATGATAGAAATTTTCTTTTCGAGATTGTCTAATATTCATCTGTGCGTAATGATTTTGATCTGATCTGCATTCACATTCCATTTTTACTCATTTTGTTTCACGTTGTTTTTTTCTACTCGAATCTTAACTTAGCCAAAACGCTAGTTCATCAGAAATAAATATGTCAAAAGAAATTTTCTCGTATGTACATTCTGTGACTTTTAATTGAAGTAATCATTCATGACATATGACAAGTCACATATGCTCTCATCTCAAATCGGAATCACATGTGATAAAGTAAAACTCTTCCTGCTGCATACTACAAACAACTTCACAATTCATCGGAGATTTAGTAAAAGCTTTTTCTCTCGAATAATTCAATTGAGCATCAGTGAGTGATTCAATTTAGTCTTTTCTCATCGCGAAGAATCAGCTCAATTCTGAACTTCATCAAGGTAAGTTGCGTCGATTCCGAGAGAACGCGACCGATGTATTCGAAATGAGGGGAACAAAAAAAGAAAATTCTCGTGTTCTATTTGTTAATGGTAATGTTTGCTTAGAAGATGATCGATCGTATCATCATTATTTAATTATTGATATGTTTTATTTATTTCTGTTCGAGACATGATCCATTCAATAACAATGTAAAAGTGTTCGAGAAAGAAATCCATCTCCGAAACAGGAAAGAAAATGTGTCGACGAGACAAGAACTAATTAAGAGGCTTGAGTCGAAATGAGACAGAAGAAAGAAATCACATTTCTCAACTCATCTTAACTAGTATATGGATAGAAATCGGAACACATGTATCGTCATCGTTTCTCCTTATTTTCTTTTGCATTCCGTTCTCTGAATAGCCTTGACTGACATGAAATCGATCCGCTACTCTTATTGATCATAATTATTTACTTACTCTTTACTTCGCTATCGAAAATGCTTTCGAAAAGATTGATTGAACAACCAGACTGAAAGACAGGACACCCGAGGCGATCACAGAACGCATTTTTATATGCTTAATTTACCATCGTTTTCTTTCTCAACAGTTTCTTCTAATCTTATTAATACAGACTGTTCATGATTGCGAGTTTGATGACGCGAGTCCATTGATATCTCTTTCTCTTTTCCAGATGCCACGACTACGTCCGCCATCAACTGTTCGCGAAACATCCTTTGATAACACGTTTACACCGAATTACGATACTATTCGTAAATCGTGTTTCATAACGGAAGATGAGGACGTCGTTCCTATACCAATTCAATTATTTCTATGGCGACAAAGCAGGTCAGGCTTTTTCTTCTCTTCTATGCCGTTCTGCTAGAAGCGATTCAATTTATATTTAGTCCGTACCTAAAACAAAAGTTTGGCAAGTTAACTGATGCATCATCAATCGTAATTTGATTTTATTCTTCTTTGTGAAGCCGACAAAAATAAAACACTTTGGTTTTTCTTCCTTAGATTTTCGATCGGGTACTCGTTCAAAATATCCTTCACGGATTATCTCCGTGTCTTACCGATGCAATCACAAGTATTCCACGACGATCATTTATCAGAGCAGTAAGTCCATCCAGTGACAAGTGTTCTCCGTTCCATTTTCTCTTAGGCATTTCCACATGTAATGTACGCATGTTCATCTACGATCGAACATAATCTTCAAGTTGGTCAACATCAATCGATTTCTACTAATCGTCCATCGTTATTATTTGCAACATCACCTTCTCGTTCACGAGGTTCAACTCAACTTCATGTTCCACCGAATTTGCACAATCCAAACGAGAATCCATTGTTGTTACATCGTTCTTCCATATCACTACCAAACTATTCATTGAGTTCAGTTGATATTCGTCTTTTTCAAACATTACATCATTTGATTTTATATTCTAACAATGATGTATTACCGTTGAATACGATTCAAATGTTTATCTATTTATTTATTCCATATATACACACCTATTTGCGTAATAACGAAAAAGATTTTCTAAATAATCCAAATCTCGTGCAAGGAATGAATCTGATTTGGCAACCATTGTTTGAACATCGTCAGCCAAATATTCGTATATTCAACAGTTTTGTTAAACCAATAGCGAGTCAACAGAAATCATCGGCATCCTCTGACAATCCTGATCAATACTCACGTTTATCGACGATTAGTGAATCAACAATACCGAAAGTCAGTGTCAGCAAACGATCTCTAGCAAACGCTCCTTCGTCTGAACGAGAAAGAGCTAGTTTGAGTATCTTACCATCGAAACCAAAAGTTAACGATCCTAGACAATCCAAATCGGGTGCACGTACTGATTCGATTACCACATCTTCGATTACTTTGAATTCGATAGCTGATCTTTCAAGCTATGGTCTCTTTGATAATAGTGCACAAAGACAAGCACCTCTTGTGCATATGAGTTCAATTTATTCAGTGTCCGATCTTAGTCGAATGACCATCTCACCACAAAGTCCAGGTTCGTATCAGCCATCAAAGTTTCGAAATCAATCCTTTGATTTATTCTAGCTGTCGATAAGGGTCATCGTGTGTTTGATCTACCATCGCCAGCTTCAGTCTCATCGGTTCCTATACCTTTACTCACATTTCCCAAACCACCAGACACTGCACAAGGTCGTCTTAATTCGATGTCTGAACAATCAAAAGCTCTATCATCCGAATATCTCCTACTTGCGACCTATTTCGATGTGGGAATCATTCGAGCCCTATTCAGTCCGTCATGGTTAACCGATGGTTATCTTTGGTGTTTGGAATACTTGCATAAACGATTAGTGGATATTTCCGATAAGATTTTATCTGATGCACTGACAATCGGAATGTTATCGATCAATGTTCTCCGTTTCAAAAGTCTTTCAATTCCGCAAATTAATACAATGAACGAGCCAGATCTCGATAAATATATAAGAAAAACTTACATTAACGAACAAGTAACGAATGGTATTATTGAACAACAATCAACCATGACAATCATTTCGAAAGGCATGAAACCAGCACATGTGTTACTAAATGTTCCGTTTAAATATTCATCAGGGAAAAGTTTTTTTTGTCAAAAATATGATACGTTAAATAGGAGAAATCGGTAAGATTGAACTGATTTCATTGTTTCACCTCTAATTCTCTTTCGTAATTCAGAGAACGACAATTATTGATCAGAAGGTAATCAAAGTCTTCTTCACTTCAAACAGCAATATCTGTTTTCTAGTAAAATTCGTTATATCGACGAAGACGGCATTGAACATTTAGATTTAGCCAGCACAAACTACTCCGAACATTTTGGTTTACCTGTTTCACCATCAAATCCGAACCGTATTCATCTAACTGAACCAACATTGGTGTTATTTCGAACATCGATAGACAACACAAAAGATACGATCATTCGTCGATCAACCGATACGAGTTCGAATCAACGACAGACGACAAGCACTGCGCCGATAACAAATTTAAATGCCATGAAATTTTACAGTGCTAGTGACTCGGCAATCGATTATAATTTTCTTACGGATATCAAGGAAGCGCAGAGTTCGAGTGGATATATAAATCGAAGTGGCACGCTGAATTTTACTGTTGTTCTTGCTGCCGTTCATGCTGTGATTTGCAAAGAACATCATATAAAAATTTGTGAATTCGCTATGAGCATCCTGGATGTTTTATTCGAATTAGCTGTTATATCGACTATCGAAGATGACACGCAGAGAAAAGCGTTGTTTAGTGCAAGGAATACTAACATGATGATAATCGATGAGAAAGAAAACGAAAATATCGAAGAATGGTTGAAACATATGGATATGAAAGAAGATGAAAAGTTTCAAGTCGCGGTAGATATTATTCTCAGGTAAATCGATTGAATAACTAGATGTTCGATATATGTTCTATGTCCATTAGGATACTTAAACGTCTTGGCTGTTCAAATTGTCAATCCCGTGGTCGAAGTTTTAACACTGACCAATTGCGTGGTAAAGTTCGTGTATCACTGAATAAACTTCGTCTACTCAATCATCAACGATTTGAAAAGTAGATGACTGACGAGTGTTATTCGTTCGAATCATTCGTTTCTTTTTCAGATGCTTTCTAAATTTCGCCACGAACGCAAATCTTGGACATATATTCGATATTTTACATGCAATTTGTGGGTACTGTGTTGAAACAACTATTGGTCTTGCTCATTACGCACCCTATCGTAATTATTCAGCTCTTCCTATGATTGTCACAATATGAATATGTTTTCTAGTTCCAACAAAAGCCGAAGCACAAATTCAGCAAACTTATGCAAACAACTTTGCTAATACACATCTCAGTTCAGGAGCAAAAGGTATCGATGGTTATATATTGAATATAATATTCAAACCGTTTGTTACGCGGTTGAATCTCATGGAAAAACATTTGCTCTCCTCGGAAAACACAGCATTGTATAATGAGTGTCGGGCATTTCTAATCTATATGAAACAAAACCATGGTGGAGTGTTTCGTTCGGCTGTTTTTTCGTCACTGATCGATCCGGAAAGGAAACTCAAACTGTTAAGACAATCAAACAACGATAAGAAAGTACGTTCATTCGTTGATTTTTTCGTCAATCGAATACTTAGAATTAAATTAGGTTATGACGAATCACGGATCACGGAATGGCATTGATGAAAATTCAGATCAAGAATTGTCGCCAGGTAATGCAATTACAAAGTAAAGATAGAACGATCGATTTTGTTCATAAACATGTAGGTCGTCCTCGTAACCCTGACTTGTTAATTGAAACCGATGACCACAGCTCTTATGCGCATCACGAAGAACATCTTTTCATTGATCTACCATTGGTTCGTCTTGGACTCTTACGTCTGAATTTCATCACGGATGCATGTCCACCTGGTCTCTTACCTGATCCAGAATTTCTCAATAGCCTACTTCTCTTGGTTTGTATGTTTTTCACTAATGAATCTTTGACATATTGATTTCCATAGGATGCACCTGTTCTCTCAAAAGCAGCATTTCTTCTCCAGTGTGCCCATTATGTTCGTCGTTGTTCCTTAGGTCAATGGCCAGAGTGGATGCGTGTGCATATTACGACCTATCGTTTACACGAAGCACTCTTTGGACGAACAAATGGAAATCCTAGCATAAAACTAGCTCGAATATATCAAGCAGCAGCAGCTCGGATGTTCTACATTTGGGGTGAAGTAAGTTGTTCATATGTACGACATAGAAATACTACTGAATGATTGTAGGCTATTGCATCACAATTGGAAATAATAATGAATAATGAACAGGTGCAGACTTCAATAAACAACCTATGGAGTGCGGACGAAACATTTGAAGATTATTACAATGAAAGTAATCGAATTCGAAAAATGATCTTTTCTTGCAAAGCAGTTTTCATTTAGCAATCGTCAATCGTTCAGGTCATGAATGTCCGTACTCATTAAAACTACTCGCTTGCTTACTACTCTATGAAATCACTTCATTTCTTCGTGAAACATATACTACATTACCAAAAATGTCTTCACTGTTGACCAGTAGTACCAATCAATCACGACAGCAACGCTCACATCATGCTCAAGCAGTTATTGATGTCGCAACAGGAATGCCCGATAAACGGACATCAGATTGCTTACGAATGAACAGTTTTATATCTCAGGTATCCAATCGAAGCACAAGCTCTATCCTTTCCAATGATCAGCAACCACGTAAGCAAAATTTCCAGCGAAAGAAGAACTGTTATTTTCTTCGTATGTAGTTTCACCCCAAATGTTATCGGCATCGATGGGTCACACAATTCCTGTACCCAACGACCGTCATATTAGTTTTGTTATCAATAATGAAAATGATTCTGTTGAAAGTGCTCATACCATCGTTGTAGTCAATGACGACGATGCTACCGCTCCTGCCACAGTTATTGATGGCAATTCTATATCTAGTGAGGATGATTTTTTTAGTGGCAACCGTTTCGATTTTCCTTCCTCGTAGTATCTATACCAGCGGCCAAAGCGGGAAGCATTAGCGGTAGTAGCGTTGGCAAAAGCAAATTTACGCGAAGAGCAAGTATAAAGTTGAGAAAGCCATCGACTCGATTGAAAGAAACTTCGAAAAGTACGTCGCAGCTGTTCGTTTCGCGAAAAATGGTTGTATTTGTTTTGTAGATGTTCCTCGTTCATCATTTCGCAACCGAAGTCGCAGTCATGTCTCGAATGTTTCTAGTGATGCGGAAATTCATCAAATGAACACTACCAATGCTCCTTCCGAAACACAAGATGATTATTCCGTCAATCCAGCTGACGATTTCGATCATATGATCCAAACGCGACCATTTCCATGGATTAAAACTGTCATTAGAATATTCAATCATGTCAATATGACTTGCGATCATCAGCTGAGATGTCTTTCAACATGTTATGATAAACAAAAGAAGAGTTGTATGAATCTTCTCAAAGCTTTATTGAATATGTATGAATTGAAATCAACTCATTCGTGTTCATCATCGATACAAACACAATTGAAACATACTGATGCACAATCGCATCAAAAGCAAATCGTGAGCATTTCCGATTCGTTAAGTTTGTTAAGTTTTTTTTTTTGTTACCTAGTTTTCGAATAATCTATTCGATGAACATACAATGGATTTACCATCGGAAAACGAAACTAATATGCATTTTGACGCAATTTCAGATTATATAAAAAAACAGGTTCGCATTGCTTTGAATATTCTTGATATTATTCTACGGGTTTAGGTCGGATCATTGATTCATATACCATTGTTAATACTCTGCAAATCAGCTGTTCTGTTGGATGAAGAACATTATGTACAAATTCTCCGTTTATCTTGGCAATTATTACTTGATCAGAACGAAGAATTATCCGCATGTGCTGGTAAATATACCTGTATTATTCTATATGTAAACAACTGTTCTTGTTTTCAAAGCAACTATTGTTATTCTTACCGGCGCTCGTGCCAGTCATCTAGTTGATACATTGATGAATACTGAAATGACAAATGTTTCGGGTGCTGTTCGATACAACTCAATATTGAGATTTGAATTGCTCTGGCGATTTCGGTATCAATTTTGGATTCGATTGGAAGAGGGTGCTCACTGTCTGATGAAAGTAAGTTATTCTCACAGAGGAAGTTTCCATATGAATTGAAATGCTGACTAGATCCTTCCGCCAAGTATCGAGTTTGTTTTACCATCCGCTGCGCTTGGTATTGCAAATCTACAAATAGTCGATCCACCATGGATGCCACATGTGAAAACACTTGTTCAGCAAGTTGCACTGAATCAAGAGGAAGTGGTGAGTGAAAGAATGATTGTATGAAGAATATCATGTTGGTGGGAATCTTTAGCGGGCAGTGGTTACAACCAGTAAAACGAGGAAAAAACACCAACAAGAATTTATTCATTTGGCTTTGATGAGAGAAGAGAATAGTAAACGAGTGGCACGCGAAAATTTCATGATGTCATCTGTTTCAATGCTACAAGCAGCATCATTCGAACCATTATTGCATCAATCAAGAGAGGAAGATGAAGAAGGTTTTGACTAACATCGATGAAATTTGTCAAAGTTTTTGAAATCTTTTCCTAGGACATGCTGATGACGATCGAGTCAATGAAACAAGTGTACAACTTCGACAAGCACAAGGAACATTTCCATCAGTATTCGGTAGAGCTATATTTCATCTCGTCGACATGCTGGAAGACGAACATGTTATTGAACATGGTGCTTCAGGTAAAGTGAAAAGAATCGTATCCACATTAGCAATGATTTCACCCTCAAAATTGTATTTCAGTTTCCGAAGCTGCTCAGAAAGCGCTCAATACTTGTTTACTCGAAGATCCAACGTTACTCATTCGTTTCTTCTTCGAAAAACTCTCACAGAAAGAACGTCGTGTAAGTTCGACTTCATTCTTTTACTCTCCTCTATCATCAGTTCTATTGCAGATTCAATCACTTCAAACCCTTCATCGTTTAATGTTGTACTCAACTGATATTCCACCACAATTTGCCCATTCTATTTTCAATTATGTCCTCGGTCTATTGTTAAGTGTGATCCGTTCTTCTATCGATAATTCTCAGGAATTATTCATCTCGGGCTTAACGTTATTCTGGCAAATCATTCCCTATGTTCACGGCCTTGTCCTAAAAGATTTAAAACAAATCTTACGAAAAGAACAAGCTGAAATGATGATTTTAGTAACCGGAAATATTCCTTCGACGAAAAAAGTGGTCATTCATGGTCCCGATGCATCGCAAATACCAACACAAGCGATTATATCTGAAGACACTCAATTCGCCAGTGTTCTTCAAGAAGCATTGGAATTCTTTGGTATACCAGATGTGAAACGCGATCACTATCATTTAATTGATATTAAAACTCAACAAATTCACATACCCGAAACATATGTTCGAGATTTTTACTTCTTTCGACGTAATATTTATCCGCAATTATCCTTAGTTCATATGGACTCAAGTCATTCGCAACGACAACTTGAGAATACAGCCGTTCAAATCAAAACTATCGAACTAGCGAAAGTTTTATTCGCACGATACTTTCTCGAAAATACTCCATTCAATCAAATGCATAATTCGATTACGTTCTTTCATGATGAAATCATGAAAAGTCCGTTATTTCCGCGCAAACAATTAGAATCAGATTTTAATCTGTATAGAAAAATGTGCACTACGGAATTGTGTAGTTTAGACATGTTGCACAAGTACAACTGGTAAGTCATTATATCCGAACAGACCGACGAGACGATTCGAATCTGCTTGATGTTTTTCTTTCAAGGTTAAAACTAATCGGATGTTTATTTTTCAATATGGATGGCAAAACGAGTACCACATCCGATATAACTCCATTTATTCCTATCATAAATGGTTCATTTATCTTGTATTGCGAAGATTCGATGATGTTACGTTTTTGTGTAGCCACTTACATTAATATTGTAAAACATTTTCGGCATATCTTTGGCACGAATGGGTAATGAAAGACTTTCGATCGTTGCCAAATTGATTTTCTCTACCTTTATTCAGATATCTTCTGATTATGCCAACTTTTCTTCGTGTGTATTCAACTCTTCAATCGAATCCGATGGTAAAATCTACGATCGAGTTTTGTTGTCGACAGTTTTTCACCTTACATCGTATACCGTTTATCTTACAAATGCTCGGGAGTATATCTCAATTGTTTGACTTCGATGAACAAACGGATGTGATTCGATCAGATAATATTCTTTCGATTGGATTATTCCGCCTCCTCATCGCATTAGAACAAACGAATGCTGACGCACAGCGAGATGAGTATTCGATTTTAGAATTGATCAAGAATGATCTACCGAGGACGGATCCACCTGCTGAAGCAACATCCGGACAAGGAACACCGTTAGCACCAACCACACCAATCAAATCCTTAGATTTTTGTTATACAGATGATGATAATATCTTTACATTCTTAAATTGCTTCGATGCTTGCGTTACCGTTGGTAAGTAAAATATCAGATGCAGAAAAATATCAACGCACTCGTTCGAAACGCTTTAGTTGCATATGCACCTGATTCTATTCGAGCACTACAAATGCTTGGTGTCATGGACATTCTTCTTCCAAAGTATTTGCAACATTTGAAAGCTCGTACAAGTAAAACTGACGTTCAAAAACAAGCGCGTGATGAAATGAAAATTCTCGCCCGATTATCAATGGCAATGAAAACACTAACCCTATCATTAGAGTCGTTGGCGCGAGCGTTTGTCGAGCCGAAATCTGAAACGAGTACAAATACACATCACAAACTTCCTCGTGGTTCATATTGTTCATCGCCCATTGTTCCAGATGAAGATTCAATCAGGTAAAACAAAATAATTCAGTTTCATTTCCATGATAAACGAGATGTTTAGTCGTTTTATTGACGATCGACCGAAAAATCGCGTACAAGATGCGGATGAACTGAAACAAGTAGGTGAATTTCGTTGGCCTCGCAACACACTTCTATCCCTGATTTCGACATTCGTATGTCTTACTTCTTCGCGTGCCAAAGAACTCAGTAAAGTGTCCAACGATCCCACCTACCGTAATTTCGAACTGTTCGATATCAAATCCCATCTACGAGTGGCTGATATCACACATACATTACTCAAACTAGCCAGTTTCGATCCTGTGACACTCTCTTGTCGGGGAATACAGAATTATTTCCAAAAATTAGCGCCGTGCACTGATTGGAATCAAGAACAATTACGTCCTGCATTGAATCTTCTACTGAGACGTATCGATCGAGTGTTGGCGAAAATTACGAAAAAGCCAGCAACTAAAGTAAAGTTAAATCGACATAAAAATTTTAAGTTTGTTTGATATGGCTTCTAGCGTTGTTTTAATTGGGAAGCAACTATTGGAATTCTCAATGGAATTTATTTGACCATCGATCGTTATCCAGCCATTGCTTATTTTCCCAATCTCAAAGTAGTTACCTATTCGATTTTCTTCTCCTCCGGAATCACACTTTGTTCTCCACGATTAGACATTAATTTCCAGTTGTATTAATTTACTATTGAACGAAAACGTCGTAGATCCGACTCCAGTTCTGTTACGATCGGATATTCTTACATTTCCAAGCGAATTCTCTCATATTATCATTAAACTCGTCGGTCGATATCTCTTGGCTATTAAGGTAAATCCTATCCTCGCTCTCACAAAAACTTTTTTATCATTTTTCTACTAGAATCAAGCAAACATCGAAGCTTTAACAGCAAATAACTTGTCATCCCCAAATCCGACTGTAACAATCAATCATCTCTTACATTTTCTATTACCGTTAATGTTCTGGGCAAGTAGTGGTCGAAAAGACGCACCGAAACTACACGCTCAGGACATTTCCTATATTGTCACAATACTTCTTAATTCAATTAAACCACCATCGAAACTTGCAGTAACCATGGGCACACAAATTGGACCTTCCGGACAGACTACAAGCGGTGGAAGACAACATTTAACTGTCGGAGAGGCTACTGCACCCAGTAACAATTTATCTCATAAATCAATTAAACAATTGAGAGAACTTTTACATACGAGTTCGTTACTAGGTAGGAAGGATTGATTGGATATATCAGCGATTGCTAATATTGAATATATAGGTTTGAAAATTTTAATTATTGGATTCAGTAAACAATTAAAACGTGAATGGCAACGTCTTACTCAAGGAATCAAATCAATCTGTAATAAGCAATCGAATATTTCCTCGAACCTTCTTTCGTTCATCGACTTTCTTGTTTCGTATAAAACGCCAGTCTATTTACTTCTTCGCCCATTTCTAATGCATTACGTAAGACAATTTCATTGTTCGACACAAGTGAATCTTTGTCTCTTTGGCAATACTAGACGCAATCAGTCACCTCGGACAATAGTCGAGACTTTGCAATTATTACCACTGTTCAACAAAAGATCTTGTTCGAAAAGATACCGATATCAAAATCGAATGGAGAAATCCTCCATGGACTTCGACTAGAATTGAATCAACTCAAAGCCGATGTAGCCGGTATGGTTGATTATTGAACCCAAAAGAATATGTGTCAATCGTTTTCTTACAGATGAATCAAAAGTGACGAATGCATCTGATATTCGTCCGATAAGCACAGGAAAAGTACGGTTCGACGTCGAAGTATTAGGACAAACGAAAGATCTTGATAATCTGACAATTCCATTGACCAGTGCGTCAAGTATCTATTGGTCTTCAACGGCTCATCACTTTCGGCAACAACGACTTCATGATTACAGCCTAGACACTTCACCAAAACGACGAATGGGAACAATTCGAGGAAGAGATGCATTGAACATTCTCGAAACCTATCACGAACGATATCGTATTCGATGTGGCGGTAATGATATTTTCTTACATTAACGAGATGTTCAATAGTTGCAACTAGAATTTCGTTTTACACGTTCAGTTTCAGATACTTCATCGAAAACAATCGAAGATATTGTATTCAGACGACCATCAAGTATGACCAATGACATCGAAGCGTCGATCTCAACTGGTAAACTATTATTTCGTCAATATCTTTCTAATTAGTTCATTGCTTCAGATTCTCAACAGCTCCGAACATCTTCACTGACACATTCTCCAATGTCCTTGGCTCGTTCACTAACAGTCACTAGTGACCGAAGTTTATCAACACTGAACGGTGACAATTTCATGGATGAAAGCACTTTAGAACAATCATCACCCATCAGTGATCAAAACACATCGAAGCTACGAACGTTTCGAGGATGGAAACGATATCCTGCACATGTAGAACGATCGCGATCACCGAAAGGTTCAGGACGATCCAACGTATGTCGAACTAATCGTTCATCTTCTACTTAATTGCTATTTTTATAAATAGACATCCAATACAAACGACCAATCCCAATCAACTGAGTAATGCGCAAGCGTTTGTCATTTTCTATGACGATTGTTTGTATTTAGACAAGTTCATGACCAATCTTCTGATGTAATTGATATTTGTGAACCTGGCGCTAATGACAATTTTGAACAGATGCAAGCACGTCGAAGCTCATTGTTATTATCTCGTTTATCGAATCCCGAGGCAAATCACTAGAATAATCTGTCAATTATGTATAATTTACCTTTGATTTTATTTCGATTTAATGTCTTTTGAATGAATAGAATAAAAGCAGAAGGAAAAATAAAATATATGTCCGTTCACTTTTTGCCCTTGCCTTTGCCACCTTTCTTTCCTTTCTTCTTCTTCTTTGCTTTGAGACCCTAAATGTCGAAATGATCAAGATGAAATCGAATTTCTCTACAAGAGCAATCATATTACTTTTCGAACTTTGTAACCTTGCCAAAACCGCTGAATTTGTGCAGCTGCCCGCCAACGTCGTTCGCGTAGTGCCTTTTCCAATGCTTGTTGTCGTTCTTCAGCTGCGCGTTCTTCCATAATCTATACAAAGACTTTCTTCTCCTGTTAATTGTCAAATGAAAACTTACTTTATCATATTCTTCTTTCAATTTTTCAAATCGTTCTTCCAATTCGAGAAGTATTCGTTTTTCTTCCATGTATGCTTCGTCGATTTCATCGTATTCGTCCTAAATAGATAATTCGTTCATCGCGTAGCTGACCGATTTGTGCATCTACCTGTTTTTGTCGCATCTCATTATCATATTTCGTTAACCATGTTTCAAGTCTAGAAAAAAAAAGCAATTGTCCGAGAACAATCATTAATAAAAAATTCATTTGTCTTCTTTTCATTCTCTCCACGTGTGTCTGTGTACGTTCATTTGACAACTATCAATTAACTATAAACGTAACGAACCAGTGATAAAATGATAAATGTTGGTTAATTTAGTTAATTCATCAGTGAGATTGGACGAACGAAAGTATTCAAACGTACCCGGTTTCTTGACGCCATTTTTCTTTACGTAAATCAGTTTCCGTTTTCTTATTTCTCTGTTGTTGTTCTTGTAACTTTTGTCGACACATGTTAATGTCCAATTGTAATTTATGTCTATAGAAAAAAAAGGAAGAGAGAGAGAGAGAGAATGAAAGAACGGGTTTTGTTATTAGAAATAACTTACCGGCGACCTTCGGAATTCTTCGTTTCAGATATTTCTGCAGATTCGGTTTCCATTCGAATGCGCTTGAGGGTATCCTGCTGATTACGTTCAACATTATTAAGATCCGATTGTATCTTTCGAATTTCATCATTACGTGCTTTGATCTTTAAAATACAAAAGCAAAATGATGACGACCGTTCATTAGTAACATGCAAGGACACAGAGAAAAAGTAATCTGATCACTTTCATATTCCTTTTATCTTCTTCCGTCAACGAAGTGATAGGTGAAGGATTACAGAGAATATCAACATGCATATTAACAACTGCTGTTGCCCAAGCCATTAATGCATTAGTGCGATTAATCGTATGTATAATCAAACATAAGAAGGAAAAACTAGATAACCATCTGTGAATGTCGCCTTCTGTGCACAAGCATACTAGGAAGAATATCGCATGTAAGTTAAGCACTCGTTTTTAGTCTGTGTCTCTCGTGTCCGTTTGACCTCTTCTTAGAGAAAAACACTGCGCACAGGGGAAAGAGAGAAAGAAAACGACACGTAGGGAAAGAATACAATTATTAAGCTTTCTAGATCAATCATTTACTTTGCTTACAGAATCGAACATCTTCTGTTTATCTATCATTTTCATCAAAAAAAAAGAACAATACAGATGATTTCATCATTATACGAGCAAAATTTATCAACAGAGAGCATGAAAATGCCGGAAACGATATTAATCACTCCGAATGATCAACTACTAACAACAACAATTGAAGATATGTATCGACATATCGACGAGAGACATCAATCAACCGATACATTATCAAATACAATAAGTAAAGATAATCTTCTGCTTGTTTTCTCTTGTTCCTATTTCAATCTTAGATCAAAAACAAAAGTCACTAATATCGGTATATGATAACAATCTTCAGCATCAATGCACTAGCAAGAATTATCCATTAGTTGGCATCATCGGCCAAAATAAACGCTCTCAAGCATTTCGGAAGCGTCTTCTTCTGTCTGGTTTTCCTAGTCCTATCCTATGTGATATCAATTCGGATTCAGCAGAATCGAATTATATTTCCTATGAATTGTTCTATGAATTATCACCTACAATTATTCTCATCACGGATGACTTAACCATTAATTTCGAAGATTTATTCCCTCAAACTAAACAGCAGTTAGTTATTGATACACGAGAACTTTCGCCGAGCTATTTTTCAAGAAAAGCTCGCGCTTTACCATTCTCGTCAATCCCGGGTTCTTATCGTGCTTTCGGAAATCTCTCCGATCAAGAAATCGAACATGGAACTCAACGAGCACGCGTAGCAATCGAAGAATATTCACCTTCAAACCTAATCGCATTTATCTACAGTTTAAATTGTTTTCCACGCGGTATTGATATTCTCGAGCATGAAACGTACAATCACACACAAAGAAAACTCATTGGAAATTGTTTATTTCCTTTACTAGCAACAGTCTTCGTATTTACATTATGTTTAATTATATCAGCAACTGAACACAGTACCGACTTAATCTATCGGCAAGCCGGTTCAATAACGGCAGCGACTAGTATAACTTTATTAGCATTATTATATCTAATCAGACCGTTGTTGGATATGACTGAATTGATTTATTCATGGATTTTGAAATCGCAGAATCTTCAAAGTAAATCAGGATGCTTCTCGAGAAAGAAAAATTAAATCCATCTTCTCTTTTTTTTTCAGAAAATACACTACCGAATCTACGCTTTCTTCATCAATGTTTTCAATCACAAAATTATCTTATTTGGTATTCGCTTGCCTTTGCTTTACTTCATCTAGTATTTCTTATGTTCTCGAAACTTGACCTTACTTCAAATATGTCGGTCAACAGCTTCTTTTTCGGTCTGTTTACAATGGTTGCATTATGTATTCTATCCTGTGTTCATTTTCCGTGGATCAGCGAACACCTTCTTTGGAAGGAGTATCATTTTCTCACGTCTCATCTCGGATTATTTTGCCTATTATTTGCTGTTATTCATCCTACTATTCTTCATTGGAATTCGACTTCGGGTGCATTCGATTTGAAGGCTTTCTCCTTGATTTTACCAATGTTTGTCTTAATTCTACGTTTGATTATCTATGGACTAATCTATCCGATACAGAAACTTATTCAATGGACGAAACAACGGCAAAATCAAACATCGATTACGCCCACTCGAGACGCATCTATGTTCTTATAAATGTATCATTAGAATCTCATACATGTGTCTGCTTCAATAATGCTTAGACGAAGGATAAGTGCCATCAGATGAACAGATGGATAATAAAGACGTGTATAAAGAACAGATGTAATCTGACATATCAATGACATACCTCAGCATCACGATCGGCAATGGCATCATTGAGTTCTTTTTCAAGTTTAGCAATAACAGTTTCATTAGCAGCCAAACGTGCATTTAAACTTTTGATTTGTTCACCTTTCTCACGTTCTTCGAGTGGAGTGGTCAGAAATCGTTCCATAGCAGAATCTCGTAATAGTTTCAACACATCTGAAGTAACCGCTTATACTTGATAATGTAGAGGAAAAGAAAGTTCTACGCACTCATCACTTCTTTTTGTTTGGGTAATAAATTATTGCTTTGTAATATACGTTTAATCATCTCAAGACGATTTTGTTCATGAAGAAGTCGACGAAGAACATTACGAATCGATTGTTGCATATAATAATGATACGCGATTTGTTCACTGGTATTGCTCGACAACGATTTACCAAACCGCCGTGTATAATTTTCAAATTGTGGCAATTTTTCTGCATAACAGTATGTCAATTCATTTTTTCACTCAAAAAAAGAATGTCTTTTTATCCTACCGATGATGTTCATTACTGATTGAAGTGATTCATGTGCTTCGTAGGCTCGTTTCAATTGCTCATGTCGATTTATCTCATTCATTGATTCACTAGAAAGATTCAATGTTCAATTTCTACCAGTCCGTTATGTTTACTTACCTATCAATGACCGATTTGAAAAGATCAGCATGTGCTGCGATAATGGGTAGAAGTTCGATTAATTCCATTTTCTGCACAAGATCATCGAAAACAATCATAATCCGTTGTGTTTCAATTGTCGACAGTTTCTTTCGCGCGGGCTCGTGCAAGCGCAATGGGTCAAGTTGAAGACGGATTGGTTTAGCAGCAGCACCAGAAGTACGGGATTTGTTTGACGACGACATGATTGATGCTGACGCCATAGTTTGTTTTTTCTTTTCGAGTAAACCAAAAGTACAAACTGATTTGATCTAAAAATATCGCATCAGTATTAACTGCAGCTGTTCACACGAGTATAAAAGCACGGAGTCAGTTAGGTTAGTGCGTCTTTTTTCTTCTATTGTAGATTTGAATTACAAAACAATTTTTCTATCAAGTATGGAATCGAACGTGTTCGTTAGTTTCGTGTGTCTTTCTCTATGGTTGACAGTGCATGCAGCGAGCGATCTATCTGTTCCAGTTACGGCTTTTGAATATGATCTATTTCGTTGGCCACACACAACACCGGAATGCGATCGTTTTTCTCAAGGATTACAACATGAAAATGTCGATAATGATCCACAAAGTTTTCTCAAAACAGACTGCGAACGGTTTCGACGCGCTCTGGCATGTTATGACAGCTTTTATTCATCACTAGATTTGAATACGGAAAATGGTCGAGAGACAAAAAAAGATTTGGACGAGCACAATATTGAATATCTCAAAAAGCAATGTGCGAACATTTAATAATAATCTTCTGTAATTTGATAAAGTAATTGAAATACATACTTATCGCTATATAGAAGACTCTTTGTCGAAAAACATGAAGTCAATGTCTAGGCCATTAGTTCTGTAATATCTATAGCAACATTTTCTGTTCTTCTCTGCACTTTGGTCAAAGTGCATAAGTATGTTGAAATGCATTGATGAGATGTCTAACAAAAATCTTTTCCTTTTTCATCAAAGACAAAACACTGATTTTTCATTTTTCTTGTTTTTTTCTTATCTTCATAAATTTTCTCATTGATATATTTTTTTTCCTAATGACTATAGACATTCACATGAATAAAGTTTATCGTAGAATAAAGAAGAAGAAAAAGGCTATCTAGGGTAATTTTCTCGTCCATTCGTTCATCATCATCATCATCTCTCTCTCTCTCCCCCTGTGTTTCTGTTCGTTTTCTATTCACCATCGTATGTAAACAGCTGTAGGTGCTGGAAGAAAATATATCCGTAAATCTCTCGATATATATTCATATACCTCGGTAGACTATTTCGTCTATTTTCTTTCTTGTTTTTCGTCCGGCTGGAATTCTTCATAGATATTCGCATTTCGAAATCGATTTCATTTACCTTGTATTTTCTAGTTAATCGTGTAAAAACATCTTCAAAACATGACCAACAGTGAAGAACTTACTGTAACAACAACTTCAACGGCAATTATTGATACACATGCCGGTTCAATGAATGCCCATACCAAAGCACTTCTTGATGATCCCAACTGGAAAGAAAAATTGAAATTACCACCTAAAGATAATCGTCCCAAAACAGCCGATGTCACCGCTACCAAAGGACATAACTTCGAAGATTATTGTCTCAAACGCGAACTATTAATGGGTATACAAATAAGCAGAAATTCATATCTTGTCTTCATCGCGCATGTTTTCCTTTGTAGGCATCTATGAAAAAGGCTGGGAAAAGCCATCACCAGTACAAGAACAATCTATTCCAATTGCCCTTACTGGTCGCGATGTTCTCGCACGTGCAAAGAATGGAACCGGCAAAACTGGTGCTTATACGATTCCAATCATCGAACGCATCGATCCAACGAAAAATGTCATCCAAGCCGTTATTCTAGTGCCAACACGTGAATTAGCTTTGCAAACAAGTGCCATCTGCATGGAACTTTCAAAACACATCCAATTACGCGTCATGGTCACAACCGGTGGTACATCTTTACGTGAAGATATCACACGTTTACAAGAAGTCGTGCATATCGTCATCGCAACACCCGGTCGACTCTTGGATTTGGTGAACAAAAACCTAGCTAAAATCGACTCATGCCGTGTGATTGTTTTGGATGAAGCCGATAAATTACTTTCACAAGATTACAACCATCTTTTGGACGAATTGTTGTACACAATGCCAACTGATCGACAAGTGATGCTCTTTTCGGCAACATTTCCATTGACCGTCGATGATTTCATTCATAAACATATGAAACAAGCATACGAAATCAATCTTATGGACGAACTGACACTCAAAGGTATTACACAATACTATGCCTATGTACAAGAACGTCAAAAGATTCACTGTTTAAATACACTCTTCTCCAAAGTAAGTCATTTTAGTTTGTATTTGCTCGACAACGAAATTTTCTGCCTTTTGTCTAGTTACAAATTAATCAATCGATTATTTTCTGCAATTCAACACAACGTGTCGAACTTTTAGCTAAGAAAATCACCGAACTAGGTTATAATTGTTATTATATCCACTCGAAGATGCGACAAGAACATCGTAATCGTGTGTTCCATGATTTCCGTACTGGTCTCTGCCGTAATCTTGTTTGCTCGGATCTGTTTACCCGTGGTATCGACATTCAAGCCGTCAACGTTGTAATTAATTTTGACTTTCCTCGTTTCAGTGAAACCTATCTGTAAGATCCGATTCGTCCTATGAATTTTCCTTGTTCATACTCTGCTTCTAGTCATCGTATTGGTCGTTCGGGTCGTTTCGGTCATCTTGGTGTTGCCATCAGTTTGATCACCCATGAAGATCGATTTGCTGTTCACAAAATCGAACAAGAATTGGGCACCGAAATTCTCCCTATTCCACGTCATATTGATGAACATCTCTATGTTGCCAAAGTGTCCGCAATCGAATCATCATCCGAAGAACACCAACAATAATGAACAGTCAGATGTTTTCGCTTTCTTTTTTTTTCCTCTTCCGTCGCTTTGTATGTGTGTTTTACTAGTCAAAAGGCAACTCCAATGATACTCCAAGATCAGATATATATGATGTGTGTGCACAATTTTATTCTACATTCTCTTTCTCTTTCTTTTCCTCTTTATTATAAGTTTCTTCTTTTTCATCCTTCTTTTTTTGATCGATTGTTCTTGCATAACAAACGTTTTATAGAGAAAAAACTACGTTGAAATAAGTCAAAACGTTTTCTTCTACTTTAGATCTACACCTACATTATACATTCATTGATATCTTTTGTACATATAAACAATTTTGTTTTTATCCCTTAATTATGATTGACTCAACAACTGGAGGTAAAGCATCACCATCTTTACCATTATCAGCAACAAACAATACTGGCAATGACAAAAGCAAGATTAATAATGGAAATACAACAACAACAACAACGATCAACAAAGATGATCCGGATTGGAAATCGAAATTGAACATTCCAGTCAAAGATAATCGCGCTAAGACAAGTGATGTCACTAACACCAGTGGTCATGATTTTGAAGATTATTGTCTCAAACGCGAATTATTAATGGGTAAAGTTACCACATCTCAATGTGAATTATACACAAAAGCTTTTCTCTGTCTAGGCATCTACGAAAAAGGTTGGGAAAAGCCATCTCCTATTCAAGAACATTCAATCCCAATCGCATTGACTGGTCGCGATGTTCTCGCACGTGCAAAGAATGGAACCGGCAAAACGGGCGCCTATACAATTCCTGTCATTGAGCGTATCGATCCAGAAAAAAACGCCATTCAAGCTGTTATTCTAGTGCCAACACGTGAATTAGCCTTGCAAACAAGTGCTATCTGTATGGAAATCTCTAAACATATTCATTTGCGTGTGATGGTTACAACTGGCGGTACATCATTACGCGAAGACATCGCACGTTTACAAGAAGTCGTACAAATTGTCATCGCTACACCTGGTCGATTGCTAGATTTGGTGAATAAAGATATAGCGAAACTTGATTCATGCCGTGTGATTGTTTTGGACGAAGCTGATAAGTTACTTTCACAAGATTTCAATCACTTGTTAGACGATCTAATTTATCATTTACCGCAAGATAGACAAATTATGTTGTACTCAGCAACATTTCCTTTGACAGTTGATGATTTTATTAAAAAACATATGCGTAACCCATATGAAATCAATCTTATGGAGGAACTTACTCTTAAAGGTATGTTGAATTCATCTCCTATGCGTTACTTTGACCGTATTCTCGTTCTAGGTATTACTCAGTACTATGCATTCGTACAAGAACGTCAAAAGGTCCACTGTTTAAATACATTATTTTCAAAAGTAAGAAAACTAACACGAGCTGCGATGTTTTCTATTCTGTTCTCTTCGTTTTCTTAGTTACAAATTAATCAATCGATTATTTTCTGTAATTCAACACAACGTGTCGAACTTTTAGCTAAGAAAATCACTGATCTCGGATATTCATGTTATTATATTCACTCAAAAATGCGTCAAGATCATCGCAATCGTGTTTTTCATGATTTCCGCACCGGTCTCTGTCGTAATCTTGTCTGCTCGGACTTATTCACTCGTGGCATTGACATTCAAGCTGTCAATGTCGTCATCAATTTCGATTTTCCCAAATTGAGTGAAACATATCTGTAAGTTGAATTCGCGCAAAATCAAAGCAAAACCTTTTTCCTCTCCTTAGACATCGTATTGGTCGCTCAGGTCGTTTTGGTCATTATGGCATTGCTATTAGTCTCATTACCTACGAAGATCGTTTTTCATTACATAAAATTGAACAAGAATTGGGCACCGAAATCCAACCCATTCCTAAACAAATAGATCCATCACTTTACGTCGCTGAATATCAAATGAGTGGAGACAATACGAGCGAAAGACAACAACAGGAAAGTAATGGCAATGCGTCCGCCAGCGTCAAATCTTAAACTGAAGGCAAACTTTAACTAAACGAAAACAAGAAGTAAAATCTAAATATCATATAGTCGATGTTGTACAGTTCTTTTCTCTATTTGTGTATGTTTCTCATTGTTCCGGTGTTCAAAAATACCATTTTGCACCGTCGAAGCATCAAAACAAACAAGAAGTCTTTTGTTTTTATTATTTCACTACTCTCCGTTGTCTTGTGTTAATGTTTTCTTCGTCTTCTTTTTCATGCTTTGTTTCATGGCTGATATTCCGACATTTTGCGTAGTTTTTGAGAATTTGATTTATGTTGTAATTGATTTTTACGATCTCATCCCCTGCCAAACAAACAAAAATTTTCCTTTTTCTTATGTCGAAGACACAAAACACTTTTTCTTGATAGTCTCTTTTTCTCTGTATTAGTTTCTTGCTACTCTATTGTATATGTATGTTGTTGTTTAGTTGTTTTTCTTTTTATGTTCGATATGTGAGAAGAGTGTTTGACACAGAATGAGATATGAAACACAAAGAACCGAATTTGTGCCGTCGAAAAACAAAAAAAAAACAACAATAAAATTCTTTCAAGACCTTGTCATTAGAGATTGTACTTTTCTTGGCAAGACTCGGCTAGAATGGAAAATGAGAAAGACATTTGGAAGCGTGCTTATAACTAAACTGTCTTATCTTGAGTGGATTCAATTAGGAGAACTGTTGCCTATTATTTAAACGAATCGGATGCAAAGCTAGAATAGAATTATTTCTCGTATAGTCCGATCGATCCTACAAACAAAGTAAACATAGTGAAATTCAAAGACCAGGACATTACATCCGAGCTCATTGAAAGATGTTATGGGCTTTTTGTGGTCTATATACCGACGTATCTTAACTGATTTTGCGTGAATGTTCAATGTAGTATTAGTGTACTGTGCAGCAGATGTAGCAACGGTGTTCAATACAGCTTTATTTTAGATGGCTTCTTTGTCTATATCATTTTCCCATTTGTATTCGGGCGGAAGACCTTTCTAAAAGTCGATAAAATACATCTTGTTCCTCGGGCCAATTTTTAACGTGTTTTGTCAAGAATGAATTGGAAGAGAGCTTTACCCAACATAACAAGTCATTCTGCAGAGATGTGATTTTGAATGTATCAATTTCAATGGTATCTGTGTTATCAATCCTTCACTGACGCTAAATTGTTGAACATATGGCCACTCACATTCGCTTACATCTGCTGTCTCGCACGATTTCCTGGTCAATGTTAACAGAGTACCAAAACTACCGAATGAAATTATTTCTAGGACTTCGACATCTATCAGAAAGTGACTAATATCATGCATGAAAAAATTCAATATTCTAGGTCGCCTGTTGTCAACCATCTCTGGAATGGAATTCCCTGGAAGTTATTTGAATTGGTTAATAACTAATGAGGATGTGTATTTCTTTCCACTCACTCATTGAAGTTAGGATCACTGATATTTTCATCGCAGTTTCTCGCAGTCTGTTTCGAAATTCTTTCATCAATCATAATTACGTGTTGACTTTTATGACAAGCAATACATTCAATCGGAAAGATATTGATGTTGAAAACTCGTTTTCTCTATGCCTTTCATTATATTCTCGTTTGTTCATCAATTGTGTACGATGATGAACAGAAGTCTTTATTTGGTCTACATATGTCTAATCAAATACAGCACATCACACATCAATCTTTCTCTTCTTTCCATGCTTGTCTCTCATTCATCTCTTACAAGTTCAAATCGAGGTCATCAATATGATGTGAGATGGAATTATCCTTCTTTCTTCTCCTTTCTTGTTCATCTAGCCGTTCATCACGCTCTTTCTCTCCGTTCTACACGAGAGATAAAATACTATTTGTATTCGTTCTAACACTTCTGATTACTAATAGATGACCGAAGAAAGAAAAAAAAAAGACAACGAAGAGTTGCATTTGTTAATGAATTGACATTGTACTTCTAGATACACATGTATTGATTGATGTAAGTTATTTATATTTGTCCAACACATCGACAAATAACATCGAGATCTGCCAAATCAATGTTATTATCAAACAGACCTTATCGCCCGCAGTGATCTATCCTATATTGCATAGGTTTATTTAACTAAATTAGAACGAAAAAGAAAACCAGAAATATAGATGAGAGTGACTGACATGCATATATTATATCATTTGATTCTCTGGAGAAATGAAAGCGAAGCAGAGACAAAGGACTAAAATTCTCGATCTTTTTTATATACTATTCAGAAATATGATTTTTTCAGGCGAGAGGATGTAGTTTGCATATGTTACGCTCCTTTTTTTAGCGAGGACAGAGCGGAGAAATTAATAAAAAGATAAAAGAATTTTCCAGTCAATAGCATGATGAATGGAGAATCATTGTTCGATTCATACTAGACACTGTTCTTCTTCGACGATTTAGTCATAAATGTTTACTTGTGTTCGATCGTCGCGCATGTGTTATATGCCGGCAATTCGGTCGCATTCTTTTCTTTCGAATTCATGAAACGAAAAAATTTGGTCATGAACAATTCCATTTTCTATTTTAGATCGCAAATGAACAATTGCACTCGAATATTTCTTCTTGTTACTCCAGCACTGGTTGCTATTGTTCTGCTTGGGGTGGCTTTTAGTACCAATTGGTGGATGATCACATTAGACAAAGTGAGATTGTTAAACTGATTTTAATAGATTTCTAATCGCGATTTGTTTTTTAGTATATTCCAAAGGAAAGCTGGTTAAACACTACAAGCGATGTTCGCTCTTACTCAATGCTAATTCCTCATACAGTCGCACGAGGTTTACTAACCGAATGTACGAAATACGAAAAAACCAAGGTTCTCGTTTCAAACGCTTTTGATTTTCGCGAGGACCAGTCGCCGCTTGCAAATGAAACCTGTTCGAGCCATCAAATTGGATGTACGAAGGGCGTGGCAATCTCGCGTCCACTAACGCGCTGTATAAACCGTGCACAACATTGTGACGGAATAATTCATTGTGAAGATAAAAGCGATGAATTAGCATGCAACCAAACTGTGCACAATGCCGCTTGTCCAACAGGCTTCACGAAGTGTCCTGACGGTAAAGTTTGTTACCGACAACAAGAACAAACGTGTGGTACGTTGATTTTACTAGGAGAGAACTTGGTGATTTATTTCTTTGATTAGATGGTGTATCCAACTGCATGAATGATTTTGATGAACAAAATTGCAATGAAGAAAAATGTCGATCGAATAGACATGTCTACTGTCCTCGAGAAAGGAAATGTTCAAGAAGAGAAAATTCCTATAAGTATGAATTTTGTTTTCGGAAGAATTCAGAAGACTAACTGCTAGTCATTTCTCATAGATGTGATGGCATTGTTGATTGCGAAGATAATTCCGACGAGGAAAACTGTCAACATTGCAACGGAGATCCAACTGTTTTCTTATGCGATGGAAGATGTAAGCGCAAAAATGTTTCGAGAATATCATCTGACATGCTAAACAGGACTGGAACTGGATGAAACGCATTGGCCAGAGATGAGAATGAGCCTTCTGCTAGACAGAGAGCAGGAATACGTCGTACTTGTACATTCTTCAGTCGTGAATAGTACAATTACGTAGATCCTATTGATTTTTGAAATTTCTTTTTTAAGGCTTTCAACCGAAATACAGATGTGATGGTGTTGTTCATTGTTCTGATCTACGAGACGAGTTGAATTGCACTGATTATTCCAGCACAACGAACGAAAAAGGAGATATGTTTCGTCTCGAATATTTATGCCATGAAAAACGTTTCAATCCATTCATTTTTTATCCACCAAAGATCGACCCACGTCTCTTGGAATCCTATCCGCATCCAAACCAACGTACGGAATACTTGAATTTCATGTTCTATCTCCAATTAGTCGCCTTCTATTGCGTCGCAAGTGGTCTAATCTTTCTCTTCTTGGCAATTATCTCCTTGTTCTTCTTTGCCTGTTGTCGCGACAAATGCATTAGCGTACCGTTTTGTCTCTACGGTATGTGGACTTTGTTAGCATGGATCGCCATTTGTGCAGCTCTTCTCGCGTTCGTTGGTATGTGGCTTTGGAAGAAACACAACTTGAGCGACTATGAGAACAATCCGCCACTGGATATTATGATCTATCAACGAAATCCTTCGTTACAATATGTGGAATTTTTTGGCTTGAGCTTTTGGTTAGCATGCGGTGCAGCATTGGTGGCATTCATTGGTGTATTGCTATCATGTTGTGTTTGCTTCACAGTTGGTTCGTCACGCTCGGAAAATAAAGAATATGAAATCATGCATATGCAAAACTATTAACATTGGATGAACACGAAAATATGAAGCTTATATCTAGATTATGTAAAGTACGTCGTTTGTTTGTTTTCTTTTCTTGATATTGTATGATAAACTTCTATAAACCGTTTTCTCTTTGCGCTATCTATATCACTCTAGTCATGCATATGTACGTGTGTGCGTGTTGATTGTATCCTATGTATAAAGTTCTTTATTTACGATTAGCGGTTCAATTCAATGAAATGATCTCTTATTAATAACATCGGGAACGAATTAGTTCTTGTCTAATAAAGAATTTCAATGAGAAATGCGAACGGTCGGATGGCTTTCGATGAACTTTATTCGAATGAAATGAAAGACTTGTACCTATAGAATCGTACAGACTTTGGCTCTTTGTGGATGAGAATGAAAGGAATTGTTCATGTTCTGTTGAGCTTTTCGTGCTCGATTTTCGATATTTACAGACATTGATCGAGCTCGTGGCGTTGTTGATTCGTCAGTCAATACTTGCTCGTACAAATCATCACGTTCCAAAGGCGTGGACTGTTTTTGCAATCGATGTAAGATAATTCTGTAAGTACCATTAACATTATCGTGCGTTGAAAGAGTTTTTTCACTAGAACTTGAGTCTTTTCTTGATTTCAAAACATCAGGTGTAATACCCAATTCTGCTAAACGAGTTTGTGCCTCGTATTCAAACGATATTCTTGATGGAGTCGAATCGTAACTTAAATTAAGTGTATATGGATCGTATTCTTTAGGAAAATATTGCTTTGTTAACCACGTACACGAACGAATTTGTTCGATGGACCATCGTTCGAGTTTGTCGTACGATAGAAGCCCATCTAAATTCAAGGAGAAAATGATTCCAATCTGAAACTCTTGATTTACTTACTGATGAGCTCCTTGCATGGTTTAGACACATACGCAGGAATCGAGTAATTACCATCGATAACCGCGTTTTTCAATTTCGTCAGATTTTCTCCCCGGAATGGCATCAAACCAGTCACCATAAAGTAAAGTGTCACACCTAATGCCCAAATATCAACATAGATTCCCTCGTAACTCTCATCTCGATACAGTTCTGGCGCGGCATATGGCGGACTACCGCAGAACGTGGTGAGCATTTGATGTTTTTCCGTATAAGTACTGAAACCAAGATCACCGAGTTTGATTAAACGTTGTTTGCCAAAGAAAACATTCTCACATTTGATATCACGATGAACAATGCCTTTGCTATGCTAGAAAATAGTAACAAAAGGCGATCTCATCAGTAGAAATGTCAGTGCTTTTTTACCATATGATCGACAGCGGCGGTTATTTGAGCGAACACCACTTTCGCTTCATTCTCGGGCATCTTCCCATGATCGGTTATACGTGTGTAAAGATCCCCATCAGCAGCGTATTCAGTAACAATATAGATTTCTCTATCTGTTTCAATTACTTCGTAGATACGAATGATATTCGGATGGTGCAATTTCTCTGTCGATGTGATCTCCCGCGAAAGTAAACGTTGAGTAGTCTTATCCAATTTAGTTTTATCGAGAATTTTGATCGCCACTTTTTCTATGGGAAGAAAAAACATGAAATGAAGCGTGAACATAAAATTATTGTCTTCCTCCATACCTTTGGCGAGTAGGTGTACACCGAGTTTGACTTTTGAAAAGTTTCCTAGACCAATATTCTTCACGATACGATAAAAACCAATGCGTCGGCCAGCTTTGACTTCTTCTTTGCATCGAGCATCATTCTGTGCTTCGTAAACTAATTTCTCGTATGGACTTAAAGCTTTTTTCTCATCTTTTCCAAAGACAACATTAACACTGGTCTCTGTTGAGTTCTCTTTCATATTACTATCGAATGAAAATATGTGTGACATGTTTCACAAACACTTTCCTACTTACATTTGTTACTGAAGAAAATGATTTAGTTTGTAGCAGATGGTATTTAACATAAAATATTTGCCATCAAGCAAAAACTCGCGTTTGGAGTTTATTGGTACAAACTTTTGTTCGGCAGTCAGAACGAACGAAAAGACGTCACAGGCGAAAAAGTTTCAATGTGAGAAGTATTTCGTGACGTCAATCAGACAAATCTGAGTACATTCAACAACTGCATAGGCGGTGAAGTTTTACTTGAAGACACTCCGCCACTAAGCATAGTCAAAAGAAAGAGAAAGAGTTTTATACGCCTTCCGAGAAGAATAACTTGAAAAATATCGGTATATTCCTCTCCATTTACTCGTTTCCGACGTCGTTTTCATCATCGAAGCTTTCTTTCATGGTTGCTTAGGTACGAATGCAGTTCAACACACCTATGCACTTGGAGATATTTTCGAGGGCGAGTTCATAATTTCGTTGTTAATTTGTTTTTAATCAATAAATTTCATTTGTAGAGGATAAAATTTGGCGAATTCGAACATATTTTCACGGCGATCAACTACGAATGGTTGATCATAAAAACGATTGACCAGTTGTTTCTATTTTCTCCCTACCATAAACATACAACTTTTGTTTTGAATAAAATAATTTTCGAAAAAAAATTTCGTTCTAGATTTTGTTCGATTTCTATCAAAGACCAGCACACATAAAATGAAACGCAATCGATTTGTCTCGTCATCCCGTCGAAAGGCTCGCAAGCGTTATTTTACTGCACCATCACATATTCGTCGTCGTTTTATGAGCGCACCGCTAAACAAAGAATTACGACGACGTTACAACGTTCGCAGTCTACCTATTCGAAAAGATGATGAAGTCGCTGTACGTATTGATTTGCAAAGAAAACTCAACAACCAATTTCTTGTTCATCCTAGATCACACGTGGCCATTTCAAAGGCCAACCATCTGGCAAAATCACTCAAGTTTACCGTAAGAAATTCGTTGTGCATATCGAACGAATCACGCGTGAAAAAGCCAATGGTAATACCGTTCATATTGGTATTCATCCATCGAAGGTAAAAGAGTGACTTACGTGTTGCAGGAAGATATTTTGTGTTTGTTAGGTGCAAATTACAAAATTGAAATTAGATCGTGATCGACGCCGAATCTTAGACCGTCGCTCGAAATCGAAATTAGCTGCCAAAGGCAAACATACTGAAGAAAGTATTCAACAAACATCAGGTGCACCGATGGAAACATCTTCGTAAAAGCCAAGAGAAAAGATGTGCTGTTTGTTTTTCTTTTGTTTTGTATTTGTGTGTGCGATCGATGAAAATACAAACATGAAGACAAGAAAAAAAGAAGAGATAATTAATAAACGAAAAGCAATCATTCCTCACAGGATGCAAATAAATGATTTCAAATACAAAACTATCTGTCATACGCTGCATTTTCAGGTCTAACAAACGTGTCGCTGAGACATTGTGCTAATATTTGCCGTCTGTCAGTATTTTTTCATCGTCAAACTGAGTTTTTCTCTTCTCGACATGTTCAATAAAATGACAAGACAGTTTTTTCTCTCTCAGAAGAAAGACTGCATTGTGGAAAGCAGTTGTCTCTCTATACATATACCTCCAATCAGTTTGATCTGTATCGACACTGCCCTCTATGTTCGATACATATTTCGATTGGTTTCGTTTTTCGTTCTTTCATTGAGGTGCATCAACTGAAACAAAAACAATCATTTCTCGTTCTTTTTCCTCAATATTATATGATGGATCGTTCAATCTCTTTTGTTCTATTTGTTCTCATTGCGGTTTCCCTACAAAATCAGGTTCAAACGTCGCCAGTCTTACTTTGGAGCAATGTGTAAGTGAAAATTCCATGTTCTGTTCTTTCTACATTGGTCAAATCGATTGCTTTAGGGATCTACCTGAAACGTCAATCCCTCTCGGAACAATCACACCACTTGATCTGATTTCTAATTATGTCTGTAAGCTATCTAATGAAAAAATTCAATTGCATATAGTTGCTGTCGATGATGTAAGTTAATCAGAGAGGTAAAACAAGGAAAGAAATGATTTGTTTAGCTGAATAATGAAGACATTCATCGAAGTCTGAACGATAAAAAATCGATCTTAGCAGATATTAAAGTAAGGCTTGCAACTTTAGTTACGTTTCATCACCATCCATTTTTCGTGTAGAAAACGAACAACAAACTCCGTTATTATCCTAATGTTAACGAAGATATTTATCGAACATTTACATTACTTCCTCAATCGAATAATATGAAATGTGCACATATACATTTTCAAATTGCGTCATCACAAACAGTCCAAACACTACATGATGGTTTGTAAAGAGTTTCTTTGATGAAAAGAGAGCGAACTGGCCTCTCTCTTTTCAGCAATGCATAAAATTCAAGAAACAATTACTGAAACTGGAACAAACACAGACAATGCTGTTGTTATTGCATTGGTCGAGCACCCTACTGGCGAAGAACGCTCAGTAAGCGAAACACATATAAATGCATAATCTTCATCTGTTCTTGAACAAAAACATCTAGTCTCGTAAACGTCGAGAAACCGTGACGGCACCAAAGAATAATATCGTCATTTCAACTAATGGAAGCTGTATGTTTTATGCGAAGAATTTAACTTGGCATGGTGGAAGTGCTACACCTGGAGTAGCTCAAGGATACGATCTCGATTACAGCACAACCACTTGCGTCCCAAATGTAAATTCCACAACTGGAAATATTACTTCAGTAAAGTACGTGAACGTCAAATTATTGTTCTATATGAAATATCTAATATGGTACTTTATTACAGTTTGAATCTTGTTTGGGTGAATCAGAAAACACCATCGGATATTGTTCATATGACGTAAGTGGATATCCGAAACATTCTTAATATTTTCTCGATTACAATACTTTCAAGGTTGACTGCATCTCTTCTGGGTCGCTACTGGTATTTAACAAATACAACAGTGAATGGCAGTGAATATCGATACTTTGCCTATGGAATGCACAGCCGAATGGATACACCGCCTAAATATTCATATGTATGCACAACAGCTACGTTTACTCGATATGACTCAACAGGAAAATATGGTACTTACAATGCCAACAACAAATTCTCGATAAGACATTTTCAAGTAGGTCTTCTTCCTTTCGCCTCTACGAAAAATCGGACTTCTTATGTTTAGTTTCAACCATTCTATGGCAATACATCTCAATTCGGTCCTCCTAATTATTGCACATCATTCTTCACTAGCGGAATCTGGATGGGCATTACATCAAGTTTACTTTGCCTCGCAATCCTCTTGTTTGGTATCCATCGCATGATGACAATTAAATCGAATGATCGCTACGACGATCCCAAAAGCAAACCATTAGTTATCAAAGCACAAGAATAAACATTCCAGTTCGATACGTACCGGTGTATTGTAAGACGAGAGATTTCTTTTTCTTTATTTAAATAAAAACTTGGCTTGGCTTGGCTTTCTTTTATTTATTAAAACAAAACATTATCTATCTTTTTCTTTTCTTTTGGCAATAGATGAAGATTAGATTGACGCTTAACAATGATAAGCAAAAAGAAGACGACCTCATCGATGTCTCGCTAGGTAAGATTGGAATTTATCAGTGGAAGATTTGAACAATTTTTCTAAGTATAGATGCATCATCAACCATTTCATCATGGTTAATCGACTATTACTTCACAAAAATCTATTTCAATCAAGTCAAATCATCGAATAAGTCGATCCAACCGAACAATATCATTGGTTTACATGATATGTTTATCATCTATCAAATTATTCAATCACCTTCAACATCGACGCAGTTTTTCGACTTATGTAAAGCGAAACTTTCAGATAAGAACGACGAAGTAGTGTTAGAAAGTTACAATAATTATTTAAAGCGATGTGGGTTAAAAGATATAATCGATCTGTTCCACGATTGTCGATTACCATCATTGATCAAACAAGTGACTTTCAATATCACGAATGTCAGCAATGAACTTGAACAATTATTTTGCGATCATTTATTAGAACTTGCAATAGAGCACGAAGTTTGCAATGAACAAACGGAATCTTTTTCTTCGGACACGAAAGAAAACATCATCAAACTGTTTGATGACAAGAAAAAACATGTAGAACAAACAATTAGTAAAGTAAGTACTGCGGACGGTTCTTGTTTGACGTATGAACTCCTGTTTCTTTGCATAGAATTACATTAAGCATACTTTATGTACGTATCTTTCACTTTTGTTGGATACACGCAATGAACACGCTCTTATACATTGTCTTGCAACACCGGCGCGGATTGGTATTGAACGCCGAACGGTAGTTGAGCTGCGCCGATTGACAAAATTACCGAAGAATGAATGTTTAACCATCTATCAAATACTCCTTTCATTTCTTCGACGCAAAGAGTTGTTATTAAGCCGACTGTCGTCCTCACAAACAGAGACAACAACGAATGATGATGAATCGTTTGTTATATTGGATAAATATTTCAATGGGATTAAAGAATTTTTTGATTTTATTGAACAACTACAAATGATAATCGAAGAAAATGAACATCTTCGAATCGAATCAATGTAAACAGCAGATGCGGCCATTTTTCGTAGAATAATCTTTTTTTCTATTCTATTAGTGTGACGTTTCGGAAATTGACAACGCTTATTTCCAAACAATTACGTAAGGATACATCATTTAGTCGATGTGAGACAATATTCAAAGAAACAATCGAAGAATTTGTGGAATGTTTCGAAACAACGCTCAAAGTTACTAATTGCGCGTCGCCCATTCGAGTAAGACAGTGCTACTTTAACTTCATCTCATATTGTCTCTGTTCGTAGTCGGCATCTTCGGGAGGTACACTAGCTGGCCGTCGTTTCCTTCGCTCTGTTGCTTATCTATGTGCAAAACAAACGATTCACTTACCGATACTACTACCCAACAATGACCATTACAATAGTCCATCAACCGGATTACGAAAAGCAACAGCATTTCGACTCTTACAGTAGGTTTCCATCGACAAAGAACTCATTTTCATGATCATTTGGTTGTATATTGTAGAAGTCCGGTGACGCCGGTTGCAGTTACTGTTAAACAACCTGTTGAAATACTAACTGAGGAAAAACCGATCGATACTCCTGTTGAATCTGTGTTCATGTGGAAACAGAAGAACGAAATTCAAATGGAAGGAAATGCCACATCGAAGAGGAAGAAATTTCAGCGACGGTAAATCTCACTGCAAAAAAAGGTGTTATTTTTCAATCTGATTTGATCTCTATAGAAAATCACAACGATGCTTGGATTTATCGTCGGTCGAAGAGCAAACTTTGCATACGGATTCATTAACAAACCATTCGACGGATTCTAATGAAAAAACGTTCTCGTCAGGCTCATCAGGTTCAGCCCGTCAACCGCTGGGAGAAATAGATGTCAGTTCGTTGATTAGCGAAGAACGTCAAGCAGCCGATAGTGAAACAAATGAGAAGAGTCAATCTCAGAAGTCACTGCCATTAGTTAGTAATGATGATCAAGAGAATCAATCGATTAACAAAAATAAACGAACGATTGCGTCAACAAATGTTGACGAACCACGTAAAAAGGCGAAGAAAACGAATGCAAAACCACTGATTGTTGGTCAAAAGATGATCACGAACTTCTTTCGTTCGAAAGCTTAATTCATTTTGCTTTTTCACTTGTTATTATTGTATATTCCAATTGTCAGATACTTAGTCAGATGCGAATGTAGACAATAGGCAAACTATTCAATTGAAATTAGCTCTTTTTTTTTCTTGTCAAAATTTTTTCTTCTGTCGTCGAAAATCTGTTTTGATTGTAATCAATATGATGAATGAAATCTATATATTTTTGTTATATTTAAAGGAAATAAAAGATAATTCATGCATACTGTAACTAGAATATAAGGGTTCACTTACAAGAATAAGTTATGCGTTGCAAAATTTATTCTCATCAAAGATGAGTAGAAAAATGTTCACCAAACAAAAAAATTGCAATTAAGCATTCTGATTTTCTTGAAAGAGTGAACCGATGTTGTCGGTATTGAAATGAGGACCGTGGACCTTGCCTGGTGCCAATGAATACGAGAAGCTGGTCAGCGACACTTGTTGTCCTTCTTTGGTAGCAGCATTGTATTTTTGAAGCCATGGACCACCCGATGCACCACCACCCATACCACACGTGATTTGTAAACCTTTGAAGCTAGACATTAAGAGAAGAGATTGTTTCTTCGAGCTCGAAGCACAAGTGCTCATTGTTTCGCCGTTGTTGATATTCATTGGAAAACCAAATGCATTAGTAGCTGCTGACGTCGGTGCGCCGAGAGTGATACCAAAAGCACCTGTTAGATCTTGAGCATGGCGGCCGTCTTCGTTTGTATTCAATAAAACAATGGCAACATCGTTGTTGTAATCACCTTTATCTTTCCATTGTTGTTTCGTTGCTAATTTACGCGAAACGAATGTACCAAATGGACGTTCTTTAGAGTCGTAGTCAGGGATAAATATCCAGTTTGTTGCCCATTCTTTGTTGGTGTTGTTAAATACACAGTGACCAGCTGTTACGACAGTATCTCGATTTGCGGCATTGACAACTGAGCCAGAGCATACATAAGTATTTCCGCCCATGGAAAAGAAAGCTCGGCCAGCAGCAGGTGGCGTGTTAGCACCACGCGTTTGGGGAGATGCAACACTTGGTGTCAAAACACGTTCGACTCCGATGTCTTCGTCATCTTTAACCGAGAATACCTTTGGTGACATGCTGACCGTGGGGTGTAATGGTTTAGCCGATGCCATTCTTTCCGATGTCCAGTAATCGACGACTGATTTTACATATTGTTCTCGTGTATACCCACGAGGAATTGGTACATCGTAGCTGACATCTTGGGAGCCAGAGTTAATGGCAGCCGAATTGATGAGACCAATGAGGGCGAGAACAAGAAGGCAAATAGTAGATGGCAACATCGTTTCCCGATCTTCGAATCAACTGATGCATCCGAGGCAAACAACGAATATTTATACGATTGTGAAGTCATAAACGGTATCTTGTGATTCAGCTATAAAATCCATTGTTGCCGAATACCTCTCTCCTGATCGTATTGCAAAAACATATAATTAAGTTTTATGGGTGTGGTGACTATCTTGATGTTTTATAGACGAACCAATTTTACGAACTTTTCAGTAAAAATATGAGTGATCTACAATCTTCGGAATTTATAACGCACTGCTAGGATGTGACATTGGATAAAAAGGCAAATATAAAAATGCACGATATCGTTTTAGAATAAGTCGCAGAGTACAAAAGAAATAAATAAAAAGTGCTGGATATTAATAAAGCTACATTTTATGTGTGCGAAATAACCGGTGACCTTCAGTTTTGAAGTCAAAAGGTTACCCTAGATCTTCAACCGTTTTTATAACAGTTGATATGAGAATTAAAGCTATCAGTGGAAAAGTGTTGTTAGTGTTTAGCCGAGCTTGAAAAGTGGCGCCATCATACGGACAGTTCGTACAAATTTGATCTTTGAATCCAGATGAAAACTAACGGTAATAACTAGAAGAAATTTTCAATTTTGACCTACCAGTATCTACTATCTTGCTAGCATAAGATCAAAGATCTCTCGTTTCTAATTGGTCCTTCGTTCGTATGTATTCTTTGTTAAAATAAAAACAGTTAAATTAACAATCACACACATAACCTATTCTTCTTTCATTTATTTGTTCGCTAACTGTTCTTCTTTCTCTTGACTGTTTTTAGATTGATCGAATAACATGCCACCTCAATTTAATATTGATGATTTCGAACGATTGAGCAAAGTGGGTGAAGGTATTGACGAATCCACAAAAAAGAAAATTCGGGTCACTTTCATCATTCGATTCGTCTGGTTTCAGGTACTTACGGCATTGTATATAAAGTTTGTCATCGGCCAACATCACAAATCTACGCTCTGAAAAAGATTCGATTAGAAGGCGAAGATGATGGTGTGCCGGCAACTGCTATTCGAGAAATTTCTATCTTAAAAGAACTTCGACACCAAAGTATTGTTCAGTAAGTGAATCTTTCACCCGGTTGATCACTCGACTATTTTTTTCTTCGTCTTTAGACTTCGTGATGTGATTCTCACAGATGCTCGGCTCTATCTAATATTCGAATATCTAGCGATGGATTTGAAGAAATATTTCGATTGTCTTGGTGAAAATGTAGATATGGACAATGCATTGATTCAAGTATAGGAAATCTTTCGTGACCATTGAAACCATTCGGATGATTTGTAGAGTTACACCTATCAAATTCTTGATGCATTACTCTTCTGTCACTGTCGTCGAATCATTCATCGCGATTTGAAGTAGACTCTTCTGAATGAATTGAGATTTTCTCGATAATCTGCTACGTGATTTTAGGCCTCAAAATCTTCTCGTAGACACAAAAGGAATAATCAAACTTGCTGATTTTGGTTTAGCCAGAGCCTTCAGTGTACCACTTCGAATCTACACACATGAAGTAAGTAAACAAATCCTATTTTCTTAGAATTATTCTCTATGGCTCATATAGGTGGTGACTTTGTGGTATCGAGCACCTGAAGTTCTACTCGGTGCTTCACGTTATTCCTGTCCCGGTATGTAAGGATCGAATCGTTCGAAAGCATACGAATATTTTCTTTTCCGTTCAGTTGATGTTTGGTCTGTCGGTTGTATATTTGCTGAAATGTATACAAAAAGACCATTATTTCAAGGTGATTCAGAAATCGATCAACTCTTTCGAATATTTCGGTAGGAAACACACTATCCTTTAGACATTCAGTTTCGAATTTTTTCTGTAGTACACTTGGTACACCTACTGATGAAACATGGCCCGGTGTAGTTTCTTTACCCGAATTCAAATCATCATTTCCACGATGGAAACAAAGCAACGATCTCTCATCTTTGCTTAATGATCGAATGCGTGATGATGCTCTTGATTTACTCCTTGTTCGTGAAACATTTTCGTCTTCTTTTTTTGTATAAGTACGCTGTCTTTTCGTTTAGAAAATGCTGGTCTATGATCCCGTTCGACGTATATCAGCGAAACAATGTCTCAATCATCCATATTTTAGACATTTCGATCCTCAGAATTTACCTGTTCCAGCATCAATTGTTGCACCTGTAGTGTAGAAGCAAAAGGCGACACGTGATATCAATCTTTATGTTAATAATCATGTCAGATATGTATTTTTTTTCTTTTTCTTTCCTATTTGATATGTGTGTTAAATATTTCCTCTTTCATACCAACCAACACATTTTCTATATTCTTCTTTTTTTGTCACGCGTACGTATAACGTGAAAAATAATCAATGTGTACAAAGAATGAGATATAAACTAATAAATCAGACAAATACATACGCATATGATAATGATGAATATCGATTTATTTAGTTTTAGTTGTTACTCAGATTCGAAGAAAGATCGCCTAGCGTGCAATGTTCATGACACTCAGCAGGAATGTCAGATAAACGGTAGATATCTTCTTGAAGTGATGCTAGACCAAAAACACGTTGCCGCAAACAGTCAGACTTGATCGTATAATTCTTCAAGCATTGTTCATACATATGCATTCGAGATAATGCATTGCATTTCCGTTGTGTTATGCCCTGTTTGATACTCTAAAAGAATCCGTGTGAATTATTAGAGAAGTAATCAAATTTGATCGTGTACACAAGCGTAGCATGGTTGATGTTACTTGCAGATCGCCTCGAACACTTCATAGTACGGAAAATCGTTCGGTATAAATGAACACGAGCGTTCTTTGGCGATTTAAACTACAGGACAGTCAGTGAACGTCACCGGACAATGAATTTCCACCCGATGAAATGGGGAAATCGTCTTGAATCTGAAGGAGAAAATCACAACATCGAACATAAGATTCCGATATTGATTTTACGAAACATATTTCCAATTCGATTTTCCATGCTATAGCTGTTGGTATTACAAGCAACGAGAAAATAGGGCAGTAAAACAAGAGTACATGTCTTCTCTCCCATGAATAGACGAATAAGAAATGAATGAAAGCAACAGCAGTAGTTGCATGCTGTATACGCTAACAAAACAACGACTATGGCAGAATTCGAAATTAACTAGAAACACACTATCCATTGATATTCGTCGTAAAAAAACAATCGAATTTATTGTTCGAGTAGAAATGAAAAATTATTGATTATCTCTGAATAGATCCAGCATCTTGAAAATTTGCTCAGTTAAACAATAAATTTTTGTCCAACTAGTAAAGATATACAATGCATGATAGAATAAACTTGAATACTTTATTAGTCCCGTAAATGGCTTTTTCTCTTTTTGAAAAAAAAACAATAGATCATGAATAATACAATCTATATATACAGTTCAAAAGGATTATATAATGGAATGAAGGAGTTCGAAGTCAAAGTTGTTGAACGGCGTATAATTTCTCTCACGTTGAACATATCGACTAAACTGTGAAGTCGAAGGTGAACTTAATTCGGGCGGATTCATTGGTGATACCATATCTTGCGATGATCTAGCAGCACCTTGTTTCTCTCTACGATCTACTTGCACCCAGAAAAACATATGGGGTATCGTAGACATTGGCTCGTCTTCTTAGTTGTCCGTTTGTCGTTTACCTATGAAATGTATGATCGAGCGTTTGGTATGTGTATTTATATCCGTCGACTCATCCCCACTACGTACATGTATTAACTATGATTCACGCAGCCGGAAATTTCCAAGCACAGTCGTCATCTTTTTCCATAGGCAATGCTCTTACCGTTGAAAGAAACGAAAAGAGAAAAAAGAATAATGCTCGATAGATAAGAAACGAACGAGCAAATTTAGAATCAAAAGACATGACACATTTTCAGTATTATTTATTCAAGCGATAAGTTTTTTTTAAATAAGTTCCTAGATGCCATTTTTATTTATTCAAATGATTTTGCCATTGGCATGTGTTTACATAGCATAAACATTTGTAACTTGAACATCACCTTTAACTTGCAATGCTTGAACGCTTTGGAATGGTAAACGATGACGGAATGTGAACCACGAATGACCGTTGCAGTTTACCTGTTGAAAGAAAGATCATGAAAAAGAGATTATATTATGATATTGATTTTACTTGATAGTGTTCGGGAAAGCAAATAATTTGAATTTCGAATTGCTGACCAGGCTGTAAAGGAAAGCCTCCTTGTTTTTCTTCGTTACCCCAGCCACCACCTTGACATGAGTTACGAACAGCTTCATGTTGATCAAAACGTGGGTTGAAATGAAAAGCAACATCAGCACCATCGTAATTGCCAGCTAAGAGATTGAATTCGAATCGTGAGGCATTGTTGTTCACTCGACCGACAATGGTAATGACACGACCTAAAGATTAGTCATGTATAATGTCTATTGTTATTGAAAGATCCTACCTGGGAAAACATTCATTGGCACTGGTGTTTCCTATAAGAAGAAAAAACAACAATTTAAATGTATAACAAGTGGGTTGATGAACGCTTCATACCATAGCGAATCGCCAGGGTTGACCATATTGGCCACCAAAGCCTGGAAAGATTTGAACGTTGGTTAAATTAACTTCACCTTTAACAGTGACGATTTCAGCGTTTTGAAATGGCATTCGGTGGGGAAAGTCAGCTGTGTGTTGGTTGTTTACAGCGATCTGAAAACATCGCATGATCATGTGAATACTTAGTAAGAAATAGTCTTACTTTGAAGCCTTGTTCAGTAACCATGATGATCATGCTGAATGCATGACCACGGGTAATGTTCAATGGCTTACGATCTTCACCACCCCAGCCACCACCTGGCGCGGCATTCAAAACTAATTGACGATCATTTAAACGTGGATTGACGTGTAAAACAATATCCCCGCGATGGTTAGCCAAGTTGACTTCGAATCTTTTCAAAATTCAAAACCGTATTACCACAACTGAGAAAGATATTTGTTCTTACCGATCGCCGTAAGCAGTTCCGAAGACATGTATTTGAGTACCATAGCTAATTTGTGGTTGAATTTGTGCTGCATAAGGCACGCCCTACACAAAAAAAGCAGTCTGCTTGAGGGCGTAGATAACGAAAAAAAGCCTACGAAATGTTGATGATGACCAGCTTGCTAAAAAAAAAACGACGACGTCATCAGATCAAATTCAAGTATCAAATCTTCTACATACTTGACCCATTATGATCGAAGAAAAAGTAATGAAAGTTAAGACGAATATGTAAAATGGAAAGTAATGTAAGGGTAGAAATGGCTTGATTTATATATAATCTTCTCTGCAACTTTAGAGAACAAACGAGAAAAAGATAAGATGACAACACGCTTATTCATAATATTTGCCTCTTATCTAGTCCGTCAAACAAGGCAAAGAGCAGCGAAAAAATACTCAACTACGCATAGATACTCTGGCAGTCCTTCAGACCAGCTAGCAACGTTATCAAAAAGACAACAAACCAAATTGATGAGGAAGAAAATAAAATAATGCAATATGTTAAAGAGTATTTCTAGCCGCACCACAGAGATCATAGTCAATGTTCTTCCAGTTGAAGATTGATCTTATCAAAGTGATAGTAGAAATAGATAACAAAACGAATCCTACACAGTGATCCTTTTTTCAGAAGTCTTCATTCGAATCTTTCGACGGGCAAAGTCTAACTATGTATGAAATTATGTCAGGTTTTCAAGGTATGCTTTATTATTTTTGTTATCTTGAACTGAACAGAAAAGAAAACATCCGCTACATGGGGTGTAAAAAAAACACGAGCATATCACAGCTCTTTTCACATTTGACCAATGCTTGTCACCGATATATCACCTTTGTATTGAATGGCCATCACCTAAAATTCAAGGCGAAATCGTTCATAGAGTCAATTGATTGTGATAGATTTCGTCATGAAACTTACGGAGCCAGGTGTGATCTTATGAAAATACTCTGCAATCATGTTATTGTTCATATAAATCTGAAATAAACATCCGTTGTTTTTCCAAATGTTATGCCGCAAGGTTGTCACTTACGGTATAACGATCTGGATTACATGTAATTTGTAAATCAATTTGCATGCCAGGCATAAGTGGCGTGTAAGGGGGAAAAGATTGATTCTCTTCATGACCCCATTGACCATGTTGTCGATGATTTTTGACGATTTGTCGCGTGTCGAATCTCGGATTGAAATGGAATGCAATATCGTCGCTATCGTTGTAACCTTGCAACAAATTGAGTTCAAATCGTTGTGCATTGGCAGGAATAAAACCGCGAACGAATATACGAGAACCCACATGAATTCGACATGATTGAATCGATGGTACACCGCCCGTCTATACTCGCTGGATAAGAAATCAAAGTAGTAAAGAACTGAAACAGACTTACTGAAAATGTTGGTACTGGAACAGATGGAATTCCAAAGCCAACATTAAGACCGCCAAAACTGAATGAAGCATGGCCTGGCTGACTGAAAGGTGCACTCATTCCCACTTGTGGAAAACCCATCGGAGTATTAAATGCATTCCCAAACATTGCAGGAGCTACTTGAACGGAATCTAATTTAATGTCACCTTTGACTTCCACTAATTGAGCAAGATGCATTGGTGTTCGTTGACGAAATTCACAGACTTGCATGTTATTCACCATGATCTATATGAGAAATTATTCGTCGAAATCCTTGTTCTATTCACGAAAAACATACTCGAAAGCTGTGATCTGTAGCCGTTATCACTAACGTAAATCGTACTCCACGTTGGAACGGTAACGATTGACGTTCTTCTTGGCCCCACGAACCACGTTGTGCTAAGAAAAGAGGTATTCATTCATAGGAATCAAAATGTATGTCATCTTACCACTATTGAGTACAAGTGTGTGATCGTCCAATCGTGGATTGAAATGTAGAACAATATCATCTTGATGATTCTTCAAATTAATCTCAAATCTAAACGGTGAACATGTTTGTCAATCTGAACACAACGTTCGATCAGCTATGTTACCTATTACCAGTTGGCGTACCACTGACATGAATTTGAGTACCATTCGAAAGTGAAGGCGTGATTTGTTGTTGGTAAGGCACTGACTAGAAAATATACCGAGAATACGATCAAAACAGAAGAAAGGAAAGGATTTTACCAAACCAAAGCCTGGATTAAAAGACATTTGTGGAAACATGATGGTATCACAAATCGAAATAGCGTAGTTTAATTGACCAAAAGAAGAATGCTAAAGCTCAACTGTGGATTGTTCTGTTCCGTTTTTTTTTTAAAGAGACCTTTGTCTTCTTATCTGTTTTTATCAGTGTAATTATTCCAGAGGTTCTTATTTTACTTTTGTTATTCAGCAAAAGGTTTTATCATCTTATCAACAACGTTAGTCAGTCTTATTCAAACCATAGATAAACTTGTCAATGACACAGAATTATTTGTCCTTCAATCATGAAGCATATTTCGAAAAGCAATCGGTTCGCTTCTGGAGAGGAAATACTTTGCATAAAATTGATAAATGTATTCATGCCACAATCAGCAGAAGAATATGTTGATCATTCTGAGACACTTCCAAGTGTACTACATTTCATTGATCAGAACGCGAAAATATCGGAGCGACCGATTATTCTTTCTCCTCCCCACACAAATTTGATGCAAGCTTGCCATGTGTAGGTGTTTTTTTTTTCGTTTCAGCTCTTTGAAAACAATCATAATATGGAGAGAAGCACTCAGGGGTGACGGGTTAGTATCCAAAACAGTACGCTGCAGTCTTTCCTTTTTTTTTTCATGAGACGGGTGACTGTTTCTTACTAGCAGAGTTATTTTTTGTTCTCGACTGTTCTATAAAGTTAACTGATAATGCAACTTTTCGGATGGGCCATCCTGTGTTGTTTCTTGGCAATCACGACAGGCAAATATCAAGAAGGTAATTCCTATACGAAGATGTTGAATTATTGATGATAGAGTCTTGTATTTAGATTCGGATGATGGTAAAGATTTTTAGATCGATTGATTGCGACTATTTTCGTATCGTAGAATTAGATACTGCCCTTCGAGACGTGTTGCGTTCAAAGAAAAGCAATGAAATGTTTCTTAGTAAGAAGCGCAATGAAGGTAAATGATTAGATATTTTCACGTAAAAGTGTATGTTTACATTTATTAGGCTTGAAACGTGCCGGAGAGGCGCCCACACGAAGTAAAGTTGACAAATACGGTGAGAAAATTTTTTCTTTAAATAGAATCATTCATTATAAAAGAATATTTACGTTTCAGCCGGATTGGAAAAGCCCGTTCGTATCGCTTTATTCAACGCTGGCGATTATTTTGCTTATTTGAAACTGAATTTCATCCTCAATAATCTCCAAGATGAACAAGAAATAGCTGTACCGATTGAAAGGGATTTCGAACGAGATTTACTCCTTCCTCACAATGCTACACATATCCGCATACGTGTCGACATTGAAGGTTATTTAAAAGATCAACATTTTATTGATCAACAATTTCGTACACTGGATAATATTACCGAAATCTGCTATTTACTCGCTGGCGATCGTAACCGGCCAATCTATGGTCTATGTGCTTTTCCATTTTCACAATATTATCAATTGTGGCAAGGATCGCGTTGAACAAGTTCGATCCACAGCAAACATACAAATACCTTCGCATTCTAATTCACATTTTTCTCATCGTATTTTCATATCCAATTTTATTCAATATTCGTAGCTTCTCTAGATTTCCTAATAAAAATCGATCTATTCATACCGATTGCTTATCGGATGAGTTTCGCGAGATAAAAGTTCACATTTCATCCGCTCTATTTCATCTATATCCTGTTTATTGTATTTTTCTGTCTTTTCGTACGAATATAAATAAGAGATAACATCAGAAGAAACGAGAATATATATTTGCAGTAAAATGTATACAAATCTTCGTGTCTAATCACATGTCTTCGAGAGTTTTTCTGACACACTCGCTAACTTTTTTCTTAAAAGCTGGTCGATCGTCTCGCCACATGACTGATGCATCTATATTCGCTGCTGAATCACAGTTAGGATCGCTTAACATTGAGAGAACTGATAAAAGGATTGTTTCTGAAATCAAACAAAACATTATGAGAAACAAAACAAGAAGTTTTTTTTCTTAACGGTTCACTCACCAACTGATTGAACAGGTGACCAACGTTCTGAAGCTTTCTCATATCCAAACTGATCAACGCCAGGTTCGTGGAGCTAAAAATCGCGAGTTTCTCAATGATCGTAAATCGAGAAGAGTGTTTTTTTTATTCAACTTACGATCGATATGCATACATCGCCATTTTTTTCGATATTCGGATGCCAGATTTCCGAAACAAATTTCTACAAAAATAATAAATACCATGTGTCTTCAAGTACATGTGAAACCTAACGATTGATAACCAATTATTCTCGCTCCATCCCCCTCAGACATGACTCGATCCATTTCAAAAGAGCCTGCTTACCATTTTTGGCGGTTTGATTGGATAGTCTTTGGGAAAATCCAGACGTGCTTTGAAAAATCCTCCTAAAAGAAAATAAACACGAATTTCTCATCTATTTCCGTCTGTGCTGGATGTTTACCTTCATAAAGTGTATCAGTTGGTCCGACGAGGATAACGTTCCATGCATATGGATTGGACTCATCGATCAATCCAGCACTAATACCTTCAACAGGATGACGATTTAATTCGCGCAGTTGTTTAAGAAGAAGCAATGCTGAGGCGTCCATTAGGAATTGAATATAATCTAAAACGAATTTAATAGTATTATTTTCTGTGAGGCCAGTCAGAATCGAGAGAGGCTCGAAGTTCATTCCTCTTGTGAAAATGTGATCCGTAGACATACAAGATTAAATCTTCTTCTATGTATATTCATTTGTTTTATTTACAAATGAAAGTAAACATGCACAATCAACTAAGTCCTCCCAATAGAAATACAACATGAATCAACTTGGAAAATATCTTTTGAATAATAGCTGAACAAAATCTTTCGATGTTTTCCCTGCAAACATTCATGAAAATAATAACCAAAACGAAGGTCATCGCTTTTCAACGACATACACGTATTGCATGCTACTATAACAAAACTTGTGATAACCAATCGACAGATGTTTACGCGCGTCGACCAATCGGAAATCAGCGTTAAACAGCTGATGGAAAATAAAACAAACGCCATCTCAAATAATCCTTGCAGATTGTTAAAACACGAGTTTTTTTTGTTACAAACGTTATCTATTTATTTTAGCGAAACCAACTTCGTATAAACATTCATCTCTCCTTGCAAATTGATTTCTTCACTCGTCCTTCTGGTGAATGACTAACTAAGTCAACATCTGATCTAGGTACACGCGCGCTATATATGGAGAGACTATGGTTCGATGTTTAAGTTAACATTCGAACAAGAAGTAATTCGATACAATCATGCGATCATCATCGGGCATTAATATTCTACTCTTGTTGATAAGTGTACTTGTTTTGTTAATCGGAATTACCTATCAGCCATTGCCGGAGAACTTTTCGCAACCATGGAAATACCGGTTTCTTTCGTATTGGGCTCATCGCATTGATCAACTTGTATGTCGAAAAGTTTTATTTGAAAGATTTCATGAGAAAATTCACTTTTTTATAGGGATGTTTTTGTGAAAAATTGAATTTATTTACTCATGTGAACTTGATTCGAACGCTTCATTATCTGTCCATTGGTTTATATCAACAACGAGATCCCGAATGTCATTTGAAAGTAAGAATATCGTCGAATTACTGGACATTTTCGTACTATTCATTTTGATGATCAGGTCTATGATAGAATGATTGGTAATGTCAAGGTGCGAATCTATGAACCCGAAGAAATGATTAGTTATGAGGAAAAAACTACGATGATTTACTTTCATGGTGGTGGTTTTGCTTTAGGCTCTATTGAAACGTATGATCAAGCAACATATCTATTAGCAAATTTAACACGAATTAAAACAGTTGCAGTCGAGTAAGTTCAATCTTCGAAGATTTTGTTTTGTATTCTTTGGAATGATCGTATGTTTTCCTTTCAGATATCGATTAGCACCGGAACATCGTTTCCCTAGTGGTTTAGATGATTGTTTATTAGTAAGCAGAGAATTATTTGAAAATAGTGAGAATTATCAAGTAAATCCTAGTCGAATAATTTTATCGGGTGATTCAGCTGGAGGAAATCTAGCTTTGGTTGTTAGTCATTTGTTAATACAAGATAAATACCAACCTTATTTACTGTGTTTATTGTATCCTTCATTACAATTCTTAGATTTTACTTTACCATCGTATCGAACGTACTTAAAACAGAATATTCTTGGTGTTCTGAATGAAGATAATCTAATGTTGATGATTTCTCTTCTTACGGGAAAGAAAACTACGATAACCAAAGATATTCTTATGAATTCCCATGTAACGGCTGAAGATCAGAAGAATCTTTATCCATTTATGAATCCAACGAAATATTTGTCAATACCACATGAGATGAATGATACCAGAGAAAGAAATGAAAATCTAGTCAAAGATTTAAAGTATTTAATATTACCGTCAATGTCTCCATTGCTCGTTTCCGACGACCAATTAAGTCAGTTACCCCAAATTCTTCTTTTTACCACTGAATATGATATTCTTCGTGATGAAGGTAAAACACACGCAAATCATTTGAAAACATATCTGAATGTTTTGTTTGTTTCAGGTTTTATTTTTGCTTCTCGATTACGGACATTGAACAAGACTGTCTATCATCATCATTTTCATAATGCATTCCATGGTGCTCATGTTTTCTTATACGGTCCATTACGATTCGAAATAGCTCATGAAATGATTCAACACACCGCTAAAATTCTTCAAAATTATCTGTGAAAATTTTTCTTTTTTTGTTATTTTCTCTTTATACAAATAAATTCATACACAATGTGGCTGTAACGAACTGTCTCTTTCTTTTTCTCGTTCCGATGAACACGTGTTATTCACTTCCAGCGTGTCAGCGATGCCTATCGTTAGTTAGAAGAAATATGCCAAGAAAAGATACCCACTTTTGTACGAAATGGTATGCTCAACTCGATAGTACGAAAAAGCCCTGTTCACGTTGGTTGAAACCAGGTAAAACGACGAGTACATTCCTATGTACTGTGTGTAACGAAGAAAAAAGTTGCAAAAATGGTGGTTGGTCGGATGTTTACAAACATTCTCAACGACTGAAGCACCTTCAGTGCTTGAAAGATGTTACTCAGTCCGGACAGATATGTATCACATCAACATCATCGTCATCATCCATGCAAATCAACACAACTCATGAACATATTCTAACATTTGATGAAAAAGTTCTACGTGCTGAAACGTATTGGGCATTGGCCACCGCTAAACACGGTCTTAGTTATAACTTTTCACAACATGTACAAGAATTATTCTCGCAAATGTTCTCCGATAGCAATATTGCCAAAACCTTCTCACTCAAACCGAGAAAATTATCTTATATCCTATCGCATGGCACCGGTCATTACTTTACCAAGACGATGTTACAAGATTTAATGAAAGCACCAGCGTTTACGTTGATCTTCGATGAGACTGTTACTGTCGGAGTGCGAAAGCAATTGGATTTACATTTTCGATATTGGTGTGAAAGAAAGCAGGAAATTGCAGTGAGATATTATAAGAGTATTTTCCTTGGACACGCAACAGCTGAGATTATTTTTCGTAAAATAATCGACTCGTTACGAGCGGACGGAGTTGACTTGACGAAAATGTTGATGCTTGGTTTGTTTGACAAAATCGAAAGCGAGATTGATGGAAATGATTCGATTATTTAGGCCGAGACAATCCGAATGTAAATAAAACAATTGAAAAATTGATGGATCAACAGATTCGCATCGAACGAGACAAACAGTAAGTGATCTACAAAAGTTTTTCATAATTTCCATGACCATCGAAAGGCAATTTTGACAATAAAACAACTCTTCTGCTTTTTTCTTTCACTGGTAAGATCACCATCAACAATCAAATCAACTATTGGATTGATTGATATTGGTTCATGTCCGTTACATTTAATACATAATTCATTTAAAATAGGCATTGGCCAGACAAATTGGCCGATTGAAGAATTTCTCAACAATCTCGTGTTTTGGTTCAATCGTTCACCGTCGCGCCGTGAAGATTATCGCAATGTGGCCAAGCATCTGTCCAGCAGACCCGGAAGATTCATTCGCCGATTTACTTTAACACGCTGGTTAGATATTGGGCCAATCCTCGAGCGTGTTATCGACCAATGGGCAAACATAATCATGTATTTCTCGGAATTTATTCCAAATAACGATAAAATTTCTATGAAAAATCAACGGTATCCACAAATAACAGCAGCTATTCAATCGAAATCTCTATTAATACGTTTACACTTTCTTGTTTTTCTTCATAACCATATATATCAGCAAATTCTCATTTGGCTTCAACAAACTCAACCATTAATACATTTGTTATACGACGAATGCGAACAACTAATTCGACGCTTATTCTCTTGTTTTATCAGAGAAGATCTCATCAAGCACAAGTCCATCGATGCATTCATGAATGTTTCCTATTACAGTCAAGAAAATCAAAAATGTGATGCAAGTAAGGTGATGAATATTGTCTTAGAGACTAAACTATTCGTTTTATTCCGTTTCAGCAATTAATATCGGTGAGACAACCCGTCGATATTTACATGAACTATCTGTTGAAGAAAGGCAAGAATTTTTTCACACAATTCGAACGATTTATTCTTCGATCACTGAAGAACTTCTGCAAACCTTACCTTTAACCAACGATCTACTCCGACATTTACAATGTCTACATCCTTCCATGCGCGATTCGGAGACAGCATACCTGAGCATTATGAACATTGCACGAAGTTTACCTTGCATCATTCATCCGGCTGATATCGATCGAATCCAGGCCGAGTGGTGTTTATATCAAAATGAAAACATACCAAAGGATTGGTATGAAAAGACCCATGGTTGTCATTCGATTGATCATTATTGGAGAAAGATATTTTCATTGAAAACCAATGCCGGCGCAGAGAAATATGTCGGCCTGATGAAGTTAGTTAAATGTGTGTTGGCATTATCACATGGAAATGCTGATGTGGAGAGAGGCTTTAGTGAAAATGGTTTTCTTCTCTCAGATGATCGTTCATTACTCAGCGATGAATCAATCAATGGCCTACGCGCGACCAGAGATGGAGTGAAATATTTTGGTAATGGAAAACCTCATGATGTACCAATTACAAAGAATCTTCTCGATTGTGTTCGTAACGCACATTCACGTTACTGTGATGATTTAGAAAAGAAAAAAACGAAGCAGACAATCACAAAGACAGCTGAATATGAACAAGCAAAACAAGATCCCGACAAGGAGAAGGAATATTGCTTGTACGATGAACAAAACACTCTGCACAAAGATTTAGCTAGTATACAGAAGATCATTGACGAAGGCACGGAACGATTAGGAAAAGCCATCTTGACAAGAGATTTTAGTGCAATCGGAACAGCTCAATTACTTATCGAAGGTGGAAATAAAAAATTAGCAATGACAAACACACAAATTACTGCTACTGATAATCATTTGAAACAATTAAGAAAAAAACATCGAAAATAAGCAATTTTTTGTGTCTAAACCAATAGATGTAATGCTCAACTCTGCTTCTTTATATTTGTCGAACTTTTTCAACAATAGAAGAGTTCAAGTTTCATATTCTTTATTACAAAATAGCAAACTCTGATTGAATCAATTTCTTTTCACATCTTTCTTTATGGTGTTTCATTGACACTATCTTTTGCCATCGAATTAAGAAATAACAGAAATGTAGGATAGTGTGAATATTCGTCGATGAAACGAATCATTGGAAAAAAAAAGTGAACAAATGAAAAAAGAATGCATGACAATTATAGTTTCATTAGAATGAAAACAAAGAGAAAAACAAAATGGACGAGCAACGTTGTTTGACGTACAGAAACGATAACAACATTAACAAGAAACAACAAAAATAAGAGGGAACAGACTAATAAATACAAAAATATATGTATAGCAAAGGAATATGTCTGTATGATGTTGGTGTTCAATGAATTATGGTTTGACAAAAGCCTCCGCTGGTATGGCATTCTAATTAGAAGAAAAAAACGAAAGGAAGTCAACATTCAAAACGAAAACAAATGAACGAACCAATTTTTGACATTCTTGAAATTTTTGTGCAGCCTTTTCATAATTCCAATTGTTTTCTGCTAAACAACTAGAAATGAAAACAATCATTTGTATGATTTACTCTAATTCTCGAAAGATCAACGAACATTTGTGAGTACGCAACGTTCATGCCAGATTGTCGAGAGAATTCTTGTATCAATTTATTTTGCGCTTCAGTAGTAGCCGGTGCGGTACCAGTTTGACTTGCCGAGGGCTGGACAGTTGCACTTGATGGTGGTGGAGCAGCAGCAGCAGCAGCAGCACGATTCATGTTCTATACAAAATCACACATGTTTACAGATGCTTTCAGACAATGCGATTACATACGGTGATCTGTGCATCGGTGGCATTGAGTATCATAATATGATCGGCGATAATTAATACGCTAGATTGTTCAAAGGATATGTTTGAAAATGAATGGAAAAGGTCGTTTGTCAGCTTACCCAGAGGGAGTTTGTGTGCAAGTAAATGTACGTTGAAAGCTACGAACAGGTTCGTTCGTTCCTTGATCAACTAGATGAGAGACAAATAAAATTCCTGATGAAGATCATTTTGTCTCTTATAAGAATGACTTACGTTCTCGATAGAGACCATTAACCGTAAAAATGGCTCGGTTATTCTACAACGAATATGAACACAGCATAATTCAACAGAAGAGTAAATCGAAAACTTACAGCTGTTGATAAAACATCCACATGAAATGATTTTCCATCGTGTTTAGTCAATGGAAATTTCACCCGTAAGAAATCTAACACATCTGTTTTTCCGTGTCGTAACAGAATGGCACGTTTGTTATCATCAAAAAGTTTCTTGAAATTTCTTGAATCGTATATCAACGCACCATATTTGAACGATTTTGTCGGTACGATTGATCCTTCCGTTGGTGCCACACACAATGAAAACATGCATGAATCATGATAACATGCATATAACTCGCCCCGACCACGTGTGTCAAATAGTCGATAGTATTCGTCAATAAATTTCGCTAGAAATGATTCCATGTCTTGTGGCACACAGTGTGGAACAGATTTTGGTAGATTAACTGTTTCGATATCAATTGCAAAGCCAATTTGGGCAGGAAGATCAACACCATCCTAACAAAATCGAGAATTTTGTTTACTTTCATGTGAAAATTTCTAAATAAAAACTTACAATTCGTTTGAGTTGCGGTAATTTTTGCCGAATAGCACTAGAATGGTATTAGATGAGCCAATAATGAATAGTTGTTGCGCAATGCAACTGAAAATATAGCGATATCCTCACAACAGACGAAAACGGTTCTCATATGCTTAATATTATCGAATCGAACGTTCGACATATGCTTCGTGATTTGTTTTTCTGTTCTTTACTAATCATTCGCGTTTTTTTATCAAAGCGATAGCTGATCAGATCGATCAAACTCGTCCGTCACACTTTGACAATATGTATAAAAAAGCTCTCGACACAATTACAAAAAAACTTATATCAACCGAATAGATTCAGCACAGTCACAGTATCCATTTGTCAACAATAATTGTGTTATGTCACATGTAAATGTCGAATGTTTTAAGATCATGTATGAAACCACATGTTTTTAAATAAATATGAGTGAGAATACCAAAGATTCCAAGTATTCATATTCTGTTATAGAATTAATAGTTCGACATTCGATGTTCAGTTAGTACAAAACCATTTAGAGTGTATATCGTTGACTGGATTTGTGAATGAAGTTTTCGACGTACAAAAAACTACGAGTTTGTTTATAATGCATTTGATGACAATGATCATTTGATCGTACTCTCTCTCTCTCTTTCGGCAATGAGTTTTCGACGTACAACACACTCACACGTAGTGATTCGAACGAGAATGATTTTTCTTCACAACTTCGATCGATTTTCGAACGATGATTAACGAAAGAAAAGAGAACAAAGAGCCAACATATGAAATTAACGTTCGATTTGAGAGGAGGTGTTTTTATCTTTGTTTTAGTCTGTTGTAAATATTCGTAAAAGGAAAATTTTTGTAGATCTGACCTGATAAGATCGTCCGGAGAGCCATTTCGTGCGTTATATGAAAACATCAATGGATTTTCTTTTAGAAATATATGGCTTAAATGAGTGAGCTGTTTCAAATGACCCAGTTCGTCAACGCTCCTCAGCTAAAAAAATAAAGCACATAGTAAGATTTGCATTGCCAAACGTGCTAGCAATTTACTTGATTCGATGCCAGACTAAGTTGTACCAAATCACTCAATTGGAGATTTCGAAATTCATACAAATTCGAAATATTGTTCGAGCCTAAATCCAATTGACGAGTCTAGAAACAAGAAAGAATTGTTATATTTCTTAGATACATTTCAATACCAACCATGCGGAGTTCTTTATTAATGATATCGATGACATCGCGTAAAAATGATTGTTTATTCAGTTGAGGATATATGCCAAGAGCACTAAGTTCTATAAGGTGAACAAATCGTACAGATTAAATTTTAATAAGATAGAAAACCTTCATCATCGGCTAAGTTTGATAGTTGTAATTGAAGTGTTTGTCGATCAAAACGACGATTACACAAGTAATCCTACAAAACACAATATATCACCGTTCAGTAATGAACATAAACCATGGTGACTTACTTTGAAATATCCTCGAAGATCTTCATCTAATACTGGCGCCGGAAATGATGCTGAGCTAACCATTATGCTAAGCTACAAGAAGAGAAGTATTGAGTAAACATTTTCTTCGGTTTCAGTGACTTACTGGTCCGAAATTTTGCACTTCGACTTTCTTATTGGCTCGTTTTAACATATCAGCATCTTGTTGATTATTGACAAAGAAAACACCCATGTTCGTGTCTCGATCAATGAAATACTAAATTAAATTCATAGAAAATTCTATATGGTATCCGAAATCTATTTACATGATAGGGTAATAGTTGGCGTGTAAAGTGAGCTTTTAGTGCTGCCATAACAACTGCTTTACCCATCGTACCAGCTTGAGGTATGGATATTCTCCACCAGGGGTTTGGATTATTTCTTCGATCATTGAAACGACCACCACCACCGCCACCAGGATGAATTTGTTGAGGACGAATACGTTGATTGACAATACGACCACGGCCCACAGGTCCATGTGTATTAACTCCATCAGTTGTCAAATGACGACCTATAGACACAGTGATGTTGTCAAGATCATCACCAGCTGTCGGACGACGATTTGGCACAGGACGATTGTTTGGACGACCACGTTGATGATATCTTGATTTATTGTTAAATCGAGTCGATGTTGGATCTGTATGATGTCTACCACCTTCACGATACGACATATTTTATCTTAAATAAATGAAGCACAACGATTTCGAACTGAAAGAGATTTTAGAGCTCTGTCATATTTTCTCCCTATGTTGCAATGACTACTGCATCAGTGAAATTTCCATGATACGCAGTGGAAAAATGTACGACATGTGTATTTTTGTGAAATGAAAGACACTTCCCAATCAATCATAGCCGTAATATTTTACATGTCAATTCTGACCATCGTTTTCAATTCCTCCCATTTCACAACAACAACAACAACGGTACAGTGTATCACATGAAAGAAAATAGCCATTAAAACAATTGTTTTTCTTTCCCATGTAAAATTTTTTAGTCGTCTATAACAAATGACCAATGAGATAAATTTAGTAACAAACTTTTTGTCGAAATTTTTTCGATATATCGAACGAAAAGAAATTTTTTATCGTTGAAAACCTTAATTTTTTGTAGCAACGAGTATTATCCTTGCAGCGCCATCTATACAAAAGGAAAATTTCCCCAATGAATCATTCGACGAAACGTTTTATATGTTATTACTTTATTTGATTGTATGTAATAACTTGCAGAGCGATGAAAAAAAGAATTTTGTCGACATTATCGGATGGAATGGAGTCGGTTATAAAACGTCCTCGTCTTCTCGATGATTTACCACTATTGCCACCAACACTTGAAAACGCGGTTGTTGTTGACGAGTCTTCAAACAGGTTAGAAATGACGACAATTCACGAAAAATTATGTTTGTTTGTTTTTGTCTCATTCTTCCAGTGGCGGCGAAAGCGAAGATAGTGAGATTCTAAACGTTTCAAACAGTCCACAGCGTGAAATTGACAATGTAATTATTTTAAACTCTGACGACGAAGATGACGACGACAACAACGACGAGGATATCAATATTGATATCATGTCTGACATTCCTCCCACACTAGTGGATTTATTCAACGCATTCATCTCTTCACCTTCAATGGATAATCGCGTCGATACAGTAGCAATTCAAGAACAACAAAATAATGATGAAATCATTGATCTAACACAAGACGAAACCGACTCCAGTTGCTGTTTATCTAATCAACAAGAACAGAATACGAACCATAATAACGACGATGACGATCAATGTCCTGTATGTTTAGAGACCTTTTCCGATTTACAATGTACAGGTGTGAATCTCGTCATTAGCCAATGTCAACATGTCATGTGCATGTCCTGTAGCTGTCGAGTACTGGATTATTCAGCTCGATGTCCATTGTGCCGAGAGATAATTTGTATCTCGACATTGACACCATATTGTATTCTAACGTAAACCTTTCATAGTCATAATTTTCTGTCAATAATTCGAGTTTGTTTTCTTTTTGGTCTACGCCGTGTCTGAAGTGAAGTAGTACCTCTATTTTTCTTTACCTCTTCGGTGTCGAAAGATCAGATAAATCAAGTTTTTGTCATTATTGTCGTTGTCGCTTTTAATATGTAGATAAATCGAATTCACTTACAATTTATTTTTCTTTTTAGATGGCACTTGCAGCGATTCAAGCGTCATACGACGATGACGATGATAACATCGACACAGTGACTAAGACAACGACACATGAACAAGACGTCGAAGATCAAATGGCAGTTATGAATGATCCAGCATTTTCTGTTATGTCGAAGATCAAGCTTAACTTAACACCTGCCATTGCTATTCAGGTAAGTTTCATAGTTAAGATCCATTATGCACAGATATAGGAGAATGTTCTTTTCTAGCCTGCCGATACCAGTAGTTTTCTCGACATCAAAGCGCGTGAAGTGCTGTACAATCCGAAATATGAAGATATGTATGCACCAGTCGTAAGTATTTTTACCAGCGAATACATGAAATGATTATTTTTTCGCTTGTTCTTAGTTCGGCCCGGCAGATCCTAATTTAAGTCAACAGCAACGCGCCTTCAAGAACGTTCTAAACGGTTATGCCGAATCGACGACACTGAGTGATTTTCAATTCGAAAACCAACGTCGAACATTCGATAGTTTCGGTTATGCTGTTGATCCAACTGTCGGCGAACATGCAACTCCACAAATCATTGGGAATCAAACGAGTGCAGAAATCAATCAGGGCATGACGATATTTGAAACGACAAAGAAACGCATTGGCGAAAAGCGTAAAAAGGAGAAAAACTATGATTCGAGTGATGTCGAAGGCTTTCAAGGTCCATGGGCTCCATTTGCTGATGAAATAACGGTGTCTCGCCCGCCAGAGGTATCTTTCCGATAAGATTTGAACGCATACGGATGTAAATCGTTGTAAATTTTTAGGAAGAACAAAAAGAAATCGATGAATATTTAGCCAAGAGACGCAAAGCTAAACGACCAACATTAGACGAATTGAATGCAGCACCAGCAGCACGCGATCCAGAATCAACTACATTAAATAAAGAACCCGAAGATTCGTCATCTACAACATTACATATCAAGGATCCGTACGATTACCAAGGTCGATCATTTCTACACATTCCACAAGATGTTGGTGTCAATCTACGTTCAGAACATCCACCGCAACGATGTTTCATTCCCAAGCAATGTATTCATACCTACAAAGGACATACAAAAGCTATACAAAAGATTCATTACTTTCCTGTTTCTGCTCACTTATTTCTTACATGTTCAATGGATTGCAAAGTCAAAGTAAGAAGATTTTCGTATGTCAGAGCAAATGTTTATGTTGATACTTATGTTTAGTTATGGGAATTCTATAACGAACGTCGATGTGTTCGAACATATGCTGGACATAGTCAGGCAGTGCGTGATGTTAGTTTTAACTGCGCGGGAACAGAGTTTCTATCAGCTTCGTATGATAAAACGGTTAAATTATGGGATACAGAAACTGGTAAGAATCGAAAAACGTATTTTATTCGGTTATCCGTTGGTGTATTTCAATTTTAGGTCAAGTGAAAAGTAAATTTTCTGTACGAAAGATACCTTACTGTGTATCGTTCAATCCAAGTGAAAATAAACAACATTTATTTATATGTGGCATGTCTGACAAGAAAATCCTTTGTGTAAGTTTGTCTTCAAATGAAATGAAACAAAACAAATCGTATTTGTCAATTTAGTTTGATATTCGTAGTGGACATGTGGTGCAAGAATATGATCGACATTTGGGCGCGATTAATACCGTAACATTTGTTGATCGAAATCGACGTATTGTATCGACATCAGACGATAAAAGTATTCGTGTATGGGAATGGTAAGATTTCGAATTGATTCGATCATGTATAAGAATGACATTTTTCTAGGAATATTCCTGTTGATTTCAAATACATTGCTGAACCAACCATGCATTCGATGCCTGCTGTTGCACTTTCGCGCAATGGTTTGTAGACGAAATAATTTACAAATTTAATCGTTGTATTTTCGTATGTATTAGGTCGATATTTGGCATTTCAATCAATGGATAATCAAATTCGAATTATGGAGCCTTTGGCAAATTTTCGATGGAAAAGCAAGAAAGTATTCAAAGGTCACATGGTATGTTCAAACTAAACATCTGTGAACATCTATGGGTTAATCTGATGTTTTCTAGGTATCCGGTTATGCGTGTGGTTTGGATTTTTCGCCTGATATGTCCTATGTCATCAGTGGTGATGCAGATGGACGTCTAGTTATCTGGGATTGGAAAACTACACGTGTATATGAACGTATTAAAGCACATGATGATGTTTGTATTGATGCTAAATGGCATTGGCATGAGAAATCCCGAGTTCTCACAGCGGGATGGGACAATGTTGTCAAATTATGGGATTAAATCTAATTGACTTTGTCCGGTGTTCATTTGTTTTCTTTTACATGTTCTGTACAGTTTTGTTTTGTCTGTCTTCATCTTTGGATACCTTGAATTAAAACAAATGAAGTGACCTATGAATATGAGTGTGAATCTACCAGCGATTTTTGTACAACAACGAAAAGCAAATGCAATTTACTTCTCGTTACATCACGCTAATGTACAATAAGTATAATTTGCGTCGATACATTTGTGTAGTTTTACTACATGACTTGATGAATTTGATACCTTTTACTGAAACATATCTGGCTTTTGTTATTAACGATATATACAAGAGAAAACGACCTTAATGTGTACGGTTCAAACATCTCTCGTTTATTCCGTTGTCATGAAAAATGTGAGTAGGGAGAAAAAAGAAAAATCTCAAACTGCTTATTCTATATTAAAATATTCAGATTTGCTTCATTGTGTTGTTGCAACTGACTTGTAAGACTCTTTTGTTATGGAAATACGATGCAAAAAAGGATGCCTCCACGCAGGATCGAACTACGGACCTCCAGTTTACAAGACTGGCGCTCTACCACTGAGCTATAGAGGCTTGTTGACCTTCCTAATCGTCTTTAATCAAATTTCGTTTCTTTTAGAACGACGATAATGCTTATTATTGGTCTGATCGGTTCATTGGCAAGCGGCAAACATTTCATAGCTGATATTTTTCGTAAGAAACATGGCTTTATTGCACTTGAATACAAAGATTTCAAGAGTCAAAAACAGGATGCAGCTAAAGAATGTCTCGAAAAGGTGAAGGAAGCATGGCCAAAGAATATCGTTGTCATCGGTATAGATTCGCTGAAGACATTAACAAAAATGCGGGATAATCCTCAATTCTTTGGTATTGGCGTCGAAGGACCAGTGATATTACGTTTTCAACGTCGTAAACACGCGATACTCGATTCTTTAGAAAAATTTGTACAAGTGGATGATTTTTTACAATTTGGAGTGAAGTCGCATGAATCCGATTTTGAAAAGCTATTGGTTAGATTACATTTAGAGGATGAAGATCTTTCACCTTTAAATAAATGTATGGATAGCTGTGATCTACGATTGATTATTAATACAAACGATCAAGCGGATTTGGAAAGCAAAATAGAGAAATTGTTAACAGTAGAATCAAAAGCTCAACAATTAACCACAACACATTTGTTGTGTCCAAACTGGGATGTTTACTTTTCAATGGTCGCTTGGATCACAGCCTCTCAGTCTGTATTTTTGCGCTTATCTTATGTTTCATGTCTCTGTTCTTTCCACTTTAGTGGTAATTGCGTACGCCATCGTGTTGGATGCATCATTGCTGATACAGATCAACGCATTGTTGCAGCTGGTTATAACGGTACTCCAGATAATATAAAAAAGTGTGATCAAGGTGGATGTGAACGTTGTTGGGATATGTCTATTGACTCAGGTGAACGATTGGACGAATGCATTTGCATTCACGGAGAAGAAAGTGCACTATTAGAAGCAGGTAATATACGTTAAAACGATTGTTTAGATCTCGTATGTTTTACTCTATACTATAGGTCGACGTCAGTGTTGCGGTGCAACCTTGTATGTTACCCATAGTCCCTGTAGACAATGTTCAAAAAAAATTGCACAAAGTGGTATAAAACGTGTTGTTTATTCTCAGGAATACTCTTCTGGTTTGGAACGTGTTCGTAAACTGTTCAAAGAAGCAGGTATTGAACTGGTCAAACAAGAATTGCAAACCGTTCCTCGATTAATCAAGCTTATTTGACGAACAAATTCAAAGGACAAAAGAAATTTTCTAAATAAAACTTTCGAATTGTTCTAGAAATCAAATTAATTTTATTAGTAATAACCGTTTTACTTGTAACTTAGAAAAGCTAAACCTTTTAAAATTCCCAGCTGATTTTGACACAGAAAATTTCCGCATGATCCTGTTCATATGCTTTCACATAGACATCATACGCTCCTGCTGGTGCTACTTCTGGTATAGTGCTGTTGAATATAGTCACTTTCAATGGACCTCGGTATGCAGGTAATGTAATTCCAAGATCATTCAAAGGACCGGTAATCGATGGTAGAGAATAACCACGATAGACGATGGTTTTATTGTAGTCTCCGTATATGAATGACTCTTTTGTTTGACCGGAAACGGTTACAGTTAACAATTGATTTCGTTTTGGTGGCCATAAGTTTGCCTCAACTTTTTCAATCGATAGTTGGTCAGTCCATGTCGTGCAATTCACCCATGAAATAGGTACGTCAGAAACTACATAGAAAACTGAATAATGAGAGACTAATGCAGCGACACCGTACCTTTTTGAATATTCTGAGCTGTTGTAATTGTGAATGTGAGTGCGAAAACGAGAATAGTTAAGAACGACATTTGCTTTGACGATTTACCGAAAAGTATTTGGACTGCGACGAACTTTTATCTCTATTCCAATACGGACAGATGCATTTATTCTCATCTCGAAATCGACTAATCTACTTGAAAACTTATGACAGCACGTTTCTTGCTGGAGTTCAAATTAGAAAACAAGAAAAGAAACCATATCATCATTCTGTTCCTTTTCTTTTCTCGTCTACTGCTGAACATATGTGCATAAGCTCATTCGTCGATATTCTTTTTCTTTTCTCTACATTGATTATATCGTAGAGCAATAATATGCGATATATATTTTCTGCGTGCCCGTTTGTAGAGGTTAGATGTATGTTTGTTCGTCTAAGTCGTACTTTTCTTTCTGTTTATTCTACCAGCAGATAGCACATAGGTCAAAGAACAATCCAACGACATAGCAAAATAGATCGTACACATGCCTCCATAAGAGATTAACCACAATTTCTTTTTTTTTCTCTAGATTTTGTAATCATGACAAATCAATTAATCTCAATTTTGCTGTTCTTATCGTTTCTGTTTCTTTCAATTCACGCAAAAAAGTATCACATATTCGGCAACGATGAGTCAGTCGGTAGTCTTACAAGTGATGAACGTTTACTAGTCGATGTGGATATTTACAATCGTCCTTACGCTTTACCCTACTTGCTTCGTCAACTCGAACAACTCGTCTGCCCATGTAGTCAATGTTACTTGGATTTTCATCTCTATCATGTTTTTAATACAACTGTAGAAAATGAAACGAGCCGACTGTTAAATGCATGGGTTTCTGCAATGCAAACATCGAGCCAATCGGTTTTCGCCAGTATAACCGTCCAGGAATGGACAGCGAAGTCGAAAACCGATCAAACCAATCGTTTACGTGATGTTATGAAGCGTGCGAGCGAACTCGATGTGACTTATCTTGCCATGTTTGACTCCATGATTGTCTTACTCGAGCCCGGCAAACTTCTTTCCACATTAATTTCGAAAGATAAACCATTGATGACACCACTGTTACGTTCTACCAAAGATATGTACACCTCGACGTTTTATTTAAACGATCGACAATCAACAGGTTATGATAATTATAAGCAAATTTATGAACGGAAAAATTTGGGCTGTTTTCTCGTCGATGGGGGAATAAAAGATTTCTATTTTTTCAATTTTAAATACCCACAAATACGAAATGTATTCCTAAATAATCAAAGTCTTGATCAACCCGAACAGCAATACGGTATGTAATCCATCTCCTCGTCACACGTTTTTACATTTGTTTTATTTTCAGCAATCGATGTTCTCGCCCGACAAAATTCAATTCCAACATACGTTTGCAATCGTGAAGTTTACGGATACATTCCTGCTCAATTCCTCGAGGCAATGTACGACGAAGCTGCTATTCACGATCTCTATATTCATATGTTAATTGAACATCAATTGAATGGCCCATCGCAAACGTATTTACCACCCATCGAACGAACATCTCTGATTGATATCCCCTTGTCGACAGCGAAGACCAAATTTGGTTTAGATGAGATCTATGTTATCAATCTTGTTCGTCGAGCTGATCGTCGAGCACGTTTACAAGCTACATTCGACATATTGAATATTTCAGCACGATTCTTCGATGCAATCGATGGCAAACATACTGTCGATCAAACTTATCTCGAGCGACTAAATATTCGTCTGTTACCCAACTATGAAGATCCATATAATCGACGACCGATGAATTACGGTGAATTAGGCTGCTTCTTCTCACATTACTTCATCTGGGAAGATATGGTCAAGAATGATTATAAGAACGGTGCATTAATTCTCGAAGATGACGTTCGTTTCGATGCATTCTTTAAATATAAACTCGAAAAAATCCTTTCCAATCAATCATTAGATTGGGATATCATCTATCTCGGAAGAAAAATCATGCGATCGGATGAAGAAGCTTATGAAAACACCATCGAAACCTTCCTAATCGAACCGTCCTATTCCCATTGGACAGTTGGTTATGCACTTTCATTACGTGGTGCTCGAATGCTTCTCGACGAAAAACCGTTGCAGAAAATTCTACCTGTCGACGAATACCTACCAATCATGTACGATCATCATCCGAATCACAGTTGGAAAAGTCACTTTCATCATCGAAATTTAAAGGCATATGCATTTCATCCCGCAATTATCACCCCTACACATTACTTTGGCGAACCAAATTACATATCAGATACGGAGAACACAACCGTTTTGGGAAAAGAAGAGAAAATCGATGTTTCACAACGATCAAAATTAGTTAGTGTTGATGTTATTACAAAGAATGAAAAAGATGAATTATAAGAATTGTTTTGCTTGTGTTGCGTTCTTTTTTTTTATAATTAATTATCTTTATCATGTGTGCGAATAGAATTTTCATCGCGAAAGTTAACCATAAATTACAAACGTAAACAATTTTCTTTATTTTATGTTTTTTTGTTCCGCAAACGATACAAAACAGGTAATAACAATAAGCAAATTATCAAGCGAGTTGAACATTCGCTTCACGTACAAGTCGAGCAAACACAGATTGCGAATTATTCACAAGAGTTTTCGGTGAATCGAATTCAATCATACGACCATTATCCATAACAATCACTCGATCAGAATCAACAATCGTTTGAATACGATGAGCAATAGTAATCACAGTAACATTCAAACACGTATTTCGAATGGATGTTTGAATAAGACGATCGGTATCGACATCGATATTTGCTGTCGCTTCGTCCAAACAAAGTACCTATGAAGAAACATATGATTGTTCTTTATGAAAAGCTTCAGTCGATTCGAATTACCTTAGCTTTTCGAAGCAATGCTCGAGCAAGACAAACCAGCTTGAAAACAGAAACATTTAGCGTTCAAATTTCGGCTCGATATCACTTACTTGTTTTTCACCAACAGAAAGATTACGGCCGCGTTCAACAATCATAGAATCAAGACCATTACCTAAGTTGTCTATCAAATCACGTAGGTGACATTTCTCCAAAACAACATGAATATCTTCATCGGTGTATTGCCGATATGGATCAAGATTGTCTCGTATCGTTCCACTGAATAAAAACGGATTCTGTGGAATGATCGCCAAAATTTGTCTAGAAGAGAACAATTTCAGATGAAACATCCATCGAAAACGGATTTCTCACCGAAGTACACGTCGTTCAATTGCAGTTATATCAATATTGTCAATTAATATTTGTCCACCACAAAGATTTACGGTACGAAATAGTGTCGCTAATAAACTACTTTTCCCTGAGCCTGTTCGTCCAACGATACCAATTTTCTCATTTGACTTGATTTGAAGTGTCACATCGTTCAATGCAAGTTTGTGACCAATCGCATATCTCATCGTGACATTTCGGAATTCTATTGTTGACCCTTCTTGTCCTCCTGGTTCATTTAAAATCACGTATTGATGAGATAGATCTTCTTCCGGTGGTAATTCATCAATGTATGCTGTCACACGTTCAACACCAACCATTTCCTTTTCTGTTTCAGTAAAACTAGATATTAAACCATTGAGAAGACCAGTTACCGAGAGAATATACGATAGAGAAAGTCCGACTAATGCTGGGTTCGATCCCTGAACTGTATAGACGTGTTCGAGAACACCAATGATTGAAATTCCGGCAACCATAACGATTCCAATCAATTGGAGACGAAAACCAAGCCACGAACTAGCAACTAGCGATGCAAATTGTGCACGAATGCTGTTCGATACTAAGAGAAAATTGTATTCAACAAATCGTGTGACATGACGGAATGCGCGAATTGTCGCCAGGCCAGATATTGTTTCACCAAAATGGGCATAAACAGGTGATAACGTTATTGAAGATAAACGTTTAATTTCGCGTGATGTCCATCGGTAATAATTCTAAAACAAAAGAAATCATCGATTTGTCAGAAGAGAAAACAAATTTTGTGTCACCTGAATGAAATAATAGAATATCGTCAATGGGACGAGAATAATGAGAAATTTCGGTAAACCATAACACGATAGAACTAAGGTACCTAATAATGCAAATATATTTGCTAGAAGAATATTCATCATGAATGGCAAAGAATCATCGACACTCCACGTATCGCTGGAAAATCGATTCAATATTCTCCCGCTTGGTGTTGTATCGAAGAACGATATCGAACATTGAAGAAGAGCTTGAAACAATGATTGGTGCAGCTTTCTTGCTGCGGCGATACCACCATAAGCAAACGTAAACGCACGAACTATAGTGAATAGCGAATTTACAATAGCCAATGCCACATATATCATGAAGAAATGTTTGAAGTCTTTGTCCATTGATTGTGTAGCGAAACCAAACATTGGCCGAGCATCCAAAATAGTCACGCTAAAATCAACAATCAACTTGTACTCAAGATCAAAAATAGACCATCTTAACGGTACACATTTCACAACAGTTAGTATAGATTTACCTTCCGGCAGGGGATGTTCTATATTTTCAGAGAGCAGAGATGAACAACTCAACAAGAATCGAAATGAACTTACATGTTAGGATTGAGAATTTTGAATGATGATTGTCGAGTTATGTTCGACATGTTGGCGAAAGTCAACTGATGACTTGTCCAGTAGGATAACCACCAATCGAATACGTTTCGGGAAGCTATGAATTGAGGCGAAAGCTTTTCTCAAGTTAATCTTTACATGAGTGTTTACCTTGCATCAGAAAGACGGAAACGACAATTGAAAATGACAGACAAATACCCACTGCAATGAAGTATCGTTTCCAAACTTCGAATTTCACTGTTCCTAAAGCAATGTATGAACAAGTAAACGTGTTTGTTTTCCTATGACAATCTTTACCGGTACATCTTTGTTCAGCTTCGTTTTGAAGAGCTGTCTCTGACTGAATTACTTGTTCTTCTATATCCACTGTTGACTTCTGTGTCGTGGAAATACTTGTTTGCGATGAGTGAATACTTGATAGGAGCAAATTTTCCGCTGACGAGAGAACTTCACTGGGTTTTCCTTTGTAAAAACAAATGTTTCAAATCAAATAAGTAATCATAGAAACAGATTCAATGGAAAACCTGTTTGAACAATTCGTCCATTGTCCATTAGTATCACATAATCAGCTTGCTCCATAAACTGAATCTGATGAGTACATAGAAGACGTGTTTTGTATTTCAAAACATCGCGGATACATCGAGAGAAAAGATGCCGTGCTACATGAACGTCAACAGCCGACAGAGGATCATCTAGCAGATAGATTGATTTATCCTAAAAGAGTTCAAATCAAACTCATTTTCATATAGTACTATGACCAACGTGCCTGATAGACAGCTCGAGCGAGTGCAAGACGCGCTTTTTGACCACCTAATTTACAAAAAAAGTATTTGATCATGAGTAAACAAGAAGAACAACCGATAAGAATACCTGAAAGCGTTACACCATTTTCACCAATCAACGTTTGATCGCCAGCTGGACCAAGATTCTGCAATGGATAGAATGAACAACAACTTTTCTTTGTTATCAATATCGATCATTTCTTACTTTGATATCACTTTCAAGTGCACAGGCGTGAATCACTTTCTTATACCACTGTTCATCATAGATTTTGTCAAAAAGGATGTTGTCTCGAAAGGACATTTGTTGAATCCATGATTCTTGACTGAGAAGAAACACAAATCAAGATGATCATTCAAATAGAACAAACATCTCACCTAACATAAGCAAATCCATTTTCCATCACACGATGAACGTTGATTGTACCATTGAGTTTATTCAATTCGCCTAATAAACTATTCAATAAAGTTGTTTTTCCGCCTAAGAATGACACTCATACGCTATTTTCAAAGAATAACAATCAACTCTTACTTCCGACTCGACCAACAATGAGTACCAGACTTCCGCGCGGAATGCTCAGTTCTACATCTCTCAATGCTATATCATCCGATTCAAGATTATTAGCTGCATTCCACGAAAAATTTGCTCGTGTAATACGAATATCTAACGCTGGATTATCCATCGAATTTAGAAAGATATTATCTAAACAAACTTTTTCTTAAATATCGCAAATGATGTTTGTTGTACCTAATGTTGGTGTAGGTTCAATCGGTATATTTTCATAGTAGTCTTCGAGAGGAATTGGTTCAATATCAATAAAACGTTGGACACGTTTTAGTGACACGTGTGCTTCGACTAATCCGTTAATCACCCACGGAAATGAATTCAACGGTGAAATTAATAGAGCAAACAGAGCTAAACTTGTAAAGACCTACAAGTAATTAATAATTAAACGAGTTTTGCATAACCTTTGTCAAACCTTGGCTGGTGTTAGTTGATTGCCTAATAATGTATATGTTGTAAATGTTAACACCGAAATAAGTACAGGCGTGGTTGCCCAGAAGTACACACAAAATGCATCGAGATATTTTCTTCCACGCAGAGCACGTAATTCTTTACGTCGTACTTCATCCATTTGATCCGTAAAATACTTTTCATATGTGTTCATTTTGATCGCGCGTATTCCAAAGATGATTTCGGAGACGAGCTTCACACGTTGATCTTTGTACAACATCATATCTTGACTTAATTTGCCAATTTTACTTGCAATTACTTTATTGATCGGTATGAGAATGATGGCGAAAGCCAGACCAGTCAAAAATGTTAAACCAATTTGTTTGTAGAGTAAATAGAGAACAATTGCGATCTGAACTGGTAGAGACCAAAATGCATGAAATGACTGGAAAAAGTTCACGATTCGATCCGAATCTGTTGACATAAAGTTCACAATTTCACCCATACTGAATCGATTCATTTCGCATGTATTCAATTCAGTCGTTTTTGAATATATACGTGTGTAGAGATACATCTTGCATCGAAGTCCTAGAAGAGTGATGCGATAAGTAAAATGTGTGTTGAGAAACGATGCTAATGCTACAGTTCCAATTAATGTGCTGGAAAGAAGAAGACCGTGACGTAAACTTCGATCTTTTTGCTCCGCGCTACTTGACTCTTCCATATAATTAATCAATCGATTTAGAAAGATCGGCCCACCAAAAGCGAGACCATCACCAAGGATCTTCAAAATACCAAGAAAAAAAAACGATCGACCGAAGATTGACAAAAGCGAACGCGAGAGTTGTGGATGATGTCGATACGATAAGTACGATGGATAGAGTATCAACGGTAAAAAACAAAGATCATTCAGATTGTGGATTAGTGATTGGTAACCACGCTTCATCAATGGATCAAACCAAGAAAAAGTAAACAATTGTGATAAAGTAGCTAAATCTTCATTAATGACATTTGGAGAATCCAATGCTGATGGTAATGGAAGAAAAGCACATGTCGGTTGAATGATCATCGTATCTGATAATAAACGTCGGTTTTCATTTGGTTCAACATCTATACGATTCATTGAAAATTTCTAGTAAACATGATGAAATGAACCTGCTCACTTCGATGACTTTGTCCTGGTCGATGGCATTGATGACGACTTATACATAGAAGACCGAGAAAGATGAAAGCGAAACATACTTGCCTAATAACTACATATATACTCTCAACGAATGTTAAATGTTTAATCGCCAAACGATAAATATCATAATTCTCCAGGAGAAAAAACACCAACATCCAAATCACATAGCTTCTTGGACGTTTCCTGTGATAAAGATTTTTATTTAAATTCAAGTAACAGATTAATATATATGTTATCAGAATGATAACTGTGTTAATCACATCAAGCCATTGATGGTTGACTGTATCAGCAAAAAAGTATATGTAAAAGTAGTATGAACATGTGCTGAGAAGTATCACACATGAAGCTAAACGAATGAACACTAGTGGCAGTGTCCATAGACGATACGAACAATTCGAACGTTGACCGATGTTATAAGCAATGACGATTAACGTGAGAATATGGAGGGCGAATCCGAAGATATATTTGTGAGTGCATGAAGAGAGATCTTGATCTGCCCAGACCTGTTGACTATCGTTACAAATTAACGATAGGAAATCGGTGATTTCCATCTAGAAAAGAACATTTGAAAAAAAATATATTCTTGTGTGTGTTTAGTTTCAAAACTAAATATCTTTAACATTCGATGCTAGTTCACGTTTTTTATTCTTTAGTTTTTCATCTTCTTCAGCAATATACTGCATGAGTTCAGTCAAATTCTTGAACTCAGTTCGTCCTTCTTCTTCTTTGGACTTTCTACTTTTGATCGACGGTAGCCATGAGCCAACCCGCTGTCGAAACTCGACAAACGATTTCGGTCGGCCGCTAGCCAACCAAAGCAAACAAGACAAAGAAAAAACACCAGTTAGACTATAAATCGAAGCACGACGCAGAGCTCGAACAGCTAACCGCTGTCCGTCATTGAATAGTTTTGTTGCATTCTCTTGTTGTGTTAATTTCGTTGACGTTTCACGTTTCTTCGTTCGACCGAGTGCGAAACCAAAACCACCTAATACGCCACAAGCTGTTATAAATGCAAAATAAACTCCAGGCAAAAGACGATTTGATATGAATTCATCACGAGCTTGTCGAGATTTTTCTTTTTTCATCACATCACTAGAAAAGAAAAACTAGTAGATATTTTCGTGTATTTTTCTTTTCATTCTTCAAATTCAAATCTAACTATGATTGAAAACTCTTCAAAAGAATAAGTAATCGATTAAATCACGAAATAACAACACTCATACTTTTATTTTTTTTATACACACACGCACATAGAAAGAAAAGCAACAGGTGAAGAAAACCGACAACACGCAATATGAGAAACAATGTATAAGTCGTAATGATTATTGTAAGACAGCGGCATGTTCAAGTAAAACTTCTTGTCCATCATCGGTTATATGTGCGGCAGCATTCGGATCGTCGGCTAGCTTAATTAAATCAACAATTTCACCTTTTTCATAGGGAATTTCTAGAAAACTATCGCTTTTTTTCAATGTTGGCGATCGAGTAACTAAAGCTTCTTTGTTCAAAGGTGTTCTAGACGAAAGTTTGGATGATGGTGACATTCCATCAATATCTGTTGCAGTTGTTGTTTTTTGTAACGGACTATTCGATAGATCGATAATGGGTATCTGTGAAATAATCGACGAAGGATCAGCATCGATTGAAAAACGTTTCGTGATTGGATATGGCGTATGATGATAATCAAAGCTCGATTGCGTCGAAAGGATTTTAGTTAATTTTTTTCTCGTTGTACCACTTGGCGGTGGAACAATAGTCGGCAATGTTTTCGAAGATGTCGAAGACACACAAGTATCGATCGCATCATTGGGAGTTTTATCATCGGGAATGATTAATTGTGGTGTCTGAGGCGATGCCATCGACAAAGAAGACGTCTACAATAAGTCAGAAGGAAAACAAAAACGCTAATTAAACTAAAACTCGAAATAATTCCACTTTTTTCTCCTTCTTCATCATCATCATCAAAGAGAAAAAAAAAACTACCATGTGAAGTATTCCACCTATTACCATGGTATCTAGAAGTGCACAAGCATCATCTTATTTCTTTTCTTTTTCAAGTATCTACCAATGTTTCTTCATACTAATGCATTGATTTGGCCTAGTCGAATGTCTTTTCTTAATACAAATATTTAATGAATAAGGAAAACAAAGGGAGAAAACTCGACGACAGTATTATCATTCTTTCTTGCTGACGTGCGTGCATCGAAATAGCAGTCAAATAAAACGTAAAAATAGAGAGGGAGAGAAGAAAGATGATGACAAAATAAAAACAAAACCGAGCGAAAGACGTGTTTGGCTAGAAGAAGAAAACAGAAGAAATGAGTAGTATAGGAACGAAAAAGATGATACCATAATGATAATCAACCCCAAGGATAGATTTTCTTTTGTTTTTCATGATTACGACAAAGGGAACATTTATGAAAAGAACACATTTCGCATGGTGATCTTTTCACAATGGAAAGAAGAAAATAAAAAGAAGAACGGGTGACATTTTTCAAGTGTTTCATTGAGTGAAGTTTGCAATGATAATGATGAGAGAAATAGAACACAATCAAATTGAAAGAAGAAACTTGCCTTTGTTTTTCTTATCAGATAATAATATATATATATATATATATATATATATGGAAAAATAAACGGCATAGAAAGAAGACGACAATTATTTTATCTAAGAAATATACTCAGATTAATCGAATCATTCGAATGAAATACGAGACGAATATGTTAAGTAGTACAGAGCTCGATACATAAATGGCCGTTCTCTTTTTCCTATAAGGATATACATGATAATCTTACCTGTTCATTGCAGCCGTGTTGTGCATGAATGAGACCAAATTCGGAAGAATAGATAATTACTATCCAGTTTTCTACTGTATAGTCAAATAAATAAAAAATTTACTCGGGTTTTCGTTTAGATGACTCATCAACTTACACGATTGGTTATGTACGCAAACCATTTACTGTTATAGATGGTAACAGTCATCAGCAGGGACTTTACACAACGACAAAAAGATTTAAAATAGTAAAATGGCAAGTTGTACATAGATTTAATTAAAAAACATCAGAAGATGGCTCGCAGCGTGCCTTATCGTGCGGAATGTTCACTTAAATGCCGTCAAATTCAAAACGATGCGCTCAATTCCACGTTTTTCATTGTGAGACAAACAGGACCAACAGGTTTTACTATCAAAGATGAACACGATGAACGAACATACAAAGTAATTGTGTAAATGAGATAAAAATCTCGAATATAAGAAGATTTATTGAGTAGATATTTCTCGGTGATCAACATCAATGTACATGTTCGACGTTTCAACGAAATCAGGATTTATGCAAACATATATGTTGGCTACTGTTGAAACGATTTCGCATACCGAGAACGAATCCAAGCAAGCGATAGTTAATTGTTGAGACGTGTATATAGATTATAAGTTTTGTTGATTAGTTCTATGGCAGCGGGGTCTTGTCGAACGAGAAATCAATGAACTTCTCCGTGGATTATCATCGGATGAGGAAGAACGAAGGAAATTCTATCGACGTCATCGAGCAAAAGTAGGACAACATGTTTGTGAAATTTCATTGTATAAGTAAGAAACGTTCAAGAGCGCCGATGGAACTAATTTAAACAATGAAGTAGATCAGCGTCCAATTGGTGAGGATGATATTTGTCCCATTTGTCAAGAAGAATTTGCTGCTAAACAAATGCCTACTACTTATTGCCGGTTAGTATATGGGTATTGTTACTTGATCAGTATCGTTTGTTTTACGTAATACATTAGACGTGGATGTGGAAATAATGTGCATGTGAAATGCATGAAGATTTGGCTAGATCATCAAGTATCGACCGGTGAAAAACTAATCAAGTGTCCTTTATGTCGCGAAATATTCGGTACATCGGAGCATCTAAAATTGGAATTTCGGTGAGAAAAGGTTTTTCTTCTGAAAAACGAAGTGAAATTTTGTTTGATTTAGAACAATCGAAGAACAACACATGGAAAAATCTTCGGTACATTTAGGATTTTCATGCCATCGGTGTCGCACCTGCCCCATCACAGGCAATTGTTATAAATGTACAACATGCGAGGATTATTTTCTGTGTCAAACTTGTTTCAATATGAATATTCACAATGAACATAGTTTTGATTATCGAGAAGTAATATAAATATCTTTTCGAATTCCATATGACTCATAACATTTGTCTAGAAATCATTTCAACGTTGGAGAATAGCTGCTCGTGAACATTTGATGGCCTTGCCCAACGCACTTCATCAAATATTAGCAAATCGTGATATGAATGAAAATAATTACGAAGCGTTGCTACAACTTGAAAAGTAATTTGCAATGTTTGTCGAGTTGCGTTTAACTAACTTCACGTTGTTTTAAGCGCGCAAAATACAGTAATTGGAAGTATTCCCGAAAATATTGTGAGATCGATACCAACTGAACGTGTCCATGAACAAAGTCGTCTATTGGAGCCAAATGAACAATGTCGCTTATGTTTGAGAGCTTATCAAATAGGTGAACGAGTTCGACGCTTACCCTGTCAGCATAGATTTCATATTGATTGTATCGGTAATGAGAAAAATTCTTTTCATATCAAATGCAACTTTTCAATTGTGCGTTTTGATTTAGACGGTTGGCTTTTACATAGTCACCCAACATGCCCTATCGATGGACACGTTATATGGAATGCGGAAGGAAGAAATGAGAAAAAAGAGACTAAACGGTAACATCTTCTCTCGGTTTTACACTGATCTAATATTTCTATTTTAGTCCCTCGACAAGTCTCAATCGAACCAGAAGTCATAATGGATCACCGTCTTCGAATCCATCTCTACTCTCTATCAACATGGGGTTGACTGTCGTTCCTTATCAGATGCAAACAAGAACGAGTACAGATCTGAATGAACGCTTTCGGCGTCTTCATATGCGTGCACCACTTCGTTCTTTGTTGTCATCGTCTCATTTACCATTTCAAACTAATACTCGAACGGTGCGAAGTCGACCATCGACCAGAATGATGTCGACTAGTCTTGAACAATCTCGTCATCGAACTAACAATGAATTTGACCATGAATGGGCGATGTCAATTAGTAATTTCAATTATCGACCTTATGGACAGCGATGCTCAAGTGCTCAATGATTTTGCTTATCGGGTGACCTTATTTCTATTAAGTAATATATTTTTTGAATACAGATAAACTATTTTCTTAATAATATATTCAATTGTTGCCTTGAAAACACATCATTTCGTGATGTATTTCTTGTTCTATCCCATGGTATTTTTGAAGAATAATTAAGTAGAATCTTCTGTCAAATTGAGAAATTCTAGTGGTGATATATATGGACAGAGCTCGCACTTATGTCGATATTTAGCAAAAACTATTTATATCTGACCGTGAGACACGAGAACTCAATAATCGACTGCTTAAATATTTGACGTATATTTGAACGAAACCAGACGATAATATGGGATCTTGCTTTTTTTTGAAAAATGTTGAAGGTCAATTCTTTATTCGGACAATTATTATCAAAATTTCAAATTAATTCCTTATGCAATCTCTCGATGCTCTGCACTTGGGATCATTTCTTTGATTGTATGGATTACTTATCATGTTATTTGCTGTTAATGGATTGTTAAAGTGGTGAAAGTATTTTGAGTGAACAATCTACTAGATTTATAAAAAAAAATTCATCACACAAATGATATTCCTAGAGTTCTGAAAACATCGGTTTTTTCCAAATGCACAAGTTACTTTTCATTGTACTCAGGATGATGAGTTAAGTTTTCCAACAATTGTTTAGGTTCAACTTGCCCTTGACAAATCAGATATGCATCACGGAAGACTGGAAATTGATCCAATAAATTCTTTCCTTTCAGAAATGTATAAACTTCTTTTGCTGTTCCTGGTCCTTGCAATAGTTGTCCATTAAGATCTTCTCGTTCGATATCTTCTAGCGATCGACTTGTCTCGGCCATTTTCTTTGCTCCATTGTAGTTACGTCCGCCGAGTGCGGATGCAATTAGGTCAGCGATACCACATGATTCAAGATAAATATCTGGCGATGATTCTTTGGCATGTAATCGACAGAAGTTTATCATCTCACGGAAACCCAATCGGAGAATCTAGAGAAAAGAGCAGAGTAGAACAAGTTATGTGAATTGAATCACATACAGCTGCACGAGTGTTAAAACCAGCTTTTAATCCATCAGCAAAACCAGCGCACATAGCAATGACATTCTTTAAAGCGCCAAGTATTTCGATGATTTCAACATCGGGATAGAAACGAACACGAAAATAAGGACGATCGATCAGCTGTCGAACGATTTCGCTGTGTCTGCTATCACGAGAGCCAACAGTGGCTTCACAAAAAACTTTATCAGCGACTTCTTTGGCAATATTCGCTGAAACATAAATTTTCGATCATCGTGATACAAGTACAAACAAGTCACCTACCTCCCATCATACTTAAACACGGAATGTTCAATGTACTTTTGATAATCTCTGAAACAAGTAGCAATTCATTGGTTTCTTCATCAACATAGAAACCCTAAATGACAAATTTACAAAGATAAAAACGGACGGTGTTGATCATACCTTGATTAACGTGATAGCAAATGCATCCGATTTAACTTTACTCTTTAATTCTTCGCATGTTTGTTTTACGAATTGATGTGGTATGACAAAGATAAGAATATCTGCATCTTTAACAGCTTCATCAAGAGCAGGCACTGCCAGAACATTCTCGGGAAGTATTTTATTCGGTAAATATTTGGTATTTTCATGTTTTTCATTGATGACTTCAGTTAATTTACTTCCATCATCTAAGATTTCTTCTTTACACCACATCACAATCTGTTGGTCATACTCATCTTGTAATTGAAGAACTTTTTCACCAACATGACCAGCACTTTATCAATGTAATATAGTGAATACCTTGATCATACAAACATAGCAAACTTACATCGTACTTCCCCAGTTGCCCGAGCCTACAATAGCGATTTTCTTGGACGATGACATGCTCTACACAATGCGTAACTGAAATGAAAGCAAAGTAAATCGAGATGAGACTCTCAATCCCTTCGACTATTACGTATATATATAAGGGACCTACTACTCTCGATTACGATAAAAAAAGCCGAGAGTGATACTATGCCCTTTTCGTTTTCTTTTCTTTTCTCTTCTTTCCTTCTTGTGCATATCACGCACCCTTCTGTCAGCACAACAACAAATACGACTCAAACCCAATAACAAAAAAACATGCATACAGAACGAATGTATGAAGCTGCATCAATGATCTCCTTTTGAAAGAAATCGAAAGAAAGCTTTTTTATTAATAGGAAAAAAAGGACAATTTAAAAAGTAGCACGGGCAGGTGTATCAATACGATGAGGTTCCACTAAATTCCTCATACGTTCAAACCATGGTTGAATTTTCGTATTTTTCATTAAATCTTCAAATGCTTCGCATCCTTGAATAGCTGTCAGAATACCGTAGGCATTCAAATCAGCGACATTCGGTTCGGATCCACCTACAATGTACAAACAAATAGAATTGACATGTATACAGTGTCTAGAAAATGTTATTTACCGAGAAAGTCCTTCTCGCCGATGGCATTTACCCATTCATTCGCACATTCATATAGAGAAAGTCTAACATCGTCATGTAAGTTATATTTTTTCTTCAAACGTACGGCTACTACACGCATAACGATAGCGCCCATATAGACGATAAACCAGCGTTGATACCATGGAAAGATTTCTTCCCAATCGCCTGCTTTGGAAAACCAACGAAATGTATCTAACGATTGTCTCAATGTACAATAAATATTAGGCGATAAAGCATGAATAAAATTGTTATCAACCCATTCACGCCATTGACGTTCGAATTCATTTTCTTCGTTGGATTTCTTCGAAACAATAACTTCAGGTTTACTTTCAACTGTGGGTGTCGGAGTTGATCGTGAAAACAACCAGCCAAAGAATGATCTTGATTCATTCGAATTAGACAGTTTGACTTCTGATTTAGTTGATTCTAGACGATCTTTCATGGATGGTTCAACAATGGCATACTTGTTTGGATACGTAAAAAATAATCTTCCTTTTTGATCTTTTTCAAGGATTGTTTTGTAATACTTGATAATTTGTTTAAATGTTTTTGTTGGTTGACGTAGATACGATTCAATTACTGATATAATTTGACTTGAATCATTCAATTGAATGTGTTCGTTTTCCACAACAACGATGGGTACTCTATCATATAGAGACCATTTCGTTTCTGTATGCATCACACTGTTTACTTCCACAATGTCATATGGAATACGGTTGTAGTTCAAGTACGCACGCACTTTACAGCAGAACGGACTAGAATAGTAGAAAAGAAGAACATCTGATTGAGTAATAGATCTTCATGAAAGAAGATTTACAAACCATGTTACGTATTGATATAACGTTAAATTAAATGGAAAATTGATTCGCGGAGGAGCATCAAATGTGACATGTTTGGTCACTGGTGGTGGTAAAGGACGAGACTCCATCGCTTTACGTTCGAATAATTCAGGATTAGCAACATATTCAGGTAGACTGCCTTCATGTTTTCGTACTTGACGCAGTGCATAAATAGTTCCTATTAAAGCTCCAGTAGCTATCGAAAATAGATAATAATGATATCGACGAAGACGAGGAGATTGTTTCGGTGTTGCCGACGGCGATTCAACTTTGAGTTGTTGTTTTTGAGCTTGAATCAAATCATTATTACATCGGTTCGAAGAGAGGAGACGCGGTGCACATGACAAAATTTGCCGGCGAACAATAGTAAAAGAAATATGTCGACTAGTTGACAGACAGAGAAGAGCCATGTACTCAGATTAACACAAATTTCTATGCTAATGTGAATGTTTTAACTTTGATTTCATATAGGAAAAGAGACAACCAACGGAGTATTTGGAAAGAAGTTCTTTTGAGAGATGACGCTAGAAAACGATGAAGATGCTTTGATATAGAAAAGATGCATACATAATACATTCTCAAATCACGAATTACACTTTCAACCTTTAAGCAAAACTTTGTTGTAGATCGTTATTTTGAGAATTTAACAAATTGAAGGAAATGGATATGATCATTGCAAGCTCTCTAGTTCCTTTTCATTGAGTTTTTACATTGATAACAAAAAGTGATAGAAAATGTGTGTAAATAGAAAAGACAGCAAGGAGAAATCTTTGTCGACGTTAGCTTTCTTCTCCGTATTGTGTATCTGAAATATTTCGATAAATTCACTTTCCCAATCTTCTTAACTTTGTTTTATCTATAGAGATGAATCTTCTTTGAGGGTGAGGATGCGAGACTGTACTGCATAGTGGTGCAGTCAATGACTGACTTAAGCGGATGTTGCCAGATCACGAGAAACAAATTGCGCTCGATATTTTGTATAGGTTAGGTGATAAGTTCTCAAACTTTCGAATATTCGTTCATACAGAAATTGCATGGATTTCTCTTACAATGGATATGAAAGGTGGTTCTAATTATCTTCTACTCGTTAAATCTGATTGTGAAATATCTTATGTTCTTGTTAAATAAGTATTGTATTGAGTTCCTTGGTAATAGCTTACTGGATGTGAATGTAGTATTCACTCTGTCATTCTTAAAATTCCGTAGTTTTAGTCTTTAGTGTATCTTTGTTGATGCTTTCAAATATTCGGCACAAGATCGCATACAATCAACATGCCAGATGTAGCAGTATAATCCACGGTAATATGTAAATCATAATTAGTCAAAAGTTTGATAACAGCAGCTATTCGTTTTGTAAACAACTCTCCAACGATACCTAAACGATCGCTTACCCGAAATGCTAAGGAAACATGGAGCCGAATGGAGGTTGTAATCATATGACTTGTAAAAACTGTAGTCATGAATTTTGCAGGTTATGTTTCGATGAAAACGATCGCTCTTGAATATTTCTTTCTCACTGGGTATTGATCCTTCTGTAATTGGTTCACTCCTACGTCTGCGACTACGAATGCTAACGAAAAGGATGAACATTGATTTTTGTAGTGACTATCTAAAGTCGCCATGTCGATTAGCGAGCTTTTGCGAAACAGACCAATACACAGCTACATTGAAGTTTACAATGAGGAGAAATAAAGCATTACGACCGGTGGCAGAACTGAATTTTAGCATTAATATTAAATGGTTTCAATCTAACTATATTATCGAAAAAAAATGTGTTGAGAGGAAGCTGAGTTATTGTAATTTGATCATAAATTTTTGTTCAAGAAGTCTTTCGATCGCTCTGTGCCATTGCTCATAACTGGGATGATCCATTTGCCAGCCCGCTTGAAATTCACCCTTTCGAGGAACTCGATAAGTAACTATCAGATGTGGACGATCGAGTCGATAAAGACCATTAAACCCTAGGAAATAAGCAAAGATTACTCTTCAAATTCAATTTGTAAAGACTTACAATCTTGTTCACGAACACTCAAAATCGAACCGAGAGGTATATACAGATAACCTTGGTCTCCACAACAGCTAACACCAGACACTTGTGAATATAGCCCATCTTCTGTTAAAATCATATGTGAATTGCCCAATGTCTATTCGTAAATAAAGTTAATTCATAATCAAATCTCGATCCACATGGAATATATATCTAACCTGAAACCGACCGCGTTCGGTAGTTCCGTGATATCGACAACTTTTCCCTGTGACTTCGAGCACAATCGGAGAATGAATATCCTCTTTATCTAAGCCCTTAGCTGATGTACAACAACCCATAGTTTTGAAGTGTTTACTTAAATGATATTTACGTACATATTTTGACGTTGATTCAATTCGTTCGTTTTCATGTCAACTACCTTGGCGTTTAATCAATCGAAACAAGCAAGGTAAATGAAATTCGTTTTCGCGCAATTGAAAGCAGATGTCATTAGCAAAGGTAGGATTGCGCAAGAATTTGTCGATTTACTTTTAGGTTGACAAATGAAAAAGAGAATGTGTTGCGACGAAGGAAGAAAGATTGCTGGAATTTTTTTTTATTCACAAAGTAAAGAAACAGAACAAACCCATTGCTTCATTTGTTGACGTTTTCTTTTTCTATGGCCACGTCGGTTGGTAACATTGAAGAAATTCTTCCGTTTGTGGATTGTGAAATCGAAAGCAATGTTGATCTCAAAGTACCATCAACTAAACGACCCAAATTCGCTCAAAGATCAAAACAAAAATCGAATTCGAATGTCAGCAATAAGATCGGCGACACTTCTTATCTTTATTTTGAGAACTCAGAGAATGACAGTGATTTACTTGTATTCGCACCTTATACAGGACCAAGTAATACATCGCATCTCGGCAACAATCTTTCTATTCCACAGTTACTCTCGGCTACTTCAGCACATGATTCAACTCGTAGTTTGCAAAATTTCCTCTATGATTATGATAAAAAACTAACATCATTAAAGACAACTTTGGAAATAATGACATTATTTATTTACATACGTTTCGGGATATTTTATATTACTCATTCTAATTTATCCAACAATCAATCAATACCAGTAAAAGCCTTTACCTCTCTTCGAAACCGAGGTTTGAGTTACAAACGGTACTTTTCAATTGACTATTACATACTTTCGTTTTATTTCCATAGGTGAAAGATTTAAAAGTTCCTTTTATACATGCAAAGGTGTAACAACGCCAAAGACTTTAGTAAACACAATACTTAAAGACAACTATCGACAAGTCTGTTCGAATATTTACTCATACGACATACAACTGTACGGAACAAAGACTAATCCTCATGCGCAACTTCAATTTCAATATGATGAGCAATGTCAATGTCGTTCAGTACATTATCAACAAGATTATCCAACTAATTTTAACTTTATTCGTGATAAAACATCCAGTCGATTTCGTTCCACTGATAATTCTTATGCAGATATATTCGATTTTCGTATTCAATTAGTACAAGGAAAACATCTGACAAACACCGATCCGGCTGTTCTTGAAATTCTTCGTGGCGTACCGATCAATAACGTCCTATCATTCGATCCCTCAACACATGCGATACAAATCTCGCCGCAACTCCAAAAATATGTCAAATATTTCAAATGTACACGTTCAACAAAGTACCAAAACTCCGACGACTCAATTCTCATCAGTATGAGTACATACGAAGAATTTCAAATGACTAAAGAAGGTTTCTGGGAACCATTGATGACTGCATCGAATACCATGAATATAGAATTCCTTAACGGAAATGATATTCCATCGGGAAAGAAACTTTATGATACAGGAATGTGGTTTTCCACCTTATGTCAAGCATGTGTAGAATTACCTTCCGGAACAATTAAAAATGCACATCGGAAGAAAACACGCCGATGGTTTTCCGATGTCTTGTTTTGTAAACAAGATCAATCGATAACAAAGATGAATGTGGATCAACTAACTCGATATACAACGAATAAAACGCAGAAATCGTTTACTAGTGAAGAATTAGCATTTGTGAAGAGAATTTTACTAGAGGAAAACACACGAGCGATATTTTTCGATGCAAACGAAAGTCAAATATGTACCATGAAAGAATTACAACAAAGATTCGTAGATTTACAGAAGAAATTACAAGCGAATGCTGCACCATCAGCTGGTCGAGCATTGAAAAAAGTTCAGGACGCATATCAGACCATAATGAAACAATTTAAATTGAATTCTAATAAATAAATTGGTGCATCTTTTGTGCTTTTGATAAAACCCGTATTCACATCATATACGAAGCTGAAGTTTCTGCAATTGAGGACTTTCAAACTGTTAATCTCTGACAGATGTGCATTCCGGATGTTTGACATTCTTCCTTTCGACGCTATTTTTGGTATACTGAGCTTTTAACTCTTTCGGGACGGGCGGCACTTTAAAGTACCAGAGGGATTTCATATTTTCCTATGCATACGAATCCAAGCTTTTCCTCCGTATTTCTTCGAAGTAAATATTGTGGATGCAGTTTTAAACATTTGTGTTATAATCGATATTTTCTTTTCTCTTATCTTCATCTGAATCTTTGGTATCACTGTGTAGAGTTCTTAGTCTATGTACAATACGAAAAATGTAGAAAATCTCGAACTTCCAGACTTTTGTCTTTAGCTTATTCGAGAACTTATTCAAGAATATGGATGAATGTGGACACAATCGAAGCAAACACCATAAATCGATTGTTCACTGCGCCTAGCTGTTCGTCATTTCATTGCTTTTATCCTCAGAGATAATGTTAAAAAGATGTTGTTTTGTCTGCGACCATCAAATGAAGCGCGAAAAACGAAGTGCTACATGATTCTATTGGCGAGATTATGACATTCCACTCTGTAATCCGAACTGTTTCAAAGAATACCACATTGAAAGTCGCTTTACCTTCACATTTTTATGAATTTGATACCAGCTAATCATTTTTTCTTGAAATAACCCGGTTCCGAAAGGGCTAAATTGATTCAACAAGCAAATTGCATTACGGTGCACACAATTGAATATGAATAACACAAAAATACGTTTGATTTGATTATGTGTGTATGAAGTAGAGAAGGAAATAACCTGTCTGTTGGAATTTATTATATATACCAATCGTCTTTTCCTTGACGTTCTTTTCCATTGATCTTTCTTGAAGAGTATAAATATTTTCTTTAGAAAACTTATCTGTTGTTATTACTTCTCTAACAAAAATCGTGCCGCGATTTCTTTTTTTAGTGCACTAAGAACGTCAGGAAAAGGTTAAGATTTTCTTCTTATCAGAAAAAATGACATCGGATTCTAAAGATAATATTTGTTGACACACTTTTCACTTCATTTTTCAACGTAAGATACATACACCCCCGTTGTTTAATGATAGTCAATTAACAAAAGGCTTTCATTCTAATTTCATAGTCAAACTTCCTCGTCGATTTGACTGAAAAATCGATTTGAAATTATGTTGAGACATGATCAGGTAAGATCCTCTCGAAGAAATCTGGTTTTTGTATACCGAAGAGAAGAAACAGTGTACTATGTACTCTTTCGTAGTTTATATTCTTTATATTCGTACTGAATAAATCGATAGGACACATTTTGAACGTTTGAAGAAAGTGAAAGTGTTTTGGTGATAATTAATGGGTTTATGGCGCATGTCTAAAGCACTTTACTTTATTCAAATTGTCTCAAAATGTCATTTTAAAATAAATTCCAGTCGTCTGCAAAAGAAAAACAGTCGTTTGATATCTCCAGCTCGTCTAAGATATTTTCTCACTGAACTTTTTAGATTGTTAAGTATGTCGCATACAACATTAATTCTTCTATTCTTTGCATCATCGGCCATGATTGTTTATAGTCGGTCTTTGAGCCCTGATCAAATCATGCCACTGCTGTTTCCATCTTCTCCTCAGAATAACAAGCATCCGACCTCACAACCATCATCTGGTCAACATGGGTTATTGGAAGTTGTCGAACATATTATCAGGTAGGTTGACATTGATGAACTTCTTCGATCACTTTTACTTTATGACAGATACGTTTCGACAATCAAGTCAAACGAAGAGTTTATTGATAATCTGATCGATTATCAAACCCAAGTTGGTGATAAAATGAAAATTCTCCGATTTTTGAAGAGCTGCTTTCAAATCACCAATACAATCATTCAACGAGAAATGGCTCGATTACAAACTTCATCGGATATCGCCAAGAAATCATTTATATCATCAATATTTACAGCAGAAGAACTAGAAGGAGCACAATTGAAGATTAACAACCTTCTCGATGTCATCGAACAAAGAATGCTCGCATTAAAAACACGACCCCCACCTCCAACCATGCCTTTTCTTAGCTTTTAACTATAAGCATGCCTATTTGACTTAATCATTACATTCTAATAAAACATAGAAACCTCTCTGAAGTATTCGAACATCGAGTGTATTGCATTGGCATGCGACATCTCATCACGCATCAAAGTATTCATTGAATTGCAGAGAAACTTCAAAATATAATTTCTAGTTCCCTAATTACGAAGTTGCCACAGGCGTTGGAGCTTTTTATTATTGAGCCTACTTTGTTTAATCTGCTAGATAATACTTTACCATTTCATCAGACTCGATTATTTTCTTTTGTGTATTGCTAGCGAATCACGAGATCTCACAACAATGTGTAAAGACAACAATAAATTTCGCGAATTAGTTTCTCAAATGCGTGGTTGACGTTGAACTGTCGATTGTTTCGGTTTTGCGATATATCGAACCGTCATAATAATAACATAGACCGTAATTGTAATGATAATAGTCAATGCAATTGCTACAGTGGCACAAGCGATGAGAGAACGTTGTCGTCGTCGATGAAAACTCGCTTGTAGCTCAGGATGAGTGTTGATTAACACCTGTTTCCGACTTGGCGACTCGAACCGATCGGATCGAGTAACTGACAAGTTCCGCGTGCTTGTCTCCTCGAATAAATTCGTCATAGTGTCTTGTTTGTGCTTATCCGATAGATTGACCGATGCCGAGTCAGCCTATATAAATCAAAGGAAAAATCATTTGATGCGATAGGTTATGGGTGAGAGTGTAGATAGTTACATAAATAGTCGTTTGAGAGAATTCCTTAATCGACGGATGTGATGATGCTGGCGAAATTTTTAATTCCGTCGATGATCTTGCATCACATGTCTCAGCATGACGAAACAACAGTTGTTTCTGAAAACGAAAGCCATCCTATGAAGTGTATTTCTGGTTTAATATCCTACTCACTAAACTGTTTTGACTGGCTGTTTTGACGGTTTCCTCTTGTAATTGATCATTTTCTACAGTTTCTTCCGTATTTTTCTTTCGTTCTTGATTATCATCCATATTTTCATTGGGTTTTTCTGTAATGTGAAATATTCGATAGGAACCATCGCGTAGAAACGACGACTTTTTCCGAATGAATCGTGATTGATTCTTTGAAAATCATAAATATGAAGAAAAAAAACTATCTCAACAAGAAGTTCTCCTTGTTACCGTATTAGTAGAATTTGATTCCGTTTGATCCATTGACGAACTAGTGTTCTGATGTCTCTTATTTACCAAAGCAATCCTGACTTTTTTCGATGAAAGAAAAAAAACAATAATGAAAGAACGCTAATCAAACATATTATTAACATCGCGCAGATCAGAAATGATTACTGATGACGATCCTCTCGTCTGTAATTAGCACGGAACTGAACATCTTCTTTGTTTCTACGCATTCTGGTCAAGATTGGAGTGAGCGTCCGACAGATGATGACATCTATCTTTATCGCAGCTACTGTTGTCCACTCATAGACCATGGTTATCCTGAAGAACAAAGATAAAAGGAAAGAACAGAAAGTAAACAGAATGACAACCGTCGTCTGATTGTTTATCTCCTTGAACGAATTCATCTGACTATAGACGATTCAAAATGATGTTTTTTGATTGTAGATTCAAATATTTGCTTATTGAAACTGAATTGGTTTAGAAATTTAGCACGAATAACGCGTTATCTTTGTTTATTTGTAGATATTTTATTTCCACCGATGATGTCAACTCACAACGATGGTGGAAATGTGTCAACTATTCGGCCATTAAAACGATCATTATCGGTGAGCAGATTGAAGATATTTCTTTTACAGTTTCTTTACGATATTTGAACTTTTGTTTTCAGCCGGATCATGTGGCGAGTCATGAACGAAAGTCAAAAATTGCGAAAACTGAAGTAAGATTTTCTCTCACTATATCGTCTCGTAGACGTTCTTTTTGCCGTGAACTAGATATTACACTTTCGAGAGAAATAAATAAGTCTTCAGACACGTCTCTTGTAGCCAGACGAGGTCATCTTCGAATTAGTCATGATGTAGACTGAACGAAAAGTAGCGATTCGTCAGCGTCTGTTGATTTACTATTAGTATCTTTCCTTTCTACGAGACAGATAGAAAGAACGAAAGAATGGAAATACCCATTTTATCGTTGAACTGTCCACGTGCTAGCGAGTCGTTCGGCAATATTTTAGCTTTTATTCGTCGTTTGAACTGAGACAGACAATAACCTTTGAAATGTTTTTCTCGATAAATTCGAGTAAGCCGAAAAATCAAATATAAGATTAGAATACAGTCTCAGTCTTGCTTGTTCTTCTTTCTAACGTTTACTTAACCACTTCAGGCCACCTCTTCTCTTTAAAGCACTATCTGCTTCACAAATATCTTCGTTTATGCACTATTGATGATCAACAGTTGAAAGCTATAAGAACAACGAAGACAATCAAGTGATGTAAGCGTTTTTCTCCATTCTCGTCTCATTAGGAAACATACACCTGTTCGACGTTGAGTGTCAGTTGCTGTTATCTATTCAGTAGAAGTAAGAAGAAACGTACCGTATCGAATTCATCTAGTTAAAATTGAACAACTGCCATTTTTTCTTCAAATCGCTTCGTTTCGTCTATAAATACTTGATTGTCGACCAGAAAAAGGTGTACATAGAAAAAGAAAGTTCAAACGATGCTGCTGAAGGTGTTGCACAATCTACACAGGACCTTTTAAACTGTCTCACAAAGATGAACTCGACATTTTTTGTGAAAAACTAGGTCTTGTCTAGTTATGTGCATCATGTTCGCTGCTTTACACCTCGACGACGTTACTGGATTTGTTTATTATTTTTGTTTGTGATATACGTTTTATTCGTTCCTCTTCTATTCTTTACCAGTGGATATATGTTGAATTCCACTAGAAAATCAAGTAAAAAAGGAGGACTAGAAAAGAGATCAAGTTTTCTTCTCTGATTTTGTTTATAATTTTTCATGGAGCAACAGTATCGCTCGGAATGGTTTCACTCCGAATTTCGTTTATATGTAAGTGGTGACAACGAGAGAGAGAGAGAGAGAGTCAACGGAATTCCTAGCTTTACAAATGTCTCTCTACTTTTCCTTTCGTTTTAGTTACAAGAGGACAATGTTGGTAAGGATATCAGTGACAAAGAAAATCAACAAAATCAGAAACAAATCGGTATGTTTGTATGAACTGAGAAGACATTTATTTGAAAAATATTCGACTTCTTCAATGATGTAATATCTGAATTTCTGTATTAGATATAGTCATGGTCAAACATTCTGTAAACATTTCTAATAAAGAAGAAGAAGAGGATCATGATGATGGAATCATCATTGGTCAACTTGAATTCTCTTCTGTACCTTTTCCTTGGTATCGTTCTCATGCTTTATGGTCGAATATGATGGCCAAGACATTTGACGAAACGTATAAATGTCATGCAAATTTTCTTGATGTACATCCAGCAATAACAACCAAAATGCGAAGCGTCTTATGCGATTGGTTAATTGAAGTAAAACAAAAATTTCTCAATTGGTTTTTCTTGTTTAACCGAGAAATTCTTTGTCTGTAGGTTTCCGAAGTCTATCATCTTCATCGAGAAACATATCATCTCGCAATTGCTTATGTTGACAAATATTTATGCAATACAACTAATCTACCTAAAACGAAACTACAATTACTTGGTATAACATCATTATTTATAGCTTCGAAAATCGAAGTATGTAGAATTAAGCGTTCAACAAGAAAGTTTCATGGATTTCGTTGATTTAGGAAATCTATCCACCACGTATATCTGAATTTGCTTATGTTACTGATAAAGCCTACGACGAACGTGATATTCTTGATATGGAATTAGATATAATGAATGTACGTTCATTTACAACTGATCGATTCGGTTTCACGGAACAATTGTTTACTTTAGGCACTGAACTGGCATATAAATCCACTTACATCAATCAGTTGGTTAACAGCATTTCTTCAGATCGAGTACGACATGGAGACAATGAACAATCACGATTTATCCATATCACCTGCATCTTCAGCAAATGTTACACCGTCACATAAAGATCGTTGCAAGAAAAAACGACGTGTATCATCATCAGCCTTTCCCAAGTCGTCAACTTCATTGAACAGTGAAGTTTTAAAAACGAATATTTCAACCAATGCCCATCGAACACCGATGTTTCTACAAACATTCTCTCTAGCTATTCGAGTAAGATTCTATGCGAACCATTAAAACAATATCTATCTATTCTTTTTAGTTAATCGATCTATGTTCACTTGATATAGAATATTCACACTTTCCAAAGAACGTTCTCGCAGCAACTGCTATCCTCGCTTGCAAACCAAGTTGGCCTGTTGAACAGATAACTTGTAAGTTATCCTAATTAGTTCAAGATCTGTCACACTATCGACGTGTTTTATTTTAGCTTTGAACGATGATGATCTCTATGTATGCAGCGACTGGATGAAACCGTTCTTTGATGTCTTATACTTTGGTCAAAATCTCATGTCTATTCCAGTTGCAGCTTCTCGACCATCGCCAGCTGTACCATTCGATGAGATTTACTCCATTCAAATGCACAATATCTCATTAGATTTACTTGAAAACGTTTATAAGAAACGACCCAAATTCATTCCACCCATAACCAACAACCGTCCGTTTCGAAATCTTGTCAATCGACTATCTTGGTTACCAACACCACCAACATCTCTAGAAAAACAACAACATGAAATCATTGTCAATGAAGAAGAACAAATCCAAATCACTGAAGTCATTTCAGTATAAATCCAACGAATTCCTATCGAAATATATATCTATACATATATTTTCTTTAAACCAAACAGATAGATAGAGTATGTGTTTTATATTTTCTTACAATGATCATCGAGATATGTTTTTTGGTGATTCAGTCAGATAAGAAAGGTATTCAATAGTTTTCTTTTCTACTCTTTGTTGCTTTTATTTAAAAAAGAATGGCAAATGGTCCATATTTTTCTTGTTATGCTCTTTCTGTATCGGCTGCTTGGTCTTTTCTTTTTGTTCATTCGCTTGTTTTTTTTCTCTCTTTCTGACATAGATTCCAAAATGACTATTTTACACATTATTTTTCTTGTGGATGTTCCTGTCGATTTATTGTCTGATCAGCAAAACTGTATTCGTTTTTTCTCATTTCTTTCCCTTCTCTTATGTTTCACTTCTTTGTCTAATTCTCAAACCTATTCTTTTGTTCACTCCTTCTCATTCTTTTTCTCTATGATATCGAATGTTCTTCATATGTTTATGCGTGTCCAACGACGATGTCTAAAAACTGACTAAGAACATAAATCGTCGTACAAAAATAAAAATAAGGAAGAAAAAGTTATTTGCGTCATGTAATTTTGTTACGGTTGACACAATGATGATGTAGTGTGTTATTTTTTTGAATTTAGGAAAACAAAGAAAAACTAATTGAAAATAGATATATGAAATTTTCTCTTCTCTTTCTTTGATATCAACTTTCTCGAATCAATAACTTCATGTTTATCATCATATGTAGGTTATCTTTGTGTGTTTTTCTAGATAAAAAACATCTGTGTGATTGCTCGATGAACAATCATTGAATTTCATGTTCTCAATTGTCGAACATCTTTCGTCTGTTTAGATCTACTCTTTCAAAGATGGGTCTTTGTCTTGGCTCACTGGGTTCATCAATTGCATGCTGTTTTGGTAATGCATTTTGCTCGCTTTGCTGTTCGTCTTGTCCAACATGTAAAGGTTCAACTTCCACACGTATCGCTTACAGTTTTATTCTCCTTGTTGGTTTAATCACATCGTGTATTATGTTGATACCTGGCCTTGATCATTTGCTACATAAAATTCCGGCATTATGTAGAAATACGGCTGTCAATAAGCAATTATTGAACATGATAGATTGTTCGAAAGTGATCGGATCACTTGCTGTTTATCGACTTTCATTTGGTTTAACAATTTTCTTCGGTATTTTGTCATTATTAGTAAGTTACAGCGCGTTGATGTCGACTGAAGTTAAGGAGAGTTTCGTCTTTTTGTTAATCTAGATGATTAAAGTGAAGAATTCGAATGATTTTCGAGCAAAAATTCAAAATGGCTTTTGGGCTTTCAAACTACTGCTTGCAATTGCTTTGATCGTTGCAGCGTTCTTCATTCCCAACAATGGTTTTGATTATGCATTTATGATTATCGGATTAATTGGCGGATTTCTCGTAAGACTTTCCTATTTTATCAGTGTCTCATATCACTGACGTTTTGTCCTAGTTTATTCTGGTGCAATTACTCTTCTCGATCGATTTCGTTCATTCGTAAGTTCACTGCATTCATTCAAATCTTAAAACTAGACTTCAACTCCCTAGATGGAACGAATCTTGGGTTGATCGTGTGGAATCCGGTTCAAAAAAGCATGGCTATGGTCTTTTATTTTTTACTTTTCTTCTCTATATCTTAACTATCACCGGTATCGTTTTATTTTATGTTTACTACGCTCCAAATCGTACTATCTGTCGTTTACATACATTCTTCATTTCTTTTAATCTATGCTTATGTGTGATATTATCAATCATATCAATTCTACCATGTGTACGAGAATATAATTCTTCGTGTGGTCTTCTTCAATCATCATTTGTTAGCCTTTATGTGATATACTACACTTGGTCAGCAATGAGTAACAATCCAGATAGTCGTTGTAACCCGTCATTTCGTGCAATTATTCATCCAATGAATGCCACAATAGCAGCCGATCAAGTTCGACAAGAAAATTTATCAGATCCAATCACGATCATTGGTTTACTGTTCTTTGTTTGTACACTCTTCTATTCAGTGATTACAACTTCACGCAATAGTCGAGCGAAAAAGTTATTTCTGTCATCATCGATCGATTCAACTATATTAGATGATGCACAATTGGTCAACTCAGTGACAGATGACAAATGGATATTAGGTAGCGATGAACATCATCATCAACGAGTCTATGATGACGAACGTGGCTCAGTTAAATACAATTATTCATTATTTCATCTGATGTTTCTATTAGCCACTCTGTACGCTATGATGACACTGACAAAGTAAGGCGAAAGAAAGAGTTCACCCTCGTCAGGTTTTTGAACAATACCGAGTAATTTTGTTTTAGTTGGTATGCACCGGCGAAAGACTTTCATACGTATAATAATAATCTAGCATCGCTATGGGTAAAAATTATATCCAGTTGGTTATGTGTGGTGCTGTACGTTTGGACTTGTATTGCACCAGCTGTATTTCCTGATCGTGATTTTTCATAAAGAATCAAATTTAATCTTCGGCCTCTCCTTTTTCTTCTTTTTCTATTTCGATGTAAACTTCAATTTTTCGATAGAAATGCAAATCAAGATAATTTGTGTGTTTTAATTTGATAACAATAATAATAAACTTGTTAATGACATAGCCAGATAAATATAATGGGGAAGAGCAAAATCATTGACGGGGAACGATATGTTCCGTGCACCGTCCAATAAGTACGCCACTAATATCTGTTTATAAAAGAAAATACTAGTTAGCGTACCCATTTCAAGTGTGATTTTCGATGACGAAAATACTCCAAAGACAAATTTCTTTTCTTCTTTCTAGATAAAACATATTCAGTTGTTGAATTATCTAGATAATCTATACGTCATGCCATCGCATACTTTTTTGTGTCTAATTCCTCTAATCTATGCTATTCTTATAATCATAATCATTACATGCATATTCACACGTGCTTTCACTGATATCTATACGAATCTAATTAATCATTTCTATTGTTTTGATTATCTTCGTACATACGTTGATTTGTTCGTTGTATTACTGATCGATTCGTTCATTCTCATATTTTATTCGATAGTTTCGCAGTCGAGATTATGTCAACGATTGAAATCGTTTCGACATAATCGATTACTTCTTATTATTTTTCAATTGATCATATACGGTTATTCTATGAGTAAATTTATTATCTTCTATGAATGGACAAACGTACGAAATCCAACAAGTCCATATCGACTAGACCGATTTGATGTACTAGCAATAATCAGTATTCCACTATTAGCACTAGGAGGAATTGGTGTATGGATTGTATTTTTCCGTTGTTTATATTCTATACGTACAGACTCAGAACGTGAACCATTGCTTGCTGCTCATACGACAACGCATCTATATACTGACGAACCATCGGAGAGTTCAGCAAATACCACCGAAGATATTACAGTTCAAATAAAAGAAACGACTAGTTCATGGTGGAGAATAATTGAACTTGGAAAGAAAGAATGGAAATACTACATTATCGCATTCATATGTTTACTAATCGCTGCATTGAGTAAGAAGATACACTACTAGACTTTCCTCGCATAAAACTTATTGTTTTAGCGGAAATGTTTCAACCGTACTTCTCTGGTCATATTATCAGTTCTGTTGTTGATAATAACTGGCACAACTTTGCAAAGAACATACTCTGGTATCTTGGCTCATCTTTTGTTTAGTAAGAGTTTTTCTGTGTGAATCGCAGAAGTCGAAGCTTGAATTCGTGAGTTTAGTGTGATTACATCGGGTCTTCGTGGTTTCATTTTCTCAATGACCAGCACTAATTTGATACAACGTCTGCGAAATAAATTCTTCACTGCTGTCTTAAAGCAAGATATTGAATTCTTCGATCAGAATAAAACAGGTGAAATCACTTCGCGTCTGTCATCGGATATCACCACGGTTGGAGAAGCCATATCGATTAATTTGAATATATTTCTACGAAGTATTGTACAAACAGGTAGGTGTGTTTGCCGGAAATTCTTTTCGATTATGCACAATTCGTCTAGTGGGAACAGTTGTAATGATGTTAGTTTTATCATGGAATTTATTTCTCCTGGTGATGATTACTGGCCCATTAACATGCGGCACAGCCAAGCTATACGGCGACTTCATAGGTGTAAGAGTTTAACATAATATTGCGATAAGTAAAAAAAGGAGATACTTTTTAATTGGTAGAAACAACAGAAGAAAGTTCAAGATGCTCTAGCTGATGCGAATTCGTTAGCGGAAGAGGCGATCTCGACAATTCGTACTGTGAAATCATTTGCAAGTAGAGTTCATCGTATTCTCATACGATTGGCTTTCATTTTCTTTTCGTTGATTAGACGAAGATGAAGAAGTTCGATTATTACGTTTAAAGAACGATCTCGTTCGAAAACATTCCATCCGACAAGCATTATACTGTTAGTCCACTCGATTTTATTGAGAAGTCTTCAACAAACGCCCATTTTTTCTTTGTAGACTTTGGCTACATGTGGAATGGACAAATCTTGATCGTCTTCCTAAATCTAGGTACACTTGCCTACGGCGGTCATTTAGTAATGAACAACCGACTGAGTGTACCGAGTTTTGTTTCATTTATTTTGTATCAACAAAGATTAGGCGATGTATTAGACGTAAGAATGATGTTGACAAATGAAATCTTTTTTACGAAAATATTTCGTTTATTTTAGTCAATCAATGGCGTTTATACAGGTCTAATGAAAGCAAGTGGTGCATCGATAAAATTATTCGAACATATGGATCGAATACCAAAGGTTCTGAATAATGGCATGATGAAATCGAACAATTTCCAAGGCCGTATTGAATTCCGAAATGTTTCATTTGCATATCCTAATCGAAAAAACGATCCAGTCTTGAAAAATATTTCTTTTACCGTTGAACCGGGACAACAAGTCGCACTTGTCGGACCAAGTGGAAGTACGTATTTGCCATTCTAATCAAGTCAATTGATGAATTTATCTTCCAGGTGGAAAGACAACCTGTATTGGTTTATTAGAACACTTCTACGAAGCAGATCAAGGACAAATCCTAGTCGATAATATTCCGGTTCAGGAATATGATTATAAGTTTTACCACGAAAAGGTTCGATTTTTACGAGCTTTCTTTTTTTTATTTCAATGAGATTTCTTCAACTAGATTTCACTTGTAAGTCAAGAACCAGTTCTTCATGCTCGTTCTATTCGAGATAATATTCAATATGGTCTCCTTGAAACGAAATCTCAACACGAAATTGAATATGCCGCTCAAATGGCAAATGCTCATTCGTTTATCTCACAATTTGAAAAGAAGTATGATACTGAATGTGGCGAACGTGGTGTACAAATGGCTGGTGGACAGAAACGTATATTTCGATCGTAAATCAAACTTTTCAGTTGACATTTCATCTTGTTCTAGAGAGAATTGCCTTGGCAAGAGCACTGATTCGTTCGCCGAATGTCTTACTGTTAGATGAAGCTACGAGTGCTTTGGATGCGGAAGCCGAATCTCAGGTATTTGTACACTTCAATTAGTTGTTTTCAGTAATTCTATTCGTTTTCATAGGTACAAGAAGCGATCGCTCGAACAGTTATCGGACGCACTGTCCTTATCATCGCACATCGGCTGTCAACCGTTCGTAATGCAGATAGAATTCTCGTGCTTCGACACGGTGAAATTGTCGAAGAAGGCACACATGTTGAATTGATGAGCAAACGTGGTTTATATTATCAATTAGTCAAACGTCAAATTGAACAGCACGAAGCCGATATCAAAGGTCAATTAGTCGAAACAAAACCAACGACAATTGCAGTCAATACACCATCGATTGCTCACAGATATTCGACATCATTCAATGCAAAAGAATCTATTTAAAGAATACTTCAAACGATTGTTTAAGTTTTTCTTTTTGAATACAAATGTTCCTGAAAACGTTCTGTCGGATGATTTAAGAAAAGCTCTAATGAAGCACATCGGGGGTGGAAAGAATGCAGGAAATACTTCTGTAATGTTCATCTCCTCTTAAAATAGTAATATTTACTATTCTTAAACATTTCTTCTTGTAAAATGAATTTCCAAGTGGGATATTTCCGTATACTCTTCATTTAATGATACATCATGTCTACCAGCATGTTGAAATGTCAGACATTTCCTTCAGGAAACATCAAATAGACCTGATTAATATCTAGGCCAGAAAGTATAACGCTATTTCTCCTCATTTTGACGAGAGCTAATCAATGGATATTTTCGTTGAAGATATGAATAAATGACATCTGATTGAATGATCATTTCACTTTCGAGGATCGAATAATTCTTGTACATCGATTCCTTTCTTTTCGATATTTGACGGTGTAGTACAAGTGCGTGTTTTCTATTCATTCACGCGACTATGACCATATAAAGTCCATAACTATCGTTCGTGTATAACAGATACTAGGCGACGTCCAGACTGCCTCTTTGAATATTGACACGAGAAACATTTCTCTTTCGATACATGTTGAAATCGATTCATAACGAAGAATATATCTACGCAATTGGAATAATCCAGGCAAATACAATTTCACTGTTCATAGACAGAAGAAAAACTTGAGAGGAAGACATGCACGCCGCTTTGTCTGTTTGTATATCTTCTCGTTCGAAATATTAAAAGACCATTCACACTTCTTTTAACGTTCTAGTTTATTCACTATTTACACTTCTTCTGCATGTTTTTTATATCTTATTAACTTTCTTAAATAAACGGTCACAGCACACACACACACAGGCATATATATTCACAAAAAGACATTCTCTCTCGTTTTTTTTTCTTGCTTAAACAATCTGATCATGGAACCATTGTTACTTATCCTACCAATCAAAATCAAGCATGACTTTGGTAAGTTCTTCACAAGTGAACTTGTACTAGGGCCAATTGTTTTCGCAAAACATCTTCTGTCCATTTCGGATAAATAACTGTATGCATTTATCTAAACGTTCCGATTGTGGCATACTTTCTTTCTTGGAAAGCGTAACGTAAAAATAATTAAGCATCGATCTTTTCCATTAGAACAATCACGTAACATTTAGCATATAATATCTCGAGTAGTACATTAATTGTTGCAAGATAGAATCTTCTCCGTTTGTTTTTTCTCGAAACAAAACCGAAAACAAGTTTTATTGCGATGTCCTTGTGTTCGCGAAAAATGATTTACTAATACCGTGTAATTAACATCAGACATAGCCTTGTCTACATTTCATACGTCTCGCAATAGTTCAACACGAATTTTATTTTCCTTGACAAATAGTCTTTCATCATTTTTTCTCTTCTAAGTCATGTTTAATGAATTGACGTTATTCAAATTATTTTGTCATAGGTTGAGTCAGGTGATTTAAAAAAAAATATATTATTAAAACAAGACGAAAGATTCTTTTTTCCTCTTCTCATCATGTCTTATGTGTGTCGTTCTTTTTTTTTTACGTCGTTTGCTGTACCAACAAAAACAACAACGTCAAGCACGTGCACACACGCTCGTCACCTAATTCTTGCCCATCGTACACACTCTTTCATTTTCTCATTTTGTTGTTATTACTTACTACTGCTAACTGACTACCTTCTGTTGACAAAAGAGCAAAAGACATCGACAGTAGAAAAAAAGAGACGAAAAGAAAAGAAAAAGGTGGATTCATATCCATTCAGTAATTTTCATTCAGTCCACATGAGACAAACGACACATTACAGTCATCACAAAGATTTTCATTATTTTTTAAATATGCGTAATAGTAAGTAGCTAATCATAACTATACTACTTTTTTTTTCATTTTTCTTCTCTTTCTCTCCTTTCTATCGGCATCATCTTGTCTTTTGTTTGCACGATGAAACGAACTGACTTGATGAGTAATTATGCACATGATCAGCAGAATAAGATATGAAGAAGAAAAAAAAGAGAACAATAATATCATGTGTGACAATTGCCCGGTTCCTACGAGAAAATAGAAACATTTGTTTGACTTGAGTAACTGCCTGCGTCATGCACATACATTCGTATATCTTCTCATTTTCCAGTTATACATTCTTCTTCTTCTTCTGTTTTTTCCTTCGTCTACTATCTTGCATTTTGTCTCTTGATATTGAAATAAGTAAGTAATGTGCGTGTGAAGCCTAAGACACATACATACATTTCTTTTTACACCTGCTCTTTTCACTTCTGCTTCTGAAGAAATTACTCTGTCAACGGCGCATCTGTTTCATTTCTATACCGTTTGTGTTGTTTTCATAGAAACATTTTCGAGAAAATAGAACATAACGACTCGTCTGTTTCAAGCTGTTTGTTGTGTACCGCATGACAAACAAGATGAGAAGAAGAAGAAGAAGAAGAAGAAAGTTCGGTTCTCAGCATTCATCTACTTATCTGTCTGTCTATCGATCTGTCTTTTCCTCTACTTTCGAGTAGTTGTAAGTGCATCTAACATTGGCACATACATATTTCCTTGTCTTACATGCCGCTTTTCTCACTAGTAACGATGGAATGAAGCCAACACTCATTCAACGAAATGTAAATGCCGCTCATGCTTTAGATAATTTCCCATGAGAAGAGAAGAGAAAAAAAAATGTGTGTATGTATGTATTTGAATTTATCTTTTCGACATACATCGTAACGAAGTTTAATATGATCGGCAAAAGGCGATAATTATACTCTATTATCCTAGGGAATATGATGTGCGTATGTGTCTGTTGAACAATCGCTTTAAATAATTACGAGAAGAATCTTCTCTAGTGTAGGATGCGTATCGATAGAACTTTGATGAGTTCATTGTACTTATTAAAGAGTGTAGGTGGAATTAGATCTGTTGAAAGACAAGATGATCGTCATCATGTGTAAGGACGATGAATTGTTATTATTATTGACGTTGTCTCGTGGATATTTTTAATAAGAACAGCTTGATCGAGTACGTTCGTCAGTCTTGATCGAGATCGTCTCCTAGTCTTTCTACTGTCTTGATAAATAAAGACAAATCATCAAGATTCCTTTTCTGATAGGATTAATGACGCATCTTAGTCATCTTTGCCAATCTATCCTTGACCTGAAAAAGAAAACTACTGTTTATAGAAACACATACTTCAGTTTTGTTTATCAAGGTCATTGCGAAGAAAAACGTCGTGTTTGCTTTGTTTTAGTCTACGAAATTTAATCATCAACAAATTGACATAGTTCTGCTTACTTTTAAGTACATTTTTTAGAACAAAGAGACTTATACTCTGACAGTCAGAGTATTAACCCGATTTTTTTGACAAGAATTTTTTTCCTACATGTACTTATTTTATAATATGACAATGTAGAGCTTCATTTTGATGTGATGAATTCATAAAAATGTCTTTGCGTCCGTTCTCTGTCGTCATGTTGACTGATATTTGAATAGAAGAAAAGAAAAGAGAAGAAATTCTTGTCATTTTTTTTTATTTTGTCAACACAGCAAACATTTTAGCTGTTTCCTTTTGACTAAAGACAAGAGTGAAGGGTCGCCGTAATCAAGGTTACGTTCGCGAGTCCAAAACAGTCTTTTGATTTTCTTCTGCTATTCGTGTGTAAAACTTCAAGGTAAATATAATTGACGTGCAGCCAGTTATTATTAATTCACGTTGAGAGTACCAATAGTAAAATATATACTTTTTGCTCGCAAAAGCTAACAGTGCCCTGTGGAACGTCGTCTAATGCACGTTACACTTGCACGAGACGTCGTTTTTCTTGGACAGCGCGATGATGGAGATTATAGTAACAAGAACTTGCTCGTACTCTTCTGTTTGTTCTTGTCAACGTACTATAATCTGTAGATTTGTTTCATTTGTCATCGCTTGTTTTATGATTGTATTTACTTGCCTTCCTATATCTACCTCCTTTTCTTTTTCTCTTGTCATCACATTTATACGTATCCACTACTTTCGACATCAACAAGAATATTTTTTTCTACACGTAGAGTAGAGTATATCGACTTAGTCATTCATTCATTCATTCATGTTGTGTTCTTTTTCTTATTCCTTATTTTGTCATTGGCTAATTGCCAAAAGAACAAACGAACCAACGCAAAGATGATTGTTCATTACATTTGACTTGTCTCGTCTCTTCTTCTCCTCTTACTTTCAATATACAAATCATTACGCACAACCAATTCGTATCAATTTTTATGAGTTTATGAAAGAGAGAATACAAACAGACGTTCTCCCTTTTTTTGTTATTGGAGATATGCCAAAAGAGATATTAATCTACCTTGGTTTTTTCCTCTGCATGCGCGCATCATTCTCATTTTTTTCGTCGTCCTTTAAGTACAAATGACCTCTTGATTTGATATCGATCGTTACTTCGTGCTTTTTCCTCATAGTTTAACTTTCGAGTCAAGTGACTAGACGCAGAAATGTAAAAAGATGTTTATTGCTTCGATCAAATTTTCTTTCAATCTCGAAATCATCTGTGTTATACATGCAACTAGCGAGCATGAGATAGCGTTGATCGGCTTGTTTTTCTCTTCGTCTTCTCTTCCTTCTAGTTCGTAAGCGGAAAGAAAGAAAGAAAGAAAAAGTAACAGAATCTTTTCTTATGCTTCCAAATAGAAACGACGTTGAATGAATATAAAACCAAGTGACGCTATTCTTCTTATTCTCATTTTTAGCATTGAAGACTTGCTCAAGAGATAATCCTATGTGTCAAATTGGCATTAGTGAAGAAAAGATGTCTCCGAATGATGACAGCCATCACCGTCTCGACGAATTAATTAATCGTCACAATGATATCAAATATTTCGTAGATTTGTACACAGCTGCATTACATTTAAGGTAAAGGACACGACGATATTGGTGTTGTACTCGATTATTTACTGCAAATTTCCTTTCAGACAACGAATGAAAGAAGAAAAATTAATCTATTCATCCTATTCAGCGTACTTCAACGACGAAAATAACAATGCAAATAATTTCTGTTCCCTATTTCATAACTGTTTTCATTCATACGAAATCATTAATTGGTTAATTAAAAAGCAACTCTGCAAAACGATCGACGATGGTCTCGAAATCTTTCAAGTTCTTGAAAAGCTGAAAATCATACATCACGGTAAGATAATTACGATCGAGCTATTTTAATTGAATTTTACAATTAATAGCGTTCGAGTCGAAGAACGAATTGTCCTTGTAACCTTTTCGAGATAAAAGAGAAACAAAAGCAAAATTTCTTTTCATCGTGCTAAACAGTTCATTGTGAGCTTCAAGGTTGATTGACTATTTGAATTTCATACTTGACGAACTTACGACGAGGATGAGTCAGAGCGAAGAGAAAAATACTATCGGTGGATGTAATTTGAGGAGAACACACAGCACGCTGCATACTAATTATCATGCAAATCAGATGAGTTCTTCAGAAAGCAAGTGCGTTGAGTTTAACTGCAGAAAATAAAAAATTTTTCTTGGCTAATTTGTCAGAAGCGGATATGAGTCTTTTCCTTAGAGAAAAGTGGGAGCGAATGAGTACACGCTGACAGTGGCTGTCTTATGTTGTCAAAAGTAATAGAGATATTGATGGAACTACTGTTTATGTCATCAAAGCATTGTAGCAAATATACATTAACTGGTTAAAGAAAACAGACTGTATAGGTCCCAGATGTATTGAATAATCTAATTAATATTATCGTTTAGTTTGCGATCTAAATGGCTTTGAATATTCAGCATCGCTACCAACACAGAACAATGTGAAATATTTGTATCGGTTTCGTCTGGATGATGGTACGGCTGATGAAAACCGGTCGTTTCAACAATTTGCTTTGATTTATGACATGTACATAAGGTTTGTTCTTTTTTTCTCGGAAAAATTCCTCTTTCAGCGAAATTCCCGCTGTTTTGCAGTTTATTTACCTTGGATAAAAGTCAATGTCGTGGAGTTGATTTACAACAACAAACAATTCCGACAAATCCATACGAAGAACAATCAGGAATCGTACTAAAAGGTGATAATTTAGCTCGAATGCTGGCATTACGTAGTAGTGCAAATATGTCACATATTGAACGACTTGCTGACGAGATGATTACCTACGGTCTTGTTCGATTTGGTAAGATTTTCATTTGTTACAATGGAATCTATATCCTGGATCTGTTCAGATGAATGTGATCGAGAATCTGAATGCGGCTGCTCAAGAAAATTTCGTAATGATGATCATCATCAATATGTTCTTAGTAATTCTCATCGATTAACACCTAAACAGCGTTTGGATTTGATTGCTCTGATGCAAAACGATCTTACTGATACAAGACAATCATTTTTAAGATCTCCGATATTACACGAGACAATTCGAACATCGAGCAGTAACAATTCCATCATAGGTGATGAATCAAGTCGAAAAATATCGACTAGTGAAGAAGTTGATTGTACAACAAAATTAACTTGCTCAACAGATGGTTTTCGACGGAAAAAATCCGCAAGTTTGAATTCACCAGCTAACTCCGGTAAACCGCAACTTGTTTATCTTCTTCTTCGGTATCGATTTCTTTCTGTTGTTGATTAGAACATCGTCCGACGGCTGATGAACTCGAACGACGAGATTTACCGTGGTGTTGGCGAAGTTATTCAGTGAGTGACGAGAATTGGTTCGAGGAGAAGAGAAGAGAAAACAATGAAATTCTTCGATTTTTAGCTGAAGCGCGATCGTCGTGGTTATGGATTAATTCTTCAGGGTCAAGGACCGTGTTATGTCGAAAGAATCGATCCATACGGTTCAGCAGCCACATCAGGAATTCGAGTGAGAAAATTTTTCAATTCTACAAGTTCACGAAGTTTATTTCGGGTTTTTTGTCGCATAGATCAATGAATATCTTTATGCAATTGAAGGTATTAACGTTCTTCGTCGTTCAGGGAAAGAAGTCGAGCGTTTATTATCCATGTTCGATAAGTGTACAATTTACACCGTATATAATCGTGATGATTTTTATCAAATACCTACACCACCAAATGAATTCAATGGTAAAACTCCTGTTTGTTGTTTAAAACCTTTATCATCATCACTAAGTGACTACAACAATAATCATCATACCAATGGTTTATTAACGACGAATATATATCCTCTATTAACACAAATACCTCAACAGCAACAGCATTCACAAGTGTTATTTTCGTCATCTTTATCATCGTCGATCGATGGCAGTTCGTCGTGTTCGATATCGCCGAAACAAGTTCAACAATACTCGAATACGAAAAAAGGCGCTTTGTCGAAACACCTTCAATTCTTTCGCTTAACATCTCGGTCGTGCTCGAACACATTGAAATAACCTTCTTTTTCTTCTTCTTGGAAAACGATAATAGTATAAACCGATATATGTATACATATGTATTATTCTCTTTTCATCCGGTTTCTTTCTACATGTATAAATATGTGTGTGCGTGTGTTTCTTTGTTTGTTTATTTCTCAGGTTTGCGTGTGTGCTTCTCTTTGCATTATTATTATCAGTCTACATTTGTCTCTTGTACGATGCGATGCGCGCAGCACATCTGTCTATAAAACAAAATTTTATTTCTGTTGTATATATGTTTTCTTTTTTCTTCTACCTTTTCCTTTCTTGGATTTATTTTTATCTCTATTCTTATTGGAAATTGTGATGAGATTCATAGAAGGATGAACCAAACTTCTTTTTTCCCCTTTGTTAAAGATTGATTATCAAAACAAAAAACAACAACAGCAACAAAGAGCTAATCCGAGATGGAGATAAAACAACATAAACTGATTTTGATTTGAACGATGACATTCGTTGTGTTACGATGTGTAAAAAGCGATCGTTTTCGCGATCTCAGGAGAAATGAAGTGAGCAGAGATGTTATTGTTAACTTATGTTTTATATTTTAAAAACGTAGCGAATGGATGAAAAGCGAGGATAACAAACAATGAGAACATACGAAGTTTTTCTTACACACACAGTCATTCACTTGTTTTTTTAAACTGTGAACAAAAAGAAACAAAATGAAAAAGAAAAACAAACAAACAATAAACATATCAGAACAAACTAAGATGAAAGAAGTTCTTTGTCTTGACTCGAGGTTAATTTGTTTTCTTCGACTTCGACGCCCCATGTCGATATTCATTGAATAATTGTTTGAAATTATTCCAAGCTGCTGATGATGCATTTTCTTGTGCACGTAATAATGATGGACCATGACCAACAAATCGAGCAAGAATACGATTGGGCGTCGACAAGCTCACAGTTGATTGAAAACGTGAACTACTCGAACTTTCGTTTTGATTCTAGAAGGAAATCACCATAAAAATCTTGATATCTACAAGAATATTTGATACAAACCATTTCGTCGAGATACTCTATGTGAATTTGTAATTTTTGGCATGTTTCCATCAGTTGTTGTTTATTTGAAAATGAATTTGTTGATAGGGAATGTCGAGGTGAGGTTTGTTCGTCTTTCTGAATAACTTCTTCAACGAAATGTACATGTTTTTCTTGCTTTGGCAGATTCTCTTGATTGCTATCGCGTTTGAGTAGACCCTTCGCCGGTGGAGGTGGTAAACTAACAACTGGATCGAGTTTTTCCAACAGAATCTCCGCTGCCGATCGTTTCGCCAATTGTTTCGTTTTACCGTGACCTTCAGCAATTTCATTTTCTCCAAATTTCAATTGAAATACGAAGTTTTCTCGGCTTGATAACTGAATAAATTCCACTTTCACTTGTCGAACTTGAGCTAATTGATAAATACGTGTAATCGGATTAATCGAATGCTGAGTGCTCGTTAATGGTACTGTTTTTAGCATTTTCTCTGCTGCGGCTTGTTTCGCGGTGTACATATTCGAACCTTTTCCCACCGCTGAGTATTTGTCTCCAAGATGATATGTAACTGTAAATGGATCGATGATTTCCACGCGAACAGAAAGGCCAAGTTGTTTTGCACGTTCATACATAAGAGATACTTTCGAAGTTGGAGACAAGGGATAATTGGATTGAGGTGTCGATGGAGGTGATTGTGGAGTTTGACGTAAGAAGTAAAAAGCATTCCAGGCACAATTGTTACGAGCTTGTTGGTGTGTCGTACCGTGTCCATCGAAATAGAAATCATGTCCCAAATAGAGCCGATAGTGGAAAAGAATATGTGAACGATTGGTTGATGTGGAAAGGAATTGTTCTTTGAGTAGAACATAATGAACGGGAAGATGATTTCGACTAGCCCATGCATGCAAGGCTACAGTAGGTGATTGTTGACAACTGACTGGTGAAAGTTCATGCTCGTAAGTGTTTGTTAATCGTAAGTTTCGGTGATCGTCAAGAGCTAATTGAGCTGCTGAACGTTGTGCTAATTTGAACGTTCGCTCTGTAGCCACGTAATCTTTGTCACCTAAATGAAGTCGAATAGTATACATTTTCGAATGTGCTGAACCAGATTCTTTTTCAAATCGATATTCAGCAAGTATCTAAATGAAATTCACAATTGACTTTCTCTCTCTCTCTCCTGTTCTTTTGTTTGAACATACTTGATTTCGTCGAGCTAAATCTTGAATAGCTTTTATCGGTGAATCGTGTTGCATATTTAAAATAATAACAATAATAGTAGGATGTGTGGATTATGTACACAGGACAATGAAGGGGGGAACGCGAAGTGTTTCTCCTTTTATTTATTTCACATGACGTCTCTTCTGCGATATTAGTAGACGGACGGATGAACCCTGCGAAACAATGAAAAGAATGACGGAGAAGAAGCACTTGTGATCAGGAGGAAAAACGTGTGACTATAGTAAATGATAAAATGATAAACGACGAAGAAGAAAGAACGAAAAACGAAAGAAAAAAACCGAAGTAAATTCTTTCGTTCGGTCGTTCTCTAATCATTCCATATTACGCGAGATATTTTGAAAAGACACGTTCGTTTGATTCACTAATAAAAGATGGAGTGCATTTACGATTTCACGAGAGTACAAATGACGAAATTTCAAGGTTTATTTAGACAGTTTTCAGGTCAAGGTAAAACTAGTCTCCGAATAGATTTGCTTATTTAGTATTTATCAGCTTCCGGAAATGTGTCTTTAATAAGTCATTCTTATATAATCGAAAAGAATAACTGTCGTCATAGTTCGAAATAAACAAGCAAATTAAAATCGATTTTCGATTTCTCCGCATTGATAACATTCGATAGCAGCTAATCGATTCTCTTCGCCGCAATATCGACATTGCCATGATCGATTGTTATAATGTATCGGTGGATTGACATTAACGTAAACATGTGAAGCATAATTGTCATCATTATTACATACAAATTGCTGATGTTGATCTAAGTACTGTTCATTTTGAGATTCGTAATCATCGATAGATGCTCGCTGTTGCTTTCTTTTACGTCGCGGTGAGCAACTTTGTTTAATTTTATCATCGATAGTTAATAAATCTTCTTGCATTTTATGCATCGATGCGTCATTTTCAACAGCTTGACCACCGAAGTATTTCATTTGCACTCGTTGTACACGACCGAGACATTTTGCTGGCCGTACGGCATTTTCATCTTGATTTCGTTCTCCATCCTCGATGGTTTGTTTTCTTCGCTTTGAAGGTTTGTGTCCCATGTCTGATTGGAAATGATAGTCGAACATTCTTCTTCTCTTGCTGATAAATACTATGCATTGTATGTTTGTTCGAGCGTGAAATAATATCGAAATTAAATGATTTTTCTATCAAATATATTTCATAGATGTAAATAGTATAAAAAAAGACGTCATAACATTAGAGAACGGAAGAGAGTACCTTCAAGAATATACAAGAGAAGAAAGATTTTCGATAAAAATATGTTGACAATTGTTGATATCATGAACAACAGGAGAAAATTCGAGACCGTTTGGATTTCAATGGTTTGATTGAAGCTAGAATTGCTGTATCGAATGTTTCCTTCAGATTTTCTTGTGTCAACGCCGAACATTCGATGTATGCATATGCGCCGTGCTGTTTTGCAGCGCGTTCACCTTGTTCATGTGTGATCGGTTTTTGTTTAGACTTCGCCAAGAGTTCAATCTCGGCGACATTAGTTCGCAGATCAATCTTTGTACCAACGAGAAGAAACGGTGCCGGAGATGACGAGTGATGAATTTCATTAATCCAAATTTTCAAAGCATTGTTAAACGAGACTGGAGACATGACACTGAAGCAAACAAGAAAGACATCTGTATTCGTATATGAAAATGCACGCATCAGTTCAAAGCCTAAATATTCGAAAATATTCATAATCACATTGTTCATTAACAAGTCTTACCACTTTGACCGGCAGTATCGAAAAGAGCGAGAGTATACGGTTCGTTATTGATCATGATTGTAATGGAATAGTTGTCGAATACTGTCGGCACGTATGATTGTGGGAATGTATTGGATGTGTACGACATGAGCATAGATGTTTTACCGACGCAACCGTCTCCTACACAAACGCATTTGATTGTCTTATTTGCAAGTTGAGACATGATCTGAAATGAACGAGTAGTGGATGAAGGGTTACCTGTCGATCACGTTGAAAGATAGCGAAATGAATAATAGGAGGAGATTGAAAATCAAGAATCAAGTGTTTACAGACATTTAGTGAATGAAATGTCATAAACTGACAAGTGATATATACATGTCGATATCGATGATTGTTTTTCGAGCCAATAAAATGCGAAATTATTCATTGATAAAACTAGGAATTTATTTTACAAAATTAAACACGAAGAAAAAAAACAAATTTTCTAGGAAACATATTTAATATGTTTTATATCGCATAAGGACTGTTCGTTTTCTTGGGGAGGAGTTGCCAGCGAAACATGTTTTCTCAATTGATCAAGTGCTAATAAATTCTGTCGTCGTAAATCTTGTTCTTTGTCGAGTTTGCCTTGTAGTTTATTTTGTTCGATTTGATATCGCTCTTTATCGGTTTGTAAACGTTTTTCCACAAGGTCAATACGGCGATCACATTCATATTTGATTGTTTTATCATAATGATCTATTTTGCGTTCGAAATGGTCAATCCGTGCTTGTTTTTCTAGTAAAGTACTCTGCATTTGTAATTGATTTTGACGGTAGAATTCATTCTGTTCGGTTAGTTTTTCCATATGTTCTTTTAGTTCCTTATTTTCACGACGTTGTTCGTCGATGAGTTGTTCCGACGCATTCGTTCGCATTGTCCAACGTGTATGTACTTTTTGCAAGGCAAGATGTTCTTCTCGAAGTTTGTCGTATATTTGACTGGTTTCATTCAATTTCGCTTGGAGAGTTTCCATTTGATTTCGATAGTAATCACTTTCGGATTTGACGCGTAGATAATCATCACGAACTTTCACATAAGCCGATCGAATCGTGGCGATTTCATCGGACGTCCATAGGTTTTCTGTTTGTTCAGGCTTATCATCTTTGTCTTTGTGCTTTTCGAGATACGCACGAATGAGACGAATGTCGAGTATGGAATCAACCGGTTGTGTCTGATTTGCTTTGGTTTTTGTTTTACTTCTATTTTGCTCTTCCTCTTCCTGTTTAGCTAACCGTTGAATTAATGTAAACAGATAGGATTGCTCATAAATTGCAGCTAATGTCGGTGCATCAAATGATGACAATGTCGTTATGTACCGACGTACACGTTGATGATCGGGTTGAAATGTCGAACGGTAATCTCGAATGGAGTATTGCGGTGGAAAAAGCGATTCGACCCAATGCGATGATGATGTATCCGTCATCTAGAAGGAAAATTTTCATTCATTTGCACGAACAGAGCATTCTGCGGTGTAACGCATACATATGTCTTTTTCATTGGTATCCTGTTTACCATTGATTGTCATATGGCGACCTCCATTCAATCCCGTTTAACTTTTATTGGTTAATTTTTACTAGTCTCTTCCAGCTGTATACTATCGCTCTGTGTTTTTTCGTCAAGTTCATTCTTATTTTTCTATTTTTGCGATTTAACATGATATTGTTGATTGTTTAAATCGAAATTTTGAATATTCCAAATGCCATCATCTGCAGTCACGCGAGTTCAACAGCAAGGTTTAGTCAACCAAAACCATTCATTGAACTCCAATAGTGAAAGACATACAATAAGCATGTTTCGTTTATTTCTTCGAGCATTCGATTATATTTATATAATAAATACGAAAATATTCTTTTATTTTTTGTTATTACTCAAACGATTATTAAGATTTCTGTTCGGTGTCTGGACATTTATGTTTGTTAGTCTACGTGGATCGAAGAAAAAAGTATGTGAAAGCACATCTCGACTGATTTATTTACATTGCGAATGTTGTTATTGTTGTTTTTCTTTCGTTTTAGCTTATTCAATTTCAATCTGTCAAATATTATAATTGTCCTCTTCAGCCATTATCACTTCATCGATTACGTACGGAATGAACGAAGTTTTTGCTTTCAATTTTTCGATAAATGTGCTTTTTTTTTTGTTTAGATTTTCTTCCTAAAAAAATTTTGGTATTAGACTTAGATGAAACATTGATTCATTCACATCACGATGGCCTTACACGGGTTGTAACGGTTAAACCAACGGGACCACCTGATTTCATAGTTCGTGTGGAAATTGAGCGACATCCAGTTCGATTTTTTGTCTATAAACGACCCCATGTGGATTATTTCCTCGAAACAGTAACTATTCGCCGATGAATCGCAGAGGTAAAAACTGAGGTTCTTTTTTAAATTTAAGGTCAGCCAATGGTATGAGCTTGTCGTCTTCACCGCTTCGATGGAGATTTATGGTGCAGCTGTTACTGATAGATTAGATAACAATCGAAATATCCTGTCCAAACGATACTTTCGTCAACATTGCACACTAGAATATGGAGCCTATTCGAAAGATTTAGCTGTGATTAATAATGACCTTGCTCGAATATTCATTTTGGATAATAGTCCGATCGCATATCGATCTTATCCACTAAATGCAATACCAAGTACGTGAACTTTGATCAACGATTTTTCTTCCATCCTTTATTATGATGATATTGTTTCTCTAGTTAAATCCTGGTTTTTTGATCCGACAGATACATGTTTACTATCACTATTACCGTTTCTTGATGCATTGCGTTTTTGTCGCGATGTTCGATCAGTATTGGGAATGAATCTACATTTACATCAAAACTTAACGGTGACAAGCACAACTGGATTGACTACGCAGGTTGTTCCATCATCTGCAAGATAAATAATTGAGTTTGCTATGATGATTATCACTCTATTTTTTTGTCCTCTTGTCGCTCCTTTTCTTTTCTTTATTGTACATTGTTTTCGTGTGTGTGTGTGTGCATCTCATGACAGAGAAAATAAAACATCCAGCCCGGTTACGTGGCCAGCGCGATTCATTTGATTGATTTGTCCTTTTTTTCATACGCAGATAAAATATTCCCGTGATAAACAAGTGCTTTTTTCTCATATTAGTGCCTGTCATTACTGGCGTCAACTGATGCTTGAAGGTCGTTTAGAAGAAAAACTAATTTTGATAAATGACTGCTTTTTTAACAGAAAAATAATGCGATATATTTCCGAATCACATGACTTAGTTTTAGGATGAGATTACAATAGGTTCCAGTCACGCGGAAATATTCGAAATAACTAATAATTACAGATTCTTTTCTCTCGATTTGAATGTGCACTGTAGGTATAAAAGAGCGATTTACGTTTGATTTCTTCTTTCAAATCAAATCGTTACAAACATGTACCGACTGCTATTCCTTGTTGGTTTGCTGCTTTTACAATCGTTAACTATTACTGATAGCTATCGTATGTGTATACGGATACCAGTTTGCAATGGGAGCACGTCACCGTGCATTATTCAAAGAGTATGTTGGGAACAACCTTTCCCGACGGCTAGCATGGCTATCAGAAGAAAACGCTATTTTAGGCGCTTTCCACAGAGAAAACTCGAATGATTGTGCACGTGTTGCGTTTTTACCGTTGTATCATTCAATAAAACTAAGTTGGCTTGAGAGCCAATCATGGTGTAGAATTTTTTCGAAACACTTGCCAGTGTGATTGGATGCTTTTCATTCATAATGACTTTTTCTTTTTTCCTAGCCTAGACAGGTCATAAGATCATTGACCAATAATGGAGATAACAATATAGAAAGAAGAAAGAATTCTTTCATTTCTATATCGACATAAGCTGTTGATGATAATATTTTGGTGGGAAATTCTCACACCATTCGCGTTGACAGCTATCAGCTCTTTCAACCCTATATATATATAAGACACTTATTATTTCAAGCGCATTAAGGACAATATATCTCCAATGAGGTCGATTTCGATTGGACTTTCTCTTATCCTGATTTTTTCTATTTGTGTGAATCTTTGTCAAGCTGAAACCACCACCAAGCGGCCAGTGCAAGCAAAGAATAAAATCACGCGTCGCTGTCAAAGACCTCAGAATGGTCAACATATCTGTTTTTGTGGCAAAAACAAACAAATATACGATCGCATGAAAGGTGAAAAATGTTTCAATGGTACAGTGATTTTCTCCAAGTCAGTATATAGAATAGTCGAAGAAATTCTTTGCAATTTCTTTTGAGCATTACATTTAGACCTCAACCGAAAACACTTGGTCTCCGCTTGGCATCAAAACCAATTCATCAGTCGACTCGCGACAACGACAAAGAACTTCGATGCACTGGACTCATCTTCAAGCCACCTACCGATGAAGTTCAGAAAGCATATGTTCCACTTCGCAGCGTTTCTGTCGAAGCTACTATTAATGCATTTGCAGCCGATGTTACACTCACTCAAGTCTTCGTTAACCAAGAGGAAAATCACATTGAAGCCATCTATGTATTTCCGATCGAAGTATGCAAAAAAATCAGATATATTCAGATCCTCATTCAAATATTCTACTTCTAGGAAAATGCTGCAGTCTACTCATTCACAGCACAGATTAACAATAAAACGATCACTGCTGTTCTGAAAGAAAAGGCCAAAGCTGAAAAAGAATATAACACATCGGTTCAACAGGGCCATACGTCAGTTCTTTTGCGACAGAGCAAAGAAACCTTNAGAATCGCAATGGACAGGATGTAGAGTATGTATGAGCAAGGAGTAGAGAGATGGACGTTGATGTTTGTTCGTTATTGTGAAATAGGGATAGAAAGGCAGTTGAAGAGCGTATCCTGCAATTGTCACTGGATCATGGAATACTGTCAGCATACACCGCATTTGTCGGTGTTGAAACAAGTACTCCAAAGGATAGTAATATCAAATCAGTTGTTCGTCATATCCCAATTCAAATCTCAAAAGGCGATGAACATCTGTTTCAGTCTTCATTTTCATCAAATTTCAATTTCATGAACTACATGCAGCCACAAAGTCTTGGTGTGGGACCGGGGCAGTACCCGATAGCTATGTCGTTTGCACCCGCGATGTAAGTATTGTTTTGTTCGCAGGTATAAATTGAGCGTAGATTAGCTGATTAGTATACCCCGATATTATCTTTTTTCAATCATAGTGGAAGAAGAAGTATAGGTTTTAATGCGAGGATATGTTTGAGTCCGTATTAGTGTTTTCAGTCGGTCGATGTCCATAATTGTTTCTTCCTCATGTTTTCAGGTCTCATAGACATGGAGCGATTTCTGGGATGGGTCTCCCTGGTATGAGAGGGCCACCTCCTCGACCTAGTGGATTTGCATACGCATCAGCACCCATGGGTGCTGCTGGTCTTGCTGCTGATTATGATGGAGCTTTTGTCTCTACTACCACTCCTGGTGCCTCATTATCACACGATCCTGTTCGCTGGTTAATCCGCCAACAGTCATTCAACGGTCTATGGAAACTATCTGATTCGGACATTCGAACACTGACCAGTGGAAAAGAATTGAGTGCATTCTCATCAAGTGTCACTCAGAATAGAGATGCTTTGTCAACAGCGCTCGTTATAGCTGTGCTGGAATCCAAACATGGTCAGGAGAGCAATCTTTGGTCAGCGGTGGTGAGCAAAGGTCGCAAACAACTGCTGGCGCTTGGTTTGAACAGCAGTGAAGTGAATTTACTCATTGAAGAGATGAAGAAAAAGCTGTAATGGATATATTTGGACGAATCGTTTGCGCTGTAGTTAGAAATTTTTTGCTTGAAATAAACTATCAATGTATAAGTATCTTCGAGCAAAATTCGTTTCTTCAATGAAATCAACTTGTTGAAAGGTCGTCTTAGCACGATGCCTTGTATATAATTATGAGCATCTGGAATCGTATGGAAACAAATAATCTAATACTGAAACTGTTACCTTCGGTGCGCAAGGGCAAAATATAAACTGGAATGAATGGCTGTAATTTGTTCTTGTTGAAAGCAGCTTGAATGATACTGGTTTTCAAAAGAATTATGTTAAATAATTAGCACGAATAGTATGACAATCACGGTGTTCTTCTTTTCGTGCGCGTCTTTTCTAGACTATGAATACAATTGTATACGGTATGTGTCTGCGAGGGTTGTGTTTCTGCTTTTACTTTCCTTCCCTTGATACCTATGTGTTAGCGAAAATTTTCTTCATACTTTATCGACGTGTGAGTTGCCGATCGTCACATATATATACATGCAAAAACACACGTTGTTTTCTTTATTAATCGTGTACACTATGGAGTATAAACTATTTGAACAATAGAATATCATTAGTTGCATAGAATTTGCGATCTCTTTCTTTGTTGACTGATCTACATACGAAGAGCTGAATCGATCTAGTGCAGAAACTGTTTTCTGAATGCGACTTATTTTATCTATCATTATTCTACTTCTAACAGTTGGCGCCCTCGATGGTCGAAGCGAGTCAACAAAAACGGTGACCTATCGGTCGACGCGTGATAATAATACTGACGCTCAATATGCTGCACTAATCTTCAAACCAGCTTCCAATGAAGTCCAAAGAGCGTATGTTCCACTTCGCAGCGTTTCTGTCGAAGCTACTATTAATGCATTTGCTGCTGATGTCACCTTAACACAAACTTTTGTCAATCGTGGAAAAGAATCTATCGAGACAATCTACGTATTTCCGATCGAAGTATGCAAAAAAATCAGATATATTCAGATCCTCATTCAAATATTCTACTTCTAGGAAAATGCTGCAGTCTACTCATTCACAGCACAGATTAACAATAAAACGATCACTGCTGTTCTGAAAGAAAAGGCCAAAGCTGAAAAAGAATATAACACATCGGTTCAACAGGGCCATACGTCAGTTCTTTTGCGACAGAGCAAAGAAACCTTGGACACATTCACAGTCAGTCAACTCACACCGAACACTTCTGAATAACAATACAAGTATTCATTGTTCGTTCATCTCTTTAGATCAACGTTGGTGCTCTGCCACCTGGTAAAGAGTGTCGAGTCAAAATCCAATATGTCACTGAACTGGACTTAGTTGATAACAATGCCATTCGATTTGTGGTGCCAACGACGATTGCTCCTCGATACAATCCATCACTGGGTCATTTGCAGTCACCTGACAAGACCAAAGCAGAATATGTTCAGAAAACACCATATTCGATGGACTTTCGAGCACGTGTTCTTCGAAGTGAAGAATGTGAGTTTTGATGTTCTCTTTTCAGTAGTGCTCATTTCTGTTTCTCTAGTCAAAGTTGTGCAAGTGGCCAATCTTTCTCATGCGGTGAATGCTAGCATGACAGGTGAATCTATCGACGTATCTATGGAAGGCATTGCCCTCGATCGCGATATTATTCTTGATATCGATATACCTCCGAATCACGCATCACCAATTGTATCGGTTGAAAGTTACAACGAAAGCGCCCAATACGCTGTTGCTCTTGCATTCACACCAAGTCTAGCTGACTTTCTCAAGATTTCGAAAGGGCGTGAAGAGTCTAATACTGAATTCATATTTATAGGTAAATTTTTTCCCAGTTCCGTCATTAACATCATACAACGTATATTGATGTTTCTTTAAGTTGATTGTTCGGGCTCAATGAGTGAAGGTGGTCGTATTGATCATGCAAGAGAAGCTATGCTGCTATTCATTCGCAGTTTGCCTGTCGGCTCTCGTTTTAACATCATTCGCTTTGGATCGCATTATGATATTCTATACAACGATGAAGTTCTTACAATGATCTACAACGAAGAGAATGCGAAAAAAGCAGAAACACTAACACGTTCAATGGATGCTAATTTTGGTGGAACTGAGCTGCTGCAACCTTTGCAATACTTGAAAGATCATCCACCTGCTCATGGTCGTTCACGACAAATCTTTCTCTTGACAGATGGTGAAATTTCTAATACAGACCAGGTAAGCAGTGACAGTGTCACAATCTGATATTGATGTTTATCTAGGTGATCGAATTGTGTCGCTCCATGTCTGCAACCACGCGTATCTTCTCGTTCGGTCTCGGCTATTCACCATCTCGAGCACTTGTCAAAGGTCTCGCTCGAGCAACCAATGGCTATTTTGTGTTTGTTCCACCGGATGCCAAAGTCGACAGTTATGTTGGAAGTCAACTTGGACGAGCTCTTCAGCCATCATTAGTCAATGCTCGACTCCAATGGCATGGCCTATCTGTCAACGGTTCACAAGCACCACAAACCATTCCACCACTCTACATCAACGATCGTGTACTTGTTTATGCACTCTTCGCTATGAACCCGTTCGAAAAGAAGAATGCTAGTGTAGATGTGATGATTGACGAGCACAAGATTAGTTCGATTCGACTATCGGATAGTAAGATACGGCGAAGCGATACAATTCGTCGATTAGCTGCGAAAGCGTTGATCCAAGAGCTGGAACACAAGAATCGCAATGGACAGGATGTAGAGTATGTATGAGCAAGGAGTAGAGAGATGGACGTTGATGTTTGTTCGTTATTGTGAAATAGGGATAGAAAGGCAGTTGAAGAGCGTATCCTGCAATTATCACTGGATCATGGAATACTGTCAGCATACACTGCATTTGTCGGTGTTGAAAAAAGTAGATTAAGGGATGATGGAATTACGTCTGACGTTAGTTATATTCCAATTCGAGTATCGAAAGGAGACAGATACGTATCTGAATTTCCATCATTAGCTTCGATGCTTGACAAATCAATAAGTTATAGTGGAGAAACTCTTGTGCCGATGCCATTCGAAATGACGACGAAATATAGTCCACAGTGGTAAGTGTCTTTCCTTGGTTACAACGGAACATGATACATAGCGTTCAGTGTGAGAATATGCTAGAGTCAATTGTAATTTTTATCGCCAATCCAGAAGCTGTCTATTTCTTACTGTCATGTGTCTTTAGGTTTTACGGAAAGTTTCAAATTGCAGCGACATCTATCACCAGTACGACACGACCATCGGGTGGATTTAGCGGCTCTTTAGATGACTCTGACACTACTGCTGCTGATTATGATGAAGCTTTTGTCCCTACTACCACTCCTGGTACCTCATTATCATACGATCCTGTTCGCTGGTTAATCCGCCAACAGTCATTCAACGGTCTATGGAAACTATCTGATTCGGACATTCGAACACTGACCAGTGGAAAAGAATTGAGTGCATTCTCATCAAGTGTCACTCAGAATAGAGATGCTTTGTCAACAGCGCTCGTTATAGCTGTGCTGGAATCCAAACATGGTCAGGAGAGCAATCTTTGGTCAGCGGTGGTGAGCAAAGGTCGCAAGCAACTGCTGGCGCTTGGTTTGAACAGCAGTGAGGTGAATTTACTCATTGGAGAAATAAAGCAACAGTTGTAATTTGTAGTTAGAGATTTTTCTTGCATTTCCTAATAAATTATCAGTGCACATATATTATTAGATTGAATGATCACGCAGTAAGTATCAAATGAGACTTTTCTTTAAAGTAAAAGAGGTCTCACCGACAGTTCTCTTTATTTGTGTGGATATGATCTGTTGTAAATTTCTATCAGACACCTTCACCTTTGTTTTAAGCTTATCGATAAACAATACTTATATACACAAGACTATGAATGCAATTCTTTGATATCACCGATTCTTCATGTAATCTTTTCTATATTACATGGAGTATATTTCAAACACAATCAGAATCTTGTGTGTCGATTCCTTGTCTTTTTTTACTCGATTCAATCTCTCTCTCCCTATACGATTATATCACCATGTTTCGATTTTGATAAGATAAACGTTTCGATTTACTCATTGTTCTTTTTTTATATGTAATCATGAAATGAAATTGACAAAAAGAGAAAGTGTTTGAAAAATGAAACATAATCTTCTACACCATCGACCATTGAATTTAATACCGCCTTTACCAAAAAATCCCTATTCGTTGCCGATTGTTTCAATCGGTGCTGGTGCTATTGTCACTCTCGGTCATTTACCCGCTTACGAACTCGCTGGATTCCGTGTCAAAGGTATCTTCGACATCAACCAAGATCGAGCATTGAATGTTGCGAAAAAATGGGATATACCAAATGTATACAATACACTGAATGAAGCGTGTGGTTCATCGAGCGAAGATGTCATATATGATCTCGCTGTACCGTCAAAACAGATCATACCGATTCTGAAACAAATTCCCGTGAATTCTCACGTGTTAATGCAAAAACCGATGGGTGAAAATTTAAGTGATGCTCAAGCAATCGTGAAGATTTGTAAAGAACGTCATATTCATGGTTCAGTGAATCTTCAGCTTCGCTACGCTCCATACATTCTTGCGCTGAAAGATGCCATTCATCGTGGTTGGTTAGGTGATCGATTAACAACAATCGAAGTTCATGTTAATGTTCATACGGCATGGACATCATGGCCATTCTTAGCGACTGCACCACGTCTTGAGCTCATTTATCATTCCATACATTATGTAGACTTGATACGTGATCTATTAGCACCACATGACCCGAGTGCATTGCATTGTCGATCGAGTCAACATGCAGCAATGCCTCATCTAACGCCGGTTCGCTCATCATACTCATTTGTCTATGCACATGATCCAATGCTGTATGTAAACATTTACACGAATCACTACCATCGATGGGGTAAAAATTATGCACAATCATATTTACTTGTGGAAGGAACTGAAGGTGCAGCTAGAGCACAAATCGGTGACAATCTCGCCTATGGAGAATGCACTGAAGGAAAACAGATCGATTCTCTTCAAGTAAATTTTGTTTCTTATGTTGTTAAATAAAACTACGAATGACTTCTATAGATTTGTTCAGACAAAATAACAAACGGTGAATGGGTCGATATTGATTTACAGCAGCGAAATCGTTTTCCACATGCATTTATTGGACCTATGGCTGCAGCCATACGCCGATACGAGAATGAAAATGATCGTCCTTCAACTGACATCGAAGACACACTGAAAACCATGGCAGTTCTTGAAGCAGCATGGGACAGTTCAACAAATAATATGACTTCAATATCATATAAATAGACTTAAAATAAGATTTTCATGATGACTTTTTTTTTTCTGTCATACGATTCGTAGATCCTTGTGCATAAGAAAAACATTCGATAAATCGATTCACAAAACTTTATTCATCGTCCATTCTATATATATATACACACTTATTTTTCATTATTCGCATGATCGTTCAAGAGAAAACTTGATCGCCACCCGGTTTCTCGTGGATTGTGCATTGTTGATGACGGTGTCAATCCACCACAATTCGTTTGACTTGTACATGAATGTCGGTAATGTCTCTGATAATTTGGTGGTTGAATATCTAGATATTTTGTGTTACTATAATTCAATTTAACTAAACTTTGATCTTTGTTAATCTTCATCACTGGTATAATACTGATAGACACCGAACGATAGCGTTGTTTGTCGTCCTGATCGGTAAATATTCGATGCGATTGTTGAGGTGTTGATGTTCGACGTTGATTAGCCGCATTCATCATATCAGTATGTAGAATTGAAACTAAACTTGCCTTTGTTCGGAAATGAATCGTTTTCATCAACACATGACGAAATTCCGTGCCTGATATACAATAACTTAATATACTTGCATAGTTAAAATACATTAGAATGTTATAAATTGTCCATTGGATGCGTCGGCAACGTATTAAGTCGATCGAAACCTTATTTGATAGAAGATCAATGATAAATGCAGTCACAGGTAAAGTCGTCGCAACGAAAACGAATGACGAGCAGATCATCATTAGACAAAGTGAACGTAGACGATTCGTGGCTTTCGATCGACTGACTAAATCACTTTTTTTACTTGAATTTGAAACAAGAAACACACGATTGATCACTGTTAGATTACAAAGGATAATAAAGACGAACGGGATGATCGTCACAAGAAACATATCGATCCATGTGTAGATTCGTTCGAAAAAGTACACATAATCTTCATGAAGATAACATTGTTGATATTGGAATGGATTTACTGTTGAACGATTCGAATTATGAACATAGCTATCTTCACCTTGAACGAATATCAGCAGATGAATATTCGATAGGGAAAACACGGCGAGTACAATGCTTGAATTGATTGTCGCTTGTCGCGTGCGGCACCATTTCGAAGTGAAAATAGGAAATTTCACAGCAACGTAACGATCCAAATTAAGACAACAACGAAACCAGGAGGACAAATGAAGTGTGTTACTAAAGCATTCCTTTCAATTCACATTTTCTCTCCAAATTCTTTGTACTTACTAGAAAAAGAAAACATGTAATTTACACAATAATGTTCCTTGAATATGTATACGAAGATTCGATGATAGAAGTAATTCACGTAACAAACCAATATACAGACCGATTGTATCAGCAATCGACATAAATGTTAAATATCGATAGACACTATGTTGACGCATTTGTACAAGCACGACTAGCGATAGAAGATTTCCGATGGTTCCCAAACCAAGTAGAACAGGATAGGTATATAATTCAATTTGCCGTGCAATTTCTTCTCTTTCCGAACAATTCATTATTATTAATTAATCAGACATATTAACTCATTTCTAGAATGATACAAATCTAAACGAAAGATGTACAGAAATTATGTTAACCAAATGCGACATGTTCTTCTAGCTAATTATATCGATTCGTTTGTAAGGTGCTCCCAAGTCAAAACATGAGCAAAATTTTTTCTTTTCTTTATTTTTTTACATGGATGGATAGAGCTCGTCGAGCTGATCACGAATATCACCTTTAAAATATTTTTTGGTCGCACTTTGGCTGAAAAATTTTCGAAATACAAAAATAGCCTATNAGAACATCGTCATCAAATAATATAATTATGATTAACGAGTCTAAAGTGCGTTCGAACTTATCGAAACAGCCAAAAATACAAGCAAACTTTCAACACTCGAATATATTATATTATTCAGCAAGCATCAACAATGCAAGAGAATAAAGCATACCATGCGCGTAACAAACTGAATTAACGAATTGCAATGACATATACAGAGAAAGAGAGAAAGAGAAAGAGAGAGACAGAACAAAAAGCACGGGAAAGAATGGGGAAAAGCTTAGACAGTTTTGATTCGAATGATAATGTAAAAAAAAGAACTTCTCTGTTTTTCTAATTACGATAAACAAAAGAAAATAAACAACCTTTTCGACTTTTCATCAAATCATTTCGTTAACTCCGTTCTGCTCATCATTCTTTCATTTGGAAAGAACTTGTACGATTTTGAGATTTTATTATCATTAGTTTTCTTACTACGAACAAATAATACGCTTGTTGTTTTTTTATGTTAAGATATGTATATGTCTGAAGAATTCTATCCTTATTTTATGCTGTCATCTGATAGTAGACCTATCTTTCAACATTATTCGTCTCGTTTACGAGTTAGTTGTTTTTAGTTAGCCAGCATAATGCCATGGATGTATGCGAAGAGAATTCAAAGAAATTTGAGAGGAATATACATACACCTGTTGTACCGAGGAACGAACGTTGATTGTGTGCGAAATGTTTTGATGCATGTGAAGGAAGGAATCGATAGATTCAAGGCGAAATCGCTTGTTCAGTTATCAGTTCGTTGATGTATAAGATTGATTGGCCTATTGTTAAGAAGCTGATGATGTAGTCGAAAGGGAATACTTCAAAACATGTATGTTTACATTAGAAGGAAATCAGAATAATATAATAATAACGTTAGCTAATCTTACCAGAAAGAACATTTAGATTTTTTTCTTATCGTGAATGTATATTTGTTTAATGATCGTAGACACTCTTTTGTTCTTCTTTTTCCTTCTCCTTCTCCTTCTTTCTTCTTTTTCATTGTTATATCTCAAGCAATTAATATGTCCTTTGAGGTTCCTTTCTATGTCAAAAAAGAAAATACAACTCTAAAGTGGAATGTCATTCCGAATTAACGCTAAGCATTTATTCCCTTCAATACGCATGGAAACAATAAGACACAGAACAATGATACTGGCAAGACGGAGGAAGAGGTCAATATAAATAGATTACATCATACCAGATGGCAGGAACTAGCGAAGTAACACGAGCTTTATCTCTTCGAGTGCATAAGCTCAATAGCACTTTCTCAGTTCACGACCAAGGTTATATCCATTGTCAGTATTACTATTATTATCATCATCATTATCAACAATGCGAAGATTTCTCTCGATGTTCTACAGATGTATATGAGGTGTACTGTTAGGCGCGTAGAGCATTATGTTAACCGATTTTCCATTCCACAGACTTGCCAATATACATAAAACAGAATCACATCGTGTAATTGCACAGCAAAAGAAACAATGTCGTGTTGAATACAGCGAGACTTCGCTCTGAAAAGTTTCGAATCGATCGCAGTTAAACTTACTTTCAAGGAACTACTCAATAACCTTGATCAACTGTCTTTGTCGTTTGCCGAGTAATCTATACTCGAGCTCGAGACTATACAATTAGCAATAAATAATGTTTAGAGGTAAACAAGACAAACAAATGTATTTGTAGGTCGCGAACATAACATTGAAAGAGATTTTTCTATTACCATGCCATTATATCCAATCAACGAACGAGATTCTGCGTCAAAACTCGAATCATACCAGAAGATACTCTTTGCATGTCTTCAATCCTCTGATTCATCTCATAAACATGTCGTTTGTTTTTGATTTCTACTTACTTTCGAACAATTTTCATTGATTGATCGAATAGATAATTAGCCATGAAATGAATTTCTGGTTGAATTCTATCATCTGATTGCTTATTTTTGTTTTCCTATATATATATATATATATATAGGACCGATCTTTCCTTTTCAATCGAATCCTTTCACTTATATTATTGTCGTTAACAAACAATTTCGTTTTTCCATCTTCTCGATTTTGCACCAATTCTTTTCTGACAAATTCAATAACACTCATCAATTAATCTTCAAATCACATATTCTTAGACTAACAACTACTTCTTACATATTCAAGATGCATTAACCATCCCAAGCAAATCATCCAATCAAAAGAAGACTGAGATCGCGTTCTTTCCTTTCCATTTATTTTAAGTTAAGACTGAAAACATACGAATAAATAAAATTTATGACATACAGAACTGAATAGGACCTTGCTGTTCGACTAATTTCTTGGCAAAGATCTGCCCTTTAGCAACTTTCTTGGCATGACGATAGATTTTCAGTTCTTGACTGTATTCTTCTTCAAACATCGAGATATATCCATTTGGTTGACAGTATTGTCGACAAGCCGTATGATTGTAGAAGTCCGCATAACCACCGTCAAGTAAATAGATCGACGGAAACGATAAATACGGATAGTTAGCCATATTATGTTGACGATCCAGTGAACGAAATAGACGACAAAGACGTGGACCGCGTTCCGAAGAAAATTCACAATGGAAGACGATTATCAATGGACGAGACGAAGATCGGATTAGTTTCGTAAAGAATAATCGAAGATCATTTTCTGTGAAGATATTTTCTGCTGTTCTTATGTGACCACCGGAATATTCGAATGGGTAACGAGCATCGATAATGAATAAGTTCTCCGATTGTTCATCAAGTAAAGTGGCAAGCTACATGCAGAAAAAGTTCATATCGAAGAGAATATCTTGGAAATCTTACTGTTTGTGAATCAATTCGTTGAAGATCGGGATGTGATGAACGTTTCACTAATGGCAATGAAGATTGTTCGTCGAAAAGACTTTCAAGATTTTTGACGACGGACGAAGTCGTTGGTTTCATACGTGGTTTAATCCGATGGATTGGTGATGATAAAATTAATGGAGACAATGAATGAAGTTGTTGAGGCATAATAGCAACCTATAAGTAATAAAATTTCATAAGAGAAGATCGTTTTTCTTTTCGCCAGAGAGAAAAAAAAGACAAGATCATTGTAATTGTCGATAATGATTACTGTATTATCAAACAATATAAAACGCTTTTCCAATTAACCAACTGATCACTTGTCAAATTCTGTTAATTGGTGAAAGAATATTCGTCAATGAATACACACGCTTATGTACATATATGTACGTGAAACAAACAATTAGATATGTAATGAAAAAAACAGGATCGCTCGCTTCTCTCACAGTGAATCTAATGTTTCCTTACCGCCATGTTATTGTTCGTATGCGAGGAGATAGTTTCTGACAACTAACCGGAGGAAATATATAGGTAGGAAGTGGTTCCGTATCGTCTTTTGATCATCAATCAATTACACTGCACAGATGCATATGATTCTGTTCGGTTCTTGTTAACTAACAACATAACAATTTTTGAATATGAAAAGAATGTGCACCAGGATGAAAATATTCAAAAAGAACCCGATTCGAAAACAGTCAGATAAACAGTGTGACAAATAGAAATGTTGGCAGTAACGCAGTGAAAAGAAAAAAGGTTGTCATGTGAATTAATGAAATACAGGATCTTTCAAATCGGAATAGATATGTCCGAATAGTTCGTATTCATAGTCAATTAGTTGGCGAAGAAAGCCCAGATTTGGACAGACGATAGGTCGTCGTTTGCGAACAAATTTGAATGCTTCACTAACTGTTGCATTGTATGTTTTCATTAGGTAAGCAAGTGTGACAGTCGTTGATCTTGAAATGCCAAGATTACAATGGACGAGAATACGACTGGAAGCGTTTTCGAATGCTGTTGTCATAAACTGAATGGTTTCAGTGAAACGATCCTTGAGCAAGACATCTTCCATATCTTCCAATTGCAAGTGTAAATACTTGATTTTGTCCTGAAAGACGCACTGATGTTCGAATGAGATATTGATGATGTGAGTGATCTTGAGATCACGAATGACTTTCCAGTTCGTTGCTTGGTGACCCGTACCTATAAAAAAGAGTCGAATTGTTTGAATGAAATGAGATTCTTTTACCAAGATAAAGTTGATTGTCAAGAATAACCGATGGATAAATGGTTAAGAACTTTTCCCGATCGACTGCTGTACGTATATCCGACTGTGTACAAACGAATGGAAAAGCATTTTGAAATGCTTCAAAGCCACCACTGAGTATTAAGCAAATCTTTGAGCCACCTTTATTAAAACGATTCATAACACGACTCATTTCTGCCGTTGTGTTGAAGAATAGTCCTTCATTATCGTACAGAACAATCTCACTGAATCTTTCCACGACGGATATGTAAACCGTGCCGTTTAACGCATCTTCCCAATGAATAGCTAAATGACAAGAGGAGAAACCGGTGTGCACTTTGAGCACATCACGAAAGATTGGATCGAATGGAATAAACTAGTAACTGACGAGTTTTTTTCATTATTATCGAGGTAAAGCATTGATTTGGCTTCGAGAAAAAAAACTAGTTATGTTTTATATGCATTTGTTAAAGTGCACAAAATCAAAAGAAATAGGTAGGCTGTTTACTTAGGTAACAATGGTTAATACCTGTAATAATATGGTTTTCCTTGAATTGATCCTTTGTTCGACAATCGATAATATATAAGTAATGTGAAAGCATGAAGAGATACTGATTTTGTAAACCGTATGCCATCATATTGAATAATTTCGAGGGTGCAACGTATCCAGGTTGACCTAATGACAACGGTGGTAAAGTGCATTTCGGTTTCGGATGATGATGGTGGTGATGATGAACAACTCGATCACTGCCCGGATTGTTCATAGCTAGATGTTGTTGCTTGAGGTTGTTCGAAAGAGATAGGAACGATTGTACATCAGTATTTGACCGTCCTCTCATCGGTGAAAGGTCACGTGTTCCCGGACGATTATGAGTTTGAGCTGTCTGAGGAACAATGTTTGAAGGTACCGGCTGCTTCTGCCACAATCCGTTGGACTTTCTTGGCGAATCTGGTTGTTTTTTATTCGAATTCGAATAAATTTCCTCGTTTGTACTCGAAATAGACTGATGCTTCGATGTGCCATTCGTTAAATGATATTCTCGACTCGCAGGTCGGTGTTTGGAGTGTTGAGAAGATATCGAGGAAACATCACTCACCATGTCACTTAATTGAGTAAAAAACATTAATAAATAAGAAGAATTTGTCAGTTGCGAAATGAAAAGTTCTCTTTGATTAAGTTTAGCTGACCCTCAAAATTAAATGATGCCGAGAAACGATTTTCACAGAAAATAATAAAACAGAGAAGTCGTTCTATTTACCTATTTCGACGTCGGCGCATATAATCAGATGATGGGGTTGTCAACGACATAATTTCAATAGTTCTCTGCTTTTTTTCTGTATGAGTGTCTACACGTCAAAATGGAAATTCCACTATAATACTAAAAAACTATTGCCGTCTACACACCCTCTTGCCAGCACAACCTTGTGAACAAATGTAAAAAAAAAACAATTTTATCTACGACGCAATTTTTTCTTTCTTTTCAAATTTTAATTTTCTCAATTGTAACTTTCGGTAGATGTATAAACAACAAAAATAACAAAGAAAAATCTTTAATAGCATCTCCAAGACGTAAGAAGGAAAAGAGACTATACACATACATCGAACAAACAACATGATGCAACGCGGGGAATACCAAGCATGAAATAAGATTTTACGTCCGCTCTCGATTCTGACCTTGTTTCTTGATGTTTGAGCGAAACTTTTCCAAAATTTGTTTTGAAACCTTAGATGAACTTGTACACATGGAAACAATCATTTTCTTTTCGATATTGTGTCTTATGTGAAATACTGGATCAGATTTCTGATATCGTACTTTTATTTTTAAAAAAAAAGAAAGAAAAAAAAAACCAACATACACAAAGATGTGTGCACAATGAGAAAAGAAACGAGACAGAGATCATCACTATAGATTCGATTTCAATACAAAACAAAAAGACATCGAAGGAGACCGATCGGATTTGCTTATGAGTAGTTTGTTATGTAAGAACATATTATGTGCATGTGTGACAATATGTGTTATGTGCTGGAGAGAAGATAGAAATAGCGTGCACGTGCAGTGTACAACCATCGAAATATTGCGTATTTATTGCGAACAAAACAAAACAGAATGTTGATGAGAAGGTAAAGATTATTGACCGATGGCGTTGGCATTAGCTACTCACTGAGTGTGCACAAAATTGAGGGGAAAAGAAAGAGAGAGAGGGAGAGAGAGAAAGAGACCAAAAACTAAGAGGCACTTGTATGTCGCTTGTTGTTGTTGTTGTTTTTCCTTTTCTCTTCGAATTTTGATTGAATAAATTTAACGAGGATGGTAGTGTCCAATTGCTTTGAGATTTTCAACAAACATACCACGTGCAACTTCGGGTCGACGATCAACACCAGCAACCATTCCCGGTACCTTGATTATTCATAGAATAATAAATCAAGTAAAACAGAAAAGAAGAAATAGTTTGTTTTGTGTTTCCTTACAACATCTGAATCAACAAAAATACTGCCACATTCGTTAAGTTCTGCGCGTTTAACTTCGATTTCATGTTCATTCACACCACGGCAAGCATCTTCAATTAACACTGTTCGATAATTATTCTCTACTGCATGCATCGCCGTTGCAGCTAGAAGAATACGAAGACGATCGAATCATTTCTCTCAAAGCTAACATTGTACATACCAACACAAACATCCGTAGCTAAACCAACGACATACACATCGGTCACTGACCGTTCTCGCAGTTGATCGTCTAAACTTGTTTTACTCAATTTCATGTTGTCCCAAAATGCTGAATAGGAATCGATTTCAGGATTAGTTCCTTTGTAAACATGTATAGCATTGTCCACGCGAATCAGATCAGGATGTAAGTCAGCGCCGGGCGTTTTTTGAATACAGTGCGCTGGCCAGAGAACTTGTTCGATTGTTGATGTTAAATTCGGTGGACCAACGAACAGAACAGTATCGAGTACATGCGCACTGTCCACAGCAATCTAGAACACAATTGCGTCGTCAACAAGGATTTTGATAGAAATAATCTTAGTTACAGGACTTTCGGGTGCCGCACTTCTTAAATGACGGTTTTCATAGAAGGATATATGGTTCAATGGATGCCAATCATATGTATAGGCGACCACATCGAAATTAACATCACGAATAACTCGATTGATTACAGGAACAACTTCTTCTCCTGAAAAAAAAAAGAATTCTTCTCTCGTTCTATTTTCAAGAAAACAAAACCTTGATGATTGGCAGGACAGGAATGTAGCGCTAACGAACCAGAAATGAAGTCATTCTGAACATCGACTATAACAAGTGCGCTAATCGGTCTGACAGCCTAGGCAAAAGAAAAGAAAGTGTACGTTCGAATATACACAGTAAAGTCTTTCGTGTTTACACATTTGATCGTTGTTTTCCATGCTTGAATGAATTCATCGTAATCAATTTGATCATCCTGATTGAAATCTGTGTCACGAAAATATTCTTCAATGCGATCGTTTAGAATGAAATAGGGTCGTTGTTTGTTGGAAAAGAGTGAACTGAGGAAACGACGAAATTCTTCACGAGTCCAAAAGCCTCGTCTAAAATGAGATATGCGTGTTCACTGTGCCAAGAACGAATATCGAAAATTTACTTTTGGGAATCAAAAAATCGAAAACAACGTTCATATTCGTCGTCAGAGAAATTGCTTTGTCTCAATAATTCAAATGGATCATAATCGTAAGGTGGCGGTGACATGGACGAGCCTGAAAACGGAAGAATTTGAAATCAAGAAGACGTAAAACGCTATTTGAATTCTACGAGAACATGTCCGTGCTCCACTAACCTTTAGTACCCATTGTAGAAATCTCGGAAATAGCTTTTAAAATCGAATGTTGTTTCTGTACATGAGTAGGATGACGAGTTCTATTATTTACTGAAAGGAAACTGCGTTGAATAGATAGATTAATAAAAATATGCATTGGAATCGCGGGTAAACTTTGTAGTTCATTTGTGTTCTTAATTGTGAATAGGTAAGGATGTAATAAAACGTTTCTCTTTTCTTACAGACGTAACGCTTCTTTTTTTCTCTTTTGGTTGCTAAACTATTATCGGAGAATATTGAAAGTTGCAATAAGTAAAGGGAGGAAAATAGTAATAATTATTGCAGTAAATACGGCTAGAAAATAATGTTGATAGGAGCTGACTGACTGTTAGAAAATTGAACGAAGTGAAACAATTAACTACCTAACGATCGATGGAACGGCAGGCATGCAGAGAGAGAGAGAGGAAAGAGCGAGTGAACGAGCAAAAGAGAAAAAAATTGGACGTTATTCTCGTGCGCATTACTGAGTTACTCATTTTTTTTTTCATTTTTATTTGCCTATTCTTAAAACAATCCTATCTCGTTTACTCAACTCTATGTTGTTATTTTTGTTGTTGTTAGTCTTGATTGACGTCACAGAATCTCGTACTGATGATGTGTGATTAAAATGAGAACGACGCTGGGATATACATGCGGATTAAAGTTTGCATGAGACTATTGTGGACTTCGACAGGAAAATAAATTTGACTAATTTAAATAAAAAGGAATCCGCGTAAATAAGTTCATTGCTCCGAACAGCGTTTCTCTCCATGTCATATTACCGTCAAGAAAGCTAAGCTATTATCCTCATTATCGGCGAGAAGATAAACATTTTTATAACATTTCAAAGATAATATCGACGGACATACCTGTGCAAAGATAGTGAGGACGAGAGGTAGACAGAATGCTCTCGTTTGAATTTGGAATTGTGTTGTGTCTATGATGACGACGAGCGTGAAACGTCTTTAAGAGAAAAAGTGAGAATGAAAAACGGAGAGGGAAAGAGAAAGAGAGAGAGGGAGGGGAAAAGGAAGGAAAAGGCAAAGAACCTAATCACTTCAGAAACACACACACATATATATACTCTCAAAAATCGATTTTCAATTCTTCATCTTTTTATATTATTTCTCGAACAGAAGAAAGAGTCTTTTGTATGGAAAATCAAAAATTATTATTAGATTTCTTTCGGCTCTAATTTTTGTTCATGAAATCATTAAGAAAAACTTTTCACAACATGTCGTGTATAGTTATTTAGCAGAAGAATCAATAACCCACGAGCGCCATCTATCGACTAGTGCATATACATGCCGGCAAGTCCATATTGTACCGGTGATCATCAGGTCTTATTTTCTTTTTTTTTAAATGTTGTTTATTTCGAGACGAACTATTGCTGATGCAAGGTTATTGGCTTTTATTCTTCTAGATATTTTCGACTTAGAATCATTATTTAATACATAAATGAGTCTTCTTTCTAATTGTCTATTCGTACGGCAAATTATTTGTCGTACTGGTGCTTTTTCGCCATCAGTATGGATGAATGCCTCGCGTTTATCACCGGTGTTCAGGTAGTTGATTCATTTTTTGTTGAGATTGCATTCATTTTTCTAATTGGATCATGTTAGTTTAGACATTCGTCTACAAATCCGTCTCCGCAGGAACAAAAACCAGACGAAACTACAGCAACATCTAATCCATCCGTAGAAAATACCTCTCAACCCGAACAAAAGTCCGATGTGAACGTGAAACAACTTCAGGAACAAAATGTGAAGTTAACTGAAGATGTTAATGAATTCAAGGTAAAAATTTGCTCTTTTCATTTGGAAAATTCTCACTCGATTAGTGGTATAGGATCGCTATAAACGAGCATTAGCTGAAACAGAAAATACTCGAATTCGTTTCACTAAACTTGTCAATGATGCGAAAATATTTGGTATTCAAGGTTTCTGCAAAGATCTACTCGAAGTTGCTGATATTCTCAATCTCGCTTTAACCAATACTCCTCAACAGCCATCCACCGATCTAGCAACATTAACGAAAGATTTCAATAATCTCCGTCAAGGTCTAGCAATGACCGAAGAAAGAATGCAAAAGATCTTTACGAAAAACGGTCTGCTACAAATCAAACCGAATGAAGGTGATAAGTTCGATCCTAACTTTCATGATGCCCTCTTCCAAGCTAAACTTCCTGATAAAACCAGTGGAACAATCATACAAGTAATGAAAACCGGTTATCGTCTTCAAGATCGCGTTATACGTGCCGCCCAAGTCGGTGTCGCGCAATAGGCAAAGAAATCGAATGTTCAAGTAATCACAGATGATTTATTGTTGTTGTTTTTTTTTGTCTGTCATTTCAAAATAAATATATAACTCGTTATGATCACCAGCCCACGAAAGAGGATTGAAAAATAATACATTCCTCTTTCGTTTTTCTAGATTCGTAAACATAGTTTCATCATAATAAAATACAACCTGACGGAGACGCGTTTCGTTGTATTCAATATAGGCAAATAAAGGACAACAACAACAAGTGATGAATATCTCTTTCGGGTGAGTCATTTATTTACGTACACAGATATGATTTCTCTATTCATTTATCTTTTTAGCGAATATTAAACGTCGTCGATTGTGTGCTTGCTTTGTTCTTTTCTTATGTTCCGAGGTTATGTGTCACCTGTAGAACGTCCCTAAAATCTATTCCCCGTAAGTTAAAGATTACGTTATCTTCTTTTGTGCATCTCAGTTGAGAGTATTTCAGTATCGAATACAACTAACCCGGTGATTTTCCTTTGGTTGTATGGCAGTATGTTTTGGTGGTAAAAAGTCGAAAACATCTCAATCCATTCGCAAACATTCGTCCTCCGACAAACACAATAATCTTGACCACGAACACTCTCTAAGAACCTCGAAACATTCGACAATGCCTCACGATTTATCACACTCGTCGGCGAATTCAGCATCATCGTCAGCACTCTCCTATTCCTACGGTACATCCCGATCAACATCACCGCCAGCAAACAATCATAATCATTTCCATAAGAAAGCCGAGCAAATGGATATGTCTGACGACGATTCCATCCCCGATGACGACGATTCGAAACAACAGAAAAAACTGAAACGTACACTGGAGTCTTCAGTGGCCGCTCCAAAAAAGCATGCAATTGTCAATGCTGATATGATTTTCTATTGCTTTGAAATCTTAGGCAATCACTTATTCAATGGCAAACACCACCTAGGCAAACACCATGTTCCATCATCAACTACCAATGGACAATTAGTTCCATCCATGGTTACTCCTCCTCAAGTTCCATCAGAACATTATCCATTATTTGTTTCATGGTTTATTGGTGTGGATAAGCAATTACGAGGATGTATTGGAACATTTTCACCGATGGATTTAGCTCATGGTAAGTCTATTCAACTGACACTTCTCATCTAGTCGATGATTTGCTTTCATTGAAGGTCTCCGTGAATATGCTTTAACATCGGCATTGAACGACAGTCGCTTTTCGCCCATATCACGCGACGAATATCCGCTGTTATATTGTGCCGTCTCAATTTTGACACAATTCGAACCATGTTCGCATTATTCCGATTGGGTCATTGGTCTTCATGGTATACGCATTGAATTTTTGAATGAACGCGGTTCGAGACGATCAGCAACATATTTACCCGAAGTGGCCCACGAGCAAGGTTGGAATCATGTTCAAACTCTTGATTCCCTATTACGCAAAGGTGGCTATAAAGCGCCAATTACCTCGGACATGCGAAAAAGTGTTCAAGTGACACGTTACCAAAGCGAAAAGTTAACTTTACATTACAATGATTACGTTCAATATAAAACGACATCATCAGTGACAACGTATTCATCCACGATGACGACAACAACAACAACAACAATTGTTAAAAACCGTCCAAAATAGAAACATTTGTTCACGAGTTGTGTGGTGCTGGTATTTCCAAAATGCACTCAGGATTGTGTCGTTCATTTTTTCCTTTCTCTTTCTTCTTTCTCTCTATGTATACACACATATATATACATATATATACATATATCATAACTTGTAAATCCCAATATTTCTACTCGTGACAGTTGATATTATCATTGAGTCTTGCTTTTTAGAATGTCAAATGTATTGATTGATGATGAATCAAGTCGTTTAAAACATTTCATCTGGGAAGAACTAGCCGAAAATTTCTACGTCGCAGTCATATTTCGGTGTGTGTGAGAACAACTTTCCTTTATTGAACAGAAAATCCAGCATAACTAATACATCTCTTCTGTATCTTATTAGTTCAGGTCGTCGGTACGTTGTTCAACGACATTTTGAACAGCAATTACTCGATCTAAAATCATCTTTTCTCCAGAATAAATGGCGTCATTGTCTGTACGATGTCATTCACAAATCTCACGCACCGATTTACATTACTTGCCATGAAGTTGAATTGATGCATGAAATTTTTTCTTGGCACTTGAATTACGCAAAAAACCATCTAAAACTTCGAGAGAATGTTGATTATATCGTTAACTTTGAAGATTTATTCGATAGTTTTCAATCATTAACTTTAAATGAAGGTTATCTCTCGACAACATCGATCATCCAGCCAGTCACAACGTTAGACGCGGCAAGGAAAAACATCGAACTATGGAAAAGCTTACAAGGAAACGTATCGCAAACTGAATCGAATGAAGATGTATATAAATCATTGAACGGCAAACAACCAGGTAAGATCTAGCATCAGCGTTGCATTGCTAATATGCAACTATACGATAATCTATTCCAGTTTTAACATCGTCTTCAACCGGTTGGCTACAACTAGATTCCAAAATTATGCCCTTTATTAAAAAACAATGTGATCATTTACTTCTCGTTGATTGTCTTCTCAAGGAGCATGTCATTAGTTCTTCTGAAGATGTGTTTCTACGTCCTCTCTATATTCCAATTCAATCTGAAGATATCGATCTATTTCATACTTTGATTCGTCGATCGTCATTGACTGACCGTTCCTTACTAATTACCCTTGATCATTTGGCCTTTCGTTTAAAGCGTTTGTTTTTCATCAGATTTCTTCCCACAGAAAATCCGAAACAATCCATTGATCATCAAAAGATAATGTCAAACCATGGTGGATTGGTCACACTGAATAATCGTTCGCAACAGCGTCTACCATTCATTTACATCAATCAAATGAAATACATTCCACAACTAAACCATTTGAATTTCACATCAATGTCAACATTTTGTATGGCCAACCCATATGAATTAGAATATTTACGGTTAATCTCTCTCTACGATTATATCTCATCGGATGAAAATAAAGAAACTTTAGAAAGTTTATCTTCCACAAACTATTTAACATTAATACCTATCAAACCAGCGGATGAATATCAAATTCAACTGAGTATATCGTTACAAGATTTCCATTGTCATGAATATGAAAGACGAACTCAACAAGAGAAAAATCTCAAGTTTTACGATAATGATGGATGGTGGCAGCCTCCACTTTCGTCATCAACAACGCGACAAAAACGAACTTTCTCCCATTTCAAATTGCAGCGGCCGATCTTTTTTTAAATCTTCTATTGTTTCACATCTTTTCCTTTCAGTCGGATACGTGTTTGAGTGATACCTTTTCTAGTGCAATTGTGCTTGTATATGTGTATACATGTGATTTGTATGTAATTTGAAATAAAACAGACAAGTCAATGGTGAAATGTTTCCTTCGTGAATTTGCAAAAGAAAATACAATTGTAAATTTAAAAAAAAATAGCTTTTTTCTTTTTGTGTATGTTGTTGTTGATGATGATGATGATGATAAACGAAAATAAAACACTATTTGACACAAAAAAAAACAGAAAAGAACTAGATTTTGCTCGGTGCAAGTTTGTTTCTTTATTATAATCGACGTAAATCTAATTTTAATATTCGTGTAAAGGTTTTCTTAAATTGCTGATTCGCTAATGCATAACAAAATGGATTGATCGGTGAGTTAAGGTAGCAAAGGAAATAGACGCAGTGAAACATTGGATTCGAAAAGATCCAGTTGTTTTTACAGGATTCGCATAATGAATGTACCGCTGAATAGATGTGCCTAAACGACAACGAGAATAGCGAATGGAAAAGTTTAACAGTATGTCTTTACCATGGCGTCCAACAGACAACAAAAGCGCCTAGAGTAAAAGAAGAGAAGGTGGACATAGAGAGAAAAAACCTGGAGGAATTACACGCACCAAGAATGAATGTTATCGTTCGGAGAGCTTTTCTCGCTCGATTTTGTGATTTAGATTTCCTTCGAGTAGTGGACTTCTGACCTTGCAGTAATTCTCTTACACTTGATTTGGTTGAACCCGAACTTGTTATACACACTGCTGTTACTTCATTTGTTGTGGGTGTAAGTACGTTTTTTGGCTCGACTTCATTTTGAATAGGCTCCGGTGTCACAGGTGGCTCTTTTAAATCAAATTGTGTCATTACACTCTGATCTCGTGTCTTCGGTGAGGATGAAATCGATGTTTGAGTGACGAAACTTTCAAATGTTACTTTCGATGCATTCCGATTGTGAATATGAGCTAGTTCATTATCAGGAAGATACGTTTCCGAATGATGTTTCTTTAAGATTGGACAGATTTCTGATGTTTGTAATTCTTCGCTAATCTGTCGTTTGTCCATTCTGAAAACAAATGAATGCATATCGCGCAGTATGGAATCTAACGAAATCTTACCCTCCGTAGACGGTACTAGTGGTCAGCGTTGTTGTTGTCGTAGTAATTGCATCAGAATCCGATGATGTGTTACGTTTTTTATCGATAGCAGCAAGAAAATGTTGAGGAATCTGTCGATCTTGTGATGACGACGATGATGATGGTGAACTAATCCAGCTAGTTCGAGATAATTCTTCATTCAAACTCGGTGCTTGAAAGATCTTATCTATTGAACAATCTTGACTGTATGTATTTAAACTGATACTATTTGTTAACGTTTGTTCGTCACTTGTGGTATCGATACTAGTTTTATTTAGAATCATCATTTTCATGAGATTGTTATCACATTGGTAACTGTAGTCATCGTCGATGAATGCGGATGAATATTGCTCGTTCAAACGTAATAGGGAGGAGGTATCTTGACTTGTTTCTTTGTAATTCGATAAGATATCACTTCCGCTGTTGGTTAAACTATCGTCGATGTCATTGATCTCACTACATTGATAGAATTCAATCAACGCACGTTCAATATTCGCATTTCGATGCGGCGATGGTGATGTAGTCAACGGTGTGGATGTTTGTGATAGCGGTCGTTTCGCTTTGGACACAAAGATGATTGATGATGTCGTTGTCCCTGCTACGGCTGTGGCTGTTTGAATATCATTTGATGATAGGGGTAATGATGCACATTGTTTCGTTCTCTTTAGCAACATTTCACGTGGAACATGACGCAAACTACAATGTCGAATGGGAAATTTTTCCAAGGACGGATTTGAATTTGTACAAGGATAAGTGATTAGTTCGACACTATCGAAGACGGGAGATTGGTAGATTGCCTGATGAGCATCTTGGATATTACCATGAATTTCAATAGCATCAGACTGGCAGTTCTTAGAAAATGACGATGTGGAAGATTTCGAACGAAGTTTATGTTTCATGTACAGCGGAGATTTATAAACGATCGTTTCTTCATGTACCGGCTCATTCGAGTTACTGATGGGAACACATCGCCGGTGTAAAATATAACCTAAAAAGAAAATCATGCTTCTTAAGTATACTCTTTATCTCCTCACACATGTCAAGTCAGATACGCAGAAGGATTATCAGGGATTGGGTTCTACAAATAGTAACATGCATTTTGACGTTGTCGAGCATGAATTAAAGGATTTCTAGAGAAAAAAACCTACCGAGGTCTTCGAAATCTGTTTCATCGATGTATGGTATATCCAGACTGCTATTACTATTGAGTAATCGCCAACTTTCATCGGAAGAATCTTCGATATGATTAACAGTCATTGGTTCAACGAGTGTATCAGATGGTAACGAAGTGAGTGGTGATGGAGGTTGTGATGATGCATTGATTTCAATACGATTTTCTTTAGGTAGAACCTCCTCGATAGGAGGTACATCTTCGACTAGATCAGGTTTGTTCACGAGAGATGATCTCGACGAGAAATTTGTTGTTGAAGGTTCATCGGTATTCAGTGCTACTTGTTGCGATGGTTCCGAAGTGAAAAGTAAAGGTGATTGTCGAGCTTTTAATCGTTCGTGAAACAATTCATCGGACATGATCGCTAATGTTTCAGGTCGTGGTTGAGGTGGAGGATGCATTCGAGCTGGTGAGAGTTCCGATTCCGACGGTATCGGTGTAAGATTTGTTGTCAATACGGAAGGACTATTCGATTGTTTCGATTTCATTTTCCCTGTTGCTGATATCCCAGTGATACGCATTGGACTACGATAGAGTGAGTGTGCAAACGATTTCATATTTGATGGACTCTTTTGAATAATCTGAATATCATGATTAGGACTCTTCCCCATCGTTGTCGTTGCTGTCGTTTTTACGTGAACAGCCGCTGACGAATTATTACTCCAATTCACATTGAGACCACGACGGTTGTGACGCGGTAGATGATCATCGAAGAGATTAGTTTTTTTATCATGCATATTATTGGCTTCGAGGTCGGAATGCGACTCGAATGAATTCGAGTTCTCATCATCACCGCCGTCGTTAGTACCGCGTTGTTCAGAAGAATTCATACTAAGTTGCGTTTGAATTTTCTTTCGAGGAGCTTCGTTTTGCGAATCATTATTAATACTTTTGATTGAATCAGCTTTACGGTTTGTTCGATGTGGTATGCTCTTAGTCGGAGACTTATTTACTCCAATTCCTACACCGATTTGTGTCATGGCACTTCCTAATGAGCAAGAAATGTCGTATGACTTGCCGAAATTTCTTTCCTAGGTCGATTTCTTCTTACCTGCCATACCAACGAGTGATGACATTTTCCGCGCATTTTCCTGCGACTTTTTCTCTAGCTTACTTGCAACATCTACGAAATAAACATTCGTAAATTTGAACAAGAATGAAATCAATCAATACCGTATATAAAAATGTATAGAACAATCATGACAAGTAATGTTGTCCAGAAATAACCAATCGTTAGACATAAATTAAAGACATGACTTTTATTCCATTGAACATCGCCTTGAAAACAAAAAAGAATAAATGAGAAGTTTGTGAGAAAAGAAAATCGATTTTTTTCCGAGAATATTTACAGACACCGTTTTGAAGATTGAAAACTCCTTTTAGACGTGGATAGAACATCGTTGCTGTGAAAAATATCAGCGTAGGAACTAGAGAATTGAGGAGAAAACAAAAGAAGTCATCAGATTTCGTAAAGCATCCTATCTCTTTGTTTTTCTCTCTACCTGCCCATGTGACTGTGATCATTAGATTAATCTTCCGCTTTGTTCGCCATTTTCGATATTTTGCTGGCATTTTAACTGAACAAAATCGATCGATTGTGATGAACAGCACCGTATAAATCGAAGTCAAACAGACAGTATAATCTAGCGAAAGCCATATGTCACAAATAATAGCGTTGAATGGCCAGTCATGTGCATAGATGTATGTTGTTAGTAAAGGCATGGAAAGAAGACCGATGAGAAAGTCACTGACAGAAAGTGAAAGTATAAAATAATTCGTCGGCTGACGAATTTGTCGATCGAGAAAGAATGCAAGCATAACAAGAATATTTCCTAACACAGTTAGTACGGATGTAACACTACCGAATATGGCTATTATAAGTAATATCCAGAATGGATAATAATCATGGTTGCTAGGTGAAGGAGTTGTTGTTGACGTTAAAGACAGTGGAGGTGAACCGGGTATGTATAAAATGCTCCAATTAGAGCGACGAGTAGCTGTGTAGTAAGGTCGATTGAGATTGACTTGACTGATGTTCGATAGTAACGCATGCGCGATGGCAGCGCTATTGTAATTGTCGTTTAGATCGACAGGAGTTGACATGAGAACAGAGATTTGAATAAATGTCGAAGAAGATTGATGAGAATGACCATTTGTAAGTCACCTTGAAGATGGTGACAACGACGATCGATCATCGTCGTCTAGATGAAACAAAACAAAAAACAAAATCTAAGAAGAAGAAAAAACAACGAACTTCGAAATCCCTCTGTGCTTTTTTAATCTTCATTAGATAAATGACGTTGTCAAAAAAAAAGGGGGAATACCTTCGTACCGATAGACATCTGAAGTTCTTCTTTCTCCTCACCTTGCTCCAGTCTAAAACACCATAATCTCCTAATTCCAATTGTTTTCTATTTCTTAAAAAAAAAAGTCAAAGAAAAAATTCTTATCTCGGAACAAATATTCTATTCATAGAAGGAGTTTTCTTATTGACAAGAAAACTTCTTTCTTTTACACATTCATACGTTGACTGTTGACATACTAAAAAGTTTTCTTTTTCAAAAGATTACTACAAACGTGTCTGTTCTCTAGATAAGTAAATATTTTTAGTTGATGAATGAAGAAGATCTTTGATCTAAAAGCTAAGGAAATTACTTTTCTTTTCGCTTTTCAACCTCTCTTTCTCAACTAATTTGATCGTGCGATGATGCATCCTGTATATAGTTAAGACGGCTTGTTATTTTGTCAGTTTTTGCGTTCTCAAGCCTATTATGAAAAGTACTTGTAGCATTATTTAATTGAAATACTGACGGTCATACATATTGTGTGAAAAGTTTTAACAAATGAAAAGAAAAACAACTAGAAGAAAAGAAAAAAATAGACTAAGACCGGCTTCCTTTGCCATTCAAGTTAGAAATGATCTGTCAAATGCATGTGTTTAACTCTTGTGACAGAAAACAGAAACGCGAAGTGATATGAGATATTTACTTTGTCCCAACCATCTTCATTTGGTTTCGCGATCATTTATTGGGTATGTTTAATAAAAGAATGATGTCGAACACACTTGTCTTTGAATAGTCATTGACAACATCTAGTCATGTATATGTCAAGCCGAGTTACTTGGTACATCTGATATAAACTATAGAACTGCTAAGTGATGTTGTTAAAAGAAAAGGAAATTTCTAAACTTAATTTTGTCCAAATGTGTGATATAATACGCGAGTAAATCGAACGATTAACAAGTGCTAGAAAAAAGAAAGAGATAGAAGACGAAGACGATGAAAAATTGTCGACAACGATCGTAATCAATTTCTCGTCAGAGTCAAACGGACGTTCTCGAGAAAAGAAAGAGCAAATTTCTATACATCTATATTCAATGAGAAGAATAGGGGAGGGGGGGGGGGAAGGACTGAGATAAGATCTTGCTTATGAAACAGACGATTATGAATCATGAAATAAGATTCAAACAAGAAAGAGAAAAGCGCACTTGTCTTCTTCTTCTTTTTTTTTCATGAAGGTCGCTTCTCAACCATGTATCTCACTCGTAGTACTTCCCTACTTTTGATTAATCAGACGAGATAGATAATGATTTCCTGTTTTTTTGTTCTTAAGCCTTTTTTTAGTTAATTGTTTCTGATAGTTCCATTTTGATTCCTTTTTCGAATAGTCACATATATATATATATAATTTCTATTGAAATGTTGACATGATTTTTGTCTATATTTATCTGGATCTTTTTCAATTAGAATCTCATATTTTTACCTGATTATTTACTTGAGAAATGTTATAATGAAGAGGAAATCGAAGTACATGCTATATTGATCTCAATATGACATTTGATTTAATCAGTAGAAAAAAGGAAAAATTCTCTAAGGATTTGATTGCATATTGATCTATTCATTGCAATAAATCGAACAGATCATTAATGTGTAAATGAAGGGAAAGCCCGAAAAGTATTCTCATGTTAACTTTAACTCATTTGTTCGTATAAGTTGCTCAAGTTGATCAACGATAAAAAAAGCAACTGCTCACTTGATCCATTTTTCTCTCTTTGACTGTTAAAAGAATGATGTCTGTGTTTTCCTTCTTTTTTTTTCTTCTTCGCCTTCTTTTCTTCTTAACGCATATATTTTCTTCTACTTAGTTTTCTTTTTGTCAAAAATCTAATTCAATAGATGAACTTAAAGAATTACACTAGACATTTTTTTTTTCTTCTTCGCTAATTTACTTCTCGTTCTCGTTCACTTATTGTTCGAACACAAAAAAAGATTAGAAATCATCATCGCAGATGAGATCCACTCTCTCTCCTTTTTTTCTCGAGATCGACGAACGCGTATCTATACGCGTCGTTGCATTTTTTTTTGCTAAACTCAATTAGATCATTCATCGTTCCTAGCATCACTTTCCATTAATACTCAAAAGTCTCATGCAAATTCAACTCAACAATATCTTCGGATTAAAGAATAACAGATACAATCGTCTGATTATACATCATATTAATATTTAATCAATCAGATAAAAAAACAAGCCTTTGTATCTGATGAATATCAAATTGATCTCAATTTTCTTCGATTACCCATGTCACACGTGCATGTATCGTGAAATTGAATAAACTAGTCGTTCGACTCGCTAATCACAGACAATTTTGTTCACTGACAGAATGTTCATTCGGTAAAATTAACGCTTCTCGCATCGAGCACTTGCATTTCTAAACATCGAGATTGAGATGGATGAACAAATGTTTGACGAGTTGTTCATTCATGCTATTGTTGATAAAAGCGAACGAGCGTGTTTCCTTTTCTAGTACTGATCCATCGATGAGAGAACCGAAGAAAAAGCCCTTAACTAACTCGTAATTTCATTTTCAGAATCACATAATTCCGCTTGACAATTTCCTTTGCGTACTAACCAACGTAAAAAAAAAGAGAGAAAAAAAATCAATTCTTCATTTCCTAACTCAGTCAAGTGCTTGTCGTCGACTGATACGCAAGATGTATATGTACTCAAGCGCATCATTCTTCATTTTCTATGATAATTCAAGTGTTAATTCAAAAAAGAAGAACAAGAAAAAGGAAATAAAGACGGCGGTTGGAAAATGCTCGTTGTCGTTTTTCTTCTAGGCGACATCGATTTTTTAAGACTTGTCTTTCATCATTAAATACTAATATAATTAACTAATAGGACCAAACATACGAATAAACCTTTCCACACATCAACTATTAGCAGACGGAAAACATCTTACCGACTTCGTCTGGAGATTTCTGTTTTCAAACTTGTCATACAATGATGAATATTGACATCTTGTAATTAAACGATAATATCATATTAGATTTACTCGACATATGTAAAAATCAGTTTGATTTTGCTGTTCTTTATCTAATTATGAGTGAAGAGGATGTCATCATATTGCTTTGGCAAGCATCTGCATCGTGTCAATGACTTGGAGGTAGTTCTATGCCTTGACTCTCATGTTTGGAAGATATAAACGAATGAGATGATTAGAAAAGTCGATAACAAAAACATGCAAGCTTTCCTAATTGCCAACAGATCATAATCAATCTGAGCAATTCTTCGTTGGATATCAAGCCTAGAAGACTTGTTTTTGTCGTCGAGATTGATCGAATATGTTAATACTTTCTTTAAAACGATCGAATGATATCTTAGAAAAATATGAGGAATTGTTTACACAGAAAAAAGGTTTTTTTTTATATTGAGATTTGTTGTTGTTGTTGTTGTTGTTGTTTTATATGTCCTGGATTCGAAGAAAGATCGTAATTATCATCAAATGATCGTTTGAGTTCGTGGAACGAATCTACTTAACGATTGATTACTAATCGAATGCATATTTTTTATTCGTAATTCAATCAGAAGATTAAAAGCTTGAATGAGTTCATTTCCATTTACAATCGAGCTGGAGATGCAATAATTCTTAACGCGTACTGATGAAGTATCACGTTTTCATTTCTTTTTCTTGGATATCAATTGAGCCGATTAAATATCCTCCGTAAATACAACGAGATTTTTACTATAATTTTACTTTTCAAATAGAAACCAAATATCAACTAGTTGAAAGTTTAATGTCGTTCGGTTTGAGAAGGTAGACATGTTTGATCACGTTTGTACTCTGATCGATTCGGATGTTCTTTTTCATAGTTTCGCAAAAATAACCATAAACGCTCAGCAGCTTGTTGTTCACCTTTGTGAATTAACTCAATCAATTGATGAATAATTGGTAACCAGGAAAGATCGTATCGATCCCAAGCAAACCCAAAAGTGATTGCCCGTCGTAAATATGCAAATGAAAACTGACGAAACGACATGTCAAGTTTTTCTAGATGCGAATGGAAAAGTTCTTGGAATGAGGTTAATGTCACATTGAGAATAACTTCGGTTAAAAATCCGACGTAAGCATCGTCAGAAAGACGTTGTTTAATGCAATTATGTGGGAAAATTGTTTTCGAGACATATGGTCGAAGTCTTGCCAATAATGAACGAGAAAAACAAACGCCAGCTCCGTACGTTGCAAATGTAAATGTCTGGCTATGATTTCTAGTCTTCAATCGATGGTTTAGACTTGTTCGACCGATATAGTATGGAGAGAATGGATCGAATTGAGGTAAAAATTTATATAGATTTTCTAAATTCACGTATTGATCATCGTCAAATCGGCACATCCATTCAATATCCGGATTCGTTCGTGATAAATGGTAATAGAAGTCAAATTCATGGGCGGTTTTACAACATAAATCAAATCTACCATGTGTTTCCGAACAGTTCGTTTCAATGATAGTTTTAAACGATTTCAAAACTCTCTTGTCTGTGTATTTTTTTATACGATCTGTGAATAGATAAATTTTCGATTGCTGAGCCAGGCTCGACGATAGCCAACTTTGAAGGAGATAAGTTAAACGTGTTTGACAACGATTCGAAGTACGAATGAGAATGATTGTTTGTGAAATAATATTTGGTGTTAAGGAATGTTCTTTTCGGTTCATAACGGATGTTAACGCCAAAAGAATACTAACTAATAAGAAGATAGAAATCAGAAGTCGATTGCGATGATTTCTTTGGCGGAGCATTGATAAATGAATCAATCAATAGAAGTATGAGAACGATGAAACTCCATATGTGAGGACAGATAATCAATGATTTGCTCTAAAACGTTTCGTGTTGATTGCTTTTTCTTTGGATAAGCAAACTGAAATATTGAAACTTCCTCTTTTTTAAAATTAAGTACTTATATCATAATTTGCACACGATTGTTTGTCAGATATCAAATGTTGCTCGGCGGGAATATTGAATTCCTTCTCACTTGTACGAGCGATTTAAAAATACAAATCCTATGGGTTACCTATTCATTTCCCTTTGTACAGTCTGACTTAGACTTATGTCGAAGTTAGTATCTTTAGTGATTAAGCGCATGCATATTTCAAGTAACAGCATGAGTCGAACTTCAAACAACAATTTCTACTATGTTTTTTTTTGTTCTGAGTATTATGACATGTCGAATAAACTTTTTCTTCTTCGTATGCAGTGAAAATTTCTTTCTTCAAAATGTCGCAACCATGTGCTATTAAAAATTGCAAACGTGCATCCCGAACTTTGTGCCATTGTTGTAATCAAAATCTTTGTCGAGATCATTTTAATGAGCACGACGATCTTCTCAATTCGAAATTGGTTCCTCTAGCTGATGAAGTCAACACATTAAATGATCGAATATCAGCGATCAATCTTGACGACATGATGGATGAATGTCGGCAAGAACTAGACCAGTGGCGTCGTAATTGTTATAAAACTATTGATGATCTATATCAACAAAAATGTCGAGAACTCCAGGAATATGTTAGTACTAAGATCGATAGTCAACAACAAAGTGTCACTGCTCTACGCACACGAGTGGCTGAACTGATCGATAAACAGGAGACAACAAAGAAAGATATTGCTGACGTAACATCGACAATTCATAATCTTGCGCAAAGTATCGAATCAATTGAACAAAACATTGCACAAGTTGATACCACATCATTAAAATTAGATGATACGATGATACGAATTGGAGAGGTAAAGACACAAAGTTGTGTTTTGTTAAAACTTTCCACTCCAAGCCATACGATTGGACGCAGTGGAGCAGCATGGAACGCAGTTGCCGCTAATGACCAATTTTTATTGCTGCACATGAATTCCAAACTATGTTTAGTTGATGATACTTACTCTATTGTGAAATGTGCAAATTGGGAGTATGGCTTAATACTAGGTATGTGCTGGTCGTCATCAGTTAATTGTTTTATCGTGCTCACTAAGCAAAAAATATTTCTTTTCAATGAAAACACAGCGGCCATTAACGAAATTCATAACATACAAAACGGCAACTGGCATGCATGTGGCTGTTCTGATCATTCGTTGTATTTATCACAATCTGACTCGAATTCATCTGTTTTCCAATTTTCCTTACCCTCAACTCATTTGGCAAGGCGCTTGGTGACAAATCAAAATGAAAATCGCGAACAAATAGATAGCATTACATGCAACCGAGGAACAATTCTTTTGGCGTTGAATAACATTAGTATAAAAGCGAAAACAATTCAACTCCGATCAGACAATACCTTTAACATATTATGGTCGTTTCAGCTAGACGTTACTTATAACAGCAATCGTACTCGCTGCTGTTCATTGAGTCAAAATCAGTGGCTCGTTACTGATTGGTATACATCACGTATTTTCCATTTAACACAGAATGGACTACTAAAAGCAACATGTACTTACAGCTCGAGAACGTATGACATCATTTTGTTCCACTCGAACATTCTAACCATTCTTACAGATGGTCGTATTGACTTTCACAGAATATAAATGCACACGTCAATTATCATCGAATAAATCTTTGACTTTTACATGAATTTCTATTTTACTTCTTTTGTCTCGATTAAGAAATAACAACATACAAAGATATCACAAATATACAAATTATCTAAAAGTAAATATTGCGAGAAATCACAATTAACTAGGAACGTTTCTTCAGTTCATTTCCATTGGTTCTACACTGTCGTTTTGTTTACAAAGTAAATTATTAATCACGGTTGCTACATCGCTCTGTTGAAATTCATTTTGTAATGCTTGTAACCGTTCATCAAACGATGCTGCTGAGCCAGTCGATAGTAAACCCAAAAGATTATCGATTTTAGTCAGATCTGGACGAGTTCCGTTGAATTTGAACTAAAAGAAAGCGAGATTATATACTGAATATTATCGTTTGTTCTTTAAACTTACTTGAATCACGTCGGGTACTTTTTCGATTTCGAACTTCTGGTACATTTCTCCTTTATCATGTTGATGACGAAGGAATGAAATAAAGACTAATTTAGCGGGATAGATTTCTTCGCGATATCTCATAAATAGTTTGAAGAATCGCGTCAATGTGCCATCCGCTAACACTGCATTGCTATTCTCTTCTTCGTCTGTAACCATAATGAAGGTTTTGATAATTTCTTTGCTATCAAAATATGGTACGAGACCGGCAGCATTAGCTGTGGCCCCGGTCGCACGTGTTTCGAGAGCTAAATTTAGAACATCTTCGATCGTTTTTGGAGTGAATGCGGGTAGAAACATTTTCGTATTGAAGAAATTTAATTTCGCAGAACAAACTGCGGTTAAAAATGACGACAGAATAGTTGCTGTTCGAATGGCCACCTCCATCGAACTTGATGCATCACCGAGAACAACAACGGGTGATTCCAATGGCAATTTAATGTTTTGCAGTTGAGCTTCAGCAACCGATAAAAGATTTGAATAGAGCGCTGTTTTGTTTGCTTTAGCAGATTGTGTGAGTCGAGTGGTATCTCGTAATGTTTGAAGTAGTAATAGACGCTCCATAAGTTTTCCATACGGTAAATGAATTTGTTCTCCATGTTGAAAACGTTCACTAACGATTTTGTCAACTTCTTCACATTGTAAATCTTCATAATACCATAATATGGTATCTAATGTTTCTTCATAGGATGCAATTCGAGCTTTCGAAGAATCATTAAGTTGATCCTTGAATTGTTTCAAATGTGAATAAGGAATCTTGAACTCTTTCAATAAGATATTGATATTATCAGGAGTGAGATCTCGACAACGTGCTACCATCGTGTCTGCAGGTGCTGGTGTGCCAAAACAGAAAGGTAAGAACCATGGTAAAGCCGGAAAGTCTTTTGTTGGATTAAAATGAACAATATCTGCTAGTTTTCTCCATGGTTCTGTTGGCATGTGCAATGCAAAGTACTCTAATTCTTGCGTAGTTAACGTTCGAGTCCAACGTCGAATGTGACGAGCAACCGCACCACTTGCTGAACCAGTTGCCGGTTTAAGTTTATTCAAATTATCGACGTTATTTTTAATTTTACCTAATTTACTCGCTTTAGGTTTTGTATTGCTCAGTTCGAGTCGTTTTAATTGCTTTTCGTGGGCACGACTTTGTCGGCCTGCATCTAACATGGTTACTGCCTTCAGTACTTCAGTTAGAGTGAATAACTTCTGATGTCGCAGAAGATTTTTTGCTAACTGATGATCGTGTCGACACCATGCCGCAGCTAAAACACACGCTTTCGCCTTTTGTCCAATTTCAACATTGTTTTCACGAAGTGTGAACAAAGCAGCTAAATATCGAGAAAGATTCGTGCTTTGCGCTTGAATATGTTGATCAATTGTAACATTGGCATTGATAAAGAACGGTTTAGGATCAAAATTAATATCTAAATCGACTACAGTGTTGTTTGGAACCACTAGTTGATCAGTATCAATTGATCGAGGACGCGAATGCCGAAAAGTTCCTCGCATTCTACCACGCACAGCAACTCGGCCGCGACTTGTTCCACGACCACGACTTGCTCCAAGTCCACGACCACGACTTGCTCCAAGTCCACGACCACGACTTGCTCCAAGTCCACGACCACGACTTGCTCCAAGTCCACGACCACGACTTGCTCCACGTCCACGACCACGACTTGCTCCACTACCACCCCCACGACTTGCTCCCANCGACCACGACTTGCTCCAAGTCCACGACCACGACTTGCTCCAAGTCCACGACCACGACTTGCTCCAAGTCCACGACCACGACTTGCTCCAAGTCCACGACCACGACTTGCTCCAAGTCCACGACCACGACTTGCTCCAAGTCCACGACCACGACTTGCTCCAAGTCCACGACCACGACTTGCTCCAAGTCCACGACCACGACTTGCTCCAAGTCCACGACCACGACTTGCTCCAAGTCCACGACCACGACTTGCTCCAAGTCCACGACCCCGACCACGTCCGCGATACACTGAAATACATCCAAAACTTAGATTCCTACATATAGCGTATTCTGATTTTAACTTACTTTTTATTTTAATAATGACAATAAATCGAATAGAGATGGCTGAGATGAAACTATTGATAGAAAACCGAGTATCAAAGAAGTACTGTGTTAATGATGCTAGAGAAAATGAATGTTTTCAAACATAATATGTAACTTTTTATATAGTGAATATCATTGCACAACGTTTTCGTAATTGGAAAGGACAAACAATGAAATGAAGTGCAAATCGAATCTTATCGTTGCACTACCTTTGATTTCAAACAGTAACATCGAGTCAGTATTTCATCAGCAATGTTGAAACTATGTGTCACTTCCTTGCTTTGTTCGTTCTTCAATCGAATTTCGTCATGTTTATCTTTCATAGATATCGATACAGTTAACTTGACGGTGAACTTTTCAAAACAAAAATTACAAATTACTGTTTGAAACATTGTTAGTTGACATTGATGCACTTTCTTTACCAGATGATATTAGATTTTGGAGATTACGTGTTTTCACTCGTACCACTATATACACAAAAATTTTGTAAGAATCAAATAAGTTAAATAGAAATCACTACTGAAAACTTATGACGGAAAGATTGTTTATGTTTTTCCAAGTTGAATATACAGCGATATTCATCATTCAAGTATGTCTTCGTCTTTTTCTCCGTATTAAATGATGATATCTCCCTTGTGGTACACAACACACTGATATTTTGATGTCGAGCAATACACTAAGTAGTTTGTACATGGATTCCATGACGATCTTCGGTCAATTTAAAAGACTATCATTACAGAATGATTCATACGAATCAGAGATGATTTCTCTTTGAAATCCAGCTGACAGTGTTTGCCGATGATGCTTATGTTTCAGAAGAGCAAATCGTTGAAAGGTTGATAAGAAGAATTCTGCTAACCTCAACTTAACGTACATAAGTTACAAGAACCTATGTTTTCCCGATAGACGTCACTCGTTATTCTGTTCAGTCGATGAAACTATAAATAGATTCTCGAAACACGATCAATATTTTGTAGATTATTGACGTCAATCGAAGGACAATTCCCAGGTTTTCTTTGACATTCTTCTCAAATTCATTAATCAATGAAAAGTACATTTTTCATCTGTTTTTCTCGAAAACAATCATCGATTCACGTATGACATGTACATATAAGGTTCTTACGAGATATTTTCGTGACTGATCTTAATATTATTTTTAATTTCCAGATAGATTTATTGTTTTTGTCCAACAATTTCCCAAAACGCTTGCCGTCAACCGGTAACAAAAGATGTAAAATGAAAAATATTCATTTACTTGCACCTTCCTGTTAGTCAATGACGTCGTTTCATCGTCAAAATGGGATTTCTCTGTAGACATTCGATATCCATAGTTAATTGTGAAATGATTAAAACAAGTCGAACAATTCTCACGAGAACAGAAAAAAGCGAGAGAGACAGAGAAAGAGAAATCGTATTGAACTACCTTTCCCTATATTATTCAGTCGTTTCAAACTACATATCGACGACAGTTATACACGAGGCACAACTAACGTCGGTATCATGAAGATCCCGGTGTTCTTTGTTTCATTCATAATTACCATCTCATTCACTGGTTCTCTTCAAAGCGAAGGTATGTTTCTGATTTCATTAAACGAATTTTACTTTGAAACTTGTCTTTCATCAGATGGAATAGTTCTCCTTGATCGCTCGCGAGACAAACCTGAAGCAGATGGATTCTATCATTTATCAAACTACGAATTCAATTGTTTTCGACAATTATCTGAATGTTCCCAACACGGTTGGTCATTACGATTCAAATTATACCTCAATCCATTTCAAATCGTCGATCGAGAACGAAAATTGTTAGTATTTAGTAGTGGTGCACATGAACCCCACGGTGATGGCATGTCTATTTATCTTTATCAATCTAAGAATACATCCTATTTGGAATTTGGCTTGAAAGAATTTCGAAATGATCAGTTTGCGTATTTCTGGCAAGTAGACGCTGATTTAGAAGTTAGCAAATGGATCGATGTTGTGACGATTGTTGATCAACGCGTCACAGCATTTGGAAAACATCATCAGATGAGCATATTCTTTGACGGACACTTCTATAAAGAAACACAGATGGAAAATTATACGGAAGTTTTTGCATTTAAGTATGCTGAATTGCATCCAAAAGTGGTGACAGTCTATGGCAATGATACAGGATTGATGAAATTCGATGAATTTGTTTATTATGAACGTGCTCTCTCAGAAGAAGAAATTACTAATGGTTTGTTTTTCACAGAGAAAGAAGAAAAAAGAAACATGTAATGTTCGTGTTTGATTTTAGTATCGTTGGATCGTGTGGCGATGGGTTGTTTAAAAGAAGTTGGCATGATTCATCAATATGTTATTCCTGAAAAATACGATCGATGGCAGCAATGCCGCGCGGATTGTTATGGACGAAAGATGAATGTTTGTTTGAAAAGAAGCTTTGAATTGCTAATACTTTATTCTTTTGAATAGATTGCTTTGTATTCGCCCTCGAATGGTCACTGTGCGTGTATTCAAAATTCGTATGAATTGGACGCCTCATTTAAGTATGATATGACCAATTGTCAGTGTTCATTGGAAAAATCAAGTAAACCGTGTCGTAAGGATGACCAATGGCATGTATTAGCAGTTTCCAATGTAATTGATTTAATCGACAGTGAAGTTGGTATGTATCGTCTGATCTGTTGAAAGTTGAGTATAGTCAAAAGTTCAAAAGTCGAATCTCGATGGAATTAGAACGTAGTCACTACTGTTGCGATAAAGAAGAGAATTGTTATACTTTGGAGTAGTATAATATGTAATTGAGAAACATTTCGAGGTTTCTTATTTGTTGCATAAATTTGTTTAGGCCTCGAGATCCATATGGCTGATTCCAGTTTTCTTACTCATGGTCGAACGCGAGTTCAAATAAATGAAGGCGTCGAAATCGTTGTTTTGATAAAAAATGAACGAAATCTCGCTTCGTTGACTGTCTACGGTGACATCGAAGGACAGGAAACAATGAGTTCCAATAGTTCGAATGAAATATACATTACCCCTGGCGTTGTAAGTTTTCTTCTGTATTAAAAATTTCGATTTAATAATTTCTTCGGAAATCTCAAGGTGAACCTCTCATGGAAAAGTGAAGGTGCAAAGAAAGTACAATTTCGTGCTGATTATCGTCGCGTGGTCAACAATGAGATGGCTGAATATCGTACTGTTTATGCCGACGTTGTTTACGTCAAAACAGATTTGCCGTTACAATTCGTCCACTTCACATCGGATAGTCGTGATGGTCAAAAATATCAAAATTTCACTGTACAAACATTCGGTAGGATATATCCTTACATAGCGCATCGAACTTCTCGGTTTTGTCATTTCTAGGAAGTGTACCAATCAATTGTACAGTTGATTATGGTGATGGACATCGTCAAACAAATGGTACAAGTCGTCATCAATACTACACAGCTTATTTCGCAAGAAATTATACGCGTTATGGACAATACAATGTCACCGCTCGTTGTTACAATGATCGTAGTGATAATAGCACACAGATAACACGTACAATTCGACGAGAGAAAATGAATGTGAAGATGATTGTTCATGAAAATCTCATGGAGACAGACAGTGTTAGCCGATTCAATTTAATATCACGAGAAGACTACTCATTCCGGCATGCCAGTTGTTTACATTTAAGAAACATGGTCACAAATGATAAGATGAAATTGATCTGGCGACGAAAAACTCTAGAAGTTATTCCAAATGATGTATGTAGATCTTTCACAATCTAGTTTCCTAATAAATTCACAATTGTGTATCTAGGTCTTATCCGTTGGCAAACACATGTATCAACTACAATGTGATGATACGCCATTACAAGCTTATTATCTTTATGTTCAACCAGCTGTTCGATCATTGGATATCGAAGCATCACAAACAATCATCAAAAGTGGACAGTCAGTACAATTCTCCATCATACTCGAGCCTACGATTGATCTTACTGTTGTTTTCGATTGTAATGCACCTGGAACTCCATTACAGATCATTTACATTCAAAATGTAACGGATATGTCACCGATCGTCGTAGCTAATTGTACCTATTCTAAAACGGGTCAATACCATCCATTAGTTAGTGCCAACAATCGTATTAACTTAGTCAATCAGTCGATTCGAATCGATGTTGAAGAGCCATTATCACAATTCAAAGTCGAAATCGAAGATCGTCATGATGTTAATCAATTAACATCAGTTACCATACGAGCACTAGAGCGCATTCCATTTGAAGGGGTCTTTACCTTAACCATTGTCGATAGCACGAGTATCAATGAGAAAAATCAAACACGAACTGAACGTATACAATTGTTATCATCGAATGACTTCACCGAACAGTTCTATATGAATATAACCACATACGGCCGACAAACAGTACATGTTCGTGGTGGTGAATTTCCTAACATACGTGAAGCGCAAACAACCTTTACAATTGGAACAGACATCACCGTGAAACCTCAAGTGCATATGGTTAATCAAGTGGCTCTTGTTAATGAAGATTTTGTTTGGGTGGATATTCAATGGATTAACGGAATCGGTTTTGACATTCAGGTTGATTACGGAAATGTAAAGAAAGTTTTGATTCGTTACGGACAAATCATGGCCAGTCAAATGAATCGTATCATAAAGAAGAATGATGGTGAACATCAAATACAATGGAAGCGTCTTACTCGACAACGATTTCAAGTTGGATACAAGTAGGTCTAATTCGCGTTTCCCAAAATTCTGACGCAAAACAAACTCTATCATGTTCTATAGATTCATGAAAGCTGGCACATATAAAATCGATGTTACTTTCACTCAACCATCATCCAAACTTCTATCTGTCGAAATCAAATGTCCAACAGTCACTATCGTCGATGGTATCACTGAACCTGAACGAACATGCTTCCCCGAACAACAGTTTTCTCTTGTTTCTTCCAATGCATTCAATAATGTTACATCTTATTCACCTGTTTTGCTTCTTCCTTACACTCTTCAACATAATCTTGAACCAGTCATTATAAGCAACTGTTCAGAACATGACTTTGTCTATTCATTCTATCTGCTATCCATTGATGCATCACACTGGAAATATTCTCGTACACAACGATATTCTCACTCGATGCATCAATCATTTCAAGAAACATTTCTCTCGAAAGATTGCTCTGAACTTGGTCCAAAATCAACGTTAACAATCGAACCGAAATCGCTTTCCCATGGATATTACATGGCGTCTTTTACTGTGACGACCAGTTCGAATCCGTTCGATTTTCGACAATTTTTTCAACCAATTGAAATCATCCGTTCGGATTTGGAAACAACCTTTGGTGGAAATGATACTTTGACAAATGATCACGATACACTCGAATTAGATTTCTACACAGCAACGATCGATCCCGATACAAAAGAATTCGATCGGCGAAAAGTTAACTTCACTTTGCTCTGTTATCCAGAAGTGTTGCAACCATCGATTTTCATTCCCGATACAATTCAACTTGGTTCGACACGACCTACAGAAGCAAATCCACAAAATCATAACAATTGGTTTATTCAGTGGAACAACTTCTCATTGGTAACTCGTCGTTCAGAATTGAATATTCAAATCTATGAAAATCATTGCATATTACCCAATCCGAAACGAGCGAACAACAAACCGGTGATTCAATTTGATCCTAAGACGAAAACGTTCAATATCAGCGAACAAGATCTCGATTTCAGTAATGGTACACTCTACTTCTTATTGATTATTCGGCATTTAATTGATGGACGACAACTGATTGCACGTTTGGAAGTTGACAGACAAATGAAAATTGTGTTTGAAACTGAAGATTTGAGTGCATTGGAGGACGCCTTGGGCAATTTGGATGATTTAGCTTTGAGTAATCCGAAAAAGGCTGTCGAATTGATTTCAAGTCTGGCTGACAAACTCAACGAGATGAGTGATAATTCTGTAAGTTGAGCGTACAAGTTCTACAGGTATATCGACTATTTCATTCTCATAGACTACCGGAGAAATAAGTGATGCAGATCGAGATGCGATGAACGAACGTATGGCATCTGTAAGTATATCGAGCTTTGGATTGCAACTATGAAGATATTTGTTGGGAACTTAGATGCGATCAAAGATGTTATCATCAATGGATACGGTGATTGATTCATCAAGCGATCCAAATATGGTCGACAAAGTGCTCAAAGCTAGTGCGACAGTCACAGCAAATAGCAATCAGATGCCATTGAATAACCAAGTTTGTGCATCATTCTATTCGGTTGACTTTAATCAAAAAGGTACTATTTGTAGGAAAAAGGCGCTGGTATTATTGAAAAAGTCGGTAATAAAGTGAAAGAAATGGAAACAGCTGATGAAAGTACTGTTACTGGTTTAGCGACCTGTATGTATTTTCCCTTTATTAATTCTTTGATTTGGAAGTATTGAATGAATTGTAGCGTTGATGGATGTTGGCGGTAATGTTCTTCAAGCGGCATCGAAAACAGTCAAGAAGGATAAGGACAACGATCCTGCTGCTGTCATTGAAGTATGAATAAGCACCAGTATTTTTGTTTCAGATGACAAAATTTTTTCTTTCGGTCATGTAGAATCTCGAAGCGGAAATGAAAGAACCTGAGGAGGAAGAAGAAATCGAAACGAAAGTTTTGTATGCCCCAACACAATTCTATGATGATTGTGACGAGTGTGATACTTTACCGGAAGAACGATGGGAAGCATATCGATTAAAACTTGAGGAAGAAAAGAAGGCAATCGTTAAAGGACGACAACGGGTATAAATGTTTACTTTTGTTTTGTGTCTGATTGTTCTGAAAATGTTTGCTTTCCTCAAGGCTTCGAGTATTGCTAAACGTAGTGCTTCTGGCTTATTCACAGTTGGCGATGCTCTAACAAATCGTTCGTCAGGTGATGAACCTAAAACAATCGAAAGCAAATCCATGGCAATGACTTTCACAAAAGCGTCTCCAGATGGTATGAGTATTCTAGTTTCGAAGAAATGTAAACTGTGTGTTTGTATTTCAAGGCCAATCAAGTTTATCTGCTGGTGATACGAATATTCGATTGCCTAGTTTCAACGATCTCAATTCCGAATCCGGTGGTTCAAATGTATTCACTAAAGTGCTCGAATCTAAAGAGAATCCATACGCAAGTGCAAATGGTAATACCGGTGTTCAAGGAAGTGTAGTCACGATTATTCTCTCACGTCCCGATGGATCTGAAATGCCTGTCACAAATACTACCAAACCAATCTCGATTCGACTATCGAGACCAGTCGATAAACAACCTAAATATCAAATTCATGAATCGCACGGCACCACATTTCGTTATCATAAAGTGAATCTTCCCGAAAAGAATATGACCCTATCGATTTATGTTGCTCCGAATTTTTCACCGATGGATAATTATGCTGTTTATGTTTCATTTGGAGAAAATGAAACTTTACTAGAACCACCGACAGAATCGAAATTTGATATGTTATTTGTTTTGCCAAACCGAACAGCGTTGGGTGATGTTAGTTTGGAAGACGAACATGAAATTCGACATACAATCTTCATGCCGCCGAACGTTCACAAGGGTAATGGTACATATATAGTTGGTGTCAAATTACTGAGTATGTATCCTTAGATATACGAAAAAAAAACGGTCTCTGAACAGACTAATGATTTGGTTTTAGATGCGAGTACATCAATGAATCTGACAGAATATAATTCGAGTTATACAGTAAATATGTATGTTTCAAAATGTCAATATTGGGATGAGAAACGATTCATATGGAGTTCAGATGGTTGTCAAGTAAGATCGTTTTTTCGAATTAAATTTTCATTCGTATTTCACTTTGTAGGTTGGACCATTAACAACTCTGAAATCAACAGAATGTCTCTGCACACATTTAACAACGTTTGGTAGTGATTTCTACGTTCCACCGAACACTATTGACTTCAAAACAGTCTTTACAAAATTTAAAACACTACATGAAAATGCTGCTGTATTTAGCACGGTCATCGTGATCTTTGGTTTATATCTTCTTGCAGCGATCTGGGCAAGACGAAAGGATAAACAAGATTTAGTTAAAGTGAGTTTAACTCAACGTGCATGAGTGAAGTTTCATCGATCTTATTCGTGATTTCAGTGGACAGCCGCACCACTTGTCGATAATCTCCCTATTGATAATTATCACTACTTAATTACGGTTCATACGGGCGTAGGAAAAGAAGCGAGCACAACATCAAATGTCAGTTTCGTTATGTCTGGTGAATCATCCGATAGTGGTGTAAGGAAACTATCAGATGGTAAAACTCAAGTAAGTTTGCGAATCATTATTTTGTACTGGGAACAGATTGTGTTTCCATTTCGAATGCTTGCACACTGCTAGTTGTCTTCCGACGGGCTTTCATCGTATACAACTTTTTATATAAAAACTCGATCACTTCGAGAACGCTGAGAACACTAAGACCCAACCATCTAAATGACAGAGAAAACCATGCGTCATATCTCTCTTTCGTTTCACTTACAAACCACTTTGCCCGCCAATATCAGAGATAAATGCCGACCATATATACGTTGCTTTTTCTTCGTAAACGGTTTCATAAGGACTTAAAGGTACGATCGATAGTTTCAAATAATTTCGATCTAAATAGTAACTTGCATTAGCAGAAAAATCCGATTTGACCGGTATCGTCGAATTAGATAGAATCATTCGTCGATAATAATCTTTCTCTGCATCACTCGGTCCTTTCAACGCCGATAAATCACTCGAATATTTATAAATCGTGCATTGTGATTGACAATGTGGACATCGCCGTACTTGAAGATCTGGATCATTTGCAATATGATTTCGTGCTTGAATTGTACACATGTATTCAGCTGTCCATGGTGTACATATTCGAACTCGTCGTAATTGTCCGTCAAGAATCAACTACAAACAAACATATTTAGACATAACTCGCAACAATGATCATTTCTGACTTGATTTAAAAAGAAGTAAACAGGATAGATACATCCGCATTGTTCGTACATGAATGCTTGTTGACACAATTCTAAGCAGACCGTTTCCGAATACGCATAGTCGGTATTGTTATCAAAAAAATTATACAAGGCTTTCATGTCATCGCGAACTTCTTTCGTACATGATGAGTAAGGTGAGCCCAGATAGCTTGAAACTGACTTTTCGTAAACTAATGTATGTTCAAAGCCAGGTGAAAAACGTTTTCCGGCATACCGAATCAATGGTTGTTCACCTGGATGATGCAGAATTCCAGTTAACCCGAGTCCGTACTCTAACGAAGGAAAATAAAGTTCGATGTTGATGTAGAAAGTCATGATGAGGCCATTGTGTAAAGTTTGCGTCTCTCCGTTTACATAGTTTATTTGGAAAAGTTTTGCTGTCTTATCGATTGTTTGCCGATTGAATGTATAGCAGTTGCCTAAAATAGGTGAAATACTTTCCACCCACATTGACCGACAATCGTAACCATTATATGTACAGTCAAGTAGAATATCTTTTAATTGAAATCCGTACGATAGAACTTGTTTCGTTTGGTTGTTATTCATTAGGTCAACTATGTAATTAAATGCGCCGCGGTTGACATCGTCTGAAGTTATAGTTGGTGGGGATGCAGAGAGATTTTTTGCACGAATATAGGCAATCACTGGCATGAAGAATTTATCGAAGCGAACTGGATTTCCACTGCAGATCGTCACAGCCGGAAATAACTGCGAACGATTTAATTGTATCGATACTCGTGTTTGAGTCGGATACGCTAAAAAGATAAGAAGAAAACAACGGAAGTGTTCGCATTTCCAACTCAGCAGATAACTTACAGAAATACAATCGAACGCAGGAAATTATAAAATAAGTCATAACGCCAAAAGCGATACTTCCAATGGCGTATCGAACGATGAAAGTAGCTTGTATTCGGACCATTTCAATAAATGACGTCTTTAATTGAAAGTGAACAATTTACATATAGTTTAGAAGAGAAAATAAAGACTTTTCTTCAAGTAATGGAAAATACTATTTTTTTTCCTGTCTAGGAATTCAAATCTGGCAGTGTCCGAAATTTCATCATGAGTGTTGAAGTTCCACTCGGCCCACTACTTTACCTTCGTGTCTGGCATGACAATTCTGGTATAAAAACCAAAGCATCATGGTACTTGAATATGATCAACGTTTTGGATTTACAAACAGGAGAGAAGTAAGCAGATAAATCGACGTTTTTTCATTGTATTTTCTGCTCTGAAAGAAACTATTTCATATGCGACAACTGGCTCGCTGTGGAGAAAGGCGATGGACTCGTCGATCGTGTTGTTCCATTAGCAACTGCAAAAGAATTGAAAAGTTTCGCTCATTTATTCACCCAATCTGTCAAGAAGAAATTCAGCGACGGCCACTTATGGTTTTCAGTGTTTTCACGTCCAGTACGAAGTAATTTTACTCGTCTACAACGTATATCATGTTGTATTTCATTGCTCTTCTGTACAATGATATCAAATGCCATGTTCTATCGACAAGATACACAAGCCACTGCTAATAAAGCTGGTGTTCTGATGAAAATTGGTCCTATTGAATTTACTTTAACACAACTCTGGATCAGTTTCATCGGCACATTGATTGTTTTACCAGTGAATTTGATTATTGTAACCCTATTTCGAAAAGCGAAATATAGTCAACAGACATTGGTGAGACATCAGTTGAAAGATATCAAACGCCGAAAGAAAGCCGATGAAAAAGACGAACAGTATCGAGAAACATCAAGGTACATACGACTTTCTCATTTATCTTTTCACAAATAAAGTATGTCTATTTAGATTCTTCTCACGGGCCAAATATCGTTTGACACATGCGAAGAAAATAGACGAAGACTCTCTCGAACGTATTGGAGCCATACCTTCAATTGAAGATAAAACAAGAACATTCCCACACTGGACAATCTACATCGCATGGGGATGTAAGATAAACAGAACAAAACGAACCGATTCATTTTCTTATTCTCTCTATTTGTTTAGTGGTTACATTGAGTATTTTAACATGTTCATTCTTCATCATTCTGTATTCATTGGAATGGGGAGCTAAACGAGCAAATGAATGGTTGATAACAATGATGCTTTCATTTGGTCAATCGATTCTCGTCATTGATCCTTTGAAAGTCTTTTTGATTACGGCGATTATCAGCTTTCTTATTCGTCGACCATACGATGATGAAACGCTGGATTTTAACGATCCGTTTACTGGAGCATTGATTTCAAACAACAGCACGGCAGAAAAAGATGGCGATGAAAACTATAATGATATGAAAGTCAAAGGTAAATTAACAAGATTTTTACTTCTTCGATAATGAATGTTTTGTTATTAATTTTAGATATCGCTCGGCAGCGTCGTGTCCGATTATTTGACTTGCGACCAATTGACGCAAAAGAAATGTCTCGTGCACGTGCACAGCGTTTACAAGAAATCAAAATGGGCGAAATCATACGTGAAATCGTTGTCTATACATTCTTCACAATCGTTCTACTATTTCTTTCCTACCAAGCACGGGATACAAACTCCTATGGTCTATATCGTGATACGAAGAATTTGTTCATTACCGATGAGTTTAGAGATGTTAGTTCAATTCGTACATGGTGGGAGTATTGTGACAATGTCTTGTTGAAAGGATTGTATGCACAAACATGGTACAATGATAAACATTTAACATGGAGAGAAAAATTAACAATAGGCAGTCGAGCCTCTATGCGTGTTGGTGCACCACGAATTCGTCAGTTACGTGTCAAGGAAAACAGCTGCCGAGTACATCGTCGTGTGAAACACATTATTTCACATTGTCGAGATGATTACAATTGGTTTGATGATGATACCAAGCACTATTCAGCAGGTTGGGGGAGAGTCTTAACCAACGATGAAGCAAGAATGAGTAATGAGAATAATAATGAAACAAAACGTTGTCGAACACCATGGTGTTATCAGGTAAATTGACAATTCTCCAAGAATCCGTATGTCTTCGTTCGTATTTTGTAGAATAGCGCTCGTACGAAGAGTGGACCGATGAAAGCGCTTTATAAAACCTACAAGGGCGGTGGTTACGTTGTTTCATTGGGTCGAACTTACGAAAAGAGTCGAACAGTGCTCGAACAACTTCGTTCATTGAACTGGCTCGACCAATTGACTCGTGCGGTTGTCATTGATTTTTCACTTTACAATGCCAATGTGAATCTTTTTGTTGCTGTGACGCTTTCATTCGAAATGACATCCATGGGCTCTGTTATTCAAGACCATCAAATAAAAATCTTTCGATTATATGATCATATCGGTGGTTACGGTATGCTGGTATATATATTCGAACTGTTGTTTGTTATTTTTACAATCTACTCAACCGTTCATGAACTGTCGTTACTTATCAAGCAAAAACGAGCATATTTCCAAAAATTTTGGAATGACATCTCATTTATTACCACCATATTGAGTATTTCAGCAATAGTCATGTATGGTACAAAGAAAACACTAACAAGACTAGCTATTCGATCATTGAGAAAGACCGAAATGGGTAAATTGACATTCAATCAAACCAATATACATGCTCACTATCACTTTGTGTTTAGGCGAATTCGTCAACTTCAATGCCATCGGAAGTTTTGATGAAGTATACTCATACATCGTTGCTTTGATCACATTCTTTACTATGTTGAAATTCTTGAAACTACTTCGATTCAATAAGCGTATTGGAATGTTATCGAAATCACTGCATTATGCTCAACAAGATTTAAGTTCATTCGGATTCGTCTTCTTGATATTTATGATTGCTTATGCAGTTATGGGTTTTGCTGTATTTGGTCGCTCACTTGAATCCTACAAGAGCTTCTTCAATGCCTTGACAACATGCTTTCGAATGCTCTTGGGTGAAATTAATGCGCCGGATATGTTCGCTGTTAGTCGACTCTACGGTAAGCTCGGCCAACAGAATAAGGAAACGTTCTTTTAACTAATGAACTTTTGTTTCAGGTACATTCTATTTCATGTCATTTATCATTTTGGTCTTTATCGCATTACTAAGTATCTTCTTAACTATGTAAGTATCCGATTGGTTATGATTGATAACGAAGTCTGTTTTCTAGTTTGAATGATTCGTTTGCGCATGTTAAACGAGAATTGGCTGCATCGCAACAGAAGAATGACATGATGGATTTCATGTGGTCTGCTTTCCGCAAAGTGGCTGGAGTAAACAACAAAAAAGTTGATGAAGATGACAATGACGCAATAAAAAACGAAATTTCATCCATGTTCAGTTCAATGAGCAAAACCAATGATGCACCATTGGCGCAATTTGATGGCGATGACCTTTAACTAACATTTGACATTTATTTAACAGAACACAAAACTTTTGATTATTTTATTCTAAGTTTCAGCTGTACTTCTGTCTACTTATTCTTTACACATATATATCTATTCAGCTAAGAAAAGTTTTCGTCAATAAAATTGGCTTACGCAACAAAATCACCAAAGTCTTTCGATTGATTTTCAAACTGATAATCTCAATCTTACTATGTCGATTTACCATCTTTCTGCTATTGGAACTACAGTTAGCTTGATAGTTGGAATGTCTTTCGTTAAAACAGCGTGATGCTCCGGATAGATTGTTCATATCTTCATAGCATAGGGCAATATAGAGATGATCAGATGATATATTGTGTCGGTGAAGTTCGAGTGCTCTAAGCTGCCATTTTAAGCCATCTACCAGCACGCTAGAATTTCCGAAGCAACAAGTGATCGCCATGAGATATTTCGAAGTTGTTTCGTAATCGAATAGTTTGAAATTTTCTAAAATTGACAAAACATCTTTGTAGAACTGCGATACTTGATGAGGACCGTCTGTACGTGTAAAGAGCGTGATAAAGATAGATAAGAGCAGTATCAAAATTTCCCTTGTCACTGTACGTGCTACCAATATTTCAATGATATTTGCCTTGTGTAGACTGTCATTTGGATAGTTTATCTCATCAATCTTTAATACATGTTGATAATATTCAAGTGTCTGGTCGTGGTCATCTTTTACTTTATAGATAGCACCGAAATTGTCGAGAAAATTAGCGATATGGGGATGATTTGGTGGCAATTGTGTTCGACGTATTTCATAAGCGATCTTATAATTCTTCAGTGCCAGATTGCACTCCCGTCTGTCTCCGCGCACGATACCAAGATGGCTGTGCACAGAGACGATATCTGGATGATCTGCTGGAAGTGATTGAGGTGACAAAACTGATCCTTCGGATAAATCTTTCGGTGACGTTTGTTTTCGAAGAGAACAGCACGGACAGACTGACTTCAAGTAACATTGTCCGAGTAAGAACATGATCATTTGACTGGTTCATATCTTGATCGAGCCAAATAAGTTGAGTAACTTCTTTGATGTCGGGAACTTCAGGTAGAAAAAGATCGTGTCGTTTTGTGTCAACCATAATAGATCTGAGAAGTGAACTTTTCATAAGTACATAATATCTGTCTTCCTTGATGAAATAACTTTCATGAATCCATAAGTCAATTCTGAAAGCAACATGTAGATGTCTCGTATTCATCGTGCTGACGTAGTATAGAAACAATCTAACGTCTCATTTGTTCATGTTCGAGAAACAGAAACTTGAGAGTACCTTTATAAAAGTGTGAATTCGTAGAGAGCCATCTACTTGTAGATAGTGTATGAATTATACCAAAGATTTATCCCAAGCTAAAGGTAGTTCGTGTGATTCACAACGACCTCTTTCTTTTCCGTTTGAATAGGATCTATGAAATGACCATTAAGCATAAGAATAGATCATATTAGTAAATTGTACAAGTCAAACTATCTCCATAGGAAAAAATGCGTTCATTGAGATATATTCTTCGTCATCGTAAAATTGACGAATTTAGTACGTATGCATATCGCTGGTTATACTCTCGTGCTCAATATTTACATCACCGTTCTCAATCGCATATCATATCCAAATCATTATTTGGAATATTTCGCTCATTAGTCGAACGGTATCATTGTCATGTTCCAATGGAATATCTCTGTGGTTCAGCAATGTTTTGTAATCGATTATTCATTGTCAATCAACATGTACTTATTCCACGTCGTGATTCCGAAACCCTTATTCATCATGTTCAAGAACTATATCGACATAATCATGATAGTAATGTATTTAGCTAAGATATTCATACAACTCTATTTCTTTTTAGTTCAATCTATGCTCGAGATTGGTACTGGAAGTGGATGTTTATCGATCACTCTCTCTCGTCTTTTTCCTCATTGGAAGATTAATACATGTGATATTAGTCCATCGGCTCTAAGAGTTGCTCGTAGCAATGCCCACCTTTATCATTGTCATAACATTCAATTTCATCGTGGTAATCTTTTCGATACTCATTTTCTAGAAAATACTTCCTACAATTTGATTATATCCAATCCACCGTATGTTTCTCAAGATCAATTATCGGCTTGTAATTATGGGATCTTTCACGAACCATCAATTGCTCTTTTCGCCAATCCACCATTGAAGTTCTACGCAGAAATCATTCGTCGTGCGATAAATGGCTGGCTGAAAGATCAAGGATATCTTGTTTTTGAATGTTCTCCGTTTAACGTCATTCCAATTCAAGAATTACTCAAGTCTCACTTCGAACAGATAGAAATTCGATACGATGAGACTCACTTAGCGCGTGTGATTTCTGCAAAACGAAAACAAGAATAACCTTTATTATGAATAATAAAGTGAAAGAGCACAAGTCATGGTTACAAATGAAATAAAGAAATAAATATTAAAATTAATATGAAAGATAAAATATGAAAGAACAGCTGTAACGATCAATGAAAACGAAATAACAAAGAGTCGAATAATGTTCGATGAATGTTTAATAACTACAGACATAAACAGTCCGTTCAAAGCTTGCGTGACCACAATTAACCAGGTATAAAATGAAAAGCCACGAAGTGGATTAAATGATCGGGTTGTATGTAAAGCTACGATTGCTGAACCCATCGCCGGAATGAAATTTAGTATTGTACCATACGAATAAAGAAAAAGATTTTGTAAGTGTAATGACTCGCTATAATGTTTTTTAAGAATATATTCATTATAAACACCAGCTAAGCCACTCAATGTACAATAGATAGCTATCATTGGAATACCAAATGGATGTATATACATTTCACGCATCTGTGTCGATGATGTCGTCGATCTTTTGGATGTAAGCGATGAATTTTTAATTGTTCCTAAATAAATCAAAAGTATGCAGGACAAATTCAAATCGTTTCTAACGTACCAATACTATACGCAAGTCCACCGAAGAATAATAATGATAATGCAAACCATTGTTGTCTGCTTAACTTATGCTTAATCAATAATCGATAGAGAATTGCAGTTGTAAAGATTTTAAAATTGGCCAAAATTTGATAGGACGCCGGATCCATATAGAGTTGCATATGAACAGCAAGGTTGTTATTGATAAAATATAGAATAGCCGGCATTGAATACGGTAATGATTGTCGAAACCATGCGACGTATTGCGGTAAATCCGGTGAGAATTTTATTGTTGTTGATGAGTAAATAACTCCGATGAATGAAAAACATAATTTCACAAATTCCAGAATGAAATTCATTGCTGTGGACGAGAATGCTATTGCGTGATTTTCTTCGCAAAGATGAACTAAGATCGAATACGATCCGTAGGCAATAATTTGGAAAAAAATCATAGCCCGAAAAGCAATCGATTGCAAGACTTCTTCAGATTTTTGCTTTAAATTTATAACATCCTCTTTAATCGATAAGATCAATGTTTTACCCGCATCATCGTGATGCGGAGAATCAGCCATAGCTAAACCAAGATTGGTAGTACTACCAGCAAGTTGCATCTTTCGATGAGATGAGAGAAAGAAAAGAAAGAAATGATTTTCTGGTACAGAACTGAATAGGATAAGTCGATGTTGACCGATGCGATGATAGGAAATGCTCTTTCTGTTCTGTTACGAAGAGGAAGTATATATAGTCTACATTGCAGTAAAGACTATGTGGGTGGCCAGCTGTTTTGTTTGGATAGTTATGTTTCAAACAAATAACATCTGATACCAATGATAATGATAGAAATTAAATAATAATCATTGTTTTCCGAGTATCCGTAAAGAATGTATGTGAACGAGTGCATCACAAAATTCCATATACTTTTGTTTAAAGGATATTCGATATTACAGGCAGACTGTTACAATAAATCTATTGGCAACGGCATGTTTCTAGAGTTAATACAAACTACGTAAAGAAAAAGATATATGTGGTCTCTTACGAAAGACGCCATTCCGATCATTCGGTCCATCTGCTACACAATTTATGTCAATTAGGTCGACTTCATTTGGGTATGAATCGTTGTGCTGTAAGAATGAAATTGACACACCTCACTTTGTAGCATCTTTCAAATGATTTTTAACAAGAAGAAACTTTATTAAGCAAATATATCTAAAAATTCATATGTACCAAAGAAGAAAACGAATAGCAATTCACTTCTATTTAGAAACTGACGTACAAAAATTAAGCAAGAATATGCTATCAATACAAGTACAAGAATTGTCAAATTATGAGGATAAATTTGTGTTTACTAATCTCAAGTCATCTTCGGTTACATTGGCAATATTCATTGCTTGTTGAATTTTTCTTTCTAATTCTCGAACCGCTTTCTTCCGCGAATCTTGTTCGAGCAATAAGGGACGTTGTTGGACACGTTCTTTCATTTCATCTAGTCTTTTTGCATAATCATCTTCACTTCGCCGTATCGATTGTCGAAGTCGACGGGTCTGAAAGAAAAGGAGGAAATGTTTCAGAAGACAATAACAACGATTTGAATTTTACGTTTTCATCGCGTTTTGCTTTAGCAAGAACGGTTTTATTTTGTAATTCACCTCGTTGACGGATGGTTTCTCTCACACGTCGATCTTTGGCTGATTTTGATCGTTGATGTACTTCCGCTATACTATTTCGTACTTCTTCTTCTCGTCGTTTTTTCTTTCCGACTGCTTCTCGCAATCGTTGTGCTTCAGTTGTTTTCGTTGGAATCGGTTCTGATTGTTGAAGACTAACGGATAGATTGGCAATGGATGCTGATCTCGTTGGCATTTGTTTGCCTTTGATTTGAAATGTTCGTGCGTGTCGCATATGTGCATCATTTCGAATATCATCGAGGATTTTATCCTTTTTCGATGGAATCATATTCGTATACAATAGAAATGGTTTACACTTCGTCGGCGATCGTGTACGTTTTCGTTCTTCCATTGAGCGCAGGAATTTCTCATAATTTTTATCATAATTAGGTACGTAATAACCATTGGTTTTAGGTTTGAATGCATGTTCTTGATAACGAAATCTTGCAGCATCATTGGCACTCTTCGAACGACGAACAAATTTAGGTTTTGTACTGCTAAAAGGTAAACGAGATTGACGAAGTAATTCCTTAGCACGAATATCTTTTGTAAATGAGCGTTGCAATTCTCTCTCTTGTGATCTACAATAACAGAACAAGGATCGAAATTATAGGAAAGGAATTCACATGTCATTTTACAATTCGTTTTGTTCTCTTTGTTGATAATAAAAATCTGGCAGAGGTTTGGCTTTAAACTGTGGTTCGGATCGAAGTAGATCACCGTCTGCAAATGAATGTCGCCGTATGATCGTTTTTGCTTTTTCACGCGATTCGAAAGCAAACGGTTTGGATATGGATGCCAGATATTCTTTGGTCATTTGTCGAGTGTTTTCACTTCGAAGGCGTTGATCTTCTTGCATCTGTTCGTAGAGTGGTAGATGGACATGAGCGGGAACAGTATTTGCTATACAACGTTACAAACGACAGTAGTTTTCAAGGTCATAGACAAGAAGGTTTACCTTTGAATGAATAGCTAAGATGTACTTCGTCATCCACTTCTTTTTGTAGTTTTGCAGCTTCAATTTCATACATACACTTTCTTCGATGTACACTGTCCATATTCATACTGTTCGTGAGAGAAAATGGTTCCGGAACGGTTATGCGACCAGCCCAACTAGCTGCAGTATCCGAATGACGATTTCTATGACATAGAGTTTTAATGAATGTGCGCAATTACAAATGAAAAGTTTACTTTTTTTGATCCAAATAATCTTCTAATTCAAATTCATTCCACATACTTTTGATTTGATTTCGAACATGGTCTGTTGTTAGATCGTGTACAGTTGTTGTGGTGTTTCCGATCGATGTTCGGTGTGGGCAAAAGGCGATTTCTTCATCATGTCTTCGAACAATATTTACAGATGTGGGACGATGGTGAATACGATGTTGTGCGCGTTGTTCAGTCAAGAAAACAGGTGCAGCAGATGAACGAGATGCTTTGGGTAAAGGTGGTTTTGATGTGACTAATTTCTCTTGTTTTCTCGAAATGTGTTCATCACGCGAATCACTTGGGAGATCAAGTGTTGCCGATGTTGCCAGTTGGTTGTAATAATCATGTTCAGCTTGTACTAGTCGAACACGTTGCTCCCGACGGAGACCTTCGATCGTGTCCAGAAACGATCCATTATCATTACGATTGTCATGCTCAACTTTGTTACGTAGTTTTTGTTCATATTCATTGTAGTCGGATGCGCTCTTGGCAAGCGAAGGATAGGACTGGCTGAGTTTATCGAAGTTATTATGAGAATTATAATGATCAATCAAAGTAGCACTCGTCATCGTATTAATTTCAAAGTTTGTAATGAGGAAATAGAACCCAAGACGACATTATTTGCTTCGTTACTCAGGATATTGTCGATAGCAACCTCTAGACTTTTACTGAACCATGTAACATAGCGACCTCTAATGATAAGCATCTTTTGTTCTTATTAAAAAAAGAAACTTTTATAAAAGATAGATGATCTTAATCCAATGAGTCGGATTTGAAGACATTCTGACTGATAGATGGCTTTTGCTTAATTACGTATAGTGACAGTATGTGTGAATAAAACAAAAATTATCGAACGAGCAAAATAGTCATGCCACTTGAACAAATACTCATAATCTAATAACAAAGACTCTATAGAAACATTTTTTTTCTACTGACACATCATGTCTACAAAAGATTCTTTCTTTCATATCTTCTATAGTCCACAAAAGACAAACAAGAAATAATGATGCTTAACATGTGACTGAAACATTTGATAAACTTTTTGACTGAGTTAATTACGAATGTAATAGAAGGAATGTGTGATTGTGTCATCATCGCTTCGATGAAAAGGACTGAAATCCTTGGAGAAATAAACAAACTATCGACAAAATGCTTGTTTTGTTTTTCTTTTGCTGTTTTTTTTTATTGCCGGCCACGAGAAAGAATAAACGAGAGACAAATAAACAATATGGATGATATATGTAAATAGAAAAAAAAAGAAACTAGAACGATCAATAATAGATAAAACGAAAAAAGAGACAAAAGTAATATATGTATATATTCATCATCATCATCATCATCAACATATTCAGAAATAGACAGTACGAACGAAGTAAAGGGACAGAGAGAAAGCAGAGAACATCTTTTTTAGCTGCAGTTACATATTTTCATAGTTTAGTTTTGTTTTCCGAATTAAAAATAAACAATCAAATGAAAAGAAAAGAAAAGGAGAAAAAAAAATGGAATTTCTATGTGCGCTGATGCACGGCCGATAGCTGATCTTTCACGTTTATATGCATGTTGTTTAGTTTATTCTGTAACGACATCGAACAAGAAAGAAAACGGAACGAAAATCAAAGAGTAGAAGAAATCGCAAGAAAGAAAAAAAAGAAGAAATATAGAAGATAGATTTAGTTTTGTGTGCATAAATATCAGCCGGCATATTTCATAAAAATTCTTCTGGTATTCATAGTTTTTTTTTCTCTTTCTAGCAGCAACCACCGCTTTGTTGAACTGGTTTGCCAGGTGAAGCAACGTTCACACCTGATGATGCTTTACCCGCTGGTCCCGGTTGTACTGACGACATACGAGACTTGATTTCGGTTGCCATAGTCATAAATGCCTGTTCGACATTGGTGGAATTCTTGGCTGATGTTTCCAAAAATGGTATGCTTAATGAATCGGCATATTCCTACGAGAGAAATATGTAGAAATTTTATTCTGATCGCTTCTAACGGCCTACTTTTGCTTTTGAATATTCAACAGCTTTTTTAGCTGTCAAATCACATTTGTTTCCAACCAATAATTTGTTGACGTTTTCACTAGCATAACGATCAATTTCTTGGAGCCACTGTTTCACATTATTGAATGATTCCTAGACAAAAGACAGTTTACTCGGTCGATGTTCTTCAACTTTATCGATCAAATTACTTGATCTGTTACATCGTAGACAACTATAATACCATGTGCACCACGATAGTAGCTGCTGGTGATAGTTCGAAATCGTTCTTGACCAGCGGTATCCCACTAAAAGGAGAATATAACAATACAAAAAAATCCATTCTCGTTATGCAAAAAGTTTCCACATACAATTTGTAATTTGATTGTTTTACCATCGAGATCGATTGTTCGAATTTTCTGAAATTAGCAGAATTATTTTCCATCGCTAGAAAAGACTTTCGTTCAAAACTTACGAAATCTACACCAATGGTACTGATATAACTTTCGGTATATGTGTCATCCTGAAGGGAAAAAAACGAATCACTGATAAGAGTGTACTTCTCTTGATTATCTACTCACAGCAAACCGTAAGAGGAGACATGATTTTCCCACGCCAGAATCACCAATGAGTAATAGCTTAAAAAGGTAATCGCTAAAAATAAGATTATTCCATTGTACTTCTTTGTATATCAATAGTCGCATGACTCACTATTCGGGATTCATTGTGATCGTTAATTATTTAAATTTGTTAGACGTTTTCTTCAATGATGGAGATCTCCGTTTGATCTGAAGATAAACTTATACGAAAGATATGAAAACTGATTATCAACTGGCGTTGAATAGACAGGTGAGAATAGAAGGGTGATGATGATGGTGATGATGATGACTCGTAGGCTGTCTACGTTTGATGTCAACCTTTCCAAGACAAGTTTAGCCACCATGAAGGTCGATTTTTTTTATTATCAACAAAGTATTCATCAAAATTTATAAAAACTTACTATTTCAAAGTTAACTATTCAAAGACGATCATAAAACATGTTCTAAAATCAAATGCATAATTAATTTGCAAATATTTACATCAATGACTATTCTATTGGTCCATTGAACAACCAATCATATATAATGGATCATCCGAGTACGTACTATTGAGCTGAACGATAAATTGTCGTATGATTTCTATTTCGCACAATTTATTATTCATGAAAAAATACATACATCGATAGAACTAGATTCAATCCAGTAAAAAAATATATACAACACACAATCTGATTTGAAAACATCTGCATAAAGTTTATTTTTCTTTTGTTTTCTTATTTGGAACATTTTCTGCCCGAGACACTGTCGAGATTCCATTGACGAATTTCGTTGTAAATAACACATTGGCATTGGAAAACATTCCATCTTTTAATGAAACAATAATAAATTGTGCATTGCGAAAACTTTTTCGTATAACTAAACCAATGTTTTGCGTATGAGACATATCTAAAGCAGCATCAACTTCATCGAGAATGTACAATGGAGCTGGACTATATTGAAGTAAAGCGAGAACTAGTGAGAGACCAGCTAATGAACGTTGACCACCACTTAACTCATCTAATGTTTCCTTCCACAATGAGCCGAATTGAACTTTGATTTCTAAACCAGTTAATACCAAATCCTTGGGAGCTCGGTCGGCATCATAGTGGCCATTAAGAGATGTTAATTTTGCATTGGCATTATGAAGTAATGTGGAAAATATTTCACCGAAGGATTTATTTACACGCTGCCAAGCAATTCGTAGAGCTTCTTGCTTCTTCTTGTCCCATTCAGCAACGACACGTTCAATATTCGCTTTATCCTTCAATACTTTCTTTTGCTTAGTTAATAGCTAAAACGACAATACGCATATTTGCGATCGATCGGGAAGAACGTCAAAGTACACAAACCTGTTTGTACATTGCTCGTTTTTGTTCTAATAAGGTCATTGCTCGTTCGTCGACATGTTTACTCATCTTCGTGACTTTTTCTTTGTCGTCCTTGGCATCCTTTTGCATTCTGGCGATGTTCATTGAAGCGAAATCGTATTGTCCGCCAGGTACACCAAACTTCTCTTTTTCTTCTTCAATCCATCGACCGTGCTTTTCGATAATTAGTTGTCGTCGTCGAACCGATTCTTTGACGATATTTTGTAAATCAACAATGGAATGTTTATTCTTTTCTAATTGTAATTCGATTTCACGACGTTCCTTGATTAATTGTTGTTCTTTCTGATGCAAAGAATGAATACGATTGTTGTATTCAGTTAAACGCGAACGTTTCATTTGCAAATTCGATAATAACTTATCGACTTCACTTTGCTTCTCTGCCAATGCATTGGTCGACTCATTCGACGACTGTGTACACGTTTCTATCGTTCCTCGCAGAGTATTCATGTCCGAAGTCAATGTTTCAAGTTCAGTTCGTTGAGTATCCAATTGCATTTCCAAATCTAAAGGCAAAGATTGCAGAAATCAGTGTGAACCAAGGATTCGATTTACCTTTGATTTGCGTCTGCATATCTCTCGAACGTTTTCGACTTGACTCGACCTGTTTTTCAGCTTTTTTCATCAATTGTTCGATTTCTGCTAACTCCTTTTTCTTGGCTTCGCCTTCATTCTTGAATAATCTTTCCAATTCATTGATTTTTTCTGTAAGATTCTTCTCTTCTTGCCGTTGTTCTTCCAATTCTTTCTTGTTACTGATTTCTTGTTGTTCTAACGTATTGATATCTGTTTGTAATCGATGCTCATCGTTTTGTGCCAACTTCAATTCCAATAACTGCAGTTCGTTGGTCAACGAGTCAATTTGTTGTTGAAAATTCTGATACTGCACATAGTCACGTTCGAGTTTCGTTAACTCTTGTCGATTATTCGTATTGTACTGCCGAATATGTTCTTCCAATTGGTTCATTTCCGCGACAATCTCAAGTAATGTTGGTCCACGATTCGCTCCGCCGCGATCACCGCCGGACAGAATACCAGCTGGATTGTAAACATCACCATCAAGTGTGATTGCCATGGCATTTAAACCTAGTTTCTCGTCGAACGCCACTCGTTGAGCTATAGTTGAGTTCGCACAAATAACCGTCGAACCAAATACGTAATTCATCAAGGTTTCATATTTCGAATGATTGTAATTGACGAGATCCTTTGCTAAAAAGATCGCATTTGGATCGCCAAGTTCGCGTCGTGCTGCTTCGATTTTATTCTTTGGAATTAAATTTGATGTTATTCGATTCAATGGAACGAATGTAATACGCTTTTTTAGATCACCATATTTAAACAAAAGTTTACCTGAATAAATAAAAAAAAAGCCAGCTATGGTTCCATGCTCACAAAATTTTTCTTTTACTTGTTTCATCAGTGTCAACAACAACGTTGAACAGTTTACCACCGGCTGTTAATTCTAATGCCTGAGCATACTTTTTGTCATTTATGTTGAATAATGTTGCTACTAAACCATGAACATGTTTGACTCGATCGAAATTTGGTGTTGGATTTGTGTATTGAAAGTCTAATTGATGATTTTGACGTTTCATTTGTTGCAGACGATTTTGATCGCGTGCCATATTTTCATCATCGGCTCGAACATCGGCGCGAATTTGTTTCAGGCGTTCAACATCAAATTGTAACTTAGCTAGATCTTTTTCACATTGAGTTAAAATGCCTTTCTTCTTATCAAATTCACTACGCATCGAAGAATAGGTGCCTTGTTTTGATGTCACTGATTTCTGTTCGGTGCGTAGTTTTTTTAATTCACCAGCGGAATGATCAATCTAAACGAAGAAAAAAAGAACAATGAATGTACAAGAAGGAAAACGACTCACTCGTTGTTGTAATTGTTTGATTTTTGTTGCAATCTCTCCACGTTGTTCTTTGTATTTGTCCAATTTTTCTTTATTTGTCAAACGACTATCATCATTGGGTCCAACAACTGCTTGTGAACTACTTTCAACCACAGCTGTACCCGTGCTAACAGCTTCATGACGCCGTTGTAGTTGTTTTACATGTTCGGCATCTGTAAGAACTTTTTTATCTGACTCAGCTAGTTGTTCACGACTGGAATCGATATCTTTCTCTAATTGTTCAATCGAGTTTGTCAATTGTTTGTGTTGTTGTTCTGAATCCGACAACTGTTGTTTGTACTGAGTCAATTGTTTCGACAGTCGATCGTTTTCATTCGTTGCATTGCGAAGTTCGACCAGTTCTTTATCATAAACTGTTTGTAATTCTGATACTTCATTGCCAACATCTACAAAAAACAGATCTCTATAAAAGAAATTTGTCGTGCCACTAATTATTTACTTTCGTTTCTCTCTTTCTCAATACTTTTCACTTCAGCATGAATTTGTTGAATCTCTTCTGTTATATCACCATTTCGTTCTTGATATTCACTAGTTTGTAATTCCATATTTTCTACATCGATTTCTGTTTGTTTAACCGATGTTATCAATTGCCAGTATTCGTAAGCAATCAATTGATCGTTAACTAATTTATAACGTTTTTTCAACTCAGTATACATTTTATAGTTTTGTTCATCTTGTTGCAATTTATTAATCGTTGGTGTAATATCAGTATCGATCGTTGTACGAATTTCTTTTAATTTATCATCTTTTTTAGCGATCGTTTTCAAAGCTTCAGCTTTCTTTTGATCGTACATACGTGTACCAGCAGCTTCTTCGATGAGACCAAGAATTTCTTGCGGCTTGGATTTGGACACTTTCGTCACTTGACCTTGTAAGATGAGAAAGCGTGGATTGTTCACATTCAACGAAACCGATTTGAATAGATCATGTATCGCTGATTGCGTAGCATTTTTTCCGTTTAACAAATATTTCGACTTGTTTGATTCAACAATACGTGTAACAGTCAATTCATCAACTGAAATGAAAACAAAAATTTTATGTTGATATCAAAAAGTCAAATGAACATACACATTTTGTAACCATCAGGGGCTTGCTCTTTATTTCGGTTATCGAACATGATGGAAACACTCGCTCGTGTAACACCAGCAGTACCTTGTTTATAGATGAAATCCGATAACGCTTGAGCACGAACTTGAGAGAGCGATGTAATGCCCATGACAAAACATATTGAGTCAAGGATATTGGATTTTCCACTGCCATTTAAACCTGTTATAGCATTGAAATATTCATCAAAGGGGCCTACGGTTGTTCGAGTGGCATAGGATTTGAAACCTTCAAGAACAATTTCACGGATGTGCATCGTGAACGTTTAGAAACAAGTTATCAAATGAACTTCAGCTCTTATTGATTGAATTCAACGGTTTTCTTTCTTTCAATTCATAAAAAAGAAGATCGGAAACGACAAATCAATAGTTAGCGTAGATGGCGTTGTATTATCCTTTGAATCGCACATGTTACTTTCTTCTTACTGGATTGTTCGACCCCGGATGGGATGTGTATTCCATATAATCTGTCGAGGAAACAAGATGACACCATAAAACATCGACCTAAATCATCCTGCAGTACATACTTTATGTCTTATATGACCAATACAGCTATCCTTTGTATCTCAAAGGTAAATCGTTTCCCCGTGGTGCCTATGATGCCTGGCCGTCAATTTTACGTCATGATCTTAAAGTGCATAAAGAACAAAACTCTATGAAATGTTCATGTACCTACGTAAGATATGTGGCTGTACATTAACGGGAAGTATCATCGGTAGAACTCAATTAACTTCTTCCATATTAAAACTGCTTGATGGATTTGTAAGCTTCACATAGTTTTTCTTTCAAAGGCGGGAATAGAAATGGATTTCCTTCATTTTTAGAAACCAGCTGGATACTGTCGCCTAGTCATTTGTCTGTAGTTATTTTTTTCTATCTGTTAATGTCAAAATATTCTTTTCTCTTTACATAGAGGAATTTTAGAATTATAAACAAATAAATTAAGATTCCCTTAAAAACAAAAAAGAAGACAGAAAGCTTTGATGAATTATTGGAATTATTTTTCGTATGATTGATAACGATGGAATCTTCTTGTCAAGAGTTCTATTGTTTTTCAGTGGAACATTCAAAGATTTCACGTGTTGATCCCGCGTGTTTCTTCTCAAGTCGTTCAATCTTGTTTTTTTCTTCTCGCTATGAAAGTCCTGCACAAGAATATTCTCCACTTTAAAGAAGTATATTTTTCCGAATCAATTAAACCGATAAGATATTTACGAAATCATAGGATATATTCTCCTAATGTTCTTCTATTATCAATATTTAGAAAAGCAGCGCATACACGCCAGTATTGAACTTTTTCACGCTGCAAACAACAAGAAAAAATTGAACAAATATACATGAAACATTTGCATGAAGATATTCTGACGTAATGTGACCAATTAGTAGAATAAGTGAATAGACAGTCAAAATATAGACATGGGTATAGTATGCGTGTTGATTGAGCAATATTTCAAAAATTTCAGTCGATATGTGGAGAATGACAGTAGAAAGAGAAAATTTATTTAGAAAACTCGATATCATGCATGGATTGGCTAATTAGCATCCTCACAGTGGTAAAATAAACGAAGCATATCAAAGAATATTCTAAGTAGAAATTGAATGAACTTTTTTTCGCACGTTTCAAAGTAAGAGATCGAAGGAGAAAGTAGATCCAACACTTATCTCCTGACATTGTAGAATGAAAAAGAGGGTATCAATCGATGTCTTACTTTGTTATGTTTCAGAAAGCAATTTTTCACAAGGCACATATGAGCTTATCGATTTTTAACTCTACAGGTAATCTTCATCCTCAAGATGTGATTCATACCTGTAATTCTTTATCCAATGGAAGTAAATATGAAAACGAATAACTATTTATTGATACTCAAAATTCATCTTTTTTAAATTTTAACTATGCGTGAATTACAGCGTGATACTTGATTGACTGTTATTATGATTTTCATTTTAATTTTCAACTTCATCATCTTTGCACTGTTCAGCCACCTAGTACTATCACGTCGAACAGAAATACTACTTGTCAACAAAATGCCTGAGATATACAATTACTCAATTGTATACGTTGCATGTTTACGGTATTTGTCACTGTATGAACTCTTGTCAGTGCTTTGAGCGTCGCTGATCTATATCAGGTTATCTGGTGTACTTTCCCTCGGTTTAACCTCCGTCAAATGTAATTAATCAATCGATTGATTTATTCATCTATAATTGTGAAATTCATCAATATTTAACAAAACGAATATATCGTCTTTTACACGATTACGTAATCACATTTCGTTGTCTTCCTCGCAAGGCGGTATTGAACTGTAGGAAGTTCAAACGACTCTTTTCGTTCGAATTCTTTTGCGTTTAAATACAACCCATCTTTGATTCTGTCTACTACTGTCATCATCTAAACAGCTCGTCTTTAAATCTGTTCACTACACTGAGCAGGTAAACTTGATTAATTGAAGCATTCCATTCGCAAAAAGACTTCAAAGACAATATACTCCAGCGGTGAAACATAAAAGAATACTAAATAGATATGAATAAAATCAAGTCTCGAATGCGGAAAAAAGTTCCGTACGATGTAAAGAATCATCAAGTGTGTTGATGAAGAATAAATTTGAAGAATGATGGATACTTATTATATGCGTTTCAATTCTTTCTTGATGAGTATATTATCATCAACTTTCACTTTATTCAGTAAACATTCTTTTCCATTTATGAACAAGCAAAACTGATGGATACGGCAGCCTTCTCTGTCACCCTTATCACTATTATTGTTCTATTGATTGTTATTATTTCATCTTTCATCTATGTAATCCCAATAATTTTCGTGCGTCGTTTTCATACAGGAGCTAATGTTCTTCTTGTTGGTCTCAGTGTAAATGGTATTATCTGTTCGATCTTGTGGGTTGTATGGAATTCAATTTCTATTATTAATCCAACACTTTTGGTTAAATCGAAAGAGATCTGCATTGCGATGAACTATTTGTCAACATTAGTCAATAGTTTAATAATTTATTGTCTAGTAGTCATAACGATCAACCAGTTTTTCGCAGTTATTTATCCTAAAAAGAAATTATTTCATACCGTAAAGTGTGCCATCTTTTCAATAACGGTCCAATGGATTGTTTCGATTATTGTATCAATACCTGACGTGGTTATTTCAGTTCCAGTAAATCTCAACAATTTATAAAATACATCATTTGTCTTTCTTCTAATAAATTTTAGGTTTGTGTAAACGGTGTTGACGCACCTCGATGGCTCTACATCTATAGATTTGTCACTATTCTCGTATTTCCATCGATTCTAAAGATCGTTCTCAATGCTTCGATATTTTGTTTTGTTCGATCATCTACTCGACGAGTTAAGCCTAAAGAAAACGCGAAGGGATTATCGAATGCTAGCCCCAAATGGAAAAAAACACGAGATACACAATTACTCAAGCATATGATTTTTCTCTATGTGGTATTCATTTTTGGGTGGGGACCAATTTATCTCCTCCCAATAGCTGCTTCGTTTACAACTGTATCACCACTGGTCCTTGCGATTTTTCAATTATTACCCGTGGTTAGTTCGTTTACTATTGTATTGGATTTATTCTACTACAATCGCGATCTCATAAGATATTTTAAAGAACAATGTTTAAAATGCTTCTGAATCAATCAAAATAATTTTTCAAAGAACGTATCATTTTAATAAATAGTTAGAAGCAAATAAATCGTTGACAGTTTCATTCAAAGTGATGGTTTATAAAACATTCTGATGCATTATCCCACGTAATTTGTGTTAAACGTGAACTAATGGAAGTGCAAAAGACTAGGGATTAAGGAAATTTGCATTTATTCCATTAATAAAGATCAAAAGTTCGGATGAATGTCATAGATTGCTTAGTTCATCGAGTTTTAATAACAGAAGTGCAGATCGCGCGTGTTTTGGGAATTCATCTCACAAGATTAGCACTAAATTATCATTTTTATCACTATAAATAGTTGCCATTAGAAAAGATGAGTTGATTTGTTTTTATTTGTTTATATTTATACCGATTATATTACAACGTAATAGAACATGTGCACTCGATGCTCGCGCTAAAGTCAATAGGAAATAATCAGATTGATTTCCACCTTGTTTGATGTGCGGCATCTGTAAATTTCGGCGAAACTAGGTTTCTAATAAATTATTTACACTTTCTCGACTGAAAGATCGTTTTCGCGAAAATAACGCTTTATATACGTCTCTCCTTACTAAAAACAATGATTTAACGGACATTTCCAATGTAAATAAACTTTGTTTCCGCGAGCACATACTTAAAATGTTTGACTTTTTCTTTTTCCACGACTTCATTTGTGAGTAGAACTTCTATCGCACTGGAGCATAGCATTTTCAGCAGTCTTTGGCGAACATCAACAAATGATAGAGAAGTAGTCACGAAACACTTGGAATTACAAGAAGATTATTCGCTCATAAGTAACTCTCCTCGTAGAAATGCAGGATAATAAAGATATGTTTTGTTTCATTACCTCAGCGCTTTCTAACAGATGAATACATTTGTTTTTCTGAGTTTAGATCGAAATATCACTATCCAGATTAGCAGAAAGTTTTCTAGAATAGTATTACTAGTTTTAACTGTGTGCGTGAGATCAGAACATTTCTACGAACGTAGGCGCTGAAAAATCGTCGCTTCGAGTTTTGTAAGAATTATCCTGAGAAAACAAGTACATGACTAAAATAAATCGTCAGTCAATCCTTCGAAGATAATTTCATGTAAATCGATTACAGATAGACATTTCTGTATTTTTATCCGACTCTGCTTGTCGTCACATCTAACAACACTATATATCAGTGCTATTGAACATGGAATTCTTTCCTTTATGAAGTAGACAAGTCACACACACTCGTATAGATTTTTTTCTCAGTGAATTAATCAGAAGAAATATGACTTCGAATAAATTATGTGTGTCTTTATTCTTTGTACTATTTCCACTGACTAGTGACAAAGAAAGAACTCAACGACTTTGTATTCGATAAAGACACATTGGAAACAAATGGGAGATAAAATATGCACACACATCTCTTTATTCAATTAACGGCGATAAGTTCGGTCGAAAATGAGTGGGTGTTGTTCGATTTGATTGAGTGAGACAATCAGAGAATCGTCCAGGAGAACAGAGATATGTGTGAATGACGATTCCTGATGAGTTTGTTAACTGAATCTAATTCTAAGAGTCAGCATTAGTTGTCGGAAAGGAATCATATAGACTTTTCATACTGGTAGGCTCTGCTTTTGACACATTAATGTAAAAATATATTAGAGAGAGTGAGACGGAGAGAGCAAAGGTAACAGTACGACTTTATATCACGGACATTCTTCAGTTTTTATTCTATTTTTTTAGCATAAAACAATGTTGAAATATTTTCATACTCAACTGTTTGTGTTGACAATCGTGTCCATTTTTCTTCTATTATTTACGACTGTCAATTGTAGTTACAAGCAAAGTTACAATAACGATGTAAAGGCTGCGGTCTTATATGGACGACAATTGCCGTTCTTCAACGTAAAAACGTATAATTCTAATGAACAAGACAAGTCAAGCGATGAAGATGTGAACTTGATGATCCGAGATTCATTCAAACCTTATCCAAATCGTCGATCATTTTATGCTATGCGAGGGAAGCGACGGGCTATTTTGCCATAGTTTTTAAACAACATTTGCTTATATAAAAGAAATGTCATTTCATTGATTAAAAATAAAATTTTTCCATTCAAAGTATTCTACATCCAGAATTTCAATAGAATGTCCATATTTCAGTACCACATTAAAATATTTGCATTAAAGAAAGGAAATGCGCATTATCTATCTATTAGTGCCTTGATAACAGAAACTCAAGAGATTTTAATGTTAAAATAGAGGAAGGAAAGTGTGCGTGAATCACTAAATTGAAGGGAATGCTTGGTCGTAATAATCTGACACATGCAATTCTCAGCAAGAGTGAGCATGTTTAGATTAGACCAGGTGAAAGTCAGGTTTTTCTTTATTGAAAAAGTACTATGACATTCTACAAAAATGATTGATGTCCGTATTGTTTTAACCATTTTATTTCTTCGCGAGCTTTGATTTTTCCATGCCAAGGATTATCGGATAGTTCGTGTCCTTCTCTTGGAAAAACAAACAACTTAACTGGTACTCCTCGATAGTATAGTGCACGTTCCATAATGTAACTTTGACTTGCTGGCACTCGTATATCAGCTTCACCAGTTGTTATTAATGTTGGTGTTCGTATTCGATCTACTTGATAGATGGGAGACTGGCTCTGATAGATATGAGGCGTTTCCCATGGATAACCACCGAATAAATGTGTAAGGAGTGTCGGTATATCCATCGTACCCCAAGATGATGTATGATCAAAGGAACCTGCGCCAGACAAGGCAGCATTGAATTGCTTTGTTTGAGTGATTAACCAGTTCGTTAGAAATCCACCGTAACTGTAACCACCAACTGTAAGTCGATGTGGATCAGCAATTCCATCGCGAATTAATTGGTCAACGCCATGCAATATGTCTTGCCCAGCTATTTGCAAAGGTCGATAACGTAGTTCTTGAAGAAAAGCATCGCCATAACCTGTTGATCCTCGATAGTTTGGCTCTAGGACGAGCCATCCCTCGGAAGCAGCTAACGCTGACCACGTGTACCAATTTGGCGAAAAATGATTAATACTTGCTGCATAAGGTCCACCATGGATAAGAACGAGAAGTGGCAGATTTTTCGAGAGATATTTACCTGGCGGGTAGTGTAGCATTCCTTCGATCGTTCGGTGATCATCTTTATTCTGCCATCGATAAGGCAAAGCTCGTGGTAGATCACGTTCAGTGAATAATTGATTTTCACTAGTAATCGGTTGTGCATTTTGGAGTTGATCAATATCATTGATAAAATAAATCTCTTGAGGTGTATCTGTCGAAGAATAGACCATTGCCATTGAGTGCTGGTCCGTAACGGTGAGCATCTCATAACTACCGTTCCATCCAACATGTTCGATTACATCAGATGACAATGATTTTAATGAATATAAATGAATTTCTGTTCCTAATTGTCCAAGAATATAAATAATTCCATCCGATGTCGGCATATAATTATTTATATTGCCATGAAAATCTTGTGCTAAACGTGTAACTTGTCCATCAAGTAAATTTAATGCAGAAAGACTTATTTGTGTATTATTCAATTTCCTATTATTAGAATTGATAGTGTTCGTCTGGAATAGAAGATGTTGACAGTCCGGTGATAGTTTTAAATTACTTTCGAAATCTTCATTGTGTGTCAACCGAACAGGTGGTGAAGATGTATTCCGGAGATCAATTGAATAGATTTCAAAAAGATTCAAATCTTCCATTAAGAGTGATGCAGATATGACAAAAAGTTTTTGTTCTGTGGGAGCAAATATCAATTCACTAATAAAAAACGATAGATTGCTAACAACGGTCGTTTGCACAGATAAAGACTCTTTTGGTGAAATGATATCAACTTGAATAATCGAACTGTGTTCATAACTTTTACTTTTCCGGTATTCAATAACATCTTTCCATTCGTCGTCCGTCGACGGCAGTGGTTTGTTAGTTGCAGCAACATAAAGTGAAAGATCAGTATCGGACCAAGTAAATTCTAAGGGAAGAGCGTCTCCTAGTTCAACAGATAGTAATTCATTCGATTCAATGGAATATAGATGAATACATTGTTGTGTTTGGGAATGAGTTGAAGTAGATTGCCCATGAAGATCCGAATGTGTGGCATTGGCTGATGTTTGGTCGAGTAGTAATGCAATCCAAAGGCCATTCGGTGACCATTTTGGTTGAATTGTTTTGTGATGATTTCGTGTGATAAGTTTTGTTGTTTGTTTCTGAATTTCATAAATCCAAAGAGCGCTTTCAAATGAACTTGTGTTCCACGATGCACGACGTGTTCCGAAGAACAAGTGTTCATTTGTTGGCGAGAGACTCAATGTTGAAAAGGCAGTAGCATCAAAGAACTCATCGAATGTCAATCGCTGTTTTGTTGGGTGTGAGTAACTGAATACAACGATCAGAATAAATAGAAAACAGAATCTTGTATTGATCTTCAACATGGGATACGCCAGAAAAATGTTACAATATGACACCTCGAAAAAGAAAAAGCGTTAAGCTTTATATATCTCAATAGACACTACTGATAAACTTTAGAATGGATTATGAAAGAAAATATGAGATTGAGTTTTGTGATATTTTATTTTCGATAGAGATTAACATTGCATACAACAGAAAGTAGAACAGATAATTTTTTCCTTGGTATAAACATTTTGGTTGCTAAGATCTCTAAGTTTATAGCTTGGAAATCTGGATTCATGACATCTGCCAATCGAGGATAGTTATCATCAGAACAAAATGCATTCTCGCAGGTGTTCATAACGATGTACTTCGAATAGTATCATCGGTCTCGATGGAAACAGAATGTAATGCTAGGACAAGAAGCTGATGAATAGTAATCACGCATTATATTCATTAAGTAGTTATGCGATCAAATGACAAACAACGAGACGTATATTACATCTAAATATGTGCATGTGTGTGTTTTATGATCGTTCTCTTGGTAACGTCAACTCGACGAGAAGAGATGTGAACAGGTGTGTGCAAGCTTAAATTCGCGGAGAAATGCAATAGAACAGAAAAGAAAATGATTAAACGAGAATAACAAGGAATGAGTTTTTCTTTCGGAAAAAAACCTGTCATGAGAAAGGAAACATAGTCATTATCTTTAAAAATGTGCTGTGCTTGTACCGAAAGATATCTGTAGGTATATTGCGTACACAAACATCGATGCTTTATATGAGAGTTGGTTAGATTATCTTTCGATCTACTTGTTGCAGGATGATCGCTGAATCTCCAAAAGCGGTTTTGATCATTTTCATTCTTATCATAAAACTTACTCTGCAATCACTTCAGAAAAACATACCGGTTCATTCTCGATGCCAATATTATGTTTCCTTTCAATTATAGAATATTTACATAAATTATTCACGTCAAACATTTATACAATAATGGCAGACAATGAACACGGTGAATATGAAATGGCAACTCCGACTGAGAAATATCGTAATTTGAATGCAAATGATCCAAATCCTGTCAATCCAAATCCTCAAAGTAATACAGACTGCCCTCCACCTAGACAACACACAACAAAAATCAAAGCCATGCCACCACCATCGAACACGAATGCAAAAACACCCTCGATTAGTCGTCCACCGAGAAAACCAGGTCCAGCACTGGGACCGTATTATCATTTTATTAGTACTGATTTAAATCGAATGTTATGGCTTGGAAGTGCATTGATCTTCCGTGAAATTTCCTATGATCGTCCGCAAATTGAATTCACATCTGAAGCAAAATTAGATTTCAATTGGGAAGTTTTATATGATAATATCTTTAACATGCGCGCATACCGTGTTAACATATCGATCGAATTACGCAATGGTGACGGTGATGATAGAATCGGATGGAAAATCGATTGGAGTGATCGAATAACTGAAGGCGCATTCCACATTGCTCGTTATAACCAGAAATGGCGTGGTGGTTTCTTTTCATGTAATGGTTTTGATGCAACTGTATCCGAACAAGCGAAATCTCACCTAATCTTCGAAAATGTCTGGGAACATTTAAATTCTGTTCATGCTCAAGTCTCATTACATCTGTTAATTTGGGGCGGTGATCAAACGTATATTGACTTTATTTTTGAAGATGTTCCGTTTCTAAAAGATTGGGTGGATATGGAATGGGATGCAAAGTGGACATGTGACTTTCGTGATGACTTACGCGAGCAGGTCGAAGAATATCATTTCAACACCTATATCGAAAACTGGGAACGACCGGAAGTGAAAAACGCTTTAGCGTCGATTCCAAGTTTAATGATGTGGGATGATCACGACATATTCGATGGAGCCGGCTCGTATCCGCCATTACTTCATGACAGCCCGATGATGACAGGTTTATTTAAAACAGCACAAAGAATGCGTCTATTATTTCAACATCATACGACAGTCGAAAAAGCACGTGATCATGGTTTATTCGGATACCAAGGTTATAATTTTTTGACGTTTTGTGGTCCTAACTTAGCTATTCTTGGCGCTGATGCTCGTACGGAGCGTACAGCTGAAGTAGTTCAAGACGAACGATCATGGGATATGATATTTGATAGACTTGATAAACAAATTCAGAATATTTCGCATTTAATTATTTTATTTCCTGTGCCATTTTCATTCCTACGACTTAAAGTAGCAGAAACATGCTTTGAACATATAAAAAATCTCCCAAATAAATGCCGGCAATTACCACTTGTTAAACAGACGAATTCTATATTTGGTTTACCCGAACTCTACGATGATTTACTAGATGAATGGACACATGATGCACACATTGACGAACGCAACCGTGCATTACGACATTTCCAAGAACTAGCCCAGAAAAAGCGTGTTCGAATTACGTTTTTCAGCGGTGACGTACATTGTTGTGGAATAAGCCGCTTTAAAACACATTCGAAAACCAATCCACTATCGATCTATGATCCGAAACTAATGTATCAAGTTATATCGTCTGCCATTGTTAATCTTCCACCGCCGCGAACAGCCATTCATATCGCACATCTAGTTAAAACCACTTGGTATCCAATCGAAAATACGAAAGAAGAACTCGTCGATTTTTTTCAGCGTCAACCTGAAACTGGTAAAAGAATTCTACATAAGAAAATTCTTCCAAATCGTAATTGGTGCTACTTCGAGCAATGCGACGACATAGATCCAGCAATTTATACAACGACTGAAACCGGTTGTTTCGGACGATGTTTCACATCCAAAAACAGAACTACGCCTGAAACAGGTCCACTATCTAGGTCAGCAGAGTCACTTGCTCGTCAACATACGAATGGACCTGCACGTGCAGATACTGGGCAAGTTTATTCGACAACGCATACATTAAAAGTTCGATTGTGGATCGAAAGTGGACGAAAGCACCGTCCCGGAAGAGAATTTGTTCATTATGATCTACTGATTCCAAATTTAATCTAACTCTATTTACAAACTTTTCTATTTTTATTGTTACATTTTTTTATTTCGAAATATTTTGCGCACATACTCGACAACTTTTCACTTAAGTAACATGATTGATAACGCCATCTATCCAGACATGTTTTCAACGGTCCTCTCAGATTAACCTAAAGACCAGTGAATAGTTTTTTTTTCTATTTTATGCATTCATTTCATCGATTGATATGATATACGTACTAGAATTATGAAAATTGTTTCGGTTTCATTTTTTTAGACAAATTTCATCATGTCGAAAAACAAGAATCGAAAAAAGAAAGGAGCAGCAGCTTCCTCAACCAAAAAAGCACCTTCGACATCACATTCACTTTCATTGAAGAATCGTTCATCATCAAAGGCAGCTACAGGATCTGTTAATGGTGCTAAGGTTCGTTCACAATCCACTGTCAAACGATTACAAATGTATCGTGGTGGAAAACCCAAACGAGACCCATCAGGACGAATAACACAGGCAGCAGCGTTTCAAGAACGACTTCCATCCGGTACTCAAGCACGTGTCGCACCAAATCGTCAATGGTTTAATAATAGCCGAGTAGTAACTCAAAATTCTCTACAAAAATTTCAATCAGCTTTGTCAACTACACTTGCTGATCCGTACCAAGTGGTAATGAAACAAACACAATTACCGGTGACATTGTTAAATGAAAAGGGCAAGCAAAAACGTGCTCATATTCTCGATGTCGAATCGTATGGAACAACATTTGGACCAAAAGCACAACGAAAACGACCAGCAAATGTCACCGGCGGTGATGATATGGAGGCATTGATGGCTCATGTTGAACGAACGCAAAGTGAATACAATCAGGATAAAGATCTTGATCTAATGCGTGAAGATGACGGTGTAAAACAAGAAACAATGAATCCGTTGTTCAGAGCTGGACAAAGTAAACGTATTTGGAATGAACTTTACAAAGTACGAAGAGTTTCGGAGTAAATTCGCAATCTTCTTGCCTTTTTTCAGGTTATCGACTCATCCGATGTTGTCATTCAAGTTCTCGATGCACGAAATCCTGAGGGTACTCGCTGTCGACAAGTTGAATCTTATTTGAAAAAAGAAAAAGCGTATAAACATTTGATATTCATTCTAAACAAATGTGATTTGGTACCTGTTTGGGTGACACAAAGATGGGTAGCTATACTCTCTCGTTCACATCCAACACTTGCCTTTCATGCTAACATGAGAAAATCATTTGGTAAACAAGCATTAATCCAATTACTGAGACAATTTTCTCGATTACATCAAGACAAAAAACAAATTTCAGTGGGCTTTATCGGGTAGGAACATCTCATAGAAAAGGAGAAAGAAAATCAATTTTCGTTTTTACTTCAGATATCCAAATGTGGGTAAATCATCTGTTATCAATACCTTACGTTCGCAAAAGGTAACCTAAAACTTGAATTCTCCTATGTCCAAGACTTCAACTTGATTCACTAGGTATGTAATGTTGCTCCAATTGCTGGTGAAACGAAAGTTTGGCAATACATAACCTTGATGAAACGCATTTTTCTTATCGATTGTCCCGGAATTGTCTATCCAGCCGAAGATTCCGAAACCGATATCGTCCTAAAAGGGGTTGTCCGAGTTGAAAATGTACCGCATCCGGAACAATACATTGATGAATTATTACAACGTGTTAAACGCGAATATATCTTGAAAACTTATTCAATTGATGATTATTCCACAACTGAAGATTTTCTAGAAAAATTAGCAAGAAAAACCGGCAAATTGTTGAAAGGAGCTGAGCCCGATCTCCAAACAGTGGCCAAGATGGTTCTGAACGATTTTCAACGTGGAAAATTGCCGCATTATGTTTCACCACCAGAAGATCCTGAGAAACAAGAAACCGAAGAAAAATAACGTTACTCTCTTGTTAATGTTTGTTTTCAGTTTATAAATAAAAACGATTCATAGATCGGTTGATCATCATCGATCGCTCACACATCAAAATATCAATGATTCTACTGTTCGAATGAAACAAAAACGCGTGTTTTGCTGTACGAATTTAATTCGTCTTATCAATTAGAGCAGTCATTCGAATAAATGTACCATAGTGAAAAATATTTTCATTTCTCGCTTCGAATTTCATTGAACATTGATGATATTGGTCGGAATAGAGTGTGATGGAACCGGTCGAACGATCATGATAAATAATTTGCTCGTCAATTGTTCGATTATTGATCAAGTGATAAACATGTTTAATTAAGTTGTTCGATAATAAAGATGTTCTTGATAAGCGTAATAAAAATGATTGCTTCTGTTCGGATTGAAGAGTTAATGTCATATTACCGAATGGAAAATGCCAGAAGAATGTCATTTCTCTATCTGAACATTGATCAATCGGTGACAAAATCGATACATGTGGACAATGGAACGAGGCCGGTGAAATGATAAATGAACAAGGATAATACGTCCACAAGGTTGCATTCGATTCACATTGCGATGAAATTTTTTGAATATGGAATAGAACGATGAACAAGAACGATCTTAGTGACAACATTGCATCATATCATATGTGTTATAAAGCATCATTTTGATAATAGAATTGACTAAATGAACGTGAATACTTACATGAACGCTGTCCGCTCGCAGGTGAGCCGATGGTAAATAGACGTCCACACACGTAGGGGAAATGTGTCATCACGCATTCGATCAATACGAGACTACATGTTTGTCTCTGGCGGGTAGGATAGATACCAATTATCATCGATTTAGCGATTACTCCCAACCATTATCTTTTGTTGATTATTCATTCAAACAAAAAAGCATCAGTAGACAAACTTGCACAAAAATAGTATTAGTAAACTGTTTACATTCGAGATTTTCGAAAACGACATCATCGTAGTAATTGTACTCGATTGGAGGCTTTATGGCACGTTGTTTGAATGGAAGTTTATGATTGAGATATAGCGTTTTTTTGTAGATTACTCATTCGGAATTCATTGAAACCGAATGCTGGAGTTTGCAGCATGGATATGTTTTTGTTTGTTTTTAGTAGGATAATAGTAATTCTCGGAAAGAATCTAGACCTAGCGACGTGGAAGAAAAAGCTAAATCGATCGGATATTGATCGGAAATGATTACCAAATTAAGTTATTGCGTAGAGAAGACTGATTAATATCAAATACATGAACAGAAAATAATGATCCGTATTCGGCAATAGAAAGCTTTTTTTCCTTTTTCTTACAAAACTTTTCTATTTGAATATAATTTGCTATCGTCAAAGAGAGAAGAAACAGTAAAGCGTATTTAAACGCAAGGCTTTATTTGTTTATCAATGGCAATTCTCGCAATACGCAAAAAGTCTAATATGTAACTACTTCGAACATATTCTTTGTTATAGTGAATGTCGAATGTTCATTTACACCTGACTATTGTAACTTTTCCATTTAATTGTTGTCTCGATTTTCTTGCAAGACTTTCTTCTTTCTTAAACATTACGTACCATTGTAAACATCGTCCATAATTAAGTAGTTTCTCTCTATCCTCTTATGTTTCTCTCGTTTTTTTTCCGTATGTCATTTCAGAGGTGATAGTGTATCGCAATAAAAAAAAGAAAGAAATGAACGAGAGGCGAGTCAAATATTAGCCGGCAAAGAGCGAGAGAATGAACTATTTTATGCGTTATTCATACTATCATCTTTTACGTCTTTTTTCTTCAGTGAGGTGTATGCCTCTAAGGCATCGTTTCTTTTTTTGTTGTATTGAACACCTATCCTCTCTACTCGAGATTATACGCTGAATATACATACACGTAAATTTATATCCATCTTCATCCATCTTTCATGATCGTCTACCATCTGCTAACACCTGCGATAGACAGCATACTCTTTCTACCTTGTTCGCTCGACTAATTGTCGATACATTTTTCCAGAATCAACATTGCCTAGAGGGCAAATCCCGGAATATCGTTCACGTATGTGACAAAGGATTGACAATATATATATATATATATATTACATACGAAGAAAAGTTTTCTCTTTTATATATACACAGTGCACTTCTTCTTTTGTTTAAACTGGTTTTGTTAGGCGCGTATAGAGTGTAATGTAAAAAAGAGCCGATAGTGTTACTATTTGCTGCTCGGATGAAAGTTTGTCGATAGAAAAAAAGGAGAGAAACGAAGAAAAAATCTTTCAATATCCATATATTTCTTGCTCATGCATCGCTTTCTTATTGATAGTATTGGTAGACTGCAGCATCGTGCGTACATTGATTTGAAACTGTTTGCTATAGAGACTGACTATCGAAGCAAACAGTAATGAAGAAACGAGAGTTTCGTTTTACTATTTTTTTATTACAATCTGACATGTGCAATGCATATACAAACAGCAAGTGTATTACTGCGATCAAGTTGAATACTGTGCATACATACAATTAATTAGAGAACGAAAAAAAAGGTAAACTTCGTGCGCCATCAGTTACAAATGTGGACAGAAGTGAAGAGACGAATACATCTTCATATATATATATGCACGTANTTAGCACTAAATTATCATTTTTATCACTATAAATAGTTGCCATTAGAAAAGATGAGTTGATTTGTTTTTATTTGTTTATATTTATACCGATTATATTACAACGTAATAGAACATGTGCACTTGATGCTCGCGCTAAAGTCAATAGCAAATAATCAGATTGATTTCCACCTTGTTTGATGTGTGGCATCTGTAAATTTCAGCGAAAGGACGTTTCTAATGAATTATTTACACATTCTCGACTGAAAGATCGTTTTCACGAAAAGCCGCTCTATATATGTCTCTCCTTACTAAAAACAATGATTTGACAAACATTTCCAGTGTAAGTAAACTTTATTTCCGTGAGCACACACTTAAAATATTTGACTTCTTCTTTTTCCGCGACTTCATTTATGAGTAGAACTTCTATCGCACTGGAGCATAGTATTTTCAGCAGCCTTTGGTGAACATTAACAAATGATAGAGAAGTAGTCACGAAACACTTGGAATTACAAGAAGATTATTCGCTCATAAGTAACTCACTTCGTAGAAATGCAGGATAATAAAGACATGTTTTGTTTTATTATCTCATCGCTTTCTAACAGATGAATGCGTTTGTTTTTCTGAGTTTAGATTGAAGTATCACCATCAAGATTAGCAGAAAGTTTTCTAGAATAATATTACTAATTTCAGCTGTGTGCGTGAGATCAGACCATTTCTATAAACGTAGGCGCTGACAAAATCGTCGCTTCGAGTTTTGTAAGAATTATCCTGAGAAAACGAGTACATGACTAAAATAAATCGTCAGTCAATCCTTCGAAGATAATTTAATGTAAATCGATTACAAATAGAAATTTCTGTATTTCTATCCGACTCTGCTTTTCGTCACATCTAAGAACACTATATATCAGTGCCATTGAACATGCGATTCTATCCTTTATGAAGTAGACAAGTCACACACACTCTTATAGTTTTTTTCTCAGTGAATTAATCAGAAGAAATATGACTTCGAATGAATTATGTGCGTCTTTATTCTTTGTACTATTTTCACTGACTAGTGACAAAGAAAGAACTCAACGACTTTGTATTCGATAAAGACACATTGGAAACAAATGGGAGATAAAATATGCACATACATCTCTTTATTCAATTAATAACGATAAGTTCGGTCGAAAATAAGTGGGTGTTGTTCGATTTGATTGAGTGAGACAATCAGAGAATCGTCCACGAGAACAGAGATATGTGTGAATGACGACTCCTGATGAGTTTGTTAACTGAATCTAATTCTAAGAGTGGGTATTAGTTACCGGAAAGGAATCATATAGATTTTTCATACTGGTAGACTCTGCTTTTGACACATTAATGTAAAAGATATATTAGACAGAGCGAAAGAGAGAGAGAGAGAGCAAAGGTAACAGTATGACTTTATATCACGGACATTCTTCAGTTTTTATTCTTTTTTTTTAGCATAAAACTATGTTGAAATATTTTCATACTCAACTGTTTGTGTTGACAATTGTGTCCATTTTTCTTCTATTATTTACGACAGTCAACTGTAGTTACAAGCAAAGTTACAATAACGATGTAAAAGCTGCGGTCTTATATGGACGACGATTGCCGTTCTTCAACGTAGAAACGTATGATTCTAATGAACAAGACAAGTCAAGCGATGAAGACGTGAACTTGATGATCCGAGATGCATTCAAACCTTATCCAAATCGTCGATCATTTTATGCTATGCGAGGGAAACGACGGGCTATTCTGCCATAATTTTTAAACAACATTTGCTTATAAAAAAGAAATGTCTTTTCATTGATTAAAAATAAACTTTTTCCATTCAAAGTATTCTATATCCAGAATTTCAATAGAATGTCCATATTTCAATACTACATTAAAACATTTGCATTAAAGAAAGGAAATGCGCATTATCTATCTATTAGTGCCTTGATAACAGAAACTCAAGAAGTTTTAATGTAAAAATAGAGGAAGGAAAGTGTGCGTGAATCACTAAATCGAAGGGAATGTTTGGTCGTAATAATCTGACGCATGCAACTCTCAGCAAGAGTGAGCATGTTTAGATTAGACCAGATGAAAGCCAAGTTTTTCTTTATTGCAAAAGTACTATGACATTCTACAAAAGTGATTGATGTCCGTATTGTTTCAACCATTTTATTTCTTCGCGAACTTTGATTTTTCCGTGCCAAGGATTATCGGATAACTCGTGTCCTTCTCTTGGAAAACTAAACAATTTAACTGGTACTCCTCGATAGTATAGTGCACGTTCCAGAATGTAACTTTGACTTGCTGGCACTCGTATATCAGCTTCACCAGTTGTTATTAATGTTGGTGTTCGTATTCGATCTATTTGATAGATGGGAGACTGACTCTGATAGATATGAGACGTTTCCCATGGATAGCCACCGAATAAATGTGTAAGAAATGTTGGCATATCCATCGTACCCCAAGATGACGTATGATCAATGGAACCTGCGCCAGACAAAGCAGCATTGAATTGTTTTGTTTGAGTGATTAACCAGTTTGTTAGAAATCCACCGTAACTGTAACCACCAACTGTAAGTCGATGTGGATCAGCAATTCCATCGCGAATTAATTGGTCAACACCATGCAATATGTCTTGCCCAGCTATTTGCAAAGGTCGATAACGTATTTCTTGAAGGAAAGCATCGCCATAACCTGTTGATCCTCGATAGTTTGGCTCTAGTACGAGCCATCCTTCGGAAGCAGCTAACGCTGCCCATGTGTACCAATTTGGCGAAAAATGATTAATACTTGCTGCATAAGGTCCACCATGGATAAGAACGAGAAGTGGCAGGTTTTTCGAAAGATATTTACCTGGCGG